TATGATATATCAAACAATAAGTTGATGCATGTGTTCCTATGGGGGAAGCAATAAGTTGATCTATCAGACTCTGATTAAAAGTTCTAACTTTTTAGCATCAGCAAGCATAAGGTAAAAGATGTCTCTAGGGGGGAAGTATTGGGCTGCATATTAAGTAACTTGTAGAATGGTGGGTTCGTAGTAGCACTCTAATGGTTTTTTAACTACGTTTCTCATTCTTTTTTCTTTTTAGATGAAGTCTATCTTGTGCACTAATTTCGTGACTCGCATTATTATTACCAGTGAACCTTTTCATAAAAAAGAAATTGAGATGATAAAAGTTTAATGACCAGAATTTTCTGTTTTGAATTGCCCGACCAGGAGGCCCATCAGTTATAGGTGTTGGTGTTACATCAATTGTCCTGGAACAGAATAAAATGAAAACGAGAATCATTCAATATGTGTTGGATTAGCAAAACATTTATTATTTCAATAGTTGATTGTATGTATAATTAATCATATGTTGTTTTATTATAATAAGGTAAAATACAAAAAGTTAACTAAAAGATAAGTTAATAATTTTTATCATAAAATGTAAAACTTTACTTAGTCTTCATAAAAAATTAATAAAATAATATAAGCTAATTTTTTGAACGTGAGAAAATAAAATCAAATTGTATTTTTTTAAGCTTTCTTCAAATAGTCATCGAAAATTATTTAATCTAAACATGCTCTTAGACTTAGTAATTACACGTTGAAATCCCTGCATCCAAAAGGAAACGAAAAATTGCCAGTGGGCTCTTCCTCCATTACGGGTAGAGATGTCTGTGTCTTGTGTCAGTTTCTAAGAGCAACAAGGGACAAGCGATAAAGAAGGATATATATTTAAAAAAATGAAAACAAAGAAAGAAAACGATTGAATTAGCTGCCACTATTTGACGTAATCTACATTAGACTATTATATACCCTAAATGAACAAATATGAGACTTAAAATGAAAAGGACTCGATTCAGATAATTATTGAGTCACTATGCGTGCTTCGATCCTTGATTTTGGTCAAAAACTGTTCTCTGAGCGGTTCTGGGCTGCTGGGAAATTCACATGTGTACCTGTTCAACTTATTATTTAAATTAATCAAACGATTAGGTGTAATAGTTCTAACCTGGGTTGGATAAATATCGTCCTTGATGTTTTTTGTTACAGTTAATAATGACTTGTCTATCTGATTTTCTCCATCAAAATCTCGTATTTGAAGTTTTGGTAAGGTGACGACTGACAAGTATATAATGAATACTTGGGCATCATTCTATAAATTGAATAAAGGCAAAAACATTTTTTTAATCTAAAATTTATACTAAGCTGAATACTTAATTATCTGGTCTTTATTAAGATTGTATTTTATAAATATCCTTAACAGTGATTTTAAGATAGTTAACAATTTTTTTACTAGTTTAAATATTTGTTTGAGCAAAATAAACACATTCAAGGTACATTTGAATAAATGTTTATTTAAGCATTTATTTAATAATATTTTTTAAAAGAGTTACTTGTATAATAAATTTGGTGATAAATTCATTAAAACAAGATGAAAAAAAATAAGTTATGCTTAACAGTTTAATAAAATAAGTTAAAGAAATTTTATTAAAATCATAAGCTATTTTTTTTATAGTTGTTTATAAGCTCTTTCAAATGGCCTTTTAATAAAGTTAATTTATTTTAAAGGTTGGATTATTTTAATTTAACTATCAGTATATTTTAAAACACTGCTTAAAATTACTTTTGAGTTTATGAATTCCGAATGTATTATTATGCTTTTTAATTTAATTCTATTTTTTTATAATTACTTGTTTTACCTTTTTATAGTCTTTTAATAAAATCTTTATCAATATAGAATATTATCTTTTGGATATTTTTTTAATATTTTACTATGAAATTTAATTTTAATAAAATATTTTATTTTTGTATATGAATTTTAAAAATCATAAAAAATTAATTATTCTTCAAAATAATAATTAAAAATAATTCAAATTTAGGAAATATTTTTTTAAAAAATTCAACATATAAGTTTATTTAATTAAGCTATAGTTTATTTTTATTTAAATGATAAAAAAGTCATTAAACATAAAATATTAAGAAAATATTATAATATCCATTTTATCCTTGTGCTCGAGGAGAATTCAACAAAATTATAAAACATCATTTTCTAAAAAAAGTATTAAAAAACTAATATAAATTCATATATATTACTATTGTATTTTATTTAATCCTTTTTAAGTAATAATAAAATTTAAAAAATATCTTTAATTCTTAAGATGATAATATTTGAAATAAATTAAAATGAGAGCAATAATTATCTAAAAATAAACATAGTTTAGATCTTCTTAATTTATAATCAAATACACTTTTTTTTTGTCATTTTACACTAGTCAACTAATTTAGAAGACTGATTTACCTAAGCATCTTAAATTTAAATGGCTAGTTTTTAACTTCTAACTTTTGACAAACATTTCAAAATTTAACTAATTTATTTACTATTTTTGTCATATACATCTTAACTTCATTTTTTAATTATGTTACTACTTTTTCAAGTAGTTGTTAAATAATTTAAAGGAAAATCCAATTCTACCTTCATTTTTAATTATGTTACTAAGTGGCGATTTTTTTGTAGTGCCCTTCACTAGGATTATATTAGTATTAATTTATTTCACTGTATATTAATTCACAACCCAACTTTCGCTTGTATTTTTTAGAAAAACTTTATATATATATGACAATTAATATTGATTTGAAACAATCAAATGTCATGTTACAAAAAATTAATAATGTGGACGAAACTCAATTAAAGATGATGGGGAAATAAAGTTTGTGTGATATTGTCTAGTTTAAAATGAACCACAACTTATATGGTCGTCTTGACTTTTGGGCCCCAAACCCCACGATAGGAGTGAACGACTAATCCGAAAATAACAAGGACCTTCGATCATTAATAACAAGGTTTAGTGCTTATAAGAAATAGTGGTAATAGCACTTATACATACTTTTTCCCCATTGTTTAGGGTTCTTATACATTTTTTTTCACTGTAGACTCATTACAAAATAGATGAACCTGTCTCTGGATTATTCTGAAAACGATATAGACACAATTTTAATAATTTTATGAATAAACATTCATAAAAATATTAAATTAAATAATAAGATGACTTAAACTCTTTTTATAAGTTAAATTTCACTTTTATTTTTTAAAGAATGTAAGTTATTTTTAATTTATAAAAAATCATTTGTTTTTTATATTTTAGTATTTTCTATTAAAACTTACGCAAATTAACCCTAAGAGGGTTATTTATGAAATGTTATTTAATAGTCTATACAATAATTAGCAAGGGGTGGACGTAAATTTTATCCAAATGTCATTATTACAAGAGTTAAGTTTGGGCGAAGCTTTTTCAATATTTTTCAGTTTCATTAATGGCTAATATTTGCTATGTATCATATTTAATTGAGAATAAAAATACTCTATCTAGCTCTAATCAAGTAGGATATGTGACCAAAACATTAACCATTGATTATGAGTGAAAAGGCATTCAGAGAATCCTATTGTGTTATGATACTCACGTGTAAGTTTTATTCACGAACTTTTCAAACACTTTCACGTGAATGATTGGATAATATCTATCTTACCATAACTTTTTGGCAAATGGTCTTGCACTCTAAATATTTAGAGTCTTCATCTCTCAATTTGATATTAGTAGTCACAGCATTACAAATTAAAATATAGTTAAATGGTCAATTTTTATATTTTTATATTTTTTTAAAAAATTTAACTAGTTTCCAAACAATGTTTTAATTTTTTAATTCTATATAAAAAGATAATTCAAACGTAGATGTAGACTTATTAGTTGTTAACTAATGAATTGCCTTGTACGAACTTATTTGTAATTTTTAATTCAATTGGTTAACTGAATTTTAAGGAAAAAAGAAACTAAAAATTCAAAGTCGAAAATAATATTTTGATCACAATATAATAGTAATCAAGCAACTCAATGACTCGGCCACGTACATTTATTAAATATAATAAAATATAATTGCTAAAAGAATAAACATGACTCAATATTTAAATTTTTAAAGACCTCATCGAATATTTTTTTAATTAATACTCATATATCAAGTCATATTCTCATCTAGATTGTTATGAATATTTATTCCACTTTTTGCTCTTTAAAAAGCTACATAGACCTTATCTTTTTTATTTGAAGACATGATAAGAGATCATTTAATCACAAGGTCAGCTTATGTAATTTTAAGAAAATGAAGGACTTGTATTATTTTGGATATCTGTTATAGGAATCCTCAAACTAATCCACCCAAGAAGGAAAATGACTTGTCAAATACATGTCATCGTTTATTTTAAATTTATATTTAGACGAGACGAGAGTAAACAGAGAAGACAAAAAAATTGGAACATAATAATTATTATTTATTTATAAAATAGAAGATTAACGGAATAAAAATTTCAGAATTTTAAGCTGAATTAGTTTTTGTTGATATACATTTTTTATACTATATTTAATTTTTGACTTTCTGACTTCTATTAATCTAAATAAATATAAAAAATATATTTTCATTTAATAATACAAAATTATACTTTATTTTTTATTGTAAAAATAGTATTCTCAATGAAAATGATAAATTTTTATTAAAAGAATATGCGTCACTTTTAAAAAAATTATAGTAAGATTATATTTTTAGTTAAAAATATTTAACAAAATTATTTTATTATTGATCCAAAGAAGGTTATTTATTTTGGTGGACTTCCAAACAGAGTGACTTAAGAATCCCCAAGTAGAGTGGGCCCATGCGCTAGACCATCCTTATCTCAACGTGAACACCGATGCAGGTGGCCACGTCATAGTCTCCAAATCTGAGTACAATAGACGGTCAAGATCACTCCTAACCCCAGGAAGTTGTTCGACCTTTAACGCCTTGCCTTCATTAAATATGGTACCCATGGGACGATGTTGTATCTCTAACACTGTGACTTGGTCATTGGGATTGCCGATACGCCGGACTTGCTAAAATACGCTTGATCCGTATGGGCCTTCTCGACCAGTTGTGGGATGACACCGTCGCCGGTCCTCGACCCGACCACGGCCTTGGCAAGCTCCAACGCCACCATACCTTCACTTTCCGATCTTCCTCCGGCAAGGGTACGACGTTGTACTCTGCCGCGTTAATTACTCATTTAATCCACTGGCGATGTTTCTTATGCAAATCACCAACCAGGACCACAACCACAATCGTTAATTGAATTATTATTGTTATCATTATCTGCATAATCTAACCGCTCATATGAGTTGACCTTCAAATCGGTGATCGATTTCTGTGTTTTTAGGTTGCATGTAACCAGATCTGCAGCCCTAAACACGCTATTTAACCTCCAAGTTCGAAATCATCTAAATCACTGCAATATGATCTTTACAATTAATTATACGAGAAAGTTTGGGAAAATGAAATACTCTAAACCTAACCAACCACTATACTCTACTTATAAAATATCTTTCTCCAATTTTTTTTTTGTAAGAAAATGGAATATGCTAACGCTTAGGCATATTGATTGATCAGAATCGGAGGGTGGGAGCGTGAGATCGTACGATGAGGAATCGTCTAAGGAATCGATGAGAGTAACGCGTAGTATCATGATCGTGAAATCGCCAGGTTACCAGAATGGATCGCCTCCGGTTTCTCCCGCCGGTTCTACTCCTCCGGTGTCTCCGTTTTCCGGTAAGGTCGTTATTTCTTCTCTACTCTGTTACTGTGACAGTAAAATATGCTTAATTACCAAGTCTAGTGAAGTAAACGGTACTCCACAATACGGCTAGCGGAGATTTTGTCCTTTTGTGGTGGCTGGCATGTTATCGATTTTTTATGGACAATGATAAAGCAGTGTTTGGTGGGAGTAGTTATGAAATCGAAATGTCTAAAATTGACGTGCACAATTTTATGTGGTTATCCACGTTAGTTAAAGTAGATATTAACATGCCACAATTATATTATACGACCATTATACAGTCCTACCCACATTTTGGGTTCAACTCAACCCAAGTGTTAATAGACAACTAGCTCCAACCTGGTCATATTATATATTTAATATAAAACATAATAATTATATGAAAGGATTTGTTTTGAAAGTTTCACTTCTAATTGAAGTGTAACAAAAATAGCTGGATAATTTGGTGATTATATGGGAATTTGCGTGTAAAATTGGTTCCTGTATAAATTGAATTATCGTGTATTAACTGTTGAAACAAAGTCTCGATTTGGTTGACTCTTTGACAGTATATCTTTCTTGTGTGGTTGAAGAAGGGTACACGCAGTTATGTTGTTTAGGACCACTTACTTTTACGAGAAAATTGTGTTCATAGGATTCAAATTCGTAGGAAGGAAGATGAGTTTTGTTAATTAATTAATCAATAAGCAACAACCAGCAATAAATTATACTGATGTGATGTGTTTGTGTTTGTCCTTAGGAGCTAAAGAGTCCTTTCGGTTTCGAAGAAAGTCAGCATCCGATGCGCACGAGAAGAGAGGCCAGAACAGATCGAGCCCTTCTTCTTCTATCGATGTGTGAGAAATGAGCCACATTTGCTCGTGTTTGAAAGCTTAGGATGAAACAACCTTTTGTTGTGCGTGTAAGAATGTATGTATGGGTTGAATTGGGTTGAGTTGGGTTGTATATGCAGTTCACGCGAGGTAGCTTTTCGGTTTAACTTCTTAAAGTCTAAATTAGCTGAGCTGCGTAGTTGTTGGTAAATTGTAAGAAAGTGCAAGGGTAGAGTAGCGGTGTATCTTATTATGTCTATGTGTATATTCATAATCAATAAGCTTTTCCTGCGTTTGCTCCACTTGTTCATTTCTCCCAGTAAGTTTTGGCTTGCTAAATAAAGTTTTACTTTTTGGCAATTTCTCGTTCGTCCCAGTTTCATGCTCTGTTCTTGGTCGATTTTAGTACGAGGATTGTACTGAGGAGAGACCCAAAGAATATTTTCACATAACTAATTAACCATGGTCCAATATGGAAACCATCTTTGTCCTTAAGGATGCTTTTAGAGCAAAAGACACTTAAAAATAGGACAGCTGGCCTGCCAAGAAATTATTGAATACGCTTGCTGGAAGATGAGTGCATTATTTTTCAAATATTACAATGAACAAAGTGCACTAGACAAGTTAGAAATTTACCGGTCTTCAGCAAGTAAACGAGTGCATTTTTTTGCAAGATCTGTAGCAATTTTATCTTCATGACTACTGCCATGGGGAATGCAAGTGAAAACTCTGCTAAATAGTTTACAAAATCTCTCTGCTAAATAGTTTACAAAATCTTTATATGTTTTTTTGGGGCGTATGTTGGGTGTTGGTTCTGTAGAATGAGAAACATTGATTAATTAGCGTAAGTATGAATATTTATTATTCTTTCATGCAACATAAACTAAAATTTAGGGTTGGGTTGGTAGTAATCGTGAGTGAAGAGGAATCAAAGAATCTGTCGAGCTGGAGTGGGAGCGGGGGACAATCAACTTCGCTGCTCCAAAACACCACACCACACCACACCACACCACAGTCCCCATCTCGTTGACCCTTTTCCCCATTAACTCCGCACCATTCTCCTCAGTTTGTTTCTTGGGTCCACACCCTTCTCCTCAGCATTAATGCGACAAATTTGACCTATTCCTTTGAGGCTCAACTCTGGGCTCGTGATGTTGATGGCCCAATTACTTTCAGGCCATTGGACTTGGACAACCTTCACTTGTACTCACCTCTAACTGATATGAGTGCAGACCTGGACACAACCAACCAGAACACTTCTTTTAAAGCCTTTTGTTTGTTTTTAACTTTCATTCCATTCCGTTGACTTGCAAATCTTATCCGTTATCAACCCAGTCTTATAACATATAATAAAAACATTAAAAAACTATAACTTATAACAACAAGAGTATTAATAATATTAAATATTATAAATTTTAATAAAAATTTATTATTTTTATTATGTGCCCTTAAAAGTGCAAAAAAAAAATAGTATATAAAGTTAATAGTTCAACGTAAATTCCAGCCTCAAACAGACTCACTCCGACCCAGCCTAATGATAGTTGCTATCATAATTGCTACCTACAGTATCTGATTCTGTCTCCCTGTCTCTCCCACACATTTACAAATACAACTTACAAATGTCCTTGCTGCTTAGCTCACTTTTTTGGGATCCTTGTTCCATCCTAATTTCAATTTCCTTTTTGTTTTAATTTAGAAGCTAAAATGGGCTTATTTGTGGTTATACGATCCATATGATGCTGCAAATGTAATTGTTGGAATTATACTCTCATCCAGAAATTCTAATTATGATGCGGACATTTTTTTTCCTCGCAACCACATCTTGGATCGAAGTTACCCTAAAATGTGTTGGTGTTACAGTTACCTTATCAAATTTTGGTATTTTTACATGGATACTTGCCTTGTAGTGGTGGCCTTAAATTTCTACATCTGTTTGGTTCCATATGTTTCTTTCCACTCAAAAGTCACAGATAAATATATTATCGAATCTGTGCGCATTTGTAGAGAAGTAGGGTTTTTAAGCTTTTAATATGCTCTGTGATGGCACTGATCGTTACCCATGGACATTCAATTCTTGGATTTGAAAAATGTAACAAAGCCATGGCTAATGATCAGAGCCACCAACTCGCCATATAAGTTCGTTTCATGTCTAGTTTGACTCTTTTCATGGCTAATGAACAGGTCAAGGGAACAATCGAACTTTATGCCTTTGTTCTGTAAGAAGTTTCGAATTCCTTATGTGCCCCTAAATAAATAAAGATGACCCGAGTTTCCATAAATTAGTTGTATAATTGATTTGATGTTAATAATTTATAACAGTGTGTTGTTTAAGGGTTTAAATTGCCTTACAGTGGTATTTTGAAAGGTATAGTCTATATATTTATTTTTTAATGCCAGAATCTAAAAAATTGAGCGCTTCTGCATGAAAGCTTGACAGAATCAATTTCCGACCTTCTAGAACCCACGGATTCTAGCACGTTATAGATGGTAATTGACTTAATTGATAAATTGATGCTCCGTAATTCTTGGAATGTTACGTTATTGGAAGTTCAAACCTTCTTGTGTCTTAAGCACTGGTGTAAGGTGGAGCAACTCAATCAACACGCCAATACACAACTACAAGATTCCCCCAGAACCGTGATTCACCACTTATTCTAGAGAACTCTTCTTTTCATCATTTGCTTGGTCTTGAAAGATTCTATTGCTTATTTAAAAACATGTTGGAAACCTATGAATACGGATCTAGCATAGTAATTACAACCAGTAACGTTGACATAAACATAAAGTTCCCAACAAACATGCTATACATTTTAATCAGCAAATCCAATGAAAATTGCACCAACAACAAAAAGTTTTCGTTTATGGCGTGAATTTCTTTATTTTCGTTTGAGAGTAGATACGGTAAGGCGAACAAAAGAAGGGAATAGGTTTTCATATAATGCAGCTAATCGCCGTAGGATGCAAAGAAAAGTAACATTTGTTTTTAAGTGAGAGAAGCAAGGAACAGTGATGTTTCTAAGAATCAGAACATGGTATCCTTGTCATGTGAGAATTCCAACGTGGTGAATTGGCTAGTTATTATCCAATGGAAAGTTGAAGACAAGTAGTGGTATGATTGATTACGTTATGAGTACCATAGCAACAGGGAAAGCCGCTGGGACAGGTCTCTACCAAAAACAACATTCCTGAGCAGTCATTCAGATAAATGGCATAGAAATTTACGCATTTGATAACATGAAATCTCTTTGCACTCACAAATTACATGCTAATTTGCCAAACACAAGCAACCACTGGTGTACAAAGCAATAATCTCTGCTCCTGCACAGAAGAATGCCTTGGTAGTTCAGTTTACAATATAGTATCATTGGCAATCTGCAACTCGTAAATTGGACGAAGGAAAGCTCCCCCATGTCAAACTCCTTGGCGATTTCAACTCCGTACAAGTTTAGTTAGCTGGATTGAATTCCTATTTGAACCGAAAATCTTTGCCAAATACTAGACCTTTCCAAGTTTAGGGGGCTGCCCAAAAAGTTACAAATATACACAAACGTTCAAAATAATAATAATAATATAAAATTCTAATAAAATAGCTTATTGATGTTATATACCTTCTTTAAATTCATTTTTGATGTACCACTTCCTGATCCTCTATCAACGGGTTTCAATATCTCAAAGGAACATACAAGAGATTCGTCAACACTCAACAATGCACCGGCGTTGTCAAATTCCCCACCATAATTTGGAGCAGAAAATATTGTGACTAATCTTCTTTTAGCGAAAAACTCATATCCATCCTCCACAACCTATTCAGGAAAATAGGAAAGTAAAATGAGACCTTAATCAGAAGAAGTTGGAAGAAGTAACACACAAAAAGACAGATTATAATAAAAGAGAAAGCATGATGAATGCCGCTGAACTAGTTCGATAGAGCCTGATCTAGCATAATATGCAAGTCGGATAAGGAAAGTGTACATAGGTTACAGCCATCAATAAAAATGAAAAAAACCTGCAACATCAATGACGCTGATTGTTCTAATTGCAATCCCATGTCGCTGCAACGACGATCATGAGAATTGCTAATTTCACAAGTCCATCAATTGTAAATGAACTGATTTCATAATGGCTATTGACAATTGAGATTAGTATAACCTTTAAAACTTTTTTCTATAAACTGTTCCAGTCAAAAGGTTACTGGTTGGTTTTATCAGATTATTAGACAACATATTATCTTCTCCCCTTTCCGGACTCATAATCAACTGATATAGTTGTTTCCAAAGAGGTTGATAAATGATGGAAGAGGCTATCATTGAAGTGGGTCATTCAAAATTTCATAAAACAAATAGAATCACACCTGTAAGACCAGTACAAATATGCTCTCCCAACCTCTATTTTATATCCTGCTTAATCTGCTGATATGAAATAAGAGGTTTACCTGATGCCCTCTGCAGACAAGATCAAGGTCATTTTTATCCAAAAACTCTGCAAGTGCATCAGGTCCAAAAGTACACGAAACGCCTCGGTCGCTATCTGCCCAGCCCTCAATGCTAGCATCAGGATCAGACCACAGCAGATCACAAAGGAGACCACTATCCGGAATTTCAGTAGGCCTTTGAATCTCCCTTATCTGACCTAAATTTTGTAGCTCTGGAGAGAGTCCCCCATGCATACAAAGTATTTTCTCATCAATGAGTGCAGCTACCGGCAAACAATTAAAGCAATCTGTGAATATCTTCCATAGCCTAACATTGAACCTCCTTTTACATTCATCATAAAAACCATATATCCTGTTTATCTTTGCATCTTCATGATTTCCCCTCAACAGATAAATTTTATCCGGATATCTTATCTTGTAGGCCAAAAGCAAACATATAGTCTCCAAACTTTGCTTCCCTCTATCCACATAATCCCCCAGAAACAAGTAATTTGCCGCAGGAGGGTATCCACCATATTCAAAAAGCCTCAATAAGTCTTGGTACTGACCATGTATATCACCTGCAACATTAGGAACAAGGGAACATGTGACAAACAATTGCATACTACAACACAAATTATATCTATCACATGCATGATTCTCATAAATGTAAAATTAAGACCTGTAAAAGATTATTTTTCACCCATATAGAGGAAAAGATGCAGCAAATTTTAAAACTTTTTTGTCCTTCACCTTAGAAACAAGGACAGACATATCCTGAATTTTATTAAATAATTTCCTATTGTTCAATCTTCCTCACGGGGCGATCATGTAATATTAGAATCATACATGGCAATCACCAAAACAAAAGCAATGATAATGATTAATGATAAAAGGAGACAATTTTTGAAATCTGAAAAAGAAGATCGTGGCTAACCGCAGATGCGGATGGGAGCACGAAGGTCAAGAAGAATTGGTTGAGAGAGGAAGATTTGTCGAGCGTTGACGCAGAGTTGACGGATCTCAGACTCAGAGAGCTGAACCTGTTTTCCTCCCTTCCCTTCAAGCAATCTTCTGATCACATCATCAAGCACTCCCTTGTCCATCATCCCCTCCATTGTCATCATCATCATCTTCTGTTTATTATTTGATTTGATTTTCCAATATTGGATACCAACAACAACAACGCTAGCTTTTAGATTAAATGAGGCAGAACAAAGGGAAGGAAGAAGATAAATAAAGAAAATTGGATAGATGGCCCAACTGTAAGACAGACAGACAAACAAAGGTTAAGGTTTTTTATATCATCTTAGGTTCTCAGATCAACGATCCTTGATCCATCATCCCCCTTTTTTCCTTTTTTATTATTATTTCGGAATTTCAATTCAACTCCTAAGATGGTTCGCTTCAACTCTCATTTTTCTTTATTCTAATCTAATTTGTTTCTCTGTCTAAAACTGACCCTTTATTCGGTTGAAACCTTCAAAGGAGGGGACCAAATGGCGCGTAAGAATATCAGCCTCGCCTCCTCCACTCAACATCTTCCACGTGGCGTTGTCTCTCCATTGGTCAACCTTCTGTTTGGACTACGCCGTTATCCCCTCTACACGCTGCCCCCCTTACCCTATCCCCGTTCTTCTCTTATTTGTATTATTATTATTATTATGCTTTTAATAGCCCATATTTAAATAATTGCATATTAATGCATAATGCATGCACATTATTCACTCCCATACGCACGTATACTAATTCTACAGTTATCTCGTTAGATTTGTTCAATTAGAAAAATTCATTATTTACTTTGCTTATTTGATGGTACGTTGAACTGTTAACTTCAATTGCTCATAAATTTTATCAAGTTTTTATTGGTTCCTAGTCTTTAGAGTTTAATGGTGCCATCATATTAATGCGTATAGCCTCTGTTTCATTTTGGTAAGTACAAAGTCTATTAGTTGTTTGGCAACTGTCACCGACGGAAAACATTTATGAACTTTTTCAAACAAATTAAAATATATATTTTTATTTGAAATAGCGTTTCTCTGATTTTTATTGCTTTCGCTGGATTCAGAAAGTACATTACCGACATAATGATTAGATGAGTGGGTTATAAATTAACACCTTTTTTATTTCTCTTAATTGACCACTCATTTCCTTGTTTTGATCCTCATCCATTTAGACTTGCAACTTGAGAAAAGTGCATATTTAAAAGTTATTATTCCTACCATAGGGATACCATGTATATACACATGTTACGTCCACGAGAAAGGAACAATTGCAAAGGTCTTGCATGTTTGTCATGTAGTTCCACCTCAACTTCATTATTCCTTTTTAAATAAATCAAACCACGTCAACCTTCTTATCTTCTTTCAGCTCTGATTTAGCATTAGTATGTTAATAATTGGACACACACAAAAATTGTCATTTAAAAAAGTATCTTATGTCATAAAAAAAACGTCTTGTAGTAGTAGTGTATGGTTAAATTCTTGAGGGATTAACTATTAAGCATCTATAAATCTATTTTAGTTGTTTTATTTTTCTGGTCCACAGAATACAAACATTGGTCCAACAAAGTAAAAGCCCATGGGTGGTTGTCTGAGCATCATAGAATCATATGGTACTCGGTACATGTTTTTTGAGAAAGAGAAATTGAAATACCTAACCATTTGCAGTTGCAATATGAATAAATGATGTTGATAACTATAAAAATAAGTCACGTGATGTGCGAGGGTTAGGTGTGAACGTTAAAGCGTGATTTTCCTATGTGTTCACTCCATTTTCGACGTCGACATCTTCTCCCTTAGGCTTAATAGTCCAAAAAGTGTTTGAGCCGAAAGAGAGCGTCTTGAGGATCCTTCGAACGTTGTGCTCGCCATTCAGCGATGGCTTTGGAAGGCTTTTCACCCTTTTGAGGGCCTTCTCGTCCACTTTCACAGCCTCTTCGTAGTCGTATGCACCCATTTTAATCACAGTCACCGTGTTTTCTTTCACCAGGCCCAGGTCCACTGTTGGCCCATTTTCACATTCTGCCTTCCTCTTGTAGATTACATACACTGTCAGTTGGGTTGAGCCCAATATCAGCCCAATCAAATTTGGTACCTGCAACGACATAGTCCACGATTCAGCTTCAGCAAAATCATATGAAACCAAAAAAAAACTTCAGCAAGATCATTTGTTCGACATTTTAACTTTCATGGGTAAAGGCCTTAATTTGCTATACAATTTCTGTAATTTCTAAACATTCACAGAAAAACAGAAAATGTTGCCTTTTTATAAAATGACAGGTATCTTTTACATTATTTGAGTTAGATAAGACTGCTATTTGAGTTGGATAAGATTAGTAAAGAACTCCATAATTCTCTAATACAACCATATTTATTAAGACTCAAATTCAATACCACAAGTTAAAATTAATATTTTATATTATCCACAAATTTGAAACAAATATTTCATAATCAATTTAACGATGTTAAGAAAACATAATTTTACATATCACATACTTTATGAATACTTTATTGTTTGAAATTAGTTTGTCTTTTCTTTAATGATTGTGAACATGTCTTTCGGCAAGAACCAAGGACCATGACTAACCGGTGATAGCGTGCAGAATTAATTGAAAAAATTATTGAACTTCTATTACATTGGTTAGAAGACGAGGAAGGTAGCAATGTTAAGGTGTATTAATTCAAACAGGTAGTTCTCAAAATGATTTTTTATTTGAGGTTGTTTTTTTGGGCACGTCGTGTTCTATTTTCTTCTTCTTATGTTACTTAAGACGCAATACTACATGCAATTAATAATGTAAAACGTCATTGGGAGTAACATTTTTCGCTACTCAATTGACATCCAATTGAACGAGTTGCATCGCATGATGTGCTCTCATACGCGGCATGCACCATTGTATATTGTTCCTTTTTCCAAACTTGTCATTTCCAAAACTCCTTGTGAGTTTTTAAGGGGAAGGTACCGTTGCACTTCATATGAGAGTACAATATATACGCATAATAACTCATCCAATCGAATTTCAACGAGTAAGAAGAAACAACTTCATATGACATCATTTCACATTATTACACTTAGTTTTGCATCTTAATTGTTCTGAGAAGAAAAACAAAACATTAGTTGATTAATTTAACTACTAAAATTTGACTCAATGTATTACTATTATTTTTTAGAGTTTTGTTAAACTCGGCTCGAGCTGAGATTAAATATTCTCAAATAAGAAGTTTTTATAAATAAAAAAAAAAGCATAATTATTATATTAAAATTATAAAAATATAATAAATACTTTATTTTTTAATAAAATTTTATTATTATTAAATACTTATTTTCAATTCTAAGAGTTAAGATTAACAAAAACTTATTTTTTTATCCTTTATAAATTTCTATCAAAATGTTTGAAAAATGTTTTGTAAACAATATTTAAGGTCCCTTTCAACCATGATCTCCAAAGAAAATAATAGAAATGATTGAGAATGACTTAGATTTTGGTAACTTTAATACGTCATGAAGCCCTTAACCAGGTCCAAGTGTAGCCTAAGTTTTCCTTGTTTTCATAGCGACAATTATCTTGATAAAAGCTGTTGTTTTACACCCTTGAGGAGACACATTTACTTAATTTAACACGGACGATAGTTTTTCTAATAGCTGAATAATTAACGGGTAGAGAATGAATTAGCATACTCCAATGAAGAAATCTTTGACGAGCAAAGCGTACAATGCCCACACGCCACCATTCAGAAACATGAAAAATGACAGCAGAAACGGCATGTATTCCACACACTTGGTCTTTATCACCGTTTTCTGTTACATATCGTAGTTGCAAAAAAAAGGGTTTGAAATTAGTCTATATGTATACAACAATATCATTTTATATTACATAAGAACATTTTCATTAACAGATACGCAATGATGTCAAAAATAAAAAATACAGTGATGATATAGTTCACAAAATCCAACAGATGCATATGGAGCATTCATGATGAAATGAATTATAAGCTATGAATCATAAAAAGTATCAATGAATGAACAAAACTGACACGTACCATGGCTAATAGCGGCGATGCATACATGATTATAGTTAAACCGGAGCATAACATTCCTAGAAAAGTAAGCTGGATTGTTCCATGAAGTGCAAAAAGAGTCACTGAAATGACTGTCCCAAGAAAACCCACGTCCAGTACTGCCACCATCAGTGCCGTCTTAACCTAAATGTGCATATAAATAAATACATAGCACCAAACAATTAAGCACTAATTAATTAGTGATATAAGGGAGAATTGAAAAGTAATAAATTAGCACGATCTCTATATTACAACGTAGTAAATTAATGACCTTTTGATCTTGAGGTGAATATACGAGGAACAGAAGTATGTAGATGCAATTAAAAATAGCACCAGCCCCATTGACCATAGCGATTTGCAAACCACCAGGCTTAAGAACTCCATACGAAGTCCACAAACTTGTGCATAAGAACGTCGTTATATATGGTGCTCCCTTGTAATTCTCAGTCGATTTATTCTTTACCACTCTGCAAAACGTCTTGCTTTTGATTTTGGAAGCAAGGTAAATCAATAAATTTTTTTTAAAAATAGAACCCCACTAATAGTAATTGCATTCATAACAGTTAATGAGGTAATACAATTATTATTTAAAATATTGGTCTATTCATTAATATGAATAATTCATTTTTATAGGAAGCATGGTATACATACATGGGAGAGGCAAATACCAGAAGCGATAATAGAGTGCCTGCAAATAAGTCATAAAATAAAAACTTTGTTAATTGAAATCTTATGAAGCTCATGAAGTTTAAGATATAAAGGTCAACAAAATTTGAATAAAATTAATATGGAAAAGAAAACACGTATGAACTTGCCAATAATGCCAACAGCAAAGGTCAAGCTAGCCATGATAGAAGTAAGCATTGGTATGAAATATGAAGCGCGGATGAAAGCAGTTTCAATTAATCTTGTTTGATGATATGTTATGAAATCTTTGTAGATTCCAACATATTTATATCCATCCGAAGCTATTTTAAATTTTTAAATATGTACGTGCATGATCATCAATATCCATCTGGACAAGGACAACCATCTTTAATCAATCTGATTCTATGCTTAACATGTATGAGTACTAGCTAGGTAACAATCTGTCTTCCTCTTAATGCAGGTGATAATATGAATTTAACTATCTAAGGGTGATAACGAAATTGATATTGGTGCATGATAGCTGGTCACAGAGGATCTATTTCATTGGCTGCTTTAGAGCTTTCATTCCCAACAATTAGAACAAATTAATATAAGAAAATAATTTCTTATATATGATTCTTTGGTGGAAAAAGGCTGTTTGCATTTATTACCAACAAATTTGGCTAGATTTATTTTCTCCTTTATTTGATTATGCAGCAGAGGAGGGATAGTTCGGTCAGATAAAGTACACAATAAAAATAAAATAAAAAATTATTAAAATGATAACATTTGTGATTATGAATATATTAGATTATGTCATATTTTATGATTTAAAAAAAATTACTATACATAATTTTTTGCTCTGGTATATTAGATATGTATGTTTCAATGATAATTGTTTTGAAAATAAGATATTATTTTATATTAATTATAAATTTTATAAATAAACTATGTTTTTTAAAAGACTAATATATCTTGTTTTAAACAAATTATAGGAAAAAGGATGATTGATTCTCCAAAAAACAGTATAACTAATATCAATTGTTTTTGTACAGCTGTTCATTATTAAAATGTATGATAAAATAATTATTTTATAACTTTTTGTTTGTGCATGTTTTATTTAAGTGCACTCGTTAATTTTCAGCTAGTAAAAAACATAACATTCTAAAATTTTATAAACAAGTTATTTTATATGTAAGTGTTCCGTTTTAAAATTTGTCTCGAAATCAAAAAGCTATTTGTTTCCCACTTATCAATTTTTGTTTTCTTACAAATTCAAGATTTTCATGAGTTAACATGAAACAATTTTCGTTTGGGAACACATTATTTATAGTTAAAAATTAACATAAAGATAAAGGATGGGTTTAAGTTAATGTAAGCACCCATTCTTTCTAAAATTATACATGCAATCTTTATCCTTTAATTTATCATTTTAATTTTTATGTGATTTAGCTTGTTTATATAATATAATATAATATATATATATATATAACTATTTTTTCCAAAAAATATATATAACTATTCTTTAATATAATATAAAGATTGGAATCAAAATTTAACATTTACATATTATAAAATGCACTATTGATTAATTTAATTTTAAAATAATTTAGACATCTATAACTATATTATTCAAAAATTGATATTTATTAATATTTTAAGGATATAACAACTATTAAATAAAATAATACAATATATATATAACCGTTTGCTTCGGGCTCAAATATTTGCTGAATTCATATATTTGTGAAAATGCATGAGTGATATGTGTTTGTTTTGGATTTATTAAGTACACACAAATCCAAAAAATGTTACACTCATGAGAGATGATAATTTTATTTTTCTTGGCGCAAAGCATCCCACCGCCAAACCACAATATGATTAAGAAAAAAGGAAAGTGAGCAATACACTAATCGTTACTTCAAAACCTCACTTTGAGAAGTAAACTATGCTTAATTTTACGTAATGGCGATTACGAGGTTCAAAAGGCATGACAGCTTGCTATACTTTTCTTGGTTTATTTATTTATTTAAGCAATTTTTCATACGACCAACATAGTGCGATATGCTAAGCTGGTAAGATTGGTTTTTTAATTAAAGAACAAAAAAGTGAAGCCACGAGGGGATAATGAATGAACTGGTATTGGGATACGTATATTTGATTGTCGAATAAAAAAATGCTTATTTGTTAATTAAACGTGAAATGTAATTTACACCCGAAACCTGCGTTTTTGCGCGTTTCTTTTGTCATTTGGAAACTGCATCTACAGATCCTTTTATACCTAAAAAACACGTATGCCCTCTCTGCTGCAGTTCATTGTATTCCTCAAGGGTATTAAGTATTTTGGAATCACAACTTTTTTAATAAATATTTTTATTTATACCGAGACTTTTTTATTTAAAACTATAAATAAATTATCATTTTATTTTTAAATTTTCAGTTTAGTCATTCACAAACTTTATTGAGATGTAACCGTAATTTTATTTTATTTTAATAATTTAAATTAATAATCTTATTATTAATACTTCTCTGACTTTACCTGCTATATTGGTAGAAAAATTTTAATCTCCCATTTTATTTCTAAATTAAAAAATTGAGTGCATAATGTATAGTTTGTATATCCGGGCCGTATTAAGTGGTTTATTACAGTGTGTAAGCAACTTGGGCTCCAAAAAGAGAATCATAAGGCCCAGATCCATAACTGAAAAACCCTAGCATACCTTCGTTTTGTAGTTACGCCGTTAAATATGAGGATTTGAGAGCAGAAGCGTGCTCTTCCAAGACCCAGAGCTGCAATGGTACTTGTTGTATTTTCTATCTATGAACTTTGCGTATGTAAGTGTTTAGCATAGATTTGACAAAATTGCGTGCAATTGCATTTGATACGCAGGGGATCGATCTTAAAGCTGGGGGTAAGAGCAAGAAGACCAAAAGAACCGCACCCAAGTCCAATGATATCTACCTCAAGCTCCTTGTCAAGGTCCCTCTTTTTTCTCTGTATTTTCATTTTTCACGACGATGATGATAAATGTGATCCCAGCTCATTATGAAACCTTTCACCATGTCAAAGGTTTGGGAATATTATTTTTTCCACATTTATCTGAGCCCTCACCACTCCTTTCTTTCTCACATTGTGTTTTAATTATTTTTTTCACTCGTACTGTATATTGAGTTAAGGTTCCCAATGATGCTGTTCAGTTAACCATGCTAATACTGATATAACTAAAGATTATTCCTTTTATTATACTGAGGGAACTAGGTCTTTATTTATTGTTTTGTGTCTATTTTTAAGGACTTTAGGGATATTCAGAAATAATTGTTTCCTTGCTATGTTTTAATCTGTATTCAAATGAAATGTTTGTGTTCATATTAATTATTTATAATGTATGCGTTGGATGATTCTGATTAAATGTTATATGATCAGCTTTACCGCTTCCTTGTTCGAAGGACTGGCAGCAATTTCAATGCTGTAATACTAAAACGCTTGTTCATGAGCAAGGTTAACAAGCCTCCGATTTCTTTGTCAAGGTTAATTAAGTACGTGAAGGGGAAGGTGTGTCCCTCTATCTGTTTCTTTTTATGTGTATCAGTGCTGGAAGCTAATTCTCTTATTGTTTGATTAATATTATAGTTTTGTCTCATGTTCTCATATTTTCAATGTAGGAAGATAAAATTGCTGTTGTAGTGGGGACTGTAACTGATGATATCAGAGTGTATGAAGTTCCGGCATTAAAAATTACCGCACTTAGGTTTACAGAGACTGCACGAGCAAGAATAGAAAAGGCGGGTGGTGAATGCTTGACATTCGATCAGCTTGCCCTCAGGGCTCCTTTGGGGCAAAATACGGTATGGGTGGATAGCAATACTGGCCTCTAATTTGTGGAGTGATAGTAATCTTACTATTGCAGTTGTGTCAGTTAATCATCCCTTTTTCAAAGGAATCACAAGTTTACAATCATACTTGTGTAGCTGCTTGGTTTAAGTAGTGTTTTCTTGGAGACTGTAGATTCATGAATGGTTGTGAATGTTGAGTTTGATTGCTTAAAATAATTATTTTGTGGTTTGATGAGAAATGCATTGCAGGAACATTATTCCTATTAGAAATTTTAGTATTTTTCCGTTCTATTAGCTATTAGCTTAAAGATACTTGGTATATACTTATTAGATAGATATGACGGGCTGGATATGTTGAGGCGCTAAGTTTTTCGGAATTTCATTTATATGTTCTTGAATGCAGGTTCTTCTTAGAGGTCCCAAGAATGCTCGGGAAGCTGTGAAACACTTTGGTCCTGCTCCTGGTGTGCCGCACAGCCATACCAAGCCATATGTACGATCTAAAGGAAGAAAGTTCGAGAGGGCTAGAGGAAGGAGGAACAGCAAAGGATTTAGGGTTTGAGAAGATAACGTTGCTCTACTTTTTTAAAGTGTTGTCACTACTGAAATTTAACTTTTTGCTTTATCATAGGTGTTGATTACAGTATTTATGATATTTCTGTTCTGATAAATGATTTTGTGTGTATGGACATCGTTTTGGTTCTCGCCTTTGTTTTTCTTTTACGTGTATTAAAAGCTCGCATACGATCCCCCAATTTAAAGGCTATCCATTTTTCGTGACCTGTTGTGCATGCATCGAGTGACTTCTCTTTCTCTTGTAAGGGTTCTCCAAGCTTCTAAACATCGACTTTTTGTTTTGTTTTGTTAGAGAATGGTGTCTTGTTCTTTGTTTGCACGAAATTCTCTTCGTATACGATATGTCCAGGTTTTTTTAAAAATAATTTTTAAAACATTAGTTACTAAATTATAACTTTTTTAAAACTAATTTTCTGTTTAGGTTACCATTACTGTTGACGAAATATTAATTTTTTTATTTTAAAAATAGGTTTTATCAATATAAATGTAAAATTTATGAAATTTTGAAGTCTAAATTTAGTAAATTACTAATGATGATAATATCTTCTTTTTTTTTTTTGTTAAATTAACTCATCGTAAAGATGGCAAAACTTATTTCGATCCCTACTTGTAAATCACCTCACAATATTTATAAATGTCCATGTTTTGAGGCAATTGATTAATGCTATTTTCAGAGACTAAAATTTTAAATCTAAAAAATTAATTTAAATAAACATGGCAAAAATTTTCACGAGTAATATTTCCTTCTTTTATATATAGTTTAAAGACCTTACGGATTACGATAGGGCGGCATCCTACTTCAATTGAATAGATGGAACCCCGAACTTGGGATTCGATCACGTGCTTGTCTTTCCTTCTTCGGCTAGGGCCTAATCGGAGAAGTGCAATTATGTTGTGTTGGACCTGAATTCTACCGATTAATTGACACCGAACGAACGAATAATCAGACTTATCATGATCTTGGCCTAATCATGCCTCTCTGTCTTTTAAACTAACCCTAATGGAACAAGGAGATTTTTTACTCCTTTCAACTCTGAAGTGCCTATTTAATTTAAAATTGATTATGAACAGGTGAATATTTTTAAAATATGTTTAAATTATTTTTAGTCACCTATTTTTATTGAAAATGTGTATTTTGCAGCAAAAGTTACTTCTCCAATTATAAAATAAACAAGGTCTAAATCTTAATAATTTAACTAAATTATCCTTGCGAAACAACCATTTGTCTTTTCTGTATTATTTTGATAGAATATTTGATTGTGCTTAAACTCAAGGTAGGGAAGGCATCGCCGCTTAACAGGAAAGGCTTTGAAGATAGAGCTCCATTCTGGTTTACTGCAAAATTAACTTTCATCCATAACCAAAGTTTCAGGAAAATTGTGTTCCTTGTGCGTAAGTGCTGAGGTTCAATTTTGTCTGCTGTATTTTGTCCCTTTTTCATATTTTTTTATTTCCTATCTTCAGTTTCCTCGTATCGTTTGCGGTTAGTTGAAAAGATATTATATAAAAATTGCACGAGACACAATGTATATAATAAATATTATATTTTCGAATAATGTTATTTGAAAATTTTTAAATATTGATTTTGTATGTTTCATTTCATCAAATTCATTTATATATGTTTTATAGAAAATAAATTTCATAAAAAAAAAAGAGTGAGGAAATCATACGTTTCCCTAGATGTCAAACCCTGTGTATTTCAAACATTATTCACCGACACTGTTATTGAGTAGAATTTAATTTATACATTCGCGTGACACTTATTGAGTAGTTGAGACTACCGAAACGAAGAACATGACACTGTTATTGAAGACTACCGAAACAAAGAACATGGGTACAATGATTTACCCATAACTTAAAAGACAACATTCAGTGGATCAAATCAGAATTTGGTAATGAAATCATGAATGTGATTATTGATTTCCTCGGGAGTTTCTTGATTATTGAAGTGAGCTACTCCTTTCTGCACAATCACCTCTTTCAAATGGGGCACATCCTCCTTGAAACCTCCACCATGGACATACTCCTCCATGCCTAGCGAGGTGTACACCATGTCTAATTCTCCCGTAATGAATTTAACGGGTACCTTGATTCGCACTCCACTCCACGGTGCCATGAGCTCCCAATTTCTGCAAATAAATACAAATAGTTAATTAAATTTTAAATGCAATTCTTGTCACGTTGCACAGACATTTTCCCAAAAAATATACAGCAGTGCAAAAACAATGTTCTAAGCAACACAAAGAATAAAGAAATTACGGGTTAAAATTTCTGTAGTAGTTCAAGCCACCCGTAAAGCCGGTTTTTTCAAATTTGGAGACATAATAGTGAAGATCATCTTCTGTGAGCCATGAAGGCAATGTCTCAGGCATATCCGGATTGAATCCATATCCATACTCTCCTTTGGGAAAGATTGGAGGACCAGGCTTCCGAGTCGTGAGAATGTTTTTTAGCACATATTCAACACCAACTTCAGCCATCTCAGCTTCCGTTTTCCCCGGTTCCTGTCACAGGTTTTAATACTTAAATTAGAAAATTGGCCCTGATTTACTTTTAAAAAATCAATTATCCTATGAATTAAAATTTATTTAAGAGTCACTTCAGAATTTACATAAATTATTATTTTAAATAATTTTTAATATATAACCTAAAAATTATTTATATATCAAAATATGTATTATAAAAATACAAAATTTAAAAAACATCACTCACGATTTCAGTATAGAATATAAAAAAGTTATAAAATTTAAAAAATCATGGAGGATAATATTTTTTAAAAATATTTAAAAGTTAAATTTATTTATATATTAACTTTTAAAAACTAAAAAAATTAAAAACTTTTTTATATAAATAATATAATTTTTAAAACTATTTCTCAAAATAAGTTTAACTAAAAAATATTTATTTGTGTAGAGTTTTTTTTTTTCACATCAGCAGATATATCGAAATTTTATGCACGATAATTTTTTTATTATTTTTAAAATAATATCACACTTATGACACGTGTCAAGTTTTTTTTTTTTTTTTTGAGGATAGTGCTATCGCCAAAATTAAAATAGCAAAAAAATCTTTCAATTTAAAAAAAAAAAATGAAGAATGAACCTGAAATCTGCAAATATAGTAATCATCTCCATACATAGCACGCATGCCATCTACCGTCCTAATCTTAGGGTCTCTGCGGAGGAAGGGGACACTGAGGCAGACATAGGCCTTCACTCTCTCAGGCCGAAACATGCAGAGATACCAACCTATGAGGGCTCCCCAATCATGAGCCACAAGGTAGACTTGTTGGACACCCAAAGTGTCTATGAGTGCAACAATATCACCCACTATGTGAAAACCAGTGTAGCTGCTTATTGAAGGTGGCGCCTCCGTGTCACCGTAGCCGCGGAGATCTGGAGCCACCGCGTGATATCCGAGGGAACTGAGAGCCACAATCTGGTGCCGCCAAGAGTACCAAAGTTCGGGGAAGCCGTGGAGGAACAACACCACGGGACCTTCTCCTTTCTCTGCTATGTGCATTTTTATGCCATTCACTTCCACTGTTCTGTGCTCTATTCCCTCCATTTCTCTCTCTCTCTCTCGTGCAGAGTGATACCCTACGGCTTAGAAGCGGCTGAATGAATTATATAGACACCCTCTATCCTTCTCATTATCGATTGAAATATTTTTTTGACCACTCATGGACATTGAATGACGTTGCTATTTTATTTTATTTTTAACTTTTATGAAGTACACCGAGACTTTATTTTTTTTTCTAGAAAAATGAAATACATTTTTGAAATCAATATTATCTACCTCTTTTATAAAAGTATTATCTACCTTTATTTTAATTTTAATACTATTAATTATATATTTTTTAAAGCTCTGAAACACACGTATTTTACACGTGTCTAAGCTGTAAATAGAGTATATCGCGCGGCCTGCAGTTTTCGACGGCTCATTAACTTCGTGAGGTGGTCTAAAATGGACCATCATTGATTCCATTAATATGGATCATTATTTGTTTAATTTTTAACCTGTTTTGAGTTAGAGGTCGAACAGAGTTTTTAAAAAGTGAAAAAAACGCTGCTTCTGTTCAAACGGAGCACAGGAAACTGCAAAATGGAGATTAAGGGTTACACTGTATACCAATGATGCTATTTGATGTATAAATAATGAACTATTTTACGGTAGAATACGAGAGATTTGGATGAATGATACACATGCATGTGACAGCCTGTTTGGGGGTGTTAAATTGAAGAATACTAATTATAGTTTTTAAAAACTAAAATTATTTCAAAAAATATTGATTTTAAGATCTTTATTTTTAAAAAATAAAATTACAAAATATATATTAACAACTGTATTCAAAATAATGCGTGAGTATTTTTTATTAAATTTATTACTTTACAAAAGTTTAATCAACGAAAGGTTCAGACTTTGGTCAGGTACACAGCTTGGCATTACCCCCAACTAAGTATACATAACTACATGTCAGAGTAGGTTTGATTTAGGTAAGATATTCATTTTTAAATTTATGGATATGTATATATGCTGTTGGTGGATGTATATATGTGTACTTAATGAAAATATTTAAAATGATGGAAATAAAAAAAAGTTATAAGTAATTTGAAATGCATAATTATCTAATTTAATAATATTTTTATTATCATTTTGTATTTATTATCACGTTTCTCGCTTAGTATTCCCACCGTTTGAGATTTTATGGCTTAATTACTCGATAGAAACAAAATCCTCCCCGGCACGTTAATTAGAGAAGATGTAGTCGTTTTCTTGTTTGGTTTAGTTTATTTTTCTTTCTTTTTTTGTTAATTTATGATTTACAAACATCACAATAATTAGTTAAAGGGAAAATTAACATAACGTGATTCTGACTAGTGATATTATGTCATGTAGCTCGAAACTACAGGAAAATTTATTAGGTAGAAAAGGGCATATTTAGATTTTCTCTTTTTTAACTGCACGTGATGAGTAATTATATCTAATTTTCAATTAAAAATTATAGAATTTAATATAATAATATTATTATGTTATAAATTTTAATAAAAAGTATTATTTACTAATTTTTTTTGTATATAATATTGCTGACGTTAAAAAATTAGACAATTAAATATTCAACAAATAAGGAAATGAAAAGAGAGAGTAGGCAGCAAGGGGGTGCCAGGTCAACATAAGTGGCTGGGTGATCAATTACTATACCTTTTCAATTTTCAATTGAGTTGACGTACAGATTTATTATGACTAGGTTGTACAAGGAACATTGTAATCAAGAATATAATAAAAAAATTATGTATAATACATTTTTGTTAAAAATACAAAACATTAAAAAACTTATTGCATAAATAATATTAAATATTATAAAATTTAAAAGAATATTCTTTTTTTTTTTAACATTTTAATTAACAAATATTTAATAAAAACGTAAAGAAGAATAATTGCAGGAACCTTAGTTTTGTCCCTACAATTGATATTGCGCTGTGATTTCGTGACAATGCATGTAGACATGCTGTACTATGCTTTTTACGCAACTTTAAACTAAAATAAGTTTAATAATAATTGTGTATTTATAATACTTTATTTAAAATGTTATCACTCATCTTTAATACTAACTTTTATATTTATTGTGTATCAATTAATTCAATATTTTCTTAAAATATAATAAAAACTAATATAATGTTTGAATATTGTCCTTATATTTAAGATATGTTTGAAAACGTAATATATTAAAGCATCTATTCAATAAAATTAGAAGGATCAAGACGTAGATGAAGAATTTCTGGTGTGAAATAGAGTTGTAATTGATGATGGATTATCATTACAGATTGTATATGTGTGTGATTATTGATTTCGTCGGCAGCTTCTTCATTATTGAAGCGAGTTACAATATATTATTACCCACAACTAAAATTAAGAAAAAGGCACAAGACTTAGTGGATCAAATCAGATCTTGGTAATGAAATCGTAAATGTGATTATTGATTTCCTCGGGAGTTTCTTGATTATTGAAGTGAGCTACTCCTTTCTGCACAACCACTTCCTTCAGATTGATCACATCTTCATTGAAACCTCCCCCATGAATATACTCCTTTATGCCTGGTGAGGTGTATACCATGTCTAACTCTCCCGTAATGTATTTAACGGGTACTTTGATTTGCACTCCACTCCACGGTGCCGTGAGTTCCCAATTTCTGCAAATAAATACAAATAATCAATTAAATTTTTAACTTTGATATCCCTGTCATGTTGTGCAAATTATTTTCACAGCTAAAGGGAAACATTAATTTAGAGCAGTGGGAGAACAATATAAGGCAACACACAGGAGGAGCAAGAAATTACGGGTTAAAATTTCTGTAGTAGTTCAAGCCACCCGTGAAGCCGGTCTTTTCAAACTTGGAGACATAATAGTGAAGATCATCTTGTGTGAGCCATGAAGGCAATGTCTCAGGCATATCCGGATTGAATCCATATCCATACTCTCCTTTGGGAAAGATTGGAGGACCAGGCTTCCGAGTTGTGAGAATGTTTTTCAGCACATATTCAGTGCCAACTTCAGCCATCTCAGCTTCCATTTTCCCCGGCTCCTACAGTACGGTAAAAAAACAATCTTTGCCATCAAAACGTTAAAATTTGTAAAATTTCCTACAATTTAGCACTGGTATAGAAGAAGTAACCTGAAATCTGCATATGTAGTAGTCATCCCCATATGCTGCTCGCAAGCCATCTACCATCCTAAAGTTGGGGTTTTGGCGAACGAAGGGAGCACTGAGGCAGACATAGGCCTTCACTCTCTCAGGCCGAAACATGCAGAGATACCAACCTATGAGGGCTCCCCAATCATGAGCCACAAGGTAGACTTGTTGGACACCCAAAGTGTCTATGAGTGCAACAATATCACCCACTATGTGAAAACCAGTGTAGCTGCTTATTGAAGGTGGCGCCTCCGTGTCACCGTAGCCGCGGAGATCTGGAGCCACCGCGTGATATCCGAGGGAACTGAGAGCCACAATCTGGTGCCGCCAAGAGTACCAAAGTTCGGGGAAGCCGTGGAGGAACAACACCACGGGACCTTCTCCTTTCTCCGCTATGTGCATTTTTATGCCATTCACTTCCACTGTTCTGTGCTCTATTCCCTCCATTGCTCTATCTTTGCAGAGTGAAAGGCTACGGTTGCGACGCGGAGGAACCAAAGATGATTTAAAATATTATCTTTGAAGTATTGCAATAAATGGGATGAATTTAAACACGGAATAAAAAAAAATTATGAGCATTGTATTCATGTTTCGTATGGACAATTTTTTGAGAAAATGAATAACATTAAGTTTTATGTCAACTACAAAACTCTTATTTCCTTTGCAAATAAACAAATATTGTATTTGATGCATGTTTTGTAGATATTGATATGAAACAAATATTTTTTAAATTTTCTTAGTCCAGAGTATAAAAAAAATTGAGATACTAACTTTTTATACAATTTTAACTGAAGTAAACTTTTTTGTTTAAGCAAAAGTTGTTTTTTTATTTATTTTGATCAAGCAAATTTGGACAGGAGATACTAACTTTTTTTATCCAATTTTAACTTAAATTTATTAGCTTGAGTGAAAAAATTTTTTAAACAAAAAAAAATTCAATTAAAAAAATAGAGTAAAAGGTTATATTTGTGCAAAAATTATAGAATTCACGGATCCAATTATTATTTTGTACGATTTTTATCCATGTATATTTACTTAGTTTTTTTTTTTTAACTTTAAGACTGTTATAATAATACATGTATACAAAATAAAATAATTATATATGATATACAAAATGATAATTTTTAATGATTCAATTTTTATTTATAAGAGTCGTCACTCATCGGTCATCAGAGTTCTTCATCAACTACTTTGTTTTTGTCTTTCTTATAAAAGCATTTTAATAAACTCCACACATTAAAAAATATTATTAGATTTTTTTATAATAATTATATTATTTTAAATTTGTCTTTAGTTAAAGTTAAATTTTATATTATATTGATTGTTAATAAGTTAAAAAATTTAATGATAAAATATAAATATAAAAAATTATATAAATTTTTATATCAAAGACTAATAATTAAAAAAAAAAAATCGGAGGCAATATTTTCGTGCTCATAATTTTTGCAAAAAGACTTTTGTCCCGACCACAAGCGCTGATGATGTCTGGTAAGATAAAGATGCATGCATGTTGACATGTCGAGAGAGAGAGATAAAGATGCATGGGCCCAAGGCTCACAAACATCGTACACACAAAAAAACAAGTTATATAGTACACTTTTAAATTAGTTATCATGACCGAATAATATCGTATATTTTAATTTTTTAGATTTTAAATTTTTTATTAATTTTAAATATATAAAATGCAAATTATTTAAATATTTTTTACTCAAAATAATAATAATAATAATAATAGAAAAATTAAAATGAACATTTTTAAATATTAGAGATTTAAAAGTATAACTAAAATTTATATGATAAATTAGAATATCTTGAATATGATAAAAAAAAAGTTCAGATAAATTACGCACAACTTCAAATTGATTCAAAATCTAGATTTTACATTTTAGTAGGTTTAATCGGAGTTATACTTCAGTTCTACACTCAGGTCAACCTGGTAGTACCTGTGAAAATTACATCAAATTGTATAGTTTTTGGCGAGAACGCAATTAAGTGTTAATTGGTCTAAAAAAAAGTGCTAATTGGGCCTACCGTTCAATTCTTCTAGAGAGCCGTAGCACTTCAATCCAAATCCTAGTCCAACTATATAACTTTGGGCTACAGAAAGGGGTTAGAAAGAATTCGATTATTCTATGAAATTAATTGATTATTAAAAAAATATTATTCATATAAAGCTAATATATGTTTGTTATATACTCATTGGTTAAACTAAACAAATTACTCATTTAAAAGGGTGAAAATGTCTTTCTACATATGATACCATCCATTCAAACAAATGAAAAATAATTTTTCTACTTGTTTCATTTTTATTTTTGTTCATTCATAATATTTTCCCCTCGTCCAAATATAGCCTACGGTCCACGATGCAAACTCAAACACTGAAATGTAAAAACAATACCAAAATGGCACAGTCATGAGTACAAATAAAGCTTAAACCATGGAGCCTGCAAAAGTAACATGACTCTGTCTTAAGCAACACAGAAGGTAAGCAAATGATATGACTAGGAGTGAGCATGGCGACAATGTTAGGAGTTGATTGGATCAAAACTTCTTTATAAATTGAAAAATGTGACTGCTGATTTCTTCTGCAGCTTCTTGGTTGTTGAAGTGAGCTACCCCTTCTTGCAAAACCACTTCCTCCAAATTTGGCACATTATTCTTGAAAGCACCGCTCTCAATATAGTCTTTCATCCCGAATGAAGTATACACTACATCCAAATCCCCTGTAATGAACTTCACCGGCACTTTTACTTGTGCTCCAGTCCAAGGTGCTGTGAGCTCCCAATTTCTGCAAAATGCACAAGATTAGAGTTTGAGCTATATAACCAGTAAAAACTATAGATACTAAGTCAAGAATAATGGTGAATAAGTCATCAAATCATTCCCTTAAATTACAGTCACTGACGTTAAGATCAATAAATTTGCTCCCTTGTTTTATTAATTATCATTTAATTTAGCCTTAACTTTGAGGCACAACATTTAATTTTGTTCATGTAAATTGACAAATGCAATAATGTTACGGACTAAATTGATTAGCTATGTCAATTTAACTGATTGTCATCAAAGTCTAGAGAGGGACAAATATATCTTGCCGATGGGAGCATTCTATGTGCAAGAAAAAAAAGAACACATAGGAACTTACAAGTTGAGATTTCTATAATAATTGAGGCCTCCAGTGAAGCCTGTCTTTTCAAATTTAGAAGCATAATATTTGAGGTCTTCTTGTGAGAGCCACGAGGGAAGGGGCCCTGTAGTATTGGAATTGAAACCAAGTCCTTCTTTCGGCAGAATTGGGGGTCCAGTTCTACGACTTGTCAGCATGTTCTTGATTAACTGTTCTATGCCATTATTGCTAAACTCAGCTTCTGCCTTTCCTGGCTCCTGTCACATGGATTAACTACAAAATATCAGATCCAGGAAATACGAATGGCTAACCCCATTTCTTTGGTCCTTGAATTTCAACTTTCATGTTATATGCGTCCATCAACGGTATTGAACCACCTCTCACCTCTGTAAATTTCTTTTACTAAACACAATATAGATCCAGTAGCATAAGAATGATATTTTTTTTCTCATTAAAATTTAAAATTTCATCTTGGTAATAAGTGTTTAATTTGGTGAACACATGTAAACTTGAGTTTACATAAATTTGATTTTGTTTAAAAGTAAATTTAAAATAATGTGATTTATGTTTAAAAACTTTTCCTTTACGATAAAATATCCTACTTTGGTTAAGAATAGAGTCAGCATGCTTCAAAGGCAAAAGATCTAAACATCAAATTTTCTATTTAATAAAACATGTACTAAAATAGGCTATTAGCTAGATAAAATGTCCATTATTACACTAATCACATCTATGACATGGTTGTATACTTTATCCTATGATTCAACCCATCCTAAATGGATTTTTCCCCCTCTGTATATATCCTTTTCTTTTTGCGGTGTATATATCAAATAAATGGGGGGAAAGATCCGCATTGAAACGATTACAGGCAAATAAGGAAGATGGGATATCGCAACATCATATTTGGAAACATTGCAAAACAAACGCAAACCGGATGTTGAAGCTGCAAGCGAGTATAATCGCGTTAAGACTTCGCAATAATTTCAAACAAAATAGAATGAATTCTGGATGTATAATATTGTCCAACACTATCGTAACTTATCATTTGTCTAATTAATAAGGTGGAATTGAAGCAACACCCAAAAGAGGAATACGGGTAAAAAAAGCAAATACCCAAAATAGTTCAGTTAAGGTTTTTAAATTGCGGCTCTAATGATTGGATTGCAGTAGCTATTACAATTTGCAACAGCTTTGAGATGGCATTGGAAGAGCTTCTACAAACTGATAACAGAAAAAAGCAAATAGAGTTAAGTATGTTGTGAATAAAAGAGGAAGAACCTGGAATCTGCAGATGTAGTAGTCATCTCCATATGAGGCTCGCATGGCATCAACTGGCTTCACCTTTGGGTTTCTGGGCAAGAAAGGAATACTGAGGCAGACATAGGCCTTGATTTTCTCGGGGCGAAACAAACACAGATACCAACCTATTATGGCACCCCAATCGTGGGCCACGAGGAAGACTTGATCCACACCAAGTGAGTGAATGAGAGCAACGATGTCACCCACAAGGTGAAAGCATGTGTAACTATTCACTGAAGTGGGAGCATCGGTGTCTCCGTAGCCACGCAAATCAGGAGCCACAGCACGGTAACCAAGCGAGCTAAGAGCCAGAATCTGGTGTCGCCAAGAGTACCAGAGCTCGGGGAAGCCGTGGAGGAACAACACCACCGGACCTTCTCCTTTCTCCGCCACATGCATTTTGATGCCATTCACTTCCACTGTTCTGTGCTCTATGCCTTCCATCTCTATGGTGCTGTGGATAATTTCACTCAAAGGGTTTGTTTCATTCACTATTTGGAGATATGGAACTGTGTGACGGTAAATGCACAGCGAAAGCACCGAAGCAACAGCCAATCCTATTTCCCTTTACTATTGCCCACTGGCTAATACTATGATATTAATGAAATTAGTAATTGGTTGAAATCATGGTGATTCGGAAGTATAGACAGTGTTAATATATATATATATATAATATTAAAAATTCTTCTTACTTTAAAAATTCTTATATTTAATTTAAGTTTTTTATTTATCTGAAAAATAATAAATTATAATTTAATATAAGTTACATGAATGAATAGATAGAATATAAAAAATTTTAAACTTATTTTATTATAAAAAAAAATTCTGTTTCATATATATATATATATATATATATTTCAATTAAAATTTAATTAAAAATTAGTTTTTTTATCAATTATTAGTGGTTTGGATATTAAAAAATAGTATTTGTTTTTAAATTTTTTTTATAAGATACCATTTAAAATGTTTAGTGATCCTTGTTAACGTGAAAGTAAAATTAATAGTACTTAATAAATAAATGAAGTGGGTGGAAGTTGTAAATTAAAATTAATAAAAAAACATTTTTAAAGCTAAAATGTTCACTACGAAATTAAATTTAACAATATTATAATAAAGGTCAATTTTATAGGAAGAAGCATTAAAAAAACAATTAATGACGATCTGAGATGTCATGTCGGACAATCACAAATACCTAACTCATGTTCGAATCATTGACAAATTTCCCCCTCCGCCACCACAAAAGTGTTCAGAGAATTCCCAATTTCACTACTTGGTCTGTGACTGACTATAATGAATATGAACAGCTAACTCGAAAAAACAAAACAAAGAAATTATTTGGTTTCGTGAGATCAAGGATTATAGCATACTCTGCAAACTAACAACATTCAAAAGATAATGTTTCCATAATGGCATAATCATAAGCAAAAGTAAAACTTGAAGCAACAAGCCTGCAAACGCAACTTCAGAACACCCAACTACCACAGATGAACGATAACCAAATTATTTAACCACACTCGGAGTAAGCAGCGCAACAACATTTAACTAACAGTTTAAAGTATCAGAACTTTTTGATGAAATCATAAATGTGGTTGCTGACTTCCTCAGCAGCTTCTTGGTTGTTGAAGTGAGCAACTCCTTCTTGCACAACCACTTCCTCCAAATTTGGCACATCTTTCTTGAATGCACCACTTGCTATATAGTCCTTCATCCCTAGTGAAGTGTAAACTACATCCAAATCACCAGTAATGAACTTCACCGGTACTTTGACTTGTGTTCCAGTCCACGGTGCCGTGAGCTCCCAATTTCTGTAAATATAATTCACAAAAGAATAGAATAATAAGCTCTAAACTATTAAAACTTACATAATAATAATAAAAATCATTTACTACGTGGAAAGTCTAATTAATGTCACTTGTCATTGATGGACAAAGTATGCTGCAATTTGAAAAAACAAATGGGAACATACAAGTTGAGATTTCTATAGTAGTTGAGGCCTCCAGTGAAGCCTGTCTTATCAAATTTAGAAGCATAATATGTGACATCTTCTTGTGAGAGCCAAGAGGGAAAGGGCATCGCAGGGTCGGGTATGTATCCCAATCCCATCCCTTCTTTAGGCAAGATAGGTGGCCCTGGTGTGCGATTTATGAGCACGTTCTTTATTACTCGTTCACTGCTATTTTTAGCAAACTCAGCTTCCGCTTCTCCTGCTTCCTGTTACATCAGTACGACACTTGGTATCAGATCTTCAATTATCGTATCAATCAACTTCTCATAATCTCAGTTATGGTATGTTTCTAGCAAACCTTATTAGCAATATTAATATTTGTTTTAAATACTTTTTTTCTTTCCATTCCATTATATTCTCGATAAATTTTAGTCAATCATTTGATATGAGGAAAGTGGAGAGCAACAAGGTTATTTCATTCCAAATTAAGAAAGAAAGAAGTGTAAAAAAAGTATGAGAGTAAATATTCATTTTAATATTCAAAATTGTAAATATTAATCAATTTAATCCTTAATTTTATAAAAAAATTATTTAGTATTCATTGTTTTCAAAATAACACTGTTAATATTTTTTACTTATTTTTTTATTGTCATTTTATATAAAAAAAAATGACTAAAATAAATGTTTTATAAAGTTAAATATTAAAGTAAAATTTTGATAAAGTTAAAACCTAGAATATCTATCCTTATAATTTAATAGGCTAAAACGAGTATTTGCTGAAATATTAAAGAGTTCCTTTTTTATGTATGATTATTTTTAAATTTAAAAAATATGAAATTTCGGTAAATTTACGAAAATATAATTTTAAAAAAAATCTAGATTAAAAACTTTTCATTATTTTTTTTTTTACTTTTTCATATTTAATTATTATTTTAAAAATTGCCAACTTATAATTTTTTAAAAATTTTAATATATTTTTTAAAAAAATCGCCGACTTTGGACGCTTTATGACTTTTTTTGTTCTTTATCTCTGCATTATTTCTGTACCTACATAAAAAATCGCTATTAAAGATTTTTAAACCTAATAATTTTGTAATTTTTTTAAAAATGCTATATTTTTATATATATAATTTAGAAAAACCATATATAAAAATATAATCCATATTAAGGTAAATTTGTTGTCCATTGTATTTTTAGGAAAATTAAGGAGGATTCGAAATAAACAGCTTGGAAACAAGAACCTGGAATCTGCAGATATAGTAGTCATCTCCATATAAGGCTCTCATGGCGTCAACGGGCTTCACTTTTGGGTTTCTTGGCCAGAAAGGGACGCTGAGGCAAACATAGGCTTTGATTATGTCGGGGCGAAACAAACAGAGGTACCAACCAATGATGGCACCCCAATCATGGGCGACGAGAAAGACATGATCCACACCAAGTGAATCGATGAGAGCAACGATATCACCCACGATATGAAAGCATGTGTAACTGCTCACCGAAGCAGGGGCATCGGTATCTCCGTAGCCACGTAGATCAGGAGCAACGGCACGGTACCCTAGGGAGCTGAGAGCCAGAATCTGGTGTCGCCAAGAGTACCAGAGCTCGGGGAAGCCGTGGAGGAACAACACCACTGGACCTTCTCCCTTCTCCGCAACATGCATTTTGATGCCATTCACTTCCACTGTTCTGTGCTCTATGCCTTCCATCTCTACGGTGCAGTGAATGCGATACCTTAAAATAGATGGGGGTTGGAGATGTAGAACGGTGTGGGAACCGCACTTTTTTTGTTTTTTATAATACGAGTAATATGTGGACATTGGAATTACAGGAGTAAATGCATAACATTAGTACTTGAATACAATTCCTAGGTGAGTGGTTGAATACAATTCCTAGGTGAGTGGTTGAACGCTGTTCCAATGTACCTGAAATAATATGTTTAATGATTTATTTAAAAAAACTATAAATATTATTTAATTTATAAAATAACGGCCAGCTCCTAAAGGGACAAATCACCGTTATTCTCATTTGATATGGAACCTTCACCACTATCCAAAGCTCCATAATCATCGACTTCATAAACTCTTTTCACCCAACGTGCCACTTCCCTCGGTTTCCATGCAGTGGAAAACCACTAAAAAAAGATACAAGGGAGGATCCTCTGTGCTCATCGTAAGGAAGCAGTTATTGCACATGCCTTGGCCTATTAATAGAAAAGTGTTCTTCTATGGAAGCTAATCCAAAAGTTAGAAGTGTTGATTCACTGAACAGTTACACGCCTCAACTTACTCGTTTAACCTGGTACTTTTCTTAATTGAGACCTACATAACCCAACAATGTCTTCTGAACAAAAAAAGGTTCAATTTATTAGTGTGATTGGTTTGCTTTAGATTTAAGTTTTTGAAGCCAAAATCGACCACGCTTAACCCTAATTGCATGAAACAACATTTTAATGTCTATTTAATTTGTAGCATTTAAAACATATAAACAAATTTATTTATATTACTTAAAGTAGTTTCAAAATACTGGTTCTTGGACACATTGTTACCTCATTTTGTTTAATAATATTTGTATACCTAATGTAATTATAATTGATATTATGTAGTAGAAATTATTTTTTGATATTTTAAAAAATATTAATTATTTCATTTATTTAGAGTTAAAAACTAATTGACTAAAATTTTTATATTTTATTATTTTTATATTTTTGGTTATTAAATGAGAAATTAGTAAAATGATGTGATAAATTAGAGTTGTATGTGACTCTTTAAATACATGAAATAATATTTGATGTTTATTTAATCTATGATTCTAAAAATTTGCGTTTCATATTCTTGAGTATATAAAATAAAAGAAATAATACTTAATGTATCCTTATCTCATTTTTTTAATCATATTTTATAGTATTTAATATGATATAGGTGATATTTATTTATTTTTAGTAATTTATAACATTTAATAAATATAAACAAGAGTAAAGCTAGTAATACATTCTTTAACACATTCTTTATTGTTAATGAAAATGTATTAAAAACTATAAAATTATTTGTATCTCATTTTTTTCACTCCTAAATCAATATTTTTCTCTCATATTTTTAAATTTTTAATATATTTTAGATAATAATAAAAAGTATATTAGAGAGAAAAAATATATAAATTTTACTCAAGTTGACTTAATATTGCGATGGTCTATGTGTCATAACTTCTTTTTTCTAAATTATATATATTTTTTATATTTCATATAAGTATATACATTTAATATCATATAATTTACATTTTTTTAATATTTTGAAACATTATGAATTGCTTTATATATCTGATGTTGAACATTAATTTACTAAAAAAATTCGTGTTATATCTTTTTACAACCGTGGTCTTCAGACTGTATAAGATAATATCTAATGTTTACTTACTTTGTATTTTTAATTATTTTTATATTTAATTTTATATAGATATTGTTATTTTTATAAATTAAAATAATTTTAATTATTTCATTTATTTAGTTTTAAAAACTAAGTTAGTACATTTTTTTTATGTTTTATTTTTTCATAATTGTGATTATTAAATGAGATATTGGTAGAATAATGTTACAAGAGTTAAATGTGAATCTTCAACTACATGAGATAATGTTTCATATTCATTTAACTAACGATTCAAAACAGTTTTTTTTTATCTTCACAATGATCTTTGAACTCATGTCCTTGTATTATATTTTATTTTTATTTAATAATATATAGAATACAGTCTTGTTTTATATTTAAATTTAAAATATTTTAAATGGTTTATGTGCATACTAAAGATGACACTATTTTTATGATGATTAAGTTAAATTTAGAGAAGGCTTATGATAGACTTAGATGGAACTTTATTAAAAATACTATTCAACAAATAGGTTTTGATTTTAATCTTATTAATCTAATTTTTCAATGCATTTCCTCTCCCTCCATGTCTATTATTTGGAATAATGACATTATTGATAAGTTTTACCCAAATAGGAGAATTAGGCAGGGTGACTCTATCTCCCTTTATCTTTTTGTTATTTGTTTAGAAAGACTAATCCATTTAATTCAAGATAAAGTATTCTCTGGAGACTGGACCCCTTTTTCTTTCAATAATGGTCTCAAAATTTCTCACTTATTTTTTGCTGATGATATTATCTTAATTGCTAAAGCTAATATGGTTAATACTGGTATGATTAGCTCTGCTCTATCTGAATTATGCTCTGCCTTTGGGCTATCCATTAATAAAAATAAATCTTCTATTTTCTTTTCTAGCAACTATGATTCTATTTTATGTGCTAATATTAGTCTAAAATTAGGAATTGGTCGTTCTATACATTTTGGACAGTATCTGGGAATTCCAATTAGCCATCTAAAACTAAAAAAATAGGATTTTGCTTTCTTAATTGACAAGATTAGGAAAAAACTCTCTTTCTGGAAAATGAATTCTTTATCCATGGTTGGCCGAATAACCCTTGCTCAATCTTCAATTATGAGTATACCTGCCTATTTTACGCAATCTATGATCCTTTCTAGGTCTGTATGTATGAAAATAGATAATATCTGTAAAAAGTTTATTTGGGGATCATTAGTTGGTAGGAAGTGTCATCTAGTTAGTTTGAAAGAAATATGTAAACCCAAAAAAGATGGAGGCTTGGGGTTTAGAGAAACTCATCTTGTTAACTAAGCTTATATCATGAAATTATGTTGGCGACTTCTCTCATCCCCCAATGACTTTTGGGCCCAAGTTATTTGTAATAAGTATAAGTTCTCCATTTGTAAAAACCCTTGTCTTTTTAATGTTTAAAACTGCTCTCACTTATGGAGAAATATTATTTCTATTTGGCAGCCTTTTTATTCAGGTCTTGGATGGATTTTGGGTGATGGTTTGACTACTAGATTTTGGGATGATGATTGGATTCTCTCTAATGGAATTCTTTTTGCTATTCACCCTATTCCTGAATCTGATTTATTAGAACCTGTGGCAATGTTTTCTCAAAATGATTTTTTAAACTGGACTAGGCTTAAAACCTTACTCCCTGATCATATATGTGCTTTAATCACTCACATTAACCTCCTACTTTTGATAAAGGACAAGATTTGTTTTTCTAGAAACTAATTAGTAATGATATTTTTACTTTAAAATATGCTTTTAATTTTATTTCTTGTCAGAATCTAACTCAAAATTTGCCTAGCAACACTTTTAATCTGGTTTGGAATTGGGCAAGTTCCCCTAAAATAAATGTGTTTCTTTGAAAATTAGCTTATGGTAGGCTTTTAACAAATGTTGAATGACTTAAGCGTCACATGACTAACTCAGCTTTATGCTCCAGGTGCAATTATGCTAATGAAATTGTTATCCATATTCTCCGTGATTGTTGGATTGCTAAGGGGATTTGGGACCAACTTATTGTTCCTGAAAACTAGGTTTTATTTTATAGTTCTGGAATGTCTAATTGCCTGAATTTTAATTTGACCCAATCTAATTTTTCCTCATTCCCTCACTGGACCTTATTATTTGGAATAGTGGTTTGGAACTTGTGGTGTAATAGAAATAATGAGATATTCCAGAATTCTTCTCTAACCTTTCAGTCTCTTATTTCTAAAATACATTATGATTTTTCCTACCTCAGTTTTTGTTGCAGGACAAATAAGAAGATGAAGTTAGGCTAGATGGGGTCCGAAAGGCTCACTAGATGGCAACCTTTCAGGAGTTTTTAGCTAAAGCTTAATGTTGATGGGGGCGTTTTTCAAGCGGATGAGATGGCTAGTTGCGGCGATCTTATTAGGGACAGCCATGGAAGTCTGATTGCGGGTTTTCATAAAGCTCTTGATCTTTGTTCCCCCTTAGCTGCAGAACTTTAGGGGATCTACTGGGGTCTTCGTCTTGTTATCTCCAAAAACATCAGTCTAATTTGGATAGAATGTGACTCGAAGGAAGCTCTCTTCTTAGTTATGAACCATTGTCGATGTGATTACCCTATTTTTTACATAATTAGCGAGATTAGAAATTTGTTAAAAAAGATTAGCTTTATCAGATTTAGTCATATCTTAAGAGAAGCCAATCAATGTGCAGATTGATTTGTTAAGCTGAGTGTTAAAGATGGGTTACATTTTTTCAGTTTTGATGAAGCTCCCCCTTCTTTAGTTTCCTTTTTGAGGATGGATTCCCTAGGTGTTTGGTCTCCTAGATTTTTAATCTAGGTTGTTTGTTGTTGGGCTTTTAAGCCCCGTTAAATAGTAAAAAAAAAGAAAAAGATGACACTACTTTTGGTAAGATATATAATATCTTAGTACCAAAGTCATACCAGAAATCAAGACAAGGATGTTTGTAAGTGAAACATGACACAGTAAGCTAATCAAGACAACATTCAATTAGTTGTTATGATTTTTTTGGATGCATATGTGGTGACTTGTAACTTATTTTCTCTCTTTGTATTGATTATTTTATTTTCAGTCGTGTTCCTTAATGTACTTGTTCATTTTCATTTTTTTAATACATGAAAAGGTCAAACTTCATTTAGGAAGGTTTTTATCTTAAAACTCAACATCTTAGGACAAAGTTTGTATCGTTAGTCATTTTGAATTGGACAGAAATATTGTTCTTGTCTATACACTTTTATATGAATTTTTTGATATTTTAGTCTCTATTTCTTAGAACATTTTTTCTATATTACAATTGTTAGAAATCACTGCTGCAAGCTACTGTCTACGTTCTCCATTGTCAATAATGGTAGTTTTAAATGCTTCGATACTTATTTTTTTACCACATTTGAAACCAAAATTTCTTACTCTTAAAACAATGTTTGTGTACAGTGTCCACATTGCTAGCGAGTAAATTCTAACACACTCATCACACCAAAGCCTTAAACTTTTTCTCAAAAGAGGTTTTTAGGATGTTTCAAGGTTCACTACATAGAAAAATTATGTGAGATTAACATTAAGTTTCCACCTTGAATTTCAATAAAGCTTTTTGAGGCAAAAAAAGTTTTTTGAATTTTTTAGGAAAAACAAGTTTTTTGAACTTCACAAGAAGGATACGCATGCTTGGATTAAAGGGAATAAGCTATTAAAATAAGTTGAGAGTGTGAGAACTAAGAATATGACTACATTGAAGGCTGAGAATCTTTTTTATTCCTGTTAAGATTCAATTTTGTTATGAATCTGAATCGAAGGAGTAAAAAATTACTTCCATGTAAATTGACACTAAGTTCTTGTTATAAGATATCTATAATGAGAAAAGAGAAAGAAAAGATTATAATATCACAATTCATGATAAAGCTTTAGGAGTTTAAGACAATAGACAAGCAAGAACCTCAAATAGTGGCAACAATAGTAGTGTTAGAAGAATGAAAAAAAATTGTAAGTAGATAAAAGATTTTAAAAAACATGAATTAAAATGTTTGACGAATAATAATCTCAAAAATTAAATGTCTAAAAAAAATATATACCCTATATAATGTTATTTTTGTTACACACTCAATCATATGAATCACTTAACAGTATTTTATTATTGTATATTAACAATGTGTGACTTAAAAGATGATAGATGAAGATAAAAACTAAGACTAATATAACATTTTTAAAATTTTAAAGACTAAAATGTCTTAACACTTTCTATTTCATGGACTAAAACAAAAATTTAGTCTTTTCTTATATCTTATTACTTCCTTTGTATCCCATACAAACAAAGTAACATACTTAAACTATTTAAGATGCGGGGGCATACCATTCAAAGTCACCTTTCGACCCTCGTTTCTCCATTATTTGTCAATCAGTTGTTATTGCTTCTTTTGTCCACACATTTCAGGGTGATTTTAGCATCACGATGATGGTTAAAAGTAGTGTATCATAGATCACCTTGAGTTGACCGGCTACAGGAGAATAGGACCAGTTATAACTATTTAATGTTGTCTATAAGAATTAAATATTTTTTGTATAGTCCTTTGTATTGTAATTAAATCTTTGTTATATAGTCTGTAAGAATTTCAATTCACGGATGAAAACCTTCTTTAAGTTGTATCTGGGACCTAGCCAACCTCATCAAAACCTCATTGCAATAACGCCTTGATCATAATGATTCACAAGATTGGTTTTTACCTGTTAAGTTGCACTCTATCTGCCAATAATGTTTCAATAGCAACTGTACTAATAATGATTCACAAGATTTGTTTCTTGTTTTCAGTCATCAGTTAATATAAACAACAACAAAAAATTCTAATAAGCATCAAAGGTGCGCCCAAATAAACAACACAAGAAAAATAAAAACGGTTATTTTAATGCATGCCAAAGTATACACAATAAAAACTCAAGTATAGCAAGTTTTTATTAAAAATTACAAAATCTAATGTACTGATATTATTAAATGTTGTAATATCCAATAAAAACTTTATACTTATTGATTTCTTATTGTGTGTCTAAGGACATACATTAAAAAAAACAAAAATAAAAAATAAAAAAAATCTTGACACCTTACACAATGATTGCCTAATCTCAAAATACCATGTATGGAATCTGCTAGGTCAAAAACCCCTCATCCTACAAAAGCTCGTAGCAAATTCCATTAAAGAGAAACCCACTGATCGGGAACCCCACATGTTGAACAGCTCAATCTTAGTCTTTCAATGGTAAGCACAATATTAAGGTCCCCTTCCCCCCCCACGGAAATGTTATACTGCCTGGTTCTTATAAATGGAAAAATAATTTATGCACCCAAGTAAATTCGGTCTTTTGCTGATTTTGTTGTACCCCATCCAGCAAATCCATACCTCCTCAATGCTAATCAAAACTAGCATTTAAAAAGTTCAACAGTTCATTTCTCTTGCTTTCAGCCACCTTATCTTCCTTTGTTTTATCAAGTTTCAGAAGAATCTACAAAGAAACAAAAAAAAAAAAAAAGAATTCAAGATGGCTAATGCTAATAAATAGATCGAAAAAAGGTACAGTCAAATAATACATTCATACCTTCTTGCCAGAGACAGCACTGCGGCGTACACCATCCTCTTTGTCACGCCCTAAAAACTGATCAAGAACAAAAAGTTAGGAAAATAAAAAACCATGGAAGCAAGTAAATGCATTGAATTTCTGAACTAGATTACAATAAAAACCTTGGAAAGCTGCACAGGGCTGCCGGTCCTCTCATCATGCTGCTTCTATATAAAGCTCCCATTGCCAGGACAAAGCCCACCAAGAAACAACATCCAAGCAAGTCAATCAAGCGCCCAAACATGTCACAGATCCCAGCTCCAATTTCAAAGAGCCAATACATAAAATAGACAGAAAGTATCATAAGCATCTCAGACTGGAATGTACAAAACATCAAGTCCATGGATAAAAGTCAGCAAGTTTGCAGGGAAATTAACAATTTTCTGTTTTATGCTATGCATTAGTAGTTCAGGACCAGTTATATTTTCATGCTGGAGAAGATGATAGAATCATACAAACATATGTGCGAGTCTAAGTTGATGAATCTTGAATTTGGATAATAATCAACAAAGCAAAACCTCCAGTAATTAGAATTAAGCATGTTGATTCAAGTCTATGAACAAGCTAATGATCTAAATGAAATGAGGACTTGCACAGAGTAGACATTTAAAGGTCACTACTTGATTTAGAAACTTCAAATATGAAGAATGACAAACTATTTTGAACAAGCCTATGGAAGACAGTAAACATGGTAAGAAAAGCGACCTACCTCTTTTACTTTATGCTTCTGCCGCTTCTGGCGGTGGCTTTTACTCCGATCCTTTTCCTTATTCTGGAGGATAAACGGGAGAGGTGAGACCAATGGATAATATTATAAACTAAGAAAAATTGTATTCACAAACAAATCACCTTCTTTGGTTTGTCGCTCTTTTTGTGCCTCTTTGAACGGTGAGATGTTTCATGCTCACTATCGGAAGAACTCTCACTTCTGAAATAATGTAACGAACAAAGTGTTTTGATAAAGCCAGATTAATCCACTCATTAAATTATTAGCACGTAATGCTACAAGTTTTTAATATCAATAGCATACATCGACGTGCAGGGAAGGATATGGAATATCAATTCTGTGAAGTAAGCATACCCTAAGACAGAGAGGAAATTCGAATAAACATAACATTGCAACAATTAAGATGCAAAATCCAAGGATCCTTAAGTATATGTGAAGTGAAAACTATCGAGATGAATTGTAGGTTTCATAAATAGTATTGTATTTGCCATTAAACAAAAGCATGTACATACTACGAAATCAGATAATTAAAGGAAACGAATATTTTATCTGTTATATGAGGGTAGTTTATGGAACCTGGAGTAATCAGAGACTGAGGATGAAGAATAGGAATCGGAATAGGAATCAGAATGGGAAGAGTGACGGTGATGCCTACGGCGTCGTTTTCCGCGGAATTGGGATTTCGTCTTCTTTCGGATCTTGAGAGAGTCCTTTTCACGGTCTCGGCGATTGCGGTGGTGACGCCTGCGACGGTGAGAAGAAGAGTCGTCTGAGGAAGAGAGAGATGAAGAAGAGGCCGCCATCCCAAACACGAGGGTTTGCCACAGATTGGGGGAATTGGCTACCGACTCGCGTCAATCTTCTATTTCTCTCTCTTTCTTCTGGATTAGTGCCCTCAATCATATTTTGTTTGCTAATTTTGTAACCATTTTTTGAATATAATTATTTCTCTTGTAAATTAATTATAAATGACAATATAATATTTTATCTTAAATATATACTTGTAAATGTAAATTTTCTTATTTTTACCATTTAAAATTAATTAATTAATTTTGATCATCACAAATTTTAAAAATTTTAAAATAATTATTATCACAATTTAAGAGTAACATTTCATGCATTAAAACATATATTAATAATTATTGAGTTAAATATATAGTCTATTAACATATATTACATTTTAATTTTAATTTTTATAAATTTATTTTCTATTTCAATAATTATATTTGAAAGGTATTGTTATTTATTACAAAATACATAATTAACTTATATGTTATTACATGTGTCAAATGTCAGTTTTTTTTTATAGATTTGTATCAATGAATAAAATTAAAACTAATATTTTTTAAAAATATAAAAAGCATAACAAATTTTTTTGTAGACATTATAATTAAAATGTAATATATTTTTTAAAATTATTTGACTTAAAATTATTTTAAGGTGACATATAAGATAATATAACTAAATGTATGTTGTATTCCTATTAAGCACCAACAGAGATTTTTAAAAAAATAATAATAAAATAAATGACAAAAAAAACCAAAGGAAACAAAATTTATTATAATATGTTTAATGAATACTTTAGAACCCAACAAATTAGTTGGAAAGTGATGACACATTAATAGAATTGGATAAAAAATCTAATTACGAATATTTGATCCATAACTAAAGTTAAATTAATTTTTAAATTATTATTATTAAACTAATTTTTTAGACTAGTATATGTTTTCGATTGTTCCAATTTTCAGAATTGGATTTCCTTCGTCTAAAACTGTTTCGGTGTTAAGAGGCAAAGCTAACAAAATAAACAAATTTAAACAATAAAAAAAGAAGAAGAGGAAAGTGACAAGTAAACATTTTTTTGGGCTTTTAAGTTTCGATGTAAATAAAAAAACAAAATTCATAATTAAGAATGGCAATATAGAGAATAATAACTTCAACTAAAAATAAGATTTAAATGTAATTAATTTTAAAACTAATTTAAAAAAAATATAATGGATTAGTTTTGAAATTTAATGTATATAAATCAGTAGCCAAACAGTGGCGAAAGAGTGGGAAGAGGTTGTTGGTCCCTTAATTTTTTTTATTAGTTGTATTTTTATATAAAAATATTTTAAAACACCATTAATATTAATTATAACACTTTAGAGGAATAATATATACTATATAAAGAATTTATAAAATTATATATATTTAATATGAGTTTTAGTAAAATCATTTTAATCAACACTAATAACTCTACTACAAATTTGGGTTAAGTTCCGCCCCTAAAACTAGCTGACATGTTGGATGGAATAAAAAGGTATAACTCGATTAAACCATGAGTGTTAAGGATATTTTTTTTTAAATGTTTACAACGAGATTCTGAATACTTTAAATCCATAATCATCACAAAAGTCATAAATTTCTTCCAAATCATTAACCATTTGTGCAACGTATATAAGTTATTAATATGCGCAAATCACCTTCACATTAAGACCAAATTTCATGCTTTCTAAATAACAATATATACACTAATTTAAAAAGAAATTATAAGTTAAACAATGTTACCCTTGTTTTCGCAAACAAAATCATATTAACTTTTTTTTTTTTAGTTTTACGTGAGGACAACAATAAATTTTATATATACTAGGCATTTTAAAAAAAATATTTAATATGAATAGAGTAAATACTCGTTTAATAAACACAAATTCAAGTATGAATAAATGCTCACAAGAGTTGATGAATATATATATACACATGGTTTTGAGGAAATAATTTTGTACATATATTATATTATAAATTTGTATTTTATTTGAAGTAATTTTAAATTTCTAGTTGTTTTATAACAATAATTTTTTTTAATGTTTTATAATGATATTTATACTTTTTAAATTGGTAAAAAGACATCAAAAAATATATTTAAGCTAATAAATTACAGATAACAAGTACACGTAAGAGAATTTAAATATTACCATCTTATTTACTTTATATATCTAATTTAGCTTAACAATGACTTCAATTTATTTGTATCGTTAAATTTTATCAAAAGGTGCATATATCATACTTAAAAATTATATATGTGCTTATCTATGAGCAATTGTTTCATTGTATTGCAAAAACTTAAATTCACCCCAAAAAATAAACCAAAACAAAACCATTTATTCATAAGAAGTTAGTATAATTGAGAAGATATGGCCGAAAGAAGGATTTCATTTCAGTTATGTGATAATATTATATTCTACAAAAGCATATTAGTATGATTGTCTTCCGGTTATGGAACTGTGCCAAAATGACAATACATACATGCATGCACTTGAAATTAATTAAGCAATGAATAAATGGATAGCAAAAGAGAAAGAAGAGACAACACGCATTAGTACGTAATTAGTACTAGTAGTTTAATTAATTTGCAACACGCACGCACATGCTCTCTACGGGAATTAAATGAATCAATTTCTATGAGTAGGAGAGGCCACACCAGGGTAGTAAGGAACCCTAGTAACCTTAATCCAATCATCTCCACGGAAGAATATTGATGGTAAGAATTTCTTGGCGTCATCTGATGTGAGGGTCTTGATTCCTTCCCATTGTACGCGCTTGCTTTTGTCTGAACCGGGGCCACGGTTGTTGACCTCAGCATAGAAACAAGTGTCCATTCCGCTTAAACCTTCTAGTGTTTGCCATGGCATGTAACCATCGGGTGTGATCAAATCACCAATGTAGGTATCCATGAAAATGGTTCTTGAGAAATTCTTCCATGGACGAGCCAAGTAGGCTTTGTTGTCGAACCTAACTGGGTAGTATTTTGGGTCTGACACAATGGATCCACCTTGGATGATTATACCTGATGGTTGGTTCTTCTCTTTCCTACCCTGTGCTGTCACAATGCATTGTTGGTTTTCTAATGGTTTTCGGACCACAAAAGTGCAATTTTGGAGAACAGCCACTGCATCACCAAAGACAAAGTCGATGGTTCCTGAAATTATGCAATCGCGGTAGAATTGACGCATGGCGTGGGCGTAAAGGGTGTCTTGGAAACCATCCATTCGGCATTTGTAGAAAATGGATTTGTCAGCTTGAACCCTTAAAGCTACTGCTTGATGCTTTTCAGCTCCAGCTGAGTTCTCAAATCCAATACCAATGGCAACGAAGTAATCTCCAAGAACAGCTGCATGCATTTATAAACATTTTAATCCATCATCATTCCAAGCGCATTAATTAATTAATAATACTCTAGCATTCTCTATAAATAAATCTCATACAAATTTTCTCGATTAATAATTTTAAGCGGATTCAATTTCAATATGACATATCATCTAAATGCAAAAGTCTAATTTGTTTTAGTAAAGCGTAAAAAATCCTCACATAGGAAAGAACTTTATTTTATCATAAATTAAATTGCTTGTTAATGTTTGTAGAATCCAATTGAGATTTCCCTCTTCAAACGATGGAAGTTAAAAAAAAGGTAGTGTGGCTAGCATCTAGCAATGTAGTAGTATAATAATAATTATGGTTGTTACTTCTTGTTGATTTTATTAGTTGATATAATTTAATTTAGCACTGCTATATAAATAAAGCTCGGAGGAAACGTACCAACAGTGGCGGTTCTGTAGGTACCAACTCCATCGATGAAGTTTTTGTTGCCAGTGATCCTTGTCTTCTTACCACCATCACCAATCATAACGACATGGGTCATGCTTCTTTCGACTTCGACGTACTCGTTGTAAACGCCCTCCTTGATGTAAATAACAAAAGGCTTAAGGTTTTTCGTGGGCACGTGTTTCAAAGCCTCGCCAATGCTCGTGAAATTTCCAGAACCATCCTTGGCAACAACTATATGTGCCATGAGTTTTCGTCCCGTTATACGTAGGAGTTTACGGAAACCAACACGTTCATCAACCCACTCGGGAAGCTCAAAGTCGTCGTGTCCAAGAACAGGCAAATCCGCAACATCCTCCAAGAGGCGACGACCAGGTTTGGAAACATGCATTTCGTCGAGAGTTTTTGACAGCTCGGTGATGATAGCAAGGCCATTGCTACTCATGTGCATGGCGGTTTGCAAGGCATCCTGCATCTTTTGACCAGCTTCGGTTGTGGTGTTCTGGAACGCATCTAAGCATGTTTCTTGGTACGTGATTGCACCGCTTAGCCAAACCTTCAAACTGGTGAGGATGTTGTCGATGTTGTTGAGGTCAAACCTTGAGAATTTATCGATGGACCTTGTGAACTCGGCGATGGAGAGATTCATGAGTTGCTTGCACGTGTCGAGTGCCTCCTTGGTCATAGGGTCATTCTCTACCTCTTGCATGAGATGGGTTTTCTCCAATCCCTCACCGATTCTGTTGATGGTTACGTTGAACGCAATTTTTATGAGCTCTCTTGGGTCGGTGGTGTTGCCAGCGTTTTGGCTCAGACTATCCTCGCATTCCTTCTTGTATTCTGTGGGTGCACAAAGGGTTTTCACAGCTTTTACCGAGGATGCTACGTGGGATTTGTCCCCCCCTTTTGGATCATCGTCGGATCCACCTTTATTGTAGTTTACACTAACAGTCACCGCAACCACCATAGCTACCAGCAAGAAGGTAGAGACGCCAATGATGGCGATTCTCTTATTCTGTGCACTCCCTCCCATCCCTTTTTATTAATTAAGCAGCTCCTAGTCAACGCCTTCCTTAATATGATAACACAAGATTAGTAAAATAATAACAAATTGAGGTCTCTATGTATATATTATTAATTATACGCAAATAAAATCAAAGAACATAAGCGTGCATGGTACGTACCGGGTAGAAGTAGGAGCCGCTCAATGGTGAAATGGGGAAGGGTTCGTTTAGGCGTTGGAATTCTTCGTTGGAACCCGGGAGTGCATGTGTTTGCGAGATTGCGATGTGAAACATATCAGTGTGTTTATTTATAGTTTGGCCTGAAAACGATTTCAAAGTTCGTTATGTCTGTTGCAAAAATGTGAGGCTTGGAGTCAATAGCAAATTAAGGTGCTATCTTTGTTTTTTCTAAAGAAAGGGACACGGAATAACCACAAAATTGGACATGTGAAGGGAAGAAGGGCCTATTTTACGGGTATATTCACCTCAATTGCAAAACTTCTTCCTCTGTTGCCCTTCTTTGATTTAGACCAATTCTACATGAAATGCGTGGCCTGAGTGTGACACCTAAGGCACATACGAATGCAATTTACGAAGTTTTTATATAATTAGAATATTAACTGATATTTTATTTCCTCACTTTATTTGAGCTACGTGTATGATACGCGTTATTCAAAATATAGATAAGTATATATCATTGTAATGTTATATGAATTAATGATTGAATTAATAAAAGATACCTTTAATATGAAATATTAACATTAAATTAAATATTTGATGTCATTTATTTGTGTCCTTTAAATACATATACGCTATAGAGAGTAAGAGAGAGAGTAGTCTGTACAATTTCCCAAAATAACATTGTGCTTTCACCGTTTATTTTTTTCATTCTAATTTGAGATTGAAGAGAACAAAGATACAAGATGATTTTAAAATACAAAAAGTACAAAGAACAACTGAAAAATGAAAAAAAAAATGATAAAGTTACAACATCAGTGTAGAACAAAAACAGAGAATTACAGAGGTAAATAACTAATTTGAATCGATTTAATTTATATATATTGTATTTTTTGTTAGTGTGAAAATCAAAGCAAATCCGCATAGAAAGGTACTCCAGTGGCAGGCAGCCAAACATCACCTAATATGAAATTAGCAACTGTGAAATTGACAGCATCCGTGGCATTGATAACATGGTAGCCAAGCCAAGTAACCCTGTTACTAGTGTTAGATCCAGGTCCCTGATTATCAAATTCCGCATAATAAAGGGTGTCCAAAGCAAAGTCCCCAGACCAAGCTACCCAACCCGCAGGATCAATTAAACTATCCATGAAAGATTGCATATAAATAGTTCGAGAATATTGCTTCCAAGGCCTGCCTAGGTACGTTTTTGTTGTGCCATTACTAGTGGCTAAATCACTGGCTGCGGTTATGGTACAATTGTGTATGGAAGTGCCAGTGTTTTGGTTGATATCAGTTCTGCCCTGTGCGGTAATGGCATTGAATTGACCTTCAAGTGGGAGTCTTGGATAGATATTACAGTCTTGAAAGACAACTTGTGCGTTACCAAATATGAAGTCCACTGTGCCATAAATGTCACAGTTCCTATAAAATTGCCTCAGAGAATGGGTGTATAAGGTGTCTTGGTACCCTTCAAAGCTACAATTATAAAATGCAGACATGTCTGCCCCGCTTCGAAGAGCCACTGCTTGGTGATTGATTGCTCCAGCTGTGTTGCGAAATGTTATGTTTATTGCCACAAAACTTTGAGCAACAACGGCTGTAATATGAAAATTATATACGGTTACTTATTAACTAATCACTTTTTTTAAGCCAAAATATCAGAAATTCATTAAACCAGAGCAGAATCTGCTGCTAGTTGATTCATTAATCACTCTGTTGATCAAACCAATTGGAAAAAAAGGGTATTTTGAAAGAGGAAAATGCTTCTAATACGAAATGGAAATGTATTTAATATACGTACGTGTATGACAATTTGAAAACCACCCATGTACATTCTTCCTTGCATTTTCAGTCATGTACGCGTAATCTTGCGTGCGAGTGAATATTCAATTAACTCATCTTTTTTGGTTCAAATCATTTCGTATTAAATATAGAACTTCCCTTCTTAAGCAAGTACTAACTAGCAGCGAACGGAAGAAAAGAAAATTAATTTATTACTTGTTAGTGTTATCAAAGAATCAGAATGAATAACATAATCTTGTTTGAACAAAATTTCTTATAAAAATACAACGTAAGCATCTAAAAAAGTTCAAATAACGTAGTTTTTTAGTTCTCCTTAGATGAAAGTCATATTTTTATCCCAATTTAAGACAACTAAAGAAGCTTGAAATTGAAACTTACCAAATGTGGCAGAATTGAAAGTAGTCCAACCATCAGCCACGCTGCGATTACCCGTGATTATGGTTTGGTTAATTCCATCTCCTACCATCATCAGGTACTGCTTGTTTTTGGGAATAGAAACACACTCTTCATAAACTCCACCCACCACGCGAATCACGAAAAACCCATTGAAACCCGCAGTGTTATTAGGGGCTGCAGCCACTGCATCATTGATGGTAGTGTAGTTTCCAGAACCATCTGGATTCACCACCACAGTTTGGTTCACAACAACATTGTCAGCACCGAACTGAAGCAACTTTCTTCCTTGTATTCTAATAACCTCGTACAATCTTTGTTCCCCCATGTGGTTATTTCTTTCCACTAGTTTTCTCTCTTTGTTTACATTGGCTTTCCAACCCCGCTTGAAGATCGCAAGAGATATACTATAAAACATGGTTCCATTTGAAAGATGGGTTAGTATGTCATGGTCAGGGCTTGATGTGGTTTCTTGAAGGCTGTTTAAGCATGTTTCAAGGTTGGTTAACGTAGCACTAAGGAAAGTGTGCAAATTTTCGGCCTCTGAGATGCTGAGGCTGTTAGTAGAATTGATGCTTTTTAGAGTCTTAGACAAAAAATCTTTATTCAGATCACCTAAGAGGTTACAATCTTGAAGGGCAAGCATCGTGGAATTTGAGAATTTTGAAGGAGATTTAAGGTATTTGGAGACTAACGAGAGAAACTTCTTTGATGATGACAAGGATTTGGCTGCGAAGAACCGGCCATATTGGTGTATGTCGCCTTGGCCTTTAGGTGGTGAATTGGATTTGCAAAATGTTGGATAAGGTGTAAGGTTGCAAATGGTATTGGTGGAGGAAGAGGAGGATGCAAGAGAAGCAATGATGGAGAAAATGCTGAGAAAATAGAGCATGAATAAGTTTATGGATAGCTCCGAAGTAGCCATGGATAACTTAATGAGGATGGATATGTAGAATGCATAGAAGACTACAATATATATATAACATATAAATTGCTGGTAAGAAATTACAAGCTTGATTATCAGATAATCATGGTTGATAGGATATATTGCAAATTTTTTTTCATATATATGAGAATTTCAATATCCGGTAAGGGTAAGAGCTCAGCATTTAGAGTTTAAAAGAAAGGAAGTTATAAGCTAAGAAAATATTCATAAATAACTTAAAAAATGAATTTAGAGTTTAAAAGAAAGGAAGTTAAGAATGACATATGTCATTAGTTCAGACAAAATATTATCAAATTAAATTATTTTAAAGAAAATATACTTTTAATTAACTGGTATTTTTTTTATGTATTGTACTGTATGAATATTATTAAATTAAAATATTTTAAAATAAAATATTTTTATAATTATTTTTAAATTTTATAATTTAAAAAATGTTATCATTATTAATAAATTGTAAAAAATTTAAAATTAAAAATAAAATTAAATTAAAAATATTTAATATAAAAATGCACATAACATAACAAAAAGTATGTTTTTTCTAAAGATATTATCAGTTAACATCATTAATAAAAAAAAGTACTCCCATTTAAGAATAGAAACTTATATCTAATATAGAAAAGTAGATATACAGGGATGTAATTTATAAATTTTCATTTTTTAAGTTAAAACTTTCATTAATAATGCTTTAACTATGAATAAAATTACTTAAATACACACTAACTAAAAAATTGTAATTTTACATTATTATTAAATTAACCAAATTGGTACATTTTAAATAAATATATCTCGTAGACCTTAATTAATGTCAACAATTCAGATAATTAAAAAGGCATGGATTGATAATGAAAAAGCAAGAAAGGAATAATGAGAATGAATTCGAGCGTTGACCCGAACAGACTCAACATACGGAGAATACGTTAAAGTCAAGGATTGTGCATTTTTGTTGCTCTGTATACGTCACTCATTTATAATTTTGTATCATTGGGGCCGTAATTTATTTTTTTAAAAAGTTTCTCAAAATATTTTCTTAATAAGAATAGAATCCTATTACAAGCCTTTCCTTTTCTCTTTAAAAAGGATAATCATTTTTCTTTTTAAAATTCTCTCTCAAAATTTATATGAATAATTATCTTATAAAATGAAGTAACTTAATCATATATAAATCATTTCAAGCGCAAGTAATATGATTGGAGTTAATTTATTTTTTAGGGATATATTAATAATATTATAAATATTGAAATTAAGGAATAAAAATATATATCAGGAATGATAATTATAATACATATGTTTAATTCAGTAAACAATACAAAGACCAAACACCTATTTAATATTATTTTATAATTGAAATTTTTGGATTAATCACCGCAATAATTACCAAAATTTTCAATCCACCGAGCATCCACATCCAGCGTAATGTCCAAGTAAAGAATTGTTAGACCATCAAAATTGCATGGAATTCCAACCATTACAATTCAAAACTGCAAATGAGCTTATAATTAATAAATAAATAATTTTTTTATAGCTGACAGGCACCGACAATAGATGCTTAATTAAAAGGTCAAGTAGCTAATGAGCATGTTATCGAGTGGTGCCTAATTGATGATTTTCATTCTTCTTTAATCCATGTTTAGCATATCTGGGTGAGATGTTAAAATAGGTTATCGAATTTTATCGTATTAGGACAAGAAAAAATCACTACCTTTTTAGGCCATAAAATGAAAATATATTTACATATTTCATCCGAAATATTTGAGAGTTCTCATGGGGAGTGGTAAACTGGTAATGCTATGATATATTTATCTATTTATTTGCTTCAAGAGGTTGACGAGCCTTATAATCAGGCATGCGTGTGATTGAAAAAGAAAATGAAGTTAATCCCAATTTAAGAAAACAAAGGACGCTTGAACCTATTTATTATATTTCCTGGTTACGTATCCATACAAAGGACCTGCTTGTTACATTTTTGTAATGACCAACTGGGTTGTGTTGGCTTGAAGATGTTACAGCAAATAAATCATCTCAGAGCAAAAAGAGAGAAAATTGCACTGTGGAAGAGGGTGATGAGGAAGGAGTATAACAAACCAGCACTCCTAATCTCAACGCCCCCAAAATTACATTTTACACCAAACACAAACTTCATTCCTAAACAATTAACATCCACCCATTGGAAAAAAAAAATCCTACTCCACCATTAGTCAAAGGTACAATTATTCATCTGAAAAATGGAGGATGGTAAACTTATTGATTTTGATATATATTTATAAATAGTGAAGGGTTTAAGATAGGTAGCAAATAATTCAATTGGTCAAACCTGCCGTGAACTTTACACCTGTTCTCGGCAACCACGTGTCACCATTTAGGAACCGTTGAACTGTGAAGAAACTAGCTGTGGAAGCATCTTTGATCACATGATAACCGGGCCATCTAACTCTACCCGGAAGGGATGACCCAGGCCCATAATTTCTGTACTCACCATACCACAAAGTGTTCAAGGCAAAGTTTCCAAACCACTCAAGCCACCCTCGGGGCTGGACAAGCCCACTCATGTATGTGTTAATGTAAACTGTTCTAGAGTATTGCTTCCATGGCCTACCCAAATATGTGGGCTGGGTCGCTAGAACATAGCTATCTTGGATTGTAAACCCAGTGCTCTGATGTGGGCTTTTTCTACCTTGGGCCGTGATGGTAACCTTCTGCAGCGGAAGTGGGACCCTTGTGTATATTTTGCAATTTTGTAGAACAGCAGCCCCATTGCCAAAAATGAAGTCTATGGTACCGTAGATTTCACATTCACGATAGAACTGTCGCAGTGAGTGGGCGTAAAGGGTGTCTTGGTGCCCTTCCACACTGCACCTATAGAAAGCCGATTGGTCTGAATCCACACGCAGTGCCACGGCTTGATGATTCACTGGCCCAGCTGTGTTCCGAAATGTCATGTCCCTGGCAATGAAACCCTTCCCAGATACAGCTACACATTAAATTGCAAATTCTCAGTTCCATATACGAATGGAAAAATATATATATAATTTATTCGCCTTATTTTTTATGATATAAATTGTCTAACAAAATCCAACTGTTTATGATGCATCATATAAGTCTTACCAACAAGTATATAAATTCTCACTTCCTTATGTTAGCATGATATACACGTTTCACTAACAAGTTTTCTAAGAGCGTAAATAATGAGTGCTGCTTAACTGATTACCATAAAAGAGCATATGCAAATTCTATTAAATAAAATTATATCAAAGGGACGTGCATATTGACTAACATATTGCTCTTAGAATTATATTGCTCTATAAAGGACGTGAATTGGTTAAACTCAAATAAAAATGATCATGAAAAAAGTTGTAATAATTAAACAAGGAAGACATAGCGGTGTTACTTACCAAGCGTGGCAGTTCGAAAAGTAGTCCATCCCTGCATGAAATTACGGTTGCTGGTGATAATGGTTTGGCCAATACCATCACCTACGAGCATGATGTTGGTCATCTTCCTCTTCATGTCTACATTCTCTCTGTAAAGCCCCTTCTTCACGTATATAACATACCTCCTGTTGCTATAACTAGGAGCTGCATTAACAGCATCCATGATTGAGCGGTAGTGACCACTCCCATCCAATGCCACAACGGCATCAAAATGTGCACCATGTGGCTTGGATTTAAGCAATTCTTGATCACCCTCGGTCATCCATTCGGGAAACTCCAAACTTTGATCAGTTTGAGTTGTTGAAGTAGCAGTAGTAGTAGTGTTCCTCCCGGGAGGCCTGAAGGGTAAACTATGCAACTGAGTGTACAAAGACAAAACATTGCTAATAAGTTGTGTGACCTGTGTCAAGCTTCCACTTATGTAGCTCTCAAGTCTTCGATCAGTGCCCTCGAAGCCTTCAAGGCACGTGTCTTGGTTGCTAAGAGCTGCACTTAGCCACGCTTCAAGGTTACCCTCGTATTGAACATTGTTATCTCCTGCTCTAATTCTCCTCATCTCTCCCAAAGACCATGCAAGCTCAGAAACTGAGAAATCCAAGAGCTCCTTGCAGTCTTCTATGGCTTGTTGCTCGCGGTAACTGACAGAGAATGTGGTTATCTTTGTAATGTTGTCAATGGCTCCTCTGGCTTCATTGAGTGTGGCCTTGAGTGCAGCACTCATGACTGAAGTGGGGCTTGGAGGGCCAATTTTTATGAGCTCATTTTGAATGTTTGTGAGGCATGAGTTTTGGTTTTCAACGTCCATGCAAGCTTGTGCAATCAAGGCTTGCATGTCTTGGGTTTGGATGTCTGAGGGAACGGTTTCATACGAGAAAGCCTCAAATGATGAAGGTAAGAGAATGAGAATGAAAAGAAAACCAAGCATGGCTCTATCTTTTCGTGGGTGTGACATAGAAACTAGAAAGGCAGCAAGTATGCTTATGGTCTTTCCATGCAACTTTTATTTATACACGAGGGAATGCAAGCAAGAAGAATGTTTGTTTTTCCTTTTCTTTGAGTTTTAACATTCACATTGCTTTATGCTTTTTCTCTTGACAAAGTCCCAAGTTATTCTAATGCTTTCTTTTGTTGGAGGCATGGCATGATATTCTCAGCTGCTTTGAGCTTGTTGGTGTCACCAAGGCTCAACAATGATGCACTGTGATGTAAATGCAGCTTCTCTCTTTTGATGATTGATCAAACTGTAGAATGCAACCGTAAGTCAAACTGTACAACGAACCTTAAGATACAGTGCCTCTCCCCAAGGTCCTGTCTAGACTGCATATTTGTCTTTACCTTGATGAATACACAAAAAAGACAAACGAGGAAAGCTATGAATCTTAAACCCAATCCAAAAGTAGTATTCTTTGCTTCGTAGTAGTATAAATCAGGTTCCGAGTTGCTTTAGCATCGCCTCTCATGGAGATTTGCCATGTAATATGGTTCCTATTTTAATAGTCAAATTCAAATTGTGTTACATTTGGATATGAAATTTATCTGGGGTTATTTTGCCTTTAATTCAGCTTTGTTGCGTATTCAGTATCCACCCTCGCTTCCTCTCATCCGGTTCTGGTTATTTAAGTTCAACCAATCTCAGTTGTTTATTAGAGAATCTACCTAGCCAAGAGTTTTTTTTATGCAAGAAACTAAAAATTTTTGCACATCATTTTCAATATAAGTTTGTAATTTTTTGTTTTTCACTAAAAATGTGTACAAATAATGTTTAAGTTTTACGCTGTGCAAATATTAATTGTAATTCGGTAATCATGGTCACTACCTACACACCAAATAAATATATTGTTTATCGATTTGAATTCCTACATCCACATTCTACACCTTTTCTATGAAGAAAGAGACAGAAAAGAAGTTTTTTTTTTTTTTTTTTTTTTTTTTTTTTTTTTTTTTTTTATTAAAGAGTTTAGTTGAAATTTAATTATTCTAAATATATTACTACCTCCAGGCTCAAACACCAGATTCGCTTAAAAATAAGTTCATTAAATAATTCAAACTAAAAGTGAGGGGGAAAATCTATTGAAGTTACTCCTAAACACGCTTAGTTTTTATTCTATCCGTGGATTGGCAACAGAACCAGCATTTTAAATGCAACAGATAAGTTGAAATAAGATTTAATTCGAAGAGAAGTAACCTCACATGCTTTATTGGAGAAAATACCTTTAGAAGGTAAATCAAATACCTTCTATAGAAATCTATCAATGTCACCAAATTGAACTTGTATGCATCTTGCTAGGGTAAGAGTAGTAGTTAAGGAAAAGAAAATGCCAGAGAAAATTGAAATTTTGAATGGAGAATTTCCTAAATTAGTAATGAAGCCGCATTGCTTTCAAGAAAACGAAGTATAACTCATTCTCTTGGTGACTTGCATAGTGTATAGCTAATCCCATCTGATCTTGCACCCTCGCGCATGCATCGTCTCTAGTATTTCTGTGGAAAGCAAAGACCTGAGAGACATTTGCAGTTTAACCTTTTTAATCCGACCACAGCAAGCTCTAAGGGCAAGTTCCAATCCTTTGACAGTGACTTTAGAAAGACACACAAGCTTCGCGTCCTGGAGCCGTTTAAGGTTACCCATAAGCAGGCACAACACCACATCTGACACGAGACAGTAGCTCATATTTATCTGTCATCATTGCCGCTATGTTGAGTTAGAACTTAGAACCCCTAATCCTAACATAACAGTTATTCCATCATTATAAGTTGTCTTCATGTAAATAGACATCAATGTTTAACCAATTCGAAGAACAATTAACAAATGCACTCCTACAAAATATAAATAGAAACTTTCTAAGATGGGTAGCAAAAACTGCTTGTTAACAGCATAGCAAGTTTTCCAGGTTTAATTAATTAAGAACAAATATCAGACTACAAATGTGAAAGGAAATAAATGATTGTTGATGCCAGTAAGAAACACCACCTTCTTTTCAAATGCAAGATTAACAGTTGCAATATGATAATATGAGAAACACAGCCAAATAGAAAAATAAATTAATCGTGTGCCTCAAACTTATATAATGTACAAAACGATATATAGTTGGTATCCACTCAATTGGTACGCAAATATGATTTATTCTTTTGACAGATGTTTTCCCTTTCTCTCTTTATTTGCTTTGAGTAAGAGATTGATTTGTAGCAGGATGTGCCAGAAACTTCAATCCAATGAACAAATGCTTTCCTGGCAAAAAAAATAAATAAATCCCATGCGTATACTCTTCTCATGTCCAGCGCAGATAATAGATTGAATGCGTGAGGAAGCATGTGAACAAACAGAAAAATCAATTTAAATGTGTATAGTTATAAAAGCATGGAAACAAAAGAGACAACAAACACAGTTGAGGAAGGGATAGCAGTCACACATCCAAACCATGATTCTTTGATCTTTGGAGAATTATAGGTTTAAATTAGTGAATCACTTAAAACCATAAAAACAGTCGGTAACTGATAACGTGACAAAGCCAGAGAAGTATCAATTACGTTCCTTGAGGTACATTTATATATTTTATAGGAACAATGATGAACTTTTGATTTAAAGCCCAAACTATTGTGTTAGTCAGAACTCAGAAAACTCAGAAAAATAATAATGCAATGGAGAAAAACTAGTACAACTGACCTGCCGCAGGTTTTGTGAGTAAAATGCAAGGGCCCAGAAACCTGAATCATCAATTTTCTCACAATGTTTCAAATCTAAATCGGCCAATCTGTTGCAACTTACTGCAACTGCTTTTATACCAATGCTTGTAATGTTTGAAAGGCCACGCAACTCAAGATCAGATAGTTCTCCAAGATGGCTGATATACTCCATCCCCCTGTCTGTAATTCTTTTGCAATATGACAAGTTGAGCTTTGTCAACTTTTTGCATCCAATTGTGAGTGCTGCTAGCCCGTCATCTCCAATTTGTACGCAGCTATGACCAAAGAACAGAATGAACAAAACAGACTCACAATTTTGTTTGCAATTTTGTTGAATCATAAACAATTAACCATGTTGACTCCAAAGTTCAATTACCGGTAGAGATCAAGTTCAGTCATTTTTGGGCAGTTACAAGCAAGGTGTGCCAACCCTATGTCCGATATATTTATGCATAATCCTAACTTCAGTTTTACGAGTTCTGAACATCTTGATAGATATTTGAGCGCTGCATGAAGCAGAAAATTGGAAATAAATTTAAAAGAATCATTTTCAATTTTGAACAAGACTGATATACTATTTATAGATAGAACTTCCACAATTTACCAATGTCGTTGACTCCAGAGCAATCAGTAAGATCAAGCTCTTCAAGCAGCATGCAATTTAATCCAACTTGATAAAGACAATTCTCAGTCACCATATCACAAGACTCTAACTTCAGACAGACAAGGTCTGGACAAGAGTCTGCTATAGTAGAGATGGCAACATCAGAGATGAAACGACAACAAGTCAAATCAAGTATCTTCAAATTGCCACAGCCAAATGCTAGCTGCATAATTCCTTTGTTGGTTACCCCGATGCATTTGCTTAAACCAAGTTCCACCAAAGACTTGCAATTGGTGCCAATTGTCTGAAGGATAAAGTCGGAAACTCTAACGCCATCTATTCTAATCGTTCTCAGCTGCTTTAAATTCTCCAAGCATTTAACAAGAGGTGCTGAAAGCTCCTGTAGAAAATGCCTGGGGTGTTAGATAGACCATATAAAATTTATCACAAAAAAATATGGCACGCAATCATATAATACACACCAAAAGTTTTAGATATAAACTTACAGAGAGACAGTATCCTGCATCCATCTGCTCAAGACCTCCATGTCCACTAATTACAGATATTAAACCAGATGAGCTAACACAATCGCATCTCGATACATCAATTGTCTGCAACACACAGAAACATTCTATGTTTTAGCTCCAAAGACCTCCTTGCCCAAACTTTATTAATTTTTAAACCATTACTGGCATAGTTTATAATTTATAATAAATAAACTACCTTTAGTTGTGGACAACCTTTTTCCAGAAACCGTAATCCAACATCATCCACTAAAGAGCAGCCCACCATAACAAAAACCTCAAGCTTTAACAGAGAAGCTATCGATCGCAAAGATTCACTTGTTACCTAACGACATAAGAATTTTGAATTATTTAAAAGATATGATTAGAAGAAGAAATAAACACACAAATCAAATACAGTACGTTTGTTAGCAAAGTAAGTTAATGATGTAAAACAGAAAAACATAATGGTCATTGAAATATGTTGTTCTTGGGAATGGTGTTAAGGACAATACATCACCAGTCACCACCGCCATCACAACATACAAGGACAATAGTTTTATTGTCCACAGTCAAGGAAAAGCGGAAAATGTTCTTCCTCTACTGTTTCTGCATTGATGCCTAATGTAAGCATGAAAGAACAAGAACAACCCATCCAAATGGTACGCTTAGTTGTGGGACCATCACATTAAGAAGTTGGCGGTTGCTTCTCTCAAAAGCATTTTACGGTTATGAATTTCAAAAAGGTCCACTTTTTCTACTACTAATATTGAGAAAGCTAGGGGGTGAAGCGGTTTGCTCAAGTGAGACTATGTTCTGTCAACGTTGTGACCTCAACCTATTCTCCGTAATAATAATAACGTCACTTACACATAAAAAAGGTAAGTTGGCAATACCCATTATCTCTAACAATTTCATAGCCAAACATGTTTTTTATTAGCATGAGAATGGGAAGAAACAAAACAAACCTTAAGATAGGACACATCAAGAAATTTCAAGTCCAAGCACTTCTTGCAAAGAAGATCAATACCCAGATCAGAAATCTCCAAGCACCACTTCAAACTCAGCCTCTCCAACCTACCACACCCAACAGCAATCTTTGCCAACCCGATATCAGTGACCCCCAAACACTTATCCATGTTGAGCTCCCTCAACCTCGCGGCGCACGATAGCGCAGCGGCCTCTCTGTCCCCATACCCCCAACAATGGGACACATCCACCGCCTCCAACAAGGGACACGCCCGAATCAACATCTCCAAACCGGCGTAACCCAACCCGGTCGCGCGACTCAGCACCAACCTCTTCAGTCCCCGAGTCCAACTCGCTGATCCCTGACTCAGCAAAACCGACACGGCTCCATCGTCGATCCGCGGACACAGAGACAGGTCCAGCGTCTCAATGTTACTGTATTTTTCAAGCAACCCGAGCAAGAACTCAATTCGGAGGATCCGAACACTCTTCCGGGTCACCGATTCAACCCGGAGAAACTCTTTGCATACGAGCCGCCACGATTTCCGATCGGAGCCGAGCCTGTCAAGGACTCGGATGAGTAGGTCCTCGGTCAAGAGACAGAGAACGGATTCAGACAACATTAAGATTTAAGACTTCGGAACTCTTAAGGTTTCGCAATTGTTTTATTTAGACGCTGAATTTAATGATAACGTTGTCAGGTTTAGTTTAAGTGGGAACAAAGAGGAACAGAAGACGAAGGTGGAGGAGTGGGTGATGGATGCGTTTGGAGAGTGTAAGAAGTAGTAATCTGCAACGAGTTTTCTCTGGGTTCATTGTTTCCTCTGTTTTTTTGTGTCAAAGTTCAATGGAAAATTGAAATGTGTGTATGATATGAGGAGAAGAGAATAGAATGTGAATACGAGAGGAATCAGATTTGGGAGAATGCGTGTTTCACACTTTCGCTTTCATCGTGTAGTACGGCCATGTCCACTGGTGTACTCATTCCTCACCCGTTCTGTTCAACGCCCCTTGGCAAATTCTTCGCGATCTTCTTTGTTTTACGATAAATGCCCTTTTTCTTGAAGCGAAGGAAACAAAAATTACCGCAAATTGAATTGTCCTTGTCCCATGCTTTGGACAAAACAAGGACAGGGAAGAAAAATGGTCGAAAATTAATTAAGGAGGTGTTTAATTCTGATGGAGGAATAATTCTATTCTTTTCTACTTTGTTTCGAATTGAAAGGGTTTAGGCCACAAAGGACACCCATGACCCGTATTGCATAATAAGATTAGTACTCTGGGGTTTCTTTGTGTTCTTAAATATTCTCGTTTACTTGCATTATTTTTACCTTGCAAGTTGCGTTTGTTTCTTTTCTTAGACTTCAGCCAATGTAAAATTCGAAAGGAGAATAATCTTTTTGGGCAGAAATATTAATATTCAAAGGTCAAGGGGATGATTGATACTAGTGGTGGAAAGTCTGGCCAAATAGGTTAGTCTCATAAAAAATATTAATCATAATACAACTTTTTCTAAAGAGATATTAAAAGATTTGGTTCCTTTAAAATAAAAAATTGATATATAGTAAGAAAAAATGTAATATTAATTTTAATTTAAATAAATAATAAATATATTTTAATTTTTATTTATATATATGTTTTAGAGGAACTAAATTTGATATTCATATTTATTAATCAATCAAACTTTAAAAAAATAATTCCATATGAAAAACACATTTGAAAGAGAAACAACTAAAAGGGTGAAAGGATATGATGACGTCGTGGGAAATGCTCATAAATTTAGAATAGTGATAGAGATAAAAACATGCTTAAATAAATGTGTTAGTTGTTGCATAGTGAGGGAAGGGATGTTAAAATCGCGAGTGTAGATTTAGTAAAATTTAAGAAAGTAATTACCCGTTGAATATTTTAAATTTTTGTAAATATGTGATTAGATTTGTATTTACCACGAGTAAAATTTTATCACACTAGTTGATATCTAAAAATTCTTATATTTTGAGCCTTTCGTACATTAATTAATAAAATAATAAATTATAATTTATTAAATAAAAAACTTTAATTAAGTGTAAAAAATTTTAAATTTGCATGTCAATGTAAAAAAAATAGTTCATTTATTAAAATGATAACTTTAATAAATATTGTCAAAATAATTTTATAAAGCAATGGCATGTTCAATAATTAGTCATTAATCACTGTCACGCGACGTGTACAAGTTAACTAATCACTCTAAGCCAAACCATGGCACTAAAGGAAATTAACTACGCATCTATTGTAATGGTTAAAAGGTGGAAGGGCAAGAAATCTCATAATAACATAAACCATTGGAAGCACCAAAACCTCAGTATCATCATTTCAAGAGTGACAGTCACTACACATTCCTTCCTCTCCATTAACAGTTTTTCTCTTTTTTATTTGGAATTTTATTGCTTTTTAAAGATACAAAACAGAGACAAAATATAATTTTATGATTTTTCTTATGTTTTTTACAAATTATTCAAATATTTCCTCCCCTTCTTCATAAAGTATGTCTTATTTGGTAACACACATGTATATTACATCTTTAAAATATAAAGAATATTTAATAATCAGGAGAATTTATAAGAACAAACAAAAAACAAATAGAATTATTCGGTAAAATACTTCTATTACCTTTTTTAATTACTGATTCACTTGAAAAGACGGAATTTTTTTTTAACTTATGCAACATTACATATAATTAAAAATATATAAAATTTATTTATAATAAAAACGATAATATTTAACAGCACAAAAGTATTTAATTTTATAATTTTTAATAAAAAATATTATATATATATAAGCTCTTATTACATAAAATGTTATGTAAATTAAAAAAATCTTAAAAATACAATTAATATCATTATTTATAGTATTTTTTAAGAATACAAATTAAATATGCATATGAATGTTTTAAATATTTTTCTTCGATTAAAATAATTATTTTTTTTGTTATCTGCACAGTAAAGATGGGCATTAAACATTATTACATATTATTAGAAAAACAATATAAAGAAATACCTATATCACAGCATCCAAATTTTGTTCGTTTTAAATTTTTTTTAATACTACGACTGTTAACCATCTCTCAGTCACGATAAGTATATAAAGCATTTAGGAATTAAATAAATATAATAGTATAATTCAAAATTAATATTAAATATTATCTTAAAATTTTAAAATCCAAAAACATAAATAAAGAGTACTAACACGGATCCTAATTTTAAAATTAAAAAGTAATATTTATTTTAAATGTAATATATTATTGTGAAAAAATTATTATTTTATATATTTAAAACTAATCTTAAATTTTGGTATGATCAAAATGATTTATTTTTGAGCATATATTAATAAAAATATAAAAATACAAAAAACATTTCCTCAAAATAACGCACTCTAAATCGTGAGTTACAAAAGCAGCGTTAATTATTGTTGGGAAAAAAACATGAACAGAGGATAGGTTGGAACCTGGAAGTGATTATTCTTAATTTCTTACGTGAGTAAGGAGGACAGTGTCGTATGTATGGTAAGGTACGGTTGATATGCTCCACCAAAGCAAGGACGTGTAGCCACCGTATCTATCCATTTTCTCTCTCTCTCTCTCTCTCTATCTACCTGTTCACCACGCTTCACTTTTCCATTTTGCAACATATAAGTGCTCATCTTAATGGTTTTTTTATATATTTTTTTTAACTATTTATTATTTTAAAATGTTAATTCTTTTTTAAACTAGTCATTTTTGTTAAATAGATATTTAAAAAACTATGAAATTATTTTCAATTAATTATTGTAATTAATTTAAATACTTTTAATATGTAGTCATTAGTATGAGTATTCGAGTTTAGAACTTCAAAGAAACGAGAGGATGTTGACTGAAAATAGCAGCAGTGGGGCCCGCCACGTGTTGGTTCTTGCAGCATCGCCACCAGACATGCATCTAAATCACCCCCACTCAGCCAACTCACTGAAATTAATTAAATAGATCATATTATTATTCTATTACTAGAAAAAAACATGGCTCGTTGCATTTGTATTATTGCATTTTTATTTGTTATATTAATTTTAGTTGATTAGGTATTAGCCCACCTCTAATTATAATACTACCGTCCTACAGTTGTCTGTTACGAAGTAGCTACACCTTTTTTTCAAATCATTTTTTTTATCAATACAAGTGAGATATCACGGTTGATTAAATTTAAAAATATCAATAATATATTTTTAACAATTCTTTTATATTTCATGCTATTTATTTTTACATATAAACAAAATATTAAAATGTTAAAAGTGTATCTAAAGAATTAGTTATATCCTCAAAATTTACAAAAAAAAAATATATATAAATTTTTTGTTAGTATTGACTTAAAATGATTGCATCATTACTTCTTTCAGCATATGATTTTGACGAAGAGAGAAATGTACCACAGTTTGAAGTAGGGTTTAAAAAAACCGTAGTTTGAAGTAAAAAATTAAAAGCAAGGTTTTCCCATGGTTCGTTTGGATACTTCCAAGATCAAAACATAAACAGTGGAGCTTTAATTTCAAGAAATGATCCTTTCGTTTTTCCGAAGGCAGCATATCTGAAAGTCAAAAGGGAAAACAACACGAAGAACAGAATGAAAACATGCAACAAATAAAGAATGGGGAGAAGCTCAGATAGATGTGGATGATTCCATTCCCAGACCTTTAAAAAGGCCTCATAATGAGCTGGGATTCACATTTATCTTCATTGCGAAATGAAAAGCGAACGAAATTAACACCATCAGTTATATACGTATTATAAAAAAGAGACATTTTATAACAAATCAAATAATAGCATTGCTATCACTTGAGAGACAAAGAACTAGGTACAAAATTCTAACGGGGAGGGACACAACACCATGCAAGTACGGCGAAACTTGTTTTCTTTGCGGTATAGCAATTAACAATTGAAAACAAGGATTTTATAGAGAGCGGCAACGGTGTTGCTAGGGTTACATAGGATAGTGCGAGAACCCGTTTCCGGTTTTGCCCACAAAGTAAAAACAATCATTAACGGAATAGCTTAGATGTAAGGATGTTACGGCCCATATGTCGAGGCTTCTTAGAACCATTTGGGCCTTATTTCAAGCCCATCAACTATTAGCCCACCTTTTAAGTGCACACCTTTAACCTCTTTGAGGCACATTCTCACTTCTTGGTTTGATTCAGGGTGGAAACTCCCCAACTCAATCTCCAACCATTCATCTCGAGCCTCACAATGGGAACAACAAGAGGCTTTACCGTTCCTTTTGCAATGTGAATGTATGTAAACATTTCCTTGTGATTTGTGGTTGCCAACCTCTACTGACACCTCCGAAGGTAACGAGTCTAACCCGTATGCACGATCCGCGAATTTCACTTTTAGATACGCTCCGTATAATGTTTTAGGAGATAACATTCCACTGTTTATGCTGCCCCTGATTTCTAGCCAGCAAATGGTTCTCAGTTCAGCAGTTTCTGCAAACCTACACCCAAATCCCAAAGGGAATTGGTAATAATTTGTTCACTTTTATAACCAAATCATAAGCATAATCCTTCATTAAATTGCACCATTTTATTTTAAAAACAAAATAGAAATGAGTAACTAAGATTATTATTAAGATGACAAGTGCACAAGTACAGGAAAAAAATTGATTTTTATTATTGGGTAGAATTGGGATGATGCACAAACCTTGAACCTTGAGTTGGTTTCCATGACCAATAGAGTGGGCTGTCACCCCATGCAATTGAAAGTTGCCTAGCGCTCAACAGGTAGCATATTTTTCCCGTTGTTTTTTCGATCGAGAACATCTGTTTCAATGACAGGTTGCTTAAAAACTAAATGTCCTTACCTTATTTACTGGTATTTATTTTATATATATATATATATATATATATATATATATATGAACATTTTATATTTCTTTTAACAATTTTAATTTGTTTTCTAAAATCTTATAACGGCAGCCTAAAAATGATAGAAGGTGATTTGAGTATCCACAGGCAGAGGAGCAAATATGAATTCTGTGTTAGAAAATTCATATTTGCTCCTCCGCCTGAGCATACACAACCAACCTTCAGCTAACAGAATTGCATTTTGATGCAATTTGTGCACTTTGACGCATTCTCTTTCTCCTGTTTCCCGCACAAAATTTGGTTTTGCACTTTGAAGCATTGATTTATCTTAACATAGTTTTATTATTAATTTCTTCTACAAACATTTCTCTTAAAATTAACAGAATAATAATATAATAAATATAAACTTATATAATTTTAAAATAGTTTCCACTGGAGCTCTTTTCAGTTGCCATTAGCATAAATAAGCCCTAGAATGGAAGTTGTAAGGAACTGGCTCCCTGTATAGTGTGCAGCTACTGGTTTTCATTTTTGCCCGACAATAACATGCGTAAACGACAAAAATAGACATTACTAATACTCATACGATTAATTGTAATTCCAATTTGCAACGTTCTCAAAATTTCTGCCGTTTGATCTTTCTTCTTCCCGATTGTGAGAGATTTTACTTTAACACTACCCTTAATTAAAGACATTAAGATAATGTTCTTGTGTACCTAGGCTATGTGCACCCACAAACTTACGAACAACTTGCTGCATGAGCATGATTGCGACGTTTGAAGACCGATAGCAAATGTCCACGGTATTGGTAGATTTTGTAAAGTCTTCACAGAGAATTTACTTTCAACCAATTTGTGATTTTGCTATGAGCCTTCATAATCACGTCATTAAAACAAGGCGAACAACATAATTTAGTATATTTGTCAATGTCATAATTGGAATTTCTAGATACTAACTAAAGAGCAGGTCCACCTTTTAAACTCAAATCTATCACAAACAGCAAATATTAAAAATAAAGACACAAAAAAGTCACCTTGTTACCGTCTTTAATTAGTTGCGGTTTACATAACCTGACAAACAACTCTTTCTTTGACGAACACAGCAAGGATGGGGTCGCCAGACTTGAAACAATATCTTGATAATAAAATGGCAAAAACTTCTCCCAGACAGTATCTGAATCTGCCATTGACCGCACAATGGATGAGACTAATGAGGTCCTACACACGTCCTGAGGGGATGTAAATGATAAAATATGGGCAAAACAATCCTCAGGCAAAAGCTCCATATTTTTGAAAAAGACAGTATATGGTAAGAAGACCAAATCAAAATTTTCAAGGTTACAAGTTGCTTCCAGAAATGGGCAAGTTCTACTTATATATATAATTAAACAAGACACTGCGGGACATGGTCCAATCTTATCGCTAGTATGACAACATATTTTTTGACCGTGACTAAATATGTCAACATTGAGCCCAAACATGAGCACATTCCATTCCTTAATTTTGAAGTGGATGTGAATCTCACTGATCCCGGATGCCCACGTTTTCCATGAAACAGTAATTAATATTGACCTTTAAAATTTATTGTTTCACAGTAAAAATTTTATTGATTTTGGTAACAAGGATTGATTTTACGTATTCAAATTGAAAAAAAAAAAGATATATTTCAATAAAATATAATTTTTAATTGTTTTAAATTAATTTTAAGTGCTGATTTAATATTTTCCATATCTTACATATCCAATAAAAAATTGCGAACCGATAACTTCGAAATTGCATACATGTAATTGTTTAAACTGAAGATTGCTGCAGCCTTAATCTCACAAATGATATGAATTTGATACATCATTTTCCAAAACAATTCGACAATGCAAACAAAAACAATGGACACACAAAATTGCACGCATCCTATTTAAATGATAAAGAGAATTTGAAAAAGTAAATTATTTTATCCCCATGTCAGCACCACATCATGGTAAAAGGCCCCAAACATGTTTTATCCTTCTGAGGGTGTATTAGGCTTTTAAAATTTTTTTGCACGCATGACGGATATATACACATTTTTAGTCCTTGTCACATACAGAACATATTTCTAACACACAAACAAACACATCTTAATTTAATAAATCGAGAACAACAGAGTATCAAGTGTTCAACATTTTCCAATTTCCCCGTGGCAAGGTGTTTTTGGCCTGACTTCGATGCCTTCGAGGACAAGGCCACCCTTCAATTGGTAACCCACTTCCCTTAGACTCATCTTGATCTCTTCATCACCCTCTCCACTGAAGAACTCCCCAAGCTCAATCTCCATCCACCCATCATCTCTTTTGGATGCAACTTGAACCCCTTTATTTTGGATCACTGTGTTTCTCAATATCTCTGTTCGGTTCCCATAAAACAGCGTCTCCATCTTACGCTTCTTCTCATCTTTATGCCCCACGTATGCCCTCCCTTTATGCACTTTGTTTCCCACCGCAACCGATACCTCAGACGGGGAAGAATCTAACCCATAAGCTCGATGAGAGACATTCATTATCAGATAAGCCGCATACGACGTCTTAGGCGTTAGAATCCGCGTCCTTATTCTCCCTTCAATTTCTAACCAGCTCACTGTTCTCAGCTCAGTTGCCTCTGCAAATCTGCAATAAATATTTTGTAATTTTGTATCCCTTGAACTGGTACTTCTCTTAATTCACTAAAATAAACATTTTTTATGTTAAAATAATGCTTTCTTTCTTAAGTCTACTCTTGAACTATATTATTAATGTGAGTTAAATTATTTATAATTTTTTCAAACAAACGTTGTATGCATGTTCGAACTGCAAAGTAAACTTGAGTTAAACTGAAGCTAAGTTAAATACCTTGATTCAGCAATTGGTCTCCAGCTCCAGATCAATGGGTCACTACTCCATGCTACTGAAAGTTCCCTTGAGGATATGATATAAGATTTTTTACCCGAAGACTTGTCCAATTTGAAGCTCTGTATGTACAACGGGTATGGATAGATATAAATAAAAATATAATTTTGAATTTGTCTTAAAAAGTGATAATTTATTTGAAATTAGTTAAACAAAAAATGAATGAATGGGTTGGGTACCTTGTTGCCTCCGTCGAGGAGAAGGGGACGACAAAGTGCATAGAAGAGTTGCTTGTATGAGGAGAATTTAAGGGTGAAGGGATTAACGGCTCTTGAGACAATGTCCTCATAATCAGAGGGCAAGAAGCTCTTCCAAACCAAGTCAGAGTCCGCGATAGAACGAAGGGTAGTGGAGACTAGTGAAACTCGACATGCCTCTTGAGGTGATGTACGTGACAGTATTGCAGAGACACAATCATTCGGCAATGATTCAATGTTATTGTTGGAGGAAGATGCCATGTAATTCTGGCGGGGATTACAAAGTGGTTAAACTATGTTTGATATTTTATAACTAAACTCTTTCTTTCTCTCTTTCTATCTACGTCTAATGATGCATTACACTCGTCATCATGAGTGAAAGTAAAATCAGAGAAAGAAATTACTTAGAGCAAGTGGGTTTTGCGAAGGTTTGAAATCAAGGGGCTTTCACTCTCCTTATATTTGCAAACGTTTTCAATTTGCTAGATAGACGGTAAACGTGATATGCATTATATTTGTAAGGCAACGAGACAGAGGATTGATAAAGATGGAAGAAAGGCACGTAGATACAACGATCCACCGTTTACATTATTTATTTATTTATTTTCTATTTTTTCTTTTTTTATCTGTCTTTTTTAAATTATAAAATTTTAGGAATGCGAGTGTTCATTTTCCCAATGGGTTGGCGATGGTCAATTCGCGCCGACGGATGTCCACAACTTGCAGCCTTGCAGCATATTACGCTTCTTTCACTTGTTTAGAGATATTTACATTAAGTCGTTCCCTTCTTTTGTTTTATAAAACATACTCTTTTTTTTCCAAAATTATATGTATATATATATATATATATATAAGTTTTATTAACTTGGACTAAGTTTAAATTTTTATAATTATAAATTTTTTATAAAAAAATATATTTATTGTATTAAAATATAATAAATATCTTTTATTTAATAATAATAAAAAATATAAATAAGTTTATTAATACTCTCCGTATCTTTTTTATTTGTCACCAGATATTAACATGAATTATAATGAATAGATTTTATATTTTTTAACTAAAAGTATCATTTAGTTTTTTTAATTATTCTCTTTTATCTCTTTCATTAATTAATTGTTTTTATCTTGAACTAGAGATAGAATTGATAAATAATAACTAATATTATCTTAAACTTTAAATAAATAGATAAATAAATTTTTTTTAACAAGATGACAAATAAAAAAATGTTTGTTATGTATCTGAAAATTTGAAAGGACATTGTATATTTTTTATAAATTAACTGTTATAATTCTTCTAATGTCATAAAAATAAAAAAAATATTTGAGTTTTTTTTCAGATAAAGCTCTAGTTTTAAAATTAATACTGATAATTATTTTACGTGTAAATAAATATAAAATATCTAATTTATAGGATATAGTAAAAATTATCATAACAAAATAGAAAAAATGTTTCTTTCTATTTTAATTTTTAATTTTTAAAAATTATTTTAAAATAATTTTAAAAAACCGTTTTTAAGAAAAAAAATTGTTAATGAGCAAATTTTTTTTTTTACTTTAAAAAATATTTTTAAAGCCATAAATCAAATATACTCTCACATTTTCCTTTTTTACTACTTAAATGTCTTCTAAATATTACATTGCAGGTTTTGGAAATTTAGCCAATGAAATAATCAATGTTTTAAACATTTGTATTATCAAATTTGGAACTTGATCTAATATCTTTATTTAATTTTCTTTAAGCCTAGCAGATTAGAATATGGGTTTAAAACTGGCTACACCTACAAGGAGGTTAAAACAAAACTAACCCGGATAAAATCATAAATTTAGTTATTTTGAAATAAGAAAATAAAGATTTATACATCATTAATATTAGATTAGTTATATTTATAAAATTCTTTAATTCAAATTAAATGTAGATAAAATTATTATTTTTTACTTTACACATTTTCTCACTTAAAAAAATCAATCTTAAAGTCACCTACATAAAAATAGATAAAAGAGCAATGCATGTTGATTGATCAATGCAAAATGTGCAATCTATGATATAAATATTTATAAGATATGAATTAAAAAATTTCCTGATGTGTTAACTTTTCATATAATGTTTTCTTTTATACCTTTCTTCTCTTATTACTAAACATTAAAACTTTAATAAAATGTTTAATAATAAAGAAAGGGCATCTATTGTCGTAATGTGTCTCTAAAAGAGTTGGTGAGTCGCACACGCTATTTAACCTTCTACAATAATTAATACACCATGAAAATCGAGCTAAGAGTAAAATCTCCTGTGCAAGGCAAAATATATATAGAAATCAATTTGGGAAAGATATTACAGGGGTGATATCTATTTGATTCCCAACCTTCTCAATTTTCAATAATTGGTTTATTTTGTTGTTAATGGATAATAAGTAACCTTGTTATTATAGTATAAAACGATTTACACATGCAAACTCTGTTGATATAGTTACTTATACTATAAATTACTACAATTTTATAAATCACAGCAGTCTACTCCAAATAAAATAAACGGTCACTTAAATTTTATGAAAATCTAGTTTAACCTGTCCTAATCTGTGATTTGTCCCGTGATATAGAAATAATGGGAACATGTGCTACGTATATATTGTTAAATAGTTTAATTTTAGTATACTAGTGGAATAAAAAATTGTATATTCTCAATAAATTAAATTATATCAAAATATAAATTTTTTAAATTATTTATTGTATAAAATAATAAATCTTATATACTATTATATTTGTAGTGTAAAAAATATGTAAACTTTCAATGTATTTTAAATATTTCTTTCAATCCTTTTTATAAGAATCTTTAAAAAAAATCTTAATATTAAGAGATGTATTTAGTGAGAATAAGAGACGTAAATATAAATAATTTAATCATACAAAAATAATCATAAATTTTAAAAAATAGAGCTAGCATTTGAATATTTGTTTAGAGAGTAATATTTTGACAATGTTCAAACTGTAGTTAAGTTCACTCATTCATTTGCGTTTTGTTTTTTAAAGTTGTCTTAAAATATATTAATAAATAGAATGCAAATTCATGTCTTTATTACTTGTATTTCACTCTATTATATTTATATCTTAATATAATTTTTATCATTTGACCTTAGTAATTTATTAATTAAAATGTGCTAGGTCCAGTCGTAGCTGACAGCCCAAATGGCCGAAGGATGCAAGTTGCTACGCCCTTACTTACGTTGGCGCCTTTTTGACTTTTATATATACAAATTATTGATTTAAAATTTATTATAGACTCATATATGATGTGTATATATATATATATATATATATATATATATATATATTATAATTGACTAAAATATATTTTGACCGAATGTGTCACTAGCTTGATAAAAGATAAAATTTAGTTAACCAAAAAATATATATAATTTTTTAAATTTCTCTGTTAATCAAATAGTAAAGCTCTATTTTTATGTTATATATTCTTATTAATCCTCCTGAGATTTTATTGAATAAAAATAGGAATATATTTAATCTCTTAAAATTACAAAATACTTTTAATTATTTCTTTGTTTGGTAAGTAAACAATTTGTAAGAAAATATTATAGTAGGGTTTGAAATTAAAGTACAGTAAGCCATCAAAATAAAAATTAACATAGACGAAACTTAAGAATTTTAAACCTAAATTTATTCCCTCAATAATTGTAGTCATTTTTTTCCCCAATTGATGATGATTATGTTTTTGGCAAATATCAATCTACAATTGGATGTTGAAGCGTGACCGTCACCCACGAGTCAAAATGGGCTGTGGCCTGCAAATCAATTTGGTTCGTCCACATTTTCGACGAATTAATTAAAAAAAAAGCTCATAAATGTTTTTGAAAACAATTTACTCACTCCCAGATTTCAGGTGAGTTGAACTCCACATAAATTAACTCAAATTGTGGAATTATTTTTCTTAAATCTTATTTTTATATTTTTGTTTAGTGATAATGTTTTTTATGTTGTATTTTAAAAAAATTCAACTGGGTTGGTATTTTTAAAATTTTTTATTTTTTATATTTAATGGAACTACCTATTGGCTTGGTATATTAATTAAAAAAAATGACATATATTAATTATTTGTCACTATAATTACAGGGCTAGAGTGAATGAGTAAATTAGTGTTTTTATCCTTTAGAACATTATAGTGAACTGTTTTAGTCTCTAAAATAAGTAATATATATCAGTTATTAATAATCCCTCTATCAATGCTAATTACTCAATATTAGTAAATCTATTTACTAGTACATTTTCACAAGGGGTGCAAAAATGTGAAATTCATATTCTTGCTGAATTAATATTATACATTTGAGTTGTTATCATTAAATCAATACATTTTTATGAGTTGTTCTTATTAACGTCTGGTTATATGTTTTGTTTTGCATTAAAATCACATCTTTTACATTTTGTTCTTAATTTTTGTTTAGTTTAAAGTTCAAATATTGATAATTGTATGAAAGTGAATGTTTAATTTTAAATTAAGTTTAAATTTTAAATAATCCTGAACAATTTTAATAAATTTAATTTTTACACTTTGATAAATCGTGTCAATAAACAAGCAACTCATTAATAACACAAAAAACTCTGCCCTTTTTATCGTACACAAACTTTTTTTTTTTCATAACGACGTAAATATCATATATTATTTATAATAAAGGATGTGAGTTATAAATATATTTAACGCAATATTACAAAGGATGTGAGTATAATTTAACTTGATAAAGTATAGTAACTTTGGCTTATGTTCTCATCAGTCTTTTTCTTTTTTAAAACAAAGCTTATGATTTCTTTAGATATTATTAATGCTGTTTATTAATTAAAAAATTATTATTCTAATAAAAAGATTACATTTAATGTAATCACACATTATTGAAATAAAATTATAACTTTGATTAATAAATAATATCAACACCATTTAAAAGATCGGCACTTAAATTTTATCAGTTTTTTTTTCTTCAAATTTTCAAAAAGAATTATTACACTACTACTTCAATCTCTCTCACTCTCTGAGACACACACACAATAATAATAATAAGGATATTTAATATATTTATTGAAATTTTTAATTAATAGATTATTTGATATAATTTATAATATTAAAAAAATCTAATTATTAACAGTTGAATTTCAATTGAATTAAGATTAAACTAACGAACCGTCAACTAATGGTTTTATCTATTCAAATCACCGTCCTATTTTAAAAAAATATTGATAAGAGCAGAGGAAGAGTAAGACGGGTAACAGAGTCGTTTTGACTTCTAAATCTAATCCATCGGTTTTCATTTTAAAATTTTCCCTCCACAGCTCCATTTTCGCTTCTCATTTGTTGATTGCTAATAGCAGTTATCGTCTTCACTTCAGCATCCACTGGATAAAGAGCCTTTTCAATTTTGCGAAGATTCTGTGACCCCCTTCCTTCAGTTAGTTAACAACACTCTTCTAATTCGCTTCCTCCTTTTCTATTTTATCTACTTCTTAAATATCTTATCGCCATTATTTATTTTTTCTTTGATTATGGTGTGATTTATGTTGGTTTACGTAATAACTTACGGCCGCTATAATTTGAAGAACCTCTCGTGGCTTTGATTAACTCGGTGTTGTAGGAATATTTGAAAGGCAATGCTATTGGAATTTAATTTTTTATTCTCGAACTGTAAGTATTGTAAATTTGTTGTGTGGCCCAAAGAGAAAAAACCAGGGGTAGAAAGAGACGTGCCTACAAGGTATTTGTGAAAATGATTAGGGGGCACCCAAAAACCGGGAAGAAGAAAGGAAGATTTTGAACGTCAAGAGAGGGAGAGAACGTCAAATATTTTAAATTCCTGTATGTATGGATAATGAAGTTGATGGAGTGGAAAACAATCTTGAATTATTGTGAAATTTTACTCGTGTTACGACTCTCCTTTATATTCAATTGCCCTTTAAAAAGTTATTCGTCACTATATGAATGAATGAATTTGATTTACTTGTGTTGACAAATCTTAATCTATATTTATAAGTTAATTGAAATTAAGTTATTTCATAAACATGAGATATTATATCATACTCACACACTATATGCTGCATGGGTACAGAAATTGGGTATGATACAGGTACATTGTCAATTTTGAATTATCCATACATCAATGTGTGGTGTGTATTGTCCTATGGTTTTGATATGAAGAAGAAAATGCCTGGTTAAACTTTTTAAAAATCAATGGTTTCTGCTCCTTGCTCATTCAGAAATTGCTTGTCAAAAACTGTAACATCAAAAATCAAACATGTAGACACGACTATGGAGAAAAATTAGTTGACTGGGGATTTGTTGTAGTTATGGGCAAGTATCATTCATCTGTAAACGAAATAATTTATTGAAGTATATTATAGGATGATATCATATGACACTATGCCATAAAAGCTTGTCTAGGGATATACAAGGTTCTACAAAAGCTTAGCATTAACATTGATTCGTGCCTTGTCCATTGTTATGATATGTTTTCCCAGATTGCAAGCATAACTAGAAGTTTTATGCGGTACCAGGTGAAGCCTGATGGCATCCTTCGAAATAAAGTCTGGTGCATTGGTTTCTTTACAAGATCTGCTCCCATCGTCTCCTTATTTTAAGCAAGGAGCTTCGCTCAGAATAATTGGAAAGTGAGTGCTGCCATTCTAACTCTTATGTATCCATGACTTTTCTTTTTGTGGGAACTTTTACCGTTGTAGTGACAAAGGTCGATATAACATAATATTAAAATAAATTCCGTCTTTTCAGTTTTGTTGCTAATCACTGTGAGTTGAAACACTCGATGGATTTAGCTAGCATTACATCCATAGATCTGGTTATGCATTTATAGGACTTATAATAGTGAAGATCGTGTAGATACCAGTAGTAGTGATGGCGCTTGGAGGAATTATCATTGGCATGCTCAGCAGTTTTTGGCTTGGGAACAAAAACGTTGACATTTCTGTCATGATTGCAGTTTGAATATGGTGTCCATCTTGTAGATAGTCATATGAAAATCCTAAACTACCTGAAGATTTTGACTTGTTTGGAGAAAGTTGTCATACTTTATATGTCTTTGATCTATACATTCCAGAATGTTAGCGGTTTCGAAGTTACTAAGAATATTACTATATTGATTCATTTACCAAAAGTGTGGCCTGTGGACATGAATAGGATGCAATTAAATTCACTTGTTTGTTTGCAGTTGGGTTAGTCTTTACTGATGTGGCAATGCCTTTCTTATTGACATGGCATCAAACTAATAATAAGGGCCATGTGACGTTATATTTTGTTAATGCAGTGGTCAATATAAGATGTATGATAGGAATTGCATAAATTTGAGAATTATCTTCAACTGAAAGTAGGTGGTCAAAACCGAATTTGGTAATGCTATAGGACATTTACTAATAATTGAAACAGTCCATGCAGATTGTAGTGATATTTGAATGCCTTGTCTAATTATCTATATCTGTGCTAATGGTACAAGCTGCTGTATATTGCATCTGACAGACTATATTGCTGTATTATAAAATTTTTAATAACGATGCTGCAATTGACAATAATTAAGTATCAATGAATAACTTGTGTCTAGCATCCCACAGGTTACAGGAATACACTTCAGAGACAGGCCTAGCAATAATTATTGATGGTAATTACATCCTAAAAGTTAATACTGAGCATTTGAGGGACCTTGCCTTTCATGTTGGCTCTGTCTACCAATTCATTGGTGAGCTCTTTATCCAACCTGATAATGAGGTATGTGCTTGTCAAGATTTGGTTAAAGCCTTACTCCTTCCTGTTTTCTCATGCAAACACTCTTAGACACATGATTGTGTTCTTTGTTACTTGCTAGGGAGTTTTGCAGGCCCGTGTTGGTAGAAACGTTGATGGGATTGATCTCAATCTTTATCATCAGTCCTTGCTGCTTTTAAGACAGTTTCAAGCGAATCATTTAAATAATTCAGCAACTTAACTTAGTGGGATTATTTGCATACTGTAGTCGTCATACTAGTTTGAAAATACATTTTTCTCATAATATATATAAAGATGGAAGGTTGTCCCCCTAAACTCTTTTCATAGCAATATGTTTGTCATGTAGAGAAACTGAATGCCTAAGCATTTTTATGTGCTTTTCAGATAAGGAAGTGTTCTGCTCTCTGCAGGGTTCGTCATGTAAACAGAATCTTAACAACGTTCATGAATGCATTTTATTTTATTCTCTCTCTTTCTTTTGGCTGCAAATGGGACATGACGACATCAAGAGCTGTTAGATTTGAGTTAGGCTTAGCTGTGCATGCTTCACGGGGTCATTTAGTTTTTTCATGTGAAGCTATGCGACAAACTTTTGGCCGCACTGATTTTACAATCTGAGACTGAGGAAAGGGAGGGGGAGGGGTGGAGGAATATTTAAGGCAACATGGAATAGGGTTTTAGGGTGTGTTTAAATAATAGTTTAATTAAGCGTTTCTTTAATAAGTTTTTACTTTATAAAAGATTTATATCATAAATTTAGTTATGAAATTTATTGACATAATTTACAAGACTTTATTTTGCTATTATATGAAAAAAGGTTATTGAAATAAGTTAAAAAGAGTTTAAAAATTACAGGCTATATTTATAAATTTTGTCAAATGTCTCTTTAATACATGTCAATAGTCTCTTTTTGTATGTTGCATCCCATATTTCAACATCTTTGCAGCATTTGAATGCTACATGGCACATATTTTCATTTCGGTGGGAAAATTATCGGTGCCAATAATCCACTTGGTAGGTCCCGTCATGTAAATTAATGTGGTAGCAATTGAGCTTGGAATAATGGGAGGTACATATTCCATGTGCAACATTGTGATGGAAAATCACAACTCGACATACAAAGTATCTCACAAATTATCCACCACTCGTACACAAGCCTGGTTGTTGAATTTGCGAATTTATGTTGACATGCAATGAATAGCAGAGGACGATACATATCTTTTTTGTAATGATGGAATATTTGTTGCTTTTCATGTCCCACATCACTCCATACTTATTTTTTATCATTATTGAGCACGCCCTTGGAGAATTTTTCATATCCAAAGTGGTAAATTGGTAATTCAGCATTTCAATTTGTCATATAAATACTCCGCTTGTTTAAACGTAAAACTAACGTCAACATCTTCGTCAAACTATGTGGAGCCTGCATATCCACAAGTTGGTGTTAAACTGTTAATTAATAGTCCAAGAATGATTTGTATGGTTCTTATTGAATTTAATGCTGGGATAATAATTTTGGCTTTGGTGTTGGGCTAAAGTGGGGTCTCTGCTTCCACGTCCATTTAGCCGTATAATTTTGACAAATTGGATGTTGTTTGATATGGAAAAGCATCCACTAAATGAAATTAAAGCATTAGATTTGGTTTCATCTTTGACATTATTAATGTTGCATAGTTGCAACATGATGATGGTAAATAAAACGTATGACCACCGTAAAAAAGTCCATGGTCGCGTGAGAATGAATTTGATAACTTTCTTATATTAAACTTTGTATGATTATGTAATATTTTGATCTATCTTTATGATCACAAATCTAATAAAATTTTATTTAATTATTAGAAAAAGCAAATACAAAATTTTATACAATACGACCTTAATTATACAAATTTGACATGAAGTGATTCATTCTGAATCCCGGGGACCTACCCATTTGGAAAAAGAGGCTTTGTGTGATTGCCGGTTATGTGGTGTCCCGCCCCACACGTGATTTCTGGCTCTCTAAATTTCACGTGGCAGATCTCACCCTCAGTGGACCCTCACCGATGAGATTTTAATCACTTTTTCCCTCTTGTATTTTAGTTAAAAAAAAATAGCATTAAATTTTAAAAATGTAAGAGAATTTTTTTAGTTTAAATATATTTTAAAAATTTATGATTTATACTAAATTTTATTTTAATTCTTATTTTTTTTATTTTTTCTTGATGATTAAAAAAAAAAAAAGCGATTTGAGTCTCCATGTTAGTAATATGCCAAAACAGATATCAAATTATTTGGACCAATCTAATAGGCAGAAGAAATTTAAAATTAAATTATTAAAATTAAAACTAAAACAAAATAATTTATGAAAAAACTAAAACCCAAATTTAGAAACATTACAAGGACTAAAAATTAAAATTTAAAAATATAAAAATTAAAAAGAAGTGCAAGATAAATTATAAGAATTTAAAAATATATTTAAATTAATTTTTTAATCGTAGGACATGAGGCAAAAAAGGTTATTTGGATCCCAGCTTTGGGCCCCCCTTGCCCTTCTCTTTTTCTTTTTTTTTTCATGTGGATCGCTTAGGAAATTATTATGTGCTTTTATTTGCTTATCACTAAATTACTTAGTGATTACTCAAAACTACGAATACTGATGCTTCCCGATCATGCAATAATTTCTTGGATCCTCACATTGAAATCGCAGTGCGATTAGAATTGGATAGCTCATCGCATAACCATTTATGACTCCTACATTACCCTCCCACCTCAAAAAATTGATGTTGAAGATTGTTAGAACTTAGAAACTGATGCTTTGACTAAATTTATAAATTATAAATACTAAATAAATGTTCGATTTCATTGACAGTGATTTTTAAATTTATCCAGCAATTAAATATTTAATAATTCCACCACAATTAAATGATGAGTGTAAGTAAAAAAGACACTCCGATATGGTTGATTCTTAACCCATGAATTTGTGATCAACTTTGTTGTGTAAAAGGAGTTATACATATTGATAATGATAACGAGGAAAATAATTAACAGTAATATTAGTGGGTGCTTTACATGCAAATTTTAGATAATATTATATGAAAATTTTAAATTAACAATTATAATTATTTTAATAATTTAAAATTTTGAAAATATTTACATTTTTTAAATAAATAATTAATTTTATTATCTATTAATATAAAATTAACATTAATAATGATTTTACGTGTAAAAAGATATAAAATGATATTACCATATTAGTAAGCACTATTACAGTGAGGCCTTAACCCATATGACCATATCGCAGGGACGTTGGTACCATATATGCGGTGACGTATTTTTTCAATATAATAAGTATCTTCAATTTGAACGAACAATCTCTGTGGAGTAAAAACTAATCTTTAAGGATAGAGAAAAATATGGTAACATAAGAAAGCTATACTCTTGATTTAATTCAATAACTAATTAATGATAACAATGAACTCAATTGCAAAAATGTAAATTTATATGCATTTGTTAGCACCATCACGGCATCACCTTAAAGAAGTTCGAAGTTTACTTCCTTCAGCTACTCGTCAATGGGCAATGGTGATTGGAGTGTAGGGAAGAAGGGACCTTAAGAGTAAATGATCTATACAACTCACTGAGCTATTCACGTTTGTTTGGGGTCCCATTAATTTTCCATAGGGGTAATGTCAAAAACAACTACGTAACTAGCATTACGTATTCGGTGCAATTTTATTTTATGGGTGGTGAGTGGGGTCATATTAATTTTAACTTCAAATTGCAAACACTGAAGGAAAACACTCACTGTACAGATGCCAAATACCCAAAACGAATATTTGCTTATTACTTGCGTTTGCGTAGGCCTCATAGACTCAAATCAAAACCTGACCTACCCTGCCCATGTGTGCATTGTTTTGTTGTTCTTGTTTTAATATCATCTGTTTTGTGTGTAATTTTGTGGTTTGTCTTTTACTTACCTAAAACACACCCTAATGGAAGTAAGGGGAACCACAAGGAACCAACCATGACATTAATTGGTATTGCACGAGGAATCTTAGTAACTATGTCTAGTTACTAGGTTGGACAAAGTAAAAAGGTGCTGTGTGCTGTCCAGCAAAAAAGTGAAAGTGAATTCTAGAGACATGGTATGTGGAACTTACCGGGATTGGAATCAAACAACTTTTTGGGTGTGAAAATGTAGAAGTGGATACAGAGTTCCTGGCAGATTTTTTTTCTGACGAGGGATTAAAAGGTGTTTGAATAGGATTTCTAAAAGGGTAACTTTTAATATATATTTAAGTAAAATTAAAGATGCTAACTTTTGTTGTCTTATTACTCTACCTTTCTGTGAAGGTCACACTACAACAAGTTCGTTCATTTTTCAGTTCGTAGCCTATGCCGATTTGCACTGCCACTTACATAGAATGTTTCTACTTTTATGCTTAACCTCAACACACGCAAACATATTAATAAGGAAGCGTAACAATATTCTCACATAATATTTTTATATAACACTTTTTTATTACATCGTTTTATTTATCACACACTTATTTTTTTTATATCTTTTTTCAAAATTTTATAAAAATAACATGGGTCTTATTAACGAATGCTTCGGTATTCTTAAGACACCAATTAAAAAATAATGAATAAAAAAGTGCTATTTTTTTTTTAAATTGTGATATTTTTTATAAAAACTTTTCTATTATTTTTATTTTTAATTAGTATTCTTAGAGTAGCGGTTAACATTTGTTAAATATTCTCTCATTTGTCTTAATTTACACTTTTTAAAAAGTATTATTAATTAAACAACTTATTATCGTAAAATATTTTCATTTACCGTGAAATAACTTATGGTAAAGAAATTACTACTAACTTAGAATGTTCCCATTAAATTCCTCTACTGGTATTGTGCGAGTAATTAATATGTTCATGAGTGGCATTGCATTGATTATCGTAGACAGAACGACAGTAAATATTAAAAGGTTGACTGAAAACGACAAGATTCTATAGCAATTAAAACGTGTTTACCAATATAAACCACGTCTTGGATTGTCTAATCAGAAGCTGTCTAATGTTTACAATTTGTGTTGGATAATCAATACTACGTTGGTAAATGGTTTTTATTGCTTTCTTAATTATTGGACGAAATTCAGAGAAAAAGACTTAACGTGTATTTTAAATTTGAAGTTTTAGTCAACTTACTGTATTAAATATTTGAAAAAGATGTTAATTATAATAATTTTATTTAACTTGAATAATTTTTTTCTACAAAATATTTGTAATTTTAAAAATATATAAAAATTTAAATTACACATACTAAAATAAATATATTATAAATATTGTTAACCCTCCATAATTAAACTAACACTAATGCGGATGAGAAATAAAAAAAAATGAGTGATATAGAAAAAAAAACAATTAAATTAATATAAGTAACAAATACAAATTAATATAAATCATGTTTAAAATAAAAAATTTATAAAAATAAAAAACTTGTTCATGGAATTTAAAAAATAATAATAAATTTTTAAAAAGAATTCTCATATTTTCATAACTTTTCTCAAAATTTCGTATTTTGATATTTTTAAAAAATAGGATTGGAACGAAGTATATGGAGGAGGATTACCAAACACATTGTCTGAAGGTATTTATCACTCTTCCCTTCTTTTCTTATTTTGACCAAATATAGATATCCCACTAAAAAATGCAGCAGATTTTTCTATTGCTTTTGCAATCATCATGATTCATCACTCAAACTCAATTAAATATATCTTTTAGTAATAATTTGAAATCATTTATTTCATTTTCAACTAATGAATTGGTTTCGTATGATTGGCGTTCCCAGTAGTCACCCCCATCGACACATTAAATTTTATTTCATTCCGATACCAACTACTTTTTCTATATTTTATTGTGTAAACTAATCATATGATAATGGTAAATTAAAGAGCCATTCAACCCTAGTGAGACATTAAGCTATGCCTTACATACTCTTTTTGTTCCTTTCTAATTTAGTTTACAACATATGTCTTTGTTTTCAATAAGGTTGCAAACCATGGATGCTCATTAGATCCACACAATTCCTTAAATTTGAACTTGCAAATACGATGGGGGGAAAACGGAATTCTTCTATCTCAATTATTGCAATCGAATGTACAAGATTTTATCGCAAAACTTAGATGTAACATCCTAAATGTTTTTGGAATTATTTTTAATCAATATAATAATATTAAGTGTAATTTTTTATTAAAATAAGATTTTTATTTTAAGTAATTTTGTACTTTGTAGTTATGTCTAGCCCAGCAAGGAAACGACCCTTCATTTTACCTGTTAATCTTTTATTTTTATTTTTTTAAAGATTTTAATACATTAGACAACAATAATGCCCGAATCTGCAGAATGGCATAAGAATATTTCAACAATATAAATGTTATAAAATTTGTCAAGTTTTTGCTAAATAAACAGAAAGATTCCCATTGTTTGGGTGTCCTGTCTTCCTATATGTGGGGGGGTGGAACACAAGCCAACTCCATAATTTCCTACATACATGTATATGGTGAAGAAAAACAAGCACATGTGTACTACAGGAGGACCTTGTTGGTATAACATTATATATTTTTTTTAAAGTAATATTCTGAAATCTAAAACTGGAGAGATTTTTTTTTTGGGGGGACCCTCTGACAATTAATTTCTTATGATATTATAAATAATAATAATTAATCCGTGCAATAATTTCCTAAAGGGTAAAAAATTGAAATTGATAACATTTTACTTTTACCCATTATACAAGTGAGGGGTAGAGTAGAAGATTAGTTTAATATAGTTCCATTTTTGGTAAAATCAAAAGGGCTATCTAAGTAACATAACCTTTTCGAACCAAGAAACTTAACTGCGACTAGCTGATGCTGAGAGGTGATAAATCATTACAGATCATTTTATTGAAGTAACATACGCTAATGACACCCATAATTACAAAATTAAATGCAGTTAGCTGGTATTGTTTGTTTTGTAATTGTATGAGCATAAAAAACTATCCTTGTTTTGGTATCCATAGGCCGTAGATAAAAAGGGAAGGGAAGAAGAAACTAGAACCAAACAAAACAAAAGTCCATTATGGATTCTAGTCCATCCACACCTTTGCTTTCTCGAACTCTCAGCTCACCTTGTCGGAATTGTGTCTTGTTCCGGCTACCACAACTCTTTCTCCGGTTACTCCCTTAGATTCACGCTTCCTAGTTCCCTCTTCCCCATCCACAAACTACAAGGTTTTATTCTTCTCCCTTTGTTCTTCTCTGAGTCCCTTTGAAAACAGGCAAATGGAACTTTCCAAATTGGATCAGCGGCTTAACAAGTTGTTTCCTTTTTCTCTTGATGTTTCATTCTTCACTTTTATGAATTTAGGGGGACAAAGTCCTCAATATGTTTTAACTTCTTTCATTGATAATTAAATTGATCCTGGTTATGTTTTAAAATGGTTTTGAACATGTTCCGGGGTATAAGGAGTGTGACTTGTGAGACACTATGCGTCTTCAAAATTTTGTTTTTCTCAGGTCCCATATGCAGAATCTACTTTTTTTTTCTTCAGATGTTCAACAGAGCAATATATTTTTCTACATGACAACGAATCCCACGAGTGAGCAAGGCAGAAAGAAATATTTTTTTTTTCGGGTCCCAATTTAGTTACCCATACACAATTCGAGTTTGATCTATGCTTTTGATCTATATCATTTAATAAACCAATGAAAAACTCCAAAGTTAATTCTCTTTTCATTTTAATTCCATAACCTTTATTCCTTGAAGAAGAATATGATTATATATATTATATGGGCCACCCTTTTGATTTTTTGGGAGCCAATGTGTGGACATATTGAGACCAATTTATCAAGAAGGCTTACACTATTTCCTTTCTCTTAACCGAATTAAACATCACCTTATTGCAAATGCTAGGCTCATGTTTTTCATTAACCTTTCTATATTCAAATTTACTTTGATCTATCATGTGTGTGTGTGTTGTAATTTTTAAATTTCACCCCTTAACACGTAGTGAATTCCAGATGCAACGCTGGAATTCAGCGTAAGAATGGATATTCTCTGGTTTCAGATCAGAATTTAGTTTAAAACTTCTCATAAATATTAAATTCTAAGATTCTAATCTTTATGAGTCAGAAATTGTCCTTATGTTCAGTCACGGCACCCCCAACTTGTTTCACGCTTCATTTTTATTTCATAAGAAAGCATGTAGGAAAAGGCAAGATACAAATAAAAAAAATTAAGACGGTTGATTCCTATGGGCTGTTGTAGAATTCCTTACCTGCTCCTCATTCTTTTAGTGCCGTACCCGTATGTGTGTGTATGTATATTATTATGTACGTAAGTAATCGTTATATATTTTCAATATGCAGATTATAAATTATATATATATAAACGGGAAAAGCATAAAAAGTGTTTCGTGTGGGAAATCATATTGTTGAGTTGATGGGGCATTTATCCTCTATGTTCAATGGGTTGCTGGCAAAGTCTTTTTCAAAAAAGAAAGTAAGAAAATCTGGGAGATGTGAAGGGAGGGAAGCTGCTGAAGCAATGGCAAAGGAAGCCAAGAAAAATGACATGATGTTGTGTAGTACGGGCACTGTTAATGTTGATGGTTCAAATAACTTTGCCTCCGTTTTCTCCAAAAGAGGTCAGAAAGGAGTGAACCAAGATTGCTGCATAGTATGGGAGGTAAGAACAAGTATTCAAAGATATATTTTTTAAAATTTTTATGATACCTTACCTTGGTTTAAATTCAAGCTCACATATTCGTGAGTGGTTAACCATCTACATCATTGTGATCCTTGTATGAAAGTGGATTTGTTGGTGTTGGTTATAGGAATTTGGGTGCCAAGAGGACATGATTTTCTGTGGGATCTTTGATGGGCACGGGCCATGGGGTCACTTTGTGGCCAAAAGAGTAAGAGAGTCAATGCCACCATCTTTGCTATGTAACTGGCAAGAGACACTTGCCCAAACTTCACTTGATGCTGATATTGATACCGAGGAAGAGAAAAGGCGACAATATCAATTTAACATATGGAAGCATTCTTACTTGAAGACTTGTGCTTCCGTTGATCAAGAGCTAGAACAGTATCGCAAGATAGACTCGTTTTACAGCGGAACAACTGCCCTTTCAATTGTTAGACAGGTAAAAAAGAAAATAAAAAGTCATAGTATATCTCCACCTTAATGTACAAATTCTTGTGGTTTCATAATATTCCTCATTTTCCCCTCATTGGTCAATATAAATGCTCCCCGATATAAATATGATATACAAGTAATAGTGTATTAAGAAAAATGTGTTAGATTTTGTGTTATTTTATTAGTGTTATCACCTATATATGTATACATATATTTGCAATTTTACTTGGTACACTTGTTAGCTTATAATAGACCAGCCGATGTTAGTGCAGTTGGTTTGAAAACTAATCCACATAATTGTTCCGTAACGATCAGGGTGAACTCATTGTCATAGCAAATGTTGGTGACTCTCGTGCTGTATTAGCTACAACATCAGAAGATGGAAGTTTGGTCCCAGTTCAGCTAACAGTGGATTTCAAGCCCAATTTACCTCGTTAGTTTTGCTCAGTACTGTGTTTTTGTCATTCTGTTCATCTCTAATAATAATATATTAATATCTTACCTTATGACTTTGGTAAAACAATAAATATTTGTAGAGGAGGCAGAGAGAATAACTCAGTGCCAGGGGCGCGTTTTCTGCTTGGAGGACGAGCCAGGGGTGCACAGGGTGTGGTTACCTGATGAAGAATCTCCAGGACTAGCCATGTCAAGGGCTTTTGGTGATTACTGCATTAAAGAGTATGGTCTTATTTCCGTGCCTGAGGTGACACAAAGGAACATAAGCATTAGGGACCAGTTTGTTGTGGTAGCCACTGATGGGGTATGGAGTCTTGTCCTTCAAACATAAATTGAAATTACATTTTTTTTTTAACATGTATAAAATTGTATATAATAAGAAATTAGTAAAAATTATAACATTTAACAGTATTAATATATTGAATTATTTAATTTTCAATAAAAACTTACTATGCCTGACTTTTTATTGCGTACAATGTTCCATAAGGTAAAAAAAATTATTAATATGAATATTAGTTATATGATTGAAAGTGGTAGAGACAACAAATTATATTTGGTTTTGTGATGCAGGTTTGGGATGTGATCTCTAATCAAGAAGCAGTAGATATTGTGTCTTCAACTACTGATAAAGCAAAATCAGCTAAGTGTCTGGTGGAATGTGCGGTGCATGCATGGAAACGCAAGAGAAGGGGCATTGCCATGGATGACATTTCAGCTATTTGCCTCTTCTTACACTCTCCCCTTTCACCAGCGCAAGTTAGCCACGTTGCAACCTTCAAATAGATTATCATGTAAAACGAGCTAGTAAAATTTCTCAGTTCATGTAGCCTTGGTCCAATTAAGTTATTCAAAAGTGCATGTCTATTTCGTCCTTAGTTAACGTAATACGCTTACTTGTTTATTTGTTACCCTTCGTACTTCCTTGTCCAAAGAGAAGTACCCAAATCTAATGATTTGGTAATTCCCAAGTTAAAATCAACAAAATGGTGGTCAATTTTGGATACAAGATCTCTGAGTGGTCAAGCAATTAAAAATGAACAAACAGAATCTAACCCTTGTATTTATCAATTTCATTCACTTTTTGTGGTCTTGTCAAATTCAATCTCATTAACTTGTATCTACCAAGCACCTTAAATATATCAATAACGGATCTACTTTACTGTGAACCTGAAATACTCACATTTCAAAACCAGCACAAGTTCTTGTCGGCCGAAATTTTTGAAATGCAAAATTTTTACATTCCTTAGGAAAATATAAATGTTTAGCTTTAAAATTTTGTCTCTGTTTTTAATTTCATAAGTGAGGTGATATGTAATTAATTATACGTAATACGACAAGTTTTTGATAATTTAACAAGACAAATTTATTATTTGCAAAACATTAACTTTTTATTTAACTAATTTTGTTAGAATCATTCGTATTAACATTCCATGCTTGTACACTTATGTGCAAAATTTATAATACATTAACGTAAATTATTAAATGCAAAACAATTTTTTCTTTAGAAAAATATGTTGTATCTAAAATATATATGAAAAATATTTAGTAGTTACTAATTTAAGCAATTTAAAGCATTTAAGTAGTATTCAAAATAATTTATACAGACTTTATTTAAACCTTTTGTTATGATTTTGTTCAGTCCTTTTATTTTATTTTAATAATTTCTATTCTTATATTTTTTTATTTTAATAAAAAATATAAAAATATAAAAATATTATAACATAAATTTTCATAAAACAAATATATTTATTACATTATCTGTAAATTTGAAAGGACATTATATACTTTTATTAAATTAATTAGTGTGAGTTTTTTACTATTTTATAAATTAAAATATTTATATATTTTAAATAAATTATTTAATTTATTATTTATTAATATAAAATTAATAATTATTATTTTGTAAAAATTATTTTATTTGTTGGGTTGTCTTGGAGCTTTGGACACGTGGCAACTTGATAGGTAGCTTGCCTAGATATTTTGAAAATGGTAATTAGAAATATTTGGCATGATTGATGGAATGGGAAGGGGAAAGAGACAGGCAAAGGTTGATGTGTGCTTGATTGTTTGAGTACAACAAATGATGTTATTTTGCTACTTGGTGTTTGTTCAGCTATGGCCCATAACTCAGAAGATTAAGATGAGACTGGCCTCTTTTCATTACTTTGGTTATATGTTGGAATTAATCCAACCTCCAATAGACCACATACCTTCTATTCTCATTCATTTCATTACTTTGGGAACTTATTTTGGTTTATTTTTAGTGAATAAAGTTAGTCAAGTCTAAATTAAATTAAATAAAAATAAATATCAGCAATAAAATTAGATACAATAATATTAAACAAGGTAAATTTGTCATGTTCTAATGAATTTTAAAATTTTACCAATTGACTATTTTAAAGCATCTTTTTATTAATTTTTATTGTAAAAGAACTAGGAATAGTACAGTAATTATTATATTATTATAAAATTAATTTTTTTATTAATTAACTATTGCAGTAGCTCTAATATTTTTATATTTCATCACAAAAAATTGATAAAATTAACTAGTTTTAAAGTATGTTAATTCTTTAAAGTGTAGTTAAAGAATAAAAACTAATCATTTGCCTAAACATATAATTAATATACATTTTTAATAATTTTAAAGTAAACTTTAGCATATATTTTTATTTTCAATTAATATTTTAAGTAAATTTATTACTAAAAATATATTATATAACATATCAAATAAAATAAAAACATATCAGTTAACATTAATTTTATTTTACTTTAAATATTAGAAAAATATGTTGGTAATATATTTATTTTAATATATTTTTTATTATTTATTAAAAATATAAAAATTATATGAATTTTATTTTTATTTTTTATTTAAAAATATTTTATTTTATATTTTATATTTTAATAAATAATTAAAAATATGTTAAAAAGAGAATGCATATTTTTTTTCAACAGATATCATGCGCACCACCACCCAAAATGACCATTACGTCAAGAAAAATTAAGACGCGCTGCTTGAAGGAGGGTGAACGCGTGACAATGTTGTGAGAGCGGCATGCAGGCCAAGTGGCACAAAACAAGAGTAGCACGCTACTGGGGCCCACTTCTGATGTGGACACATTCGATGATAATTTCAAAAACTTTATTCTCAATAAGTGCTTACCCATTATCTCGTCACTGTTTTTCTTTTTCAAATCATTATCTCGTGTGTGTCTCGATTCAATACCCTTGACGTATATTTTAAGGAACGGTTTTTTAAAAAAGTTTTTAAAAACACGTTTCATAAAAAGATATACTATACATTAATTAATTTATATATTATACATATTTTTATTAAAATATATCAAACATTTAATATATTTATGATATTAAATTTTTTATTTTTATAATAAATAAATAACTATTTTACTAAAATTAATAAAATTTATTATATAACATAAATTTATAGTATATTTTAAAAATATTCATAATCATAAATAATTAAATTACTAAATTATATGTTAAATAAATATATTTATTTATGTAATTAATAAATAAGTACATCATAGATTTAAATGTTCCAATAAACAAAAGTATAAAAATAAAAATAATATATTTAAATTTGATTTTATTTTTTATAATTATAAAAATATTACTTGTTTTAAATAAACACAGTTGAATAAAGTAAAATTTTTAAGAACAAATTTTTTTTCTTAATATGTATTTTGAATATGTATTAAAAAGTAAATTAACGAAATGACATTACTTCTTGTTACTTTTTAATATATATTTCATCCCTTTTTTTATAATAACCTTTTAGATATTTGTATTAATTATTAATAGAAGATCCTTTGTAATAGTTTAGGAACATTTATTATTATGTTTTATATATTTTTCAAATATTAAACTAAAAACAATACTATTTTGTAAACTTTAAAATAACATTTTTTAAAAATGGTTGACAAACAATATCTATTATTTATAAAATATAATGTATAGCAAAGATTGATCTAATGATTTTTTAATTAACAATTAATTTGTAGTTTCTAAAAAAAAAAAAAAAAACTATGTCTGTTTCTGTTCTTTTCTACTGTGGAAAGGCCACTGGATTGTTAGGGAACTGACAATGCAGGGAAAGTGTCTATTCTCTGACATTATTAAATGGGAAATTATCAGGTACTGCAGAAACTATAAAGAGACGTGTGTGACCAGCTGCACAAAACGTTTGACTATAAATTCCAACCAATCATTCGGCTCTAAGTGAAAACAACAACAGAGTCATGGTCCCGCACATTACACCTTTTCAACAATTTGTGCTTCAAATTTGTTAAAAAATATATATTTATGTTAATATAAAAATACAGCATAATCTAAATCTTATATTATTGCTGTTAATTATTTTATTATGAACTTATATTTACGTTAAAAACAAAGCACAATCTAAATAAAAAAAATTAAGGAGGATAATATAATATAAAACTTTGATATCAAAAACAATTTTTAAAAATAGATTTAAAATAAAACTAAACCAAAAATCAAATTAAATAAACAATAATTAAATGAAAATTAAAAAACAAAAATAATTTTTTTTCTCTTGTGAGAAAAAAAATTTTGTTAAGATTTTAACATATCTTAATTAACTATCAATGGATTTTTGTTTTGGGGAAAAGGGCTAGGGTTAAATGGCTTAGCTTCTTAAGAAAGTTGCCGAGCTAAAATGTTCTTAAGAAAATGAAAATCTCTGAATAGATAAATAAATTATATAATAAATAAATAAACAACATATATAATAATAAATAGTAACGCCACTCAATTTTAAAATTCTGCAAAAAGTATTAAGTATAATGCTGAGCTAATAATAATTGACCCAGTCAAAGGTGACGAATTGCTTCAACTTACTTGTCCAAGATTTAAATTATTTCAATGTTTATAATTGCTAAGTTAATTATAAGTATCCTTTATGAGTGTTTGTTGGGTAAAGGACTTTAATTGATTACGGGACAATGTAACTATTCATATTTACACTCATAAAAAAAATATATTAATATTAGACTTCACTGACAGCTATAAAAATATGATAAATACTAACTCATATCCTAAATTTTAAATGTATCTATTAAAATTTTTGAAATAACAAATATTTAAAAAGAATATTCAAGTTTCAAATATATCAAATATTTTATTTTTATTAAATACTTATCACTGTTAATTCTCCAACAAATACACATACTTAAAAGCATTTATTTTTAAATGCTAAAAACTTAATTAGTAATTATTTAACATATTCTATTGAGTACTTAAAATATTTTTTTATTCTTATTAGATGCTAAAAATATTTGTTTTAGAATTTATAACATGTAAATGTTTAATTTTTTTATTTTTATTTATTTAATTAACTTCTGAAAGCCACTCGCTAACCAACCTAAAAATTTAAAATAATATCAACTCATTTTATTAATCATCAAATAGAATAAATTTAGAGAATAAAAAGGGAACTTTTTTAAATTTGAAATATTATTTAAGACAACAAATCCAAAATTAAATATTTGATTTGAAACAAAAAATACAAATATTTTTAAAATACTTAATAGTTAGAAAATTTAAAAAGGTATACAAACATTAATATGACAAAGACACTTATCAAGAAAAAAAGGCAAATATAGTAAAAAGCTTTTTAATCTTTACAACTATTGATATTTTGCAATAGCAAATGGAGCTCCATTTTCAAAAGTAGTATACAACTTGACATGACGACACAATAATCGACTATGACCAAAGTTTAATCTGTTAATCTGAAACAGGAAAAGACAAGGATAACGAAACATTACCTCCTCGTTAACATTTTTAGTAAACAAAAAATTTGTCAGTTGTTCCCCTTCATCCAGACTCAATAGTTACACAAAAGCTATAATATTATTCATTATGTTTTTAAGATGTGAAATATATTTATTCATTATCAATTTTCTATACAGTATAATAAATATAATTATATTATATTAAATTAAATTAATATATATATATAACATTTCTCAAAATGGGTTTGAGTCGTGATGTGACTCATAATTGGTTACTTAATACGTATACCTGAAAGGGATAGGTCACAACCGAGTCCAAGACAAGAATGAAGAAATATAGCAGAAAAAAAGAAAAGAAAAGAAAAAAGAAACAAAACGACAATGTGGATGTGGTAACCCAAATGGATCTGTAAGCGCGTGGATTCACATCCTCAAAAAGAAGAAGCCCGAGATTCTCGCGATAAAATTCGATATAATGAGGAGATGGGAAATAAAGGAGTTAGTAAATTGAATTATTATGGTTTGAAAGGGAAAGCGACATTGGGGAAAAGATGGGTTCGAGTGGACGTGTGTTGCGAATATTCACTAGATTTGAATTACTAGTTTCGAATCCGCTATGCTCTCCTGAATTGCCTTATCACTCACGAAATGATAGCGTACCATGATAGGTCATCGTACTTATCACATAACTCGATGTACTTATGTCTGATAGGTCAGTAGAAAAAGAAAGACTCCTCTGTACAACTCATCGAAGATAGCGAGACCGAGTCTCTCCATTCTCTCTCTCTCCTCTTCTTATCCGCAGCCTTTCAAACCCTAGAAATTCTTGAACTCGGAGCTTATGTAATCCTCAAGAGCCTCTAAATTTTTTAGGATTTTGAGGTTGCGGACTCTCTGTAAGTTCAGATTTGTTGTTGAGGTCCTTGATTTGTCTCTGTTTTGGGGAATTTCAATTCTGTGATGTTTTCTTTCGGCCTGAGGTTTTCTTTTTTATTTTTCTCTTTTTGTTTTTGAATTGTGTTTTTGAAGATCGGCCTGCAAAGATCGGGATTATTGGCGCTTTTCGGATTTGAGGAGCTACTATGACTTCTTTGAGCAGAGAATTGGTGTTTCTCATACTCCAATTTCTGGAGGAGGAGAAGTTCAAAGAGTCGGTGCATAAGTAAGAAAGCCACCTTGGCCCTTTCTTTCATTATTGATGTTGTTGTTGTATTTCTTCTCTTCTCTGTGCGAGTTTTGTTTGTGGATTAAAATAAAAAATAATGGGTAGGAAGCAGAAACTGTTGCTACAAAAACGGAGGGAAAATTTTGTTGTCAATTATTAATGGGTTGACTGCTTGTTCAAATGAAAGGGTCATTAGAAATTAGGTATCTGTTTATCCCAGTCTTTCCTAATTGTAAAGGGACACTCATTCACTCTTATTTTCCTCTCGTGTCACTCTTTATTTAGGGGAGTGAAAGAGTCGGCATATGGGAATGGGTGGTTTCAATCCTGTTTGTGTAGGCCATTTTCAGCTTGAGCTATGTTCTGGATAGTGTGAACTGTATTAGAAATGGGCTGAAAAATAAACGAGGGGAGGAACATTTTCAAAGTTGTCTTGGAGCAGTTATCCTTGTAATTCAGGAAGCTCATATTTTGAATGTGGATCAATGAATTACAGAGACACGTGGAAGTGAATTATCTAATTGGCGCGTGCTTTATAAAACTTTTGTCATCCTTTGAAAACTGAATTAAGTGTTAAGAATCAATCATCCTGTCAGTTGACAGGGTTAGTTTTAAATTATTGTCCACAACTGCAATTATGACTGCAATAACAAGGTGTTGGAGGCCTTCAAAATTGCGTCGCCACTGCAATTGCAGCTGTATCGACCACAATTGTCCACAATTAAGGAAGCTCATAATTTGGATGTGGATAAAGGAATTACAGAAGCACGGGGCAGTGAATTATCTGATTGACGCGCGTGTTATAAAACTTTTGTTGTCTTTTGAATATTGAATTATGTGTTAAAAATCAATTATCCTGCAGTTGGCATGGCAGGGTTAGTAAGTTTTACATTTAATGTGGATAAATGAATCACAGAGACACAGGGCAGTTAATTATCTGATCGACGCGTGTATTATAGAACTTTTGTTGTCTTTTGAATAATGAATTATGTGTTAAGAATCAATCATCTTGCAGGCAGGGTTAGCAAGTTTTAAATTTGAATGTGGATAAGTGAATCACAGAGACACATGGCAGTGAATTATATGATTGACGCGTGTGGTAGAAAACTTTTGTTGGCTTTAGAATTTTGAATTATGTGTTCAAAATCAATCATCCTGCAGTTGGCAGGGTTAGTAAGTTTTAAATTTGGATGTGGATAAATGAAATACAGAGACACATGGCAGTGAATTATATGATTGACGCGCGTGGTATAAAACTTTTGTTGGCTTTTGAATATTGAATTGTGTTAAGAATCAATAATCCTGCAGTTGGCATGGCATGGTTAGTAAGTTTTAAATTGTTGGCCACAATTGCAATTATGACTGCAATATGAAGATGTTGGGGAGGTCTTCAAAACCGCATCATGACTGCAATTGCTGCTGCATTGACCGCATTTGTCCACAATTGTGTACAGTATTAAGGTTTTGATGGTCTCATCACAATTGCAACTGCAACTGCAATTACCCTAAAAGTGGTATTGCAGTTGCTCTGTTGGCTGTTGCTCTAGTTGTTTTTTGGAAGTGTGGAAAACAATGAATTACTTGAATATGAAAGCTAGCCTTGTAAAAATTTAATAATTTAACAATAGTATGCCAAATCTTTTGTCCAGAAAGGCTGAGATGCATAATCTTGTCACTTAGAAATTGGAATTTATATGATAACAAAATTAATTGAATACTCTTTCCCTTCCATTGCTGAACATTTCCTGTTTTCTACATTGTTATTACTGCTTATTTCTTCTTTTAAATTCTTGTTTGTGGTGCAGGCTTGAGAAAGAATCTGGGTTTTTCTTCAATATGAAGTACTTTGAAGAAAAAGTACAGGCTGGTGAATGGGAAGAAGTTGAGAAATACTTAACAGGGTTTACGAAAGTTGATGATAATAGATACTCCATGAAAATATTCTTCGAAATCAGGAAGCAGAAATATCTAGAAGCACTTGATAGGTATCTATTAATTTGAATGCCTTTGGGATTTTTCTAGTTGTGTTTGTCATTACTATGGTACTTCACATGTTGTTTTGTCTTTGGTTCTGTTATTTTAGGCAAGACAAGGCAAAGGCTGTTGAGATATTAGTGGGTGATTTAAAAGTATTCTCCACCTTCAATGAGGAACTATACAAAGAAATCACGCAGCTGCTAACTCTTAATAATTTCAGGTAATGTTTTGAACTTGTTGTCAAATGTAACATAGCATTGTTTTTAGTGCTGCACTCTGTTATGTTTATGATAAAAATTGAAGTCGATTTGATCTTTGTTGAACATCAATATCCTTGAATCTTCATTGAAACTCATGAAACAATAACACGAAGGAGATCACGAAGACTGAGTGTACCAAATCGTATCATGTTGAGTTTTATGATTAATAGACCAACCTGATTAATTAACTTGTAAGATTGTTTGGCTTTTGCTTTCGATTTCAAATGCCAGGGAGAATGAGCAGCTGTCTAAGTATGGTGACACCAAAACTGCTCGAGGAATTATGTTGATAGAGCTAAAAAAGCTCATTGAGGCAAATCCTCTTTTCCGGGATAAACTTATCTTCCCTACTCTTAGGTCATCAAGATTGCGGACTTTAATCAATCAAAGGTATATATGCCATAGTTGATGATAAATTTGCAAATTATTCCATTTCTTGTACCTCCCAAAAAAAAATCGAAGTTAAAGATTTCACCTGATTCTTATTCTCTCTTTCCTCACAATACTTTGCAAGTAAAAAAAAAAAATGCAAGTTAGTTCACTTTTTTGTAGTTAATTGGATTCTTTTCTGCATGGAAAATGAAAAAAAGAGTGGCTTTTGCCTTTTTGAACGTACAAATATTCCATTTCTTAAGCCTTTTGCACATGGTTTTAACTCCTTATATATTATTTATTGTTGATTAGATTATTTGATTGATGATACTAATTTGAAAGTTTACTCTAATTCGTTTTAGTTCTTATATATTTGATTTTTAACTTGTTATGCCTGGCCTTTTTTTTATGATCCATTTGTGTCTCTTGTCAATGCAGTTTAAACTGGCAACATCAGCTTTGCAAAAATCCAAGGGCAAACCCAGATATAAAGACTTTATTCACTGACCACACATGTGCGCCTCCTAATGGTCCTCTAGCACCTACACCTGTTAATCTTCCAGTTGCTGCTGTTGCAAAGCCTGCTGCTTATACTTCAATTGGAGCTCATGGTGTATGATCCCTTGGATATCATTAAATGGGTTCCGTATATTTTTAATTGATTACATATCTAATATATCTTGTTCATTAATGAATGTTTTGTTTCTGCTTGTTTTGTATAGCCCTTTCCTCCTGCTGCAGCAACTGCTAATGCTAATGCTTTAGCTGGTTGGATGGCCAATGCCGCAGCTTCATCATCTGTCCAAGCAGCTGTTGTCACAGCATCAACCATACCTGTCCCACAGAATCAAGGTAAAAAATTCCATTACCTCATTTTCTTTCTCTTTGTTTTTTCCTGTTGAAGAAACCTTTTTTTGGAAATAACTTCAGTCATTTAACTTCATTTGAAAGAAATTGTTGTAACTGGTGTCCTGGCAGGTGAAATTGCATTAACTTTGCTAAGTGAGCAGTAGAGCATGTTCTTGAGTTTTGCTTAGAATTTTACATCTTTAGAATTTCACATTGCAAGAAAATGTCATGACTTATATGCTCCTGCCTTTTTTAAACAGTGTCTATCTTGAAGCGTCCAAGAACACCTCCAACAACTCCTGGCATGGTTGATTATCAGAATGCTGATCATGAGCAGTTAATGAGAAGACTTCGGCCTGCTCCTTCTGTTGAGGAGGTAATTTTGATAAATTTCTGTTTAATCTATATGTTATTTGGGTATTCTCGATGCCAATTATTTTTCTGCTCCTAATCTGTCTAGGGTTCCTGACTTTGTAATGGTTGGTGACACTTGTCACAATGGTTCATTTCTATTGTTTTAGGTTTCATATCCTGCTGCTCGACCAGCCTCTTTGTCACTGGAGGATCTACCAAGATCAGTGGCTATGACTTTGCATCAAGGATCCTCTGTGACAAGCATGGACTTTCATCCTTCTCACCAAACCTTGCTTCTTGGTAATTTCCATCATTGTTGTGTTATGTGTAATATTTCATTTCACTATAAATGTCCTGACAAAAACATAACTATATGTTTCACATTGTGCAGTTGGTTCTAATAATGGTGACATTACCCTTTGGGAACTTGGGGTGCGAGACAGGTTGGTCTCGAAGCCATTCAAGATATGGGATGTCTCTGCATGCTCATTGCCATTTCAGGTTTTAATTTTGCTTTTCAATGAGTTTTTTATGCTGTAAAATACTTCCTTTTCTTCGGTAGCCCCCTTTGTTGTGGTTTAACCAGACAATAAGTGTATTATTATGGTAGCTATTGGTGCATGAGAATTCACAACCTTTGGAATTTATAGTTGAGAATTTTTACAGGCAGCTATAGTCAAAGATGCACCTATTTCCGTCAGTCGTGTCACCTGGAGCCTTGATGGAAATTTTGTGGGTACGTGATGTTTTTTAAACCATTTTGAAGCAGTTAGATAAATATCTAACTGATTGCTTTATTGTAGGTGTTGCATTTACTAAACATTTGATTCACTTGTATGCCTGCACTGGATCAAATGAGCTGGCCCAGCGAATAGAGGTAAGATTATTCTCATTAAAATTAACTATAGTTATGATTGAAGTTTGATTTACATTTCCTTGCTGGTGCAGATTGATGCCCATATTGGTGGCGTTAATGACTTGGCATTTGCTCATCCAAATAAACAACTTTGTATTGTGACTTGTGGGGATGATAAATTGATAAAGGTGCACAAATCTACACATTGCAATTTTGAATTAGTTCATAAATGGTATTTATTTTGTCTGAAGAAGAAACTCTTAATAGGTGTGGGACTTAACTGGACGAAGACTATTCAACTTTGAGGGGCATGAGGCACCTGTATATTCTATCTGTCCTCATCACAAGGAGAACATTCAGGTATAAACTATGTGCACAGTGATTTGATCTTTAATTTTATCTGTGTACACACTGTCAATGATTGTATTATTCTAGTAAACACTGCTTTTAGTGTTTAACTGTTGTCATTATAACTTTGCAGTTTGTATTTTCAACTGCCATTGATGGCAAAATAAAAGCCTGGTTATACGATAATATGGGTTCTAGGGTTGACTATGATGCCCCAGGTCATTGGTGTACTACAATGCTTTACAGTGCTGATGGAACTAGGTAAGGTGGATCTGGATTGGGATAAGTATTTATGTTTCGTATTCAATGGATAATTAAGATATATTATATGAAGATGCAATAACATGCCTTTCTATTTATCTTCCCTTATTTCTATAGATTGTTTTCTTGTGGGACAAGTAAAGATGGAGAGTCATTTCTTGTTGAATGGAATGAAAGTGAAGGAGCCATTAAGAGAACATACAATGGGTTCAGGAAGAAATCTGCTGGTGTTGTGCAGTTTGACACAACGCAAAATCGTTTTTTGGCTGCTGGTGAAGATGGCCAAATCAAGTTTTGGGACATGGACAATATTAATCTTCTAACCAGCACTGATGCAGAGGGTGGACTGCAGGTGGAGTTAACTGTTTTTAATCTTCTGGAATATTGCTTACACTTTTTATGAAGACATCCCTTATATGATTGTATGAATCTATTCAGGCCCTTCCACACTTGAGATTCAACAAGGAGGGAAATCTTCTTGCTGTTACTACTGCAGACAACGGATTCAAAATTCTTGCTAATGCTATTGGCCTTAGATCGTTAAGAACAATTGAAAATCCTGGATTTGAAGCATTGAGGTCACCCATTGAATCTGCTGCAATCAAGGTTGTGATATAGTTCTTTACTTTTTCTTGGTTCTTGATATTTAGATCAAAATGCATAATTTTACAGTCCATTTTGTTTATGTTATCCAGGCATCTGGCCCTTCTGCTGTTAATGTCAGTCCTGTCAACTGTAAAGTAGAAAGGAGTTCACCTGTCAGGCCGTCTCCCATTCTTGTATGAATCTGTCTCCGTGAACTCAGTATAATCGCTTGTTATGTACTGCATCTTAATTTTATTTTATTTTACAACTCATTGATTGATTTTGCCATTTTCAACAAAGAATGGAGTTGATCCCACTGCTCGAAATGTGGAGAAACCTAGAACTGTGGAGGATGGAATAGATAGAACTAAACCATGGCAGCTGTCTGAAATTGTGGATGCTGTCCAATGTCGGTTAGTTACCATGCCTGACAGCACAGACTCTGCCAGCAAGGTTTGTTGATTGTACCAGAATGAGATGAAATTGCCAATTTGCCATATTCTATTGCAAATTTTGTGTTGTGTGAATTGCTTTAACTCCCAGTCATATATAGGTAGTCCGACTTTTATACACGAACTCTGGTGCTGGTCTTTTGGCACTTGGTTCAAATGGTGTACAGAAGCTTTGGAAGTGGGCTCGTAGTGAACAGAATCCCACAGGCAAGGTAATATTAATCCCTCTAATCCTTAACTTTTCTATCTTCCCCTTTCAATATAGAACAGAATTCTGAAGTTTATGATTGTAGGCAACTGCCAGTGTTGTCCCACAGCATTGGCAACCCAGCAGTGGTCTTCTTATGACTAATGATGTTGTGGGTGTCAACCTTGATGAAGCGGTTCCTTGCATTGCACTCTCAAAGAATGACTCATATGTTATGTCAGCCTGTGGTGGAAAGGTTTCGTTGTTTAACATGATGACATTCAAGGTACATTTCCAGAGATACAACCATCATATCCATCCAGTAGCTAAGTTTACTGTTTACTTATGGTTTATTTTCTTATAGGTAATGACTACATTCATGCCACCACCTCCTGCTTCTACCTTTCTGGCTTTCCATCCTCAAGATAACAACATCATAGCCATTGGGATGGAGGATTCAACCATTCACATTTATAATGTTAGAGTGGATGAGGTGATTCCTATTGTTTAAATGCTTATTTTCATCATTTTAAGATTTTTACTATTATTTTAAAGTATCTCATGTATGTTTTCTCTTGGGGGTTATCTTCCAGGTGAAATCAAAATTAAAGGGTCATCAAAAGCGAATTACTGGTTTGGCCTTTTCAACCAATCTTAACATTCTGGTTTCGTCTGGTGCTGATGCTCAAGTATGCCTTCAACTTTTCTCTTTTCTGTTTTAGATTCTGGGTGACTTGGAAAACCTCTTTTGCATGATACTTTGTTTTAGAAATCTCTTTGTTAATTTCTGTCATTGGTAATTATTGCATAGATCTTCCCAGTGTAAAGGATAACAGAATAGCCTTGCTTTTATTTTCTGGATTACTATGAAATAAAATTACAATTTACTTCATTGAAATTATTTCACACGAAGGTGCCAATACTTAATCTGTTGCTCGATATCATTTTCTTTTTAGTTTCCTGAGCCATTCCATAACAATTTTCTTCATTGAAATATTTTCCGTACAGCTTTGTGTATGGAGCATTGATACATGGGAGAAAAGAAAATCAATTCCTATACAACTACCCGCAGGAAAGGCTCCCGTTGGTGACACTCGAGTGCAGTTCCATTCAGACCAAATCCGGTTACTGGTAGCCCATGAATCTCAGTTGGCAATATATGACGCCTCTAAGATGGATCGCATTCGGCAGGTAAGATTCTTCTATCCGGTATTGATGTGGCTGCTGATTGTTGACAAAATTAAAATTAAGGTATCCTTAATAAATTGATTTGCTGCAGTGGGTTCCACAAGATGTTCTACCTGCTCCCATATCATATGCATCCTATTCCTGCAACAGTCAGTTAATCTATGCTACATTTTGCGATGGCAATACTGGGGTTTTTGATGCTGATAGCTTGAGACTAAGATGTCGTATTGCACTATCTACATTCTTTTCACCGGCGGCTTTAAGTGGGTAAGTTTCAGCATAACTGATTGGACCCAATTTTTACTCTTTATTATTAAACATCAAGCATTTATTCAAGGGATGTATTGTGAAATCTTATTTTCATTTGGTGATATGATGATTCGCAAAATTCTTGATTTGGACCTTGACTCTTGATCCTGTTTGTAATACTATGTTTCAGGAACCAAGCTGTGTATCCTGTTGTTGTTGCGGCCCATCCACTAGAGCCCAACCAATTTGCCGTTGGATTGACAGATGGGTCCGTGAATGTGATAGAGCCCAGTGAATCGGAGGGAAAGTGGGGATCCAGTCCACCTATAGATAATGGAATATTGAACGGTAGGTCAGCATCATCATCCACAAGCAACCACACACTGGATCAGGCACAACGATAAGAACATTCATTGTATCATACTAGCATATTCTTTCCATCTGTAATTTTATAAGTCTAGATTTTTAGATTTTGATTCCCCCCATTTGTCCCTCATCAAGGTCTTGTCAGGGTCAGCTTGGACAAAAAATGGTAAATGCTTAGCTGTTAGCTCGTCTTTTATACTAAAATTTGTTCTAGTCAACTCGACCCGATTACATTATTCATACTGTATTGTAGGGTACCTTTATCTTGCAAACAATGTGAATCTGTCCATTCTCCTCATTATATGAGATCTGTTTCTCGCCTAGTGATTGTATATTTCTTGCTTTCTAGGTTCAAATATCAGAGCGATTCCCATACTCTTCCCACATTGAATATTGCTTGATATTTAGCCTAATTACATGTGCCTTTAGATAAATAGTTTAATTAAATATTTATTAATTATTTTCGTGTTGCATGAGAACTTGTAAACTAATCTTTAAATTTTATTACAAAAATAAGTTAAAAAGAGCTTGTAAGAATCATTTGTTTATTTCATGAGTTTAATTATTGTCAATCCTGACATTCAGGACTCTGAAATTTAGAACAATAATTCAAATGCTTCGCACATTATTCAAATACTTAGCATTTCACCAAACCTAAGAGGAATAGCATTCTTGCTTGTTGCTTATGTTTTAGATTTTAGAGCCATTAAGATTAATGCCATTAGACTTCAATTATAAAACAATATTTTATTATAAATAAAATTTTAATTTTAGTTAAATCATTTGTTAAAAAAATAAACTGAAAATTATTTGGTAAATCAATTATTTATAGAACATTTTGATTATATTACACTGCTTAAAAAATAACAATAAGAGAAAATATGTTTAAAGTTTCAAACACTAATGTCGTAATATTTACATTTATTATTGTGAAAGAATTTCAAAATAATCGTATTATCATATTTTTTAAAATTTATTTATTTAATAAATATGTAAATGTATGTATTAAAGGTAATATTTCTATTTTTATATTGAGATTAATAAAAATTTATCTCAATATTAATATATTAGAAGTTATTAATTTTATACATTTATTTAAGTATTGAAATTATATTAATTTTTTTATTATTTAACTATTGATAATATTTTAATTTTTTCATTAAATTTTTAATTATTTAAAATTCCTTTATTATAGAAATTTTAATAATATGTATGATGCTAAATATATTAATATTAAATATTTATGATTTTTTTTAAGTTCAAGAATTCCAATAATATATCTAAAGTTTAACTATAGTAAAAATAAAACAGTGATATGATAAGTTTAATTTTTTTTCTTATTTTATCTTTTAATTAAGTTTTTTTAAATTAATTTTTAGAATAGTATTATTTGTTATATTGTAATTATGAAAGATATATTACTTAAAAATAATTGATGTTTTATTTCTTATTTTTGGTTCAAGGAAAAAGTTTATTTCAGAGTTATAAATTTTAAATATCAATTATGTTATAAAGATGTTAAATACCTGATAATTATAATACTGTGTGCTCTAATTTTTAAAATTTAATTTTAAAATTAAATAAATTCTATACTATTGCCTTAATTTGTGACATAAATAAATACTTAATATGGAACCAAAGTTAACAAGTTTAACAAGTAAATAGCATATGAACGTAAGTGGAGCTAACTTAGCGCACATGCTTCAACAAACCACAATCACCATAAAAATGAACTAACTCATTTCGCACGAGCAACTTAGAATCAAACCCCATTTTCCAAACTACATAATGCACTGATTCCCCTTCAGAAGCCCTAAAAAACTTCTCACACGCCTTGAGCGTAAAAACGATGGTCTTGCAGTTCCATCAGAATGTGTCATCGAAGCATGTGGAGACAAAATGAGAAAGCCAAAGCAAGAATTTGTGCCTTGATTTAGTCACAATTTGGTCTAGTTGATGATCAAGTTCACTGTATCTAATTTGGCTGTTTTTTCCATCAAAATTCCATTGTTAATCGTATTCAATTCAGGTGCTGCACATTTGTTTCCCGCTACAAAACATTAGCCAAAACTTAGGAATTGGTTGGTTGTTTAGCTTCAGTTTCCAACAAAATTGTTTTGTTTGTTTTAAGTGGTGTTACTACGCACCTCTCTACTTATGCTGGCAAAGGGATGCCTAGACAGATAGTGATTAAGGGAATATGTTGAGAGTTGATTGAAACATTGTGTGAGAATAGTGTCTATCTGTTTTATCATAGCTATTTTCATAGTAATGCAATTTTGCAGAAAAAGTTGCTTGGAAATATAACTCTTGGATTTTGTCATCAAGAGTTTAGCCCAACCATAAACAAATCTAATCTATGCCAAAAAATATGCTACTCGATGCATTGATTTTTATGCCTAGGTACTAGTATTCGTAGTAGATAGTAATTATGAGAAAATTAAAAACAAAAATAATAGATGTTTTATAAAACTCATAAAAACAGCTCTGATTCAAGGGAAAGGTAGAGCTTACATTGTTTGGCTAACAACAATGAAGTTCTTATTTCTTAGATATATCTCTAAATTTAGCATGTATCATTTGACTATTTCACTGGAATAGATCTTGTTAGAATTTTGGGCTTTTAAAAATGTAAATATTCTGACATTCAAAATTATTAATTTAAAAATAATTATTGACCGGAAAGAAAAAAAAAACTAGTTACTCCCTCCAGATTTTTTTTATGAAAAATAACTTTCATTATTTTTTTTCTTAATTATAAATGATAAAAACTTATTTCAAAATACATTAATTATTAAATTTTATTTATTCTAAAATTTGTGTTGACAAAATACTTATTTATTATTATTATATATCAATTCCTAATTTAATTATTTAAAATTATTGATATTATATATATATATATAGAGAGAGAGAGAGAGCTCAAGTTCCAAATTCTTGATGTGAGGAAAGCAGAAAAAAAGACTAAAAACGTCTCTCACATAAATTGATTGACAATATATTCACAAAAAATTGTAAATATTTTTCTTATTTTCACTTACGATTTTTTATTCACGTAAGAATGATAATTATTGGTAAGAGAAATATTTAATTTTCAAAATTATTCCTATATTTCATCTTTCAATAAATTAAACAAATTTTTTTATTTTAAAGTTTTTATGTATTTAGGGCCGATTTGTTTTCCCTTTCTAAATATAATTTTCTGTTTTTAAAAATAAAAAAATAAAACTTATTTGTTAATTTAAATTTAAAAACTATTATTAAAAATAATTTTTTATTTTCAGTCTTTAAAATTAAAAACCATAATTACTTTTTGAGTATTTTTGTTTTTATTTTTTTATTTCTCTTCTCAAAACTAATAAAATTTTAATTTAAAACAGTTTTAAAAAATAAAATACCAAATAAAATTTATTTTTATTTTATTTTATAAACAGTTTTTATAAAATTATTTTAAATTTAATTTTTAGAAATTAAAAATCAAAACTAAATCAAATAACTCATTAATTTTTTTATCCTTCATATTTTTTTATTCAACAAAAAGTTATTGTTTCACATGTCTATATCAATTAATTTTTACATTTTAACTTTTTCTCTCTTTTCAATTTCTTTTTTTTAATATATTTTAGTTCCCCTTTCTGTAATGTATTAAAAATTTTACATCTTTCTTTTAATATTTTTTTCAAAAAGCTTTAATGGTATTTGAAATATATTGAATTATTTTACCACCTCAAAGTAATAATTGTCTAAACAAATAAGTAGACATAACTTTTAGATTGATAATTTTTTATTTTAATAAATTATATTCATATATTTTATTTTATATTTATTGAATAAACATATTAAATTTTATTTTTATATAAATGTATGTATTATCAGTAATTTGTTTTATATTAAAATTAATAAAAATTTATGTAAGTATTGACATATCATACTTTACTTATTTTATATATTCATTTTGGTATAACTTTTTAAATTTTTCTATAGTGAAAATACTATATTTTAAATTTTTTATATATTTTTATTTAAATTTTTTATTGTTATTTTAATTAATTTTTTATAAATTATTATTTAATTGTATTATAGTTAAAATTTTTATTATTTATTTTAATTAAAATGATAAATATCTAACAAACTGTATTACTTTTTGTTAAAAATTCTAAACAAATGCATAAGATATATTAACAGGTTTATTATTTAAATTTTATCATCCAAACTACATAACTTTGTTATATTTAAGTAATTATTTAATAAAATTGATTTGTTTATAATGTTAATCAAGAATAGTTCTATTAAGCTATCAAACATTATAAAATAATTTAATGAAATTTAAAAAATACTAAATTCTTTTTTTTTACTCACATTGTTATTCCTTTTAATCTATAATTTTTAAAAGTATTTTTATATATTAAGCAACAACTAAACTTAAAATTAAGAATATATTATATTATTATTAATTTTTATGAAAGATATTTTTGTAAATTAATTATATTTCTATAATATTAAATAATTATATATATTTTTATTTTCATATTAGCATATAATTTTACATGTATTTATATTAGAATCATATTTATTATTATTTTTTAAAAATATGACATTAATAAAATAAATATATTTTTCTGTTTTTAACTTAGTTGTTGTCCATTTTAACAATAAATGTAAGATAAAAAATATTTTTAAGAAAGAGTCATGTTTACTCTTTTAAATAACACAATTAATAATATTGATAATTAATTAATACCATAAACCCAGTCGATATTGATTCAGCAAATAATAGAATAATTAAATAAAATTTTACGTATTAATAATTAAACTATGTCAAATTATATTTGGTAATATTTTTATTTAGTCATAGTAAGTTATATTATCGATGATAACATGAATAAATATTTTTACTATTAAAAATAATAAAAAAATATTATATATACTAAGTGTTTCATAATATTTCTTAATAAAATTACATTTGATATTATTTATTATAATAAAATGTTATTATCATTTAAAAAATAGTACATTTATAATTTTTATATAAAATGTATTTTTTATTTTTAAATTATAATTTTTTAATTATTTATAAACAAATAAAAACAAACCCGTTTGCACAGCATATACACTAAACCTAGTAAATATGCAGATCGCTGTTATAAATTGAACCGATGAGAATTGGCAAAATTTCAGGGAAAGAGGTTTGAACTTAGATAAAATTAATCACTAAATATTGGTTGTAAAATTTCCAAATTATATTTATCATGCATTTAAATAAAAATGATTATTTTTATAAAACATATATACATATATAGAACATTTAATATTAATAATTCATTATTATTAATATTATTATCATTATTAATAAAAAATTATTATTTATTAAATTTTAATCATTACCTTTAATGCAATAATTAGCAAAGCTATGGAAGTAATTAAGATCAATCTGTCGTAGGTTTGTAAAACTTAAAAGAGTCCCAGTGCTAAAGTGCTTCTCCTATATCTTTTTCCTTTGGAGCATTGATTATCAATTTCTCAATTACACCCGTACAAAAAATAAAATATAATAGTTTACGGAATATCAAAATATAATATGAGATAAATAACACATTATAAAAATATAAATAATTTAAATACGTATATAGATTAATTAATTTTCTAATTTGTATGTTGTAACCTTAAATGATAGACAAAAAAGAAAAGTAAAAAAAAGGTGGAGAAGGGGTTGAAGTCCACCCTTATCCCACTCTACTTCTCTCAAGTAAATAAATGAAGATAAGATTCAATTAAGAATGTTTATGACAGGAGGTGTCATCTTCTGATTGGAGTTTTAATTAATTAATTAAATTGGGTAATTTCATTGGAGCTTTGAATTAATATTTTGAATTTGGGGTAAATATATAAAGGAGAATAAGGAGATCCTGTAGTGGATTACAGATTGACAGGTGGTCGACCAAGATTCTTCTAAAAGAATATAAAAGAAAAGACTTTATATTTGTTAATTGATTATGCACCAATAAAACAATGAGGTGTGGTCAATGGCCATATCTTAACATGTGATAGGAAACACTACTTGAAGCCCAAAGATCCTAAGTAGTTTGTCTGTTGTTATGATTGTGTACTTGTCAACAAATATTAACAGTTTTATTATTAGGATCCACTTCTGGCAATGGGAGCACCTCAAAGAGGCAAGTGCACCCCATAGTGGGATTAATGTGCCATTTTATACTCAAAACACTCATAATCAATTGACTAAAATATTTCATGTGACTTACTTCAACTCACTAACTCATTGCACTTTAACATTTAATTAAATTCGCTACTAAACTTCTATGCAACACCTGTTTTTCTAAAAGCTTCAATGAAAAATGCATATATTCTATATATTCTTTAAAAGGTATCCTATATTTTAAGATGAATATATGTTATATTTAAACGTAAATGAATTCTTTGTTTTTTTCTCATATTTTTCAACATGAATGAGAACTAACTTAATGAGTATGCTCGTGGCTAACTCCTGTTCGATAGTTTTTGTCACTAATGTCAGATATGATGCAATATTTGGAAATATGACATATTAGATTATAGCGTTTGTGTGAGTCGATGATCGTGTCATGCCCGTGTTCATAGTTCTTAATCTCATGTATATGTTAAATAGTTATTAGGTTTAATTGCATTTTTCATTTTTCAATTATATATAATATGTCTTTTAATTCAATTTATTTGTACATTAATCATTCAATCTATTCATATATAAATTCAATTAATCCATCCAATTTAGTTCCAAGTCTCTCAATTAAATATAAGTGTTTCAAAGGCGAGTCATAAATTTTATAATGTTAAATGTGTATGATATAATATATTTTAAATGGATTGATTAGATAATTGACCATAAACAAAAAATTAGTGAATGAGTTGGATGGATTTTTTTTTGAGTTAGTAATGAAACGACTATTTTTTTTTTAATGTATTTTTAATAGATAAAAATGGATTAATAGTTTTTTTTTACCCATCTATTATGATTTGGTTTAAAGTTTAGATCAATACACGTGACACTCAAATTTGTTCAACTTCAAATACTTAAATTTTTTTTGTCCAAATATTTAAAAATTTATGTTAAATTTGAGATGTAAAATAATTTTAAAAGTTTGTAATGAAAAATTAGTATAAATTAATAAAATTTAAGATAAAATATATTAAGGTTTGAAGGATTTTTGTATTTAATTTAATATTTTAGTTTTTAGTTTTATATTAAAGATTATTTAATCAATTTAATTTATAAAAATTGACTAAGTATAAAAAATTTGAATTTTAGGTGGTAAAATATTGAAGAGAGACCAAATTTTTTTAATTTTAAATTAGAGAGACTTAATTAAATAAAAAAATAAATGACTAAAATTATAGGATCCAAAATTTTAAAAAATATATATTTAAGCCTAATTTTTAATTTCGTACAAACAACTAATACATATGCAAAGATACTTATAAACAGTAAATATATACTAAATAAACATTTAAGAAAAAAAAGATTTATAATTGGTGAAAGATTATTTTTTATAATAAATAATAGAAAAAGTATATTTTACCTTTTGTATGTAGTCATTGTGCAGACTTTAACTTTTGAAAATGTAAAAAAACAAAATCGTTATTGAGTCGTCTAAATTTCTCTGTTCTTAAAACAAAAAATAATTTTAAATTTTTACTCTCTCCTTTTTTTTATAAACATTTTTGGGAGTATTTTTTTTTTCTAAAAACAAAGAAATTAGGCAATTAAAAGGATTTTTTTACATATTTTCAAAAGCATAAAGTGTCACGTTGCACACTTTTAAAAGTAAGAATTTAAATTGCAATGACCAAAGATATAGATAATTACAATAATTTCCCCCCCTAAATAGTATGAACTAGAATACAAGAAAATAATCATATAAAAAATGTAAGTTTAAATAATATAAAAATTAACCTACTTTTTAGAAAAAAATTTAAAAAAAAATTAAGCATATCCCATTATACCTATTATTCATTGAATTTTTTTTAATATTAATTAAATAAGGAATTAAAAAAAATTAATCTGATATGATAGGGGAAAAAAACCAAAAGAAAATTTCATGCTCTAAAAAATGATGAAAATTGTTATATAATGGCTGGAATATAAGTACCAATTACCAGTATCCTTCAGACAGTTTTGTAGGAGGGGCAAAGGGTAGACAATTGTTCTATGGTAAATACGAGGAACTTTAGATAACTAATGGTGTACACATTATGGTCAGTATTCTTAGGATATGTTTTAAGGACCTGGGAGCAAAAACAAGAAAGGAGTGGTGATTGCTTTCTGTCCATATAAACTGTTTAAAAGTCTTTTCTAAATTTTGAAGGGGTTTTGGATTAAAAAATTTAAGTATTATTCTTTAAGTGTTATTCACATGATTTATCAATCAAAATTAAAATTTATCCTAATAATATATTATTATATTAAATAAAAATATTTTAATGAATAAGACTCAAATTTTAATTAGTAAGTAGTATAAAAGTTGAAGTTGGTAAAATGTGCTACTCAACTCATTTGAACTAACCAGTCTGTTTGTTAACTTTCAGTAAATCAAACAAAAAAATTGATTTAATTTAGACTAACAAAAATTTGTCTAAAATAAGAAAAATCTAATCTTTTAAATTTTTTTTACATATTTTACTGCATGAGACTAAATTGCAATGAAAACACCGAAATTTTATTTGAATTCAAAATCTAGAGCTCTAAGTGTTTATTTAAATAACATTCACGTTAGTTTAACTAGTAATCAAAAAAATTTTTCTTCGTAAATCGGTAACATTCAAGTAAAGATTTATCATTCATTCCACCTCTTTGTATCTCATCCCTTTCATTTCCTTTCTCTTAAACCCAAAACAGAAATGTGTGGCATTTAGTGTTATAAATAGACCACATTCTTGTGCACTCCTTACTTCCTAACAAAGGGAAAAACCATCGTAGTTCCATCCTTCAAATAAAGGATGGCAGTAACCCTTCTACTCTTTGTACTAACTGTTCTTGGTCTTGGTCCAGTAATCAATGCATCAGTATTGAATAATGCTTGTTCGGATTGTGGTGACTCTGAAGTCCCATACCCATTAAGCACTAACGAGTACTGTGGAGACAAAAGGTACAAAATTTTCTGCAACAATGGGAAATTAGAGTTCTTGTCAACAACAGGGACTTTCTATAAGATCCTTAGAATTGATCCAAGTGCTAATAAGCTTGTCATTAGCCCACCCCCTATACTTGAAAACACATGTTTTTCTTCTGATCTCTTAGGGGGTGGCTTGGTGCTTGATGAAACCTTGCCCTTCAATATATCTACACACAACACTGTCATGTTGTTTAATTGCTCTGATAATATCCTTCTGTCTCCTCTAAACTGTTCTTCAAAGAGCTTTTGCAGGCAGTTTGAGGAAAAGGTGGAGGAGGGAAGTGGGTGTATGGACACACTTTGCTGCCATTACTTAAAAGACTCAGCCATGAATTCCCATAAGATCAGACTCAGGGTTGGGAGTTGCACTGCTTACACTTGTTTGGTGGATTACAGGCCTGATGACCCTCTTGATACTTGGAATTATGGGATTGAGCTGCAATGGCTGTCTCCTAATTGACCAAGATACATGCTTATGGCGTTGTATTGGTAACAACTCCCTCCTTCGATCAAGAGAAACATGCCATAGCAGTGTGAGCTTGTCCTTTTTGAAGCTTTCCCTTGTTGGAAGAGTAATGGTCTAGTGTTTCAAATTCACCGTTTGTTTTTGTGCTAATTTCCTTGTTATGTTCCTTAGTTTTGCCTCTTTGCTTTGTTCTTCTTATTTGAATAAGGATAGATTTCCAGTTCTCGTGCTAAGTAGAACATAAACTGTTAATTTGATTATATTTCTTCTCATATTGATACCATAAACACATTCCAGTTATATAAACAAGAAGACATTTTGTTTGGACTTAGGAGGGCATTTGGGCATTTTATTTGAATGGCAAGTAGTGCACTGCACACTACTAACGATTTAAATAAAATGCCAGGCAGGCATAGCAAAATATCAAACCTTTTTTATTATTCTCTGAGGTACGTTTTGTATTTTTCTTTTATTTTATTTTTTCTAAGACCAAGAGAGGTGTGAGCCTCTCAAACTCCCATCTCGTTTTCCTCATTTAGTGATGTAGTGAGATTAACTATATTTTAATGAATTCCAAACATAATAATTTAATATTAAATCAATTCAAATGCAATTTTTATAATGAATTCGAATTGTAAACCAAATCAATATTTTTTTTATACGATCCCAATTACAGCCATCGATAATTGGGCAAATTGCAAATATTCAGTTTTTATTTTTCTTGTTGAATTTAATAAAATGTTTAGCATAAGAAATCTTTTATATTCTTAAGAATAAATTTTTTAAAATTTTTTATAAATATATGTTAGTTATTATTTAATGCTTCTAAACATATATTTAAAATTAATTATAATGAGAAATCTTTAATAACTTTATAATCATTTAGTATGAGAAAAATTTGTTCCTATTTAAAAGGTGAAAAAAGTTTACTCCCATTTAATCACAGAGTAATATTAATTTCTAATAAAATAAAATATGTCAAATAACTATTTTTATTTTCTTTTACTCCATATGATTTGTTATTTTATTTTCATGTCACTTTTTCAGAAATATTAAAAATTCCCGCTGTAATTAAATAAACCAGCAAATGTCTGAAAAAAAAATTAGAGCATTTGTACTATAATTTATTTTTAAAAAGTGAATCAAACATATTTTTATTTTCTATTTTAGTTTTCCTCACTGTTTCTGAAACTCGCTTGGTAAAATAAAATAGTATTCAACAGTACCTTTTAAGAGAAAAAGGAAGTAAAAATAATAATAATAACAGTATTACAGGTCAGTTAGCTTGATTTTTTTGAAGGGTCTGATTAAAAAAACATGCTTGATCAAAAATACTTTAAAAAGTTTTATAAAAAATAATATTAACAAGTATTTCATTATATTATTTTTTTAATATATTAAATATTTTTAAAATATAAATGAATGTTAAAATTTAAACATATCCTCACAATAAACTGTATGAAGTTTAATAACATAATCATAAAAATAAAATATTAAGTAATTTGATTTTTAATAACATAATTATAAAAATAATATAAAATATTTCAATAATTAAATTGATAAATCTCTGTTAAAGTTTAATACAAATGCTGAATCATGTATATATAACTTTTTTGTTGCTTTATTTAATAATTGAAAAACATTTTAAAAAATAATCCTAAATAATACCAGTATCATAAATTTTTTTTTTTCAAGACTTCAATAAACGATCCTTAACATTATTTCAAATCAACTGTCGCCGATGAAGCAATTTTCTCCACTTGTTCTTCCAAACAAAATCCAAATAAAACAAATTATTCTTAACGAAAGCAAAAACTGTTCAACCACATGCTAATCCAGAAGAATCCTGGCCATAGAGACATTTGAGACATGTAGTTCTTATTTGTATCACTCAAATTTAGAAGATACAGATGCATTTTGGGCTGTACCATTGAAGCACTCTCTCAGAAGAGGGAGGCGGCCACAACAAAAGCTTCAATTTAATTACAAATACAAGCCGTTAGCACATTCCACTAGAATTTTTATCTACTAGAAACTACTTTTCCTGTCAGTCAGTCCAACAGCCGAGCAAAAGCCGAAATCAAACTTATAGCAACCTCCAAAACACCTACTAGACCTATCTCAACCTCATTTCTTACAAATCTATGACAATCACCACCGAAAATGTAAACTCAAACATGCTCACACTGCCAGGGAAAAATTATACTAATATTTACTACGTTACTATAATACTAGATAGTTACTATGCTGTAATGGTGGGCCTGCTAGGCCTTTTTCCTTCCATAGCATCTTTCTTCTTCCGACAGTTCGTGCAGAGGAATGGACCTTCCCATGGCTTAGATGCTGGAGAGAAAAAGGGCCCAGAATTCACTGATAAACCATCGCCAGGGGGTTGATCCACTTGGCAAACGGCACAGCGGAAAATCCCAGAATTCTTATTTAATGGAAAATCTTTACCCAGCCTGCATTAAGAAAATAGAGAGCTTAAGAAATGCACACACCTATAAATCTAAATGTGAAAAGAAAACATTTCAGTCCAGTCACTTGTCAGTTAGGTTGCTACTACACTTCAAGCATAGCATGCAAATATAAATTTTAGCAGTTGCAAGTTCCAGCACTTACCTTTCCGTAAGCATTGCGGAACCCTCTTCAAATAACTCCTCCACAACACCAACTGCAGAAAGCTTGTTAGTAGTTTTGTTTGTAGAGTTCTCGGATTTCTTTCCAAATAGAAGTGAAGTTAGCATATTTTGTTTCTTTCTTGGAGTTGGTGGTAATACAGGGAGATCCGAAGGAATAATATCTACAACAAGGCAGGTTGTATCATCCTTGAGGCCTCTTGACCTCAGAGCTTCCTGGGAAAAATGAACAAAAAGAATTTACTGAAAAGAAAATTAGACAAAGACTCCTGAAAAATATGGGAGGCATGCCGGAACTGATCATCACCTTTACCACTAGTTTTGCAGCAAGCTCGGCCGGTAGACCCCGACATGACTTGGCAGCCATATCAGAAGATAAAGCATCCCAAATACCATCAGAAGCTATAATAAGCCTTCCACCAGCATTTGAAAGCTGAGAGGAACCACAGACATATTTTTATGAGCAGTGGAACTTTGAACTAAGTGCTTCCATGCAAACAGGTCACCAATCAAAGAACATAATAATGAAACCAGCTCACCTTCACTTGCTTAACATGTGGTATTGGCACAATAAATTCTCCCACATCTGTGTCACCTATTGATCTAGATAGGCACAATCCACCAGGCCAGCAGCGAAGAGGCCCAACCTACAAACATATTTGGGAACGAAAACTAATGAGTTTAAGCCACCTTTGTTAAAAAGGACAGCGGCAATTGCATCATACCTCGTTGCCACCAAATACATTGAGTCTTCCTACTTCACCACCACTGGCAGTAACACGCTCCCTCTCTTCCGCATTCTCTTCCAGTCTGTGATCAACTGTCAAGAGAGAAACTACGCCTCCCTGAGTATCTAATATGCAACGGGAATCCCCAACAGATGCAACAGTGATAGTCCATCCATCAACAAGGACAAATGTAGCTGTTGTTCCAGAAGTTTCCCCTGCAGATGAAATTAAAATGTCAGTTTAAGTGTGCACAGAGGATCTATGAAGCTAGCAACAAATATTTTGTACGTACCCTTTTGCTGAAACTCTATGTCAGTCTTTACAAAACCAACAACGAGAGCACGAGGAAGGGCCTGAAGCCAAGTATCCCTGCTGATATCTTGAGGTATTGCGCTCAAAACATTACTTAGCAAGTTTTCCTTCGCAAAAATAGCAGCTGATATGCCATTATGCCCATCAAAGATCTGCCAATCAAGAATTCCTTATGAATATCACAACCATTATGGAAAAAAATTTGACACTCCATTTGATCGCAGGGAAATATAAAGAACAGAGAAATAATACACTTCAATTCTCATCTGACATCTGTTAAACCTGAGAAGCAAAGTTTTTTCCACTATGCAGAACCGACTACCAACATAGTCTTAGCTTAGGCTATTTTTCATTTCCAAATACTCAAATATTTATTTCTCCGAACATTTCCCTAAAGTCTAAAACGATTAATCAACTTAAGATAAATGCAGAAGTAAACCGAGGAAACAAACAATACCGCAAAGACAGAAAACGCCGTCGATGCATCCCCAGGAACCCTGAGGCAATCTGTCTTGATCAGAAAGTAATCTTCTCCTTTCTTTGCCAATCCAGCTTGTCCATACTTCACAAAAGGTTTTTCAACTTTTCCATTTCGAAGCTCACGGCCAATCAGAGTCGCCAATGGTACCGGCGGTGACTTTGTCCTCGATAATTCAGTCCTACTCATCTTATCTTAGTTCAGAATTCAACATTTCTGAAACCGCACTGAAGAAATTGCACCTAAACATCCAAATGAATTCAAAGAATGATTAACAGATATTCAAAAGACATGCTATCCACAACTAGATCTACGCGTGACAAATACTCCGATACAACTTATTGATTTTCAAAATAAGATCTATGAACGAAGTAATAAATTTAGTAAAACGGATCGTAGATGCATATCAACGTGCATTAGAGTGACACAAACCAAAGCCCAAGCCTCCCAAAAACCAACAAAACCAAAGCTACTTTAACTCGGGAAAGTAGAACATAAAAATAAAACAAAATCACCACCAGAAGAAATAATTACGAGCCAATGTCGCGATTAATTTGCTATTTTGATGATACATTTCAAAGAGAAAGAACGAATTATTGAAAATTTCAAAGTAATTCGGTCAAATTAGAATAAAAACTGACATTAATTTACGGCAGGGAAAGTGGACAAAAACGGTTAATATAAAACATTAAATAAATTTAATAAAAAAATGGAAATGATAGGGAAAAGCTAAAGCGACAGGTGAAAAAATGCAGTAGATCGAGGAGCGAGGGGAAGGATCAAGTACATTGCACGTAGGCAAGAACATGCGCCCTAGCGGTTGAATAATGGAAGCGGTGGATACGGCATTTTGGAAGAAGAGAGGTTAAGATCAAATGGCGATAAACCCTAGAAAAAGAGACAATGAGAGTGGCAGTGACGGAGAAGAAGAGAGCGTTGCTCTGTGACTGTGATTTGATTGGTAGAGAAATGTAGAGAGAGAACGCGCAAAAAGGAGACCCTTTTGGTTTTGGGCAAAGGAACACTCGTAATGACATTTTTGTCCTAATCTTCCCTATAAATTGCAACACACGGAACGGATAGAGAAGGGGCAATACTGTTTTTTATTATTGTCCCCCACTTTTATGATATATTTTTCTTAAATATTAACATTTCGGATATATTTTTAGTCTGTCAATTTTTATAAAATTTTAAATTTTATTTCTCAATTTTTTAGTTTTAATTTTATTATTTTGAATTTAATATTTTAAATTCTTAATAGTGATATAAACTTATAAAAAAATATGTAATAAATTTTTAATTAATCCTGTTGTTATTATAAACTAAAATCATTAAATTTTAAAAAACATAAAAAGTGAAACCTTAGAAGTATGAACAAAAAATTATTTAATTAATTATTTGGTCCTGAAAAGGTACCCAATTTTAATTTAATCTTTATAAAAAAATTATTAGAATGTAATTTTTACCCTTTCACATATTATTTATCTTTAATTTATTTAACCTGGCCTATTAAGGTATTATCCAATATCAGCTTTTAATTAGACTGTATTAGTCAAATTAACTAAAAAAATAATTTATGAAAAATCAACATATTTCATATGGACTAAATCTAAATTATATAATTTTTATATTAATTAAACTAACTCAAAATACATTTTTAAACTGATAGTAACCAATGTCTTGATTAAACTTGGACACAATCAATCGGTTAGAGTTAAAATATTAGTATAAGACAATTTTTTAAAAATTAAACTTTTTCATCATATAATATTTTGAAAGATAAATGAAGATTGATATGTGAAAATATAAACTGTTGGTTTTAAATTATTTATATTTATTGTAAGTAATATAATTATTTTACATTAGAGTAAAAAAAATATTCATAAATTGTTTGTATTTTACTCATTAAACTCTTTAAGTTAAAAATATATTTAATTTTTTAAATGAGTTAAATATAAAAAAATTTATAACTTTAATAACTTGCAAATAATTCATATATAATTGTTTCACCTAGATATGAAAAGTAAAATTTTATTTATTGTCGTCTTATACAGGCAATTTATCGAAAAAACAAAAAATTCAAGAGTTATATGGACAAAGATAAACTCCAACCCAAAACACAATCCCAGCCAAGTCTTGAAGTAGAAATTCATCACAACCCTCGAGATTATCTAAAATATGCAGCCCTAAAGAGGAAAATTGAGAACAATTGGCAAGCCATTTAGGTATTAAAATATTTGATCTTATGTTTACATTCTTAAAAAACATCCTTACTCAAATTAACATTATCTACAATGGATTTAAGTAATTTATTTGAATCTTAAGTTTAAATTTTATTATCATGCTTGTATCCTCAAAATGAGTGTGCTAGTTGTGGATGCGAAGGAGGCGAATGAATGGATGAATCTCCAAATGCAAATGCATCGCCGACTTAAATTCCCAAACAGGTAGGTAATGGGATTTCATTTCTATATTTAATTAATGGATCATATTCCACGTGTGTATATATATTCCAACATGTTATGCTGATGTGGCCATGTGCTGCTGGGACCCCCGTGCCTCCCCTTCAGATTCTTCAGAAAAGAAGGCGAACCATCATGCTGCCCACTTTACTCCATTTTCGGCGTTTTTAATATTTTTTTAATAACTTGTTTTCAATGTCCACACATTTGATACAAAAATATATGCTAATTTTCAAGTTCAAATTTCATTTTTAGTATTTTCTGGGCCCAGCAAGACTTTATTTATTTATGATATATTTAAATTTGAAATTTATTGGATCAATCTAATAACTTATTCTGTGATCGAATAAGTTTGTCCAAATCAGATTATATGATAAAGAGTCCATCTCATGTTAAAATTTATATTATTTTAGTATGTAAAAACTGCGTTTATTTCTCTTTTATGGAAAGAGTTTTGTTAATATTAGGACTGCTTTTAAGTAATTATAAATAAAAAATTATTATGTTAAACAGATAAAATTATAAGGCTTTTTTAAAATAATTTTTTATATTTTAAAAATTAATCCTGAGAGTTAATATTAATATTTTTTTTATAAAAATTCTTTTTCCAAGTTAAAATTACACATGATCTTATTAAGTAAAAACTTTACATTATTTTTATTTAAAATATTTATAAATTTTAAAAGAACTCCCATCTATTGGAATTATTTTAAATATTTTATAAAATTTTGAATTATTAGTATAATTTTATAGCTAATAAAAATATTTGGTAAAAAAAAGGATAGAAAGGGAATAACACTCCAATCTTAAAAGAGAGGGCATCACTCATATATTGGGGGACAAAGACCAACCTAAATGATCATTATACAGACTTAAACCGTAAGTAGTTTTATCTAATTATAATTATTGAACTAATTACTAAACTTTTCTGGATTTCTCTAGAAAAAAGTATAATCATCAAACAATTTCGAATGATTAAGGAAATTTAACCGTAGGCCCGTGTTGCTAATACCATTGTTGAATATACATTCCAGCTTAAGCCTTTACAATAAACACTTTGTTAAATATCCCTTGTTGAAGCTTTGATAATTGATATTGTATTACTTGAAAACATATTATGATTATTTTTAGTTTTGTTAATCTCAAATTTTAAGGTTGAATTTAACCATTAACAAATAAAAAAATTTTATGAAAAAATATACATTTAGTTTATTGAAATAATAAAAATACAATAAATACTTTTCTAAAATTTTACTATTATTAATTATTTATCTTAACTTTAAGACTAACAAAATCCTTTTTTATATATATATTTTTTCCTCTACAATAGCCGTTACGTCTTTTTTTCTTACATGTTATATGTATTTTCTTCTCTGAGGGTACATTTTTCACTTAACCAGATAACTACTCATGAGATAAATCTGCACGACAATTTATATATTGTTTAAATTTTCGACCTTTCATACTAATATATACTTCGTACAAACTTACACAATTTGATGCTGCAAAGAACAGCCAATTAAATACATGTACTCAAGCAATTGGATAAATGCCAGTACCAAAAGGCAGAAAACCTCTTTTGCTCAGTTCCTCCACAAAATTATAGATACAACAGGAGACAAAAAAAATAAAAAATAAAAATCTAAGCTATTATTTTGGTCCTCTAAATATACACTTCATCAACTTGGTCTACTTAAGAGTTGTGACATTAAAATGATTTTTCTGTCAAACTCGATGACAATAATTTGAATCATTTTAATGTCATTTGTAATCTTTAAAAGATCAATTTGACGTCATAAATGTGTAAACAAGCAAATTAATGCCAAGTATAACTTTAATTATAATTTAGCCTGTAAAAAAGAATATCAAAGGCTGTGGAACAAGAAACCCATGAAGCCTTGACACCAAGAAGGGCATTCTCACTTGGCACTCCCTGTCCTCTTTTTCACATCTATAGATCCTGGATGCTTTCTGGCTTGAGTAGCTAAGGTGGGTTGTTTCTTTGATGGGGTAGGAATCAATGATGGGATCATACTCCTATTTGCATACAAGGTTGTAGGAAAGCCAAAAAAAAGAAAAACAGCAGAGTTAATATCTATGAGAAGCGCATATGCAACATAAACTAATTCACGTTTACTTTAACGCTACTATTTATAGTGTCTGCGTTGAAAAGGTTGAGAAAACTTCAAATGTGAATCCAACCCAGAAGCCCGAGCTAACAGTGTTAAACTAACATGAATTCAAACACACACTAAGACGGTTAATTACCTGGTTTCTGGATTCTTTGCTAGTCTGGTTTTGGTTGGTTTGTTTGGTTTAGAGCCTAATCCGTTTGGAATGCCGGTTGGTTTAGGTACATGTGATGGCCAATGCAAGTCTGATTCTGAAGAATCACTAGTTGCCATGTCATGTTCATCAGATTCATCTGAGTGGTCAAGGGATATTTTAGAAGGCTCTGAGAGAGAAGTGGGACTTAACAATGGAGAAAACTGTTTACTCTCTGCTTCCCACTGTCCCACAAGGCTGTCATCACTAGTTAAACTGTCATTCCTGTTCATTGAAATCTTATCAACCCAATCCCCAGAAACTGATTCCTTGTCTTCATCCTTTCCATGATTTCCAACATGTGGCCACGGAGGTGAATTCCTATACATGTCATGGAGATCTAGGCTTCGCCTTTTCAACTTTGTCGCTGCCTTTTTCTGGCCCTACAAATACATACATAACATACCTGTCAATCATATATACCATCTCATTCCTTCACATATCACACTGTCTATCTAGCATTGCATTATTATTTATGATTTTTTTATTGTGTATCCAAATTACACAAGAAAAATTTACTATTTGTTAATTTCTTATTGTCCAACACACGTTAAATAAATCATATTATACATGAACAATCATTTCCAAATTACTAAATTAATTTGATGGAGTTAAGGTAGATAACATGGTACCTCCAAGCTACTAGAATCATCTCTTGGCAGCTTACGGGCTCCAGGTGTCCAACTACGTTGCATAGGAGGAGAGGAAGCATATGATTTCAACTTTGGTATTTCAGGGCTATTATTCACAGAATGTGGAAAGTGTTCTCCTTCTCCCTCCTTTCTCGCTAATGCGGCCTTCAGACTAGCAATCTGGCAAGCATGATGGTACAAAATTTTACTCAACAAACGATTTCAAGATACAATGATAACAAATAATAATAATAATAATAATAAATGCAGGAACCTGTTCTTTAAGCTCTTTCACATCTGAATTATCTTTGTTAACTCGTGCAGCACCGAGTTCAACAGTGGAGACCCGTTCCGCGAACTTGAGTGTGCTAAGTGTTTCTCCTAGAGCATCAGGCTCGGGACTAATATGAACAAACATAAGGGTCTTTGCTTGCCCTCCTGATATAATAAAGAAAGCAGTAACTTTATAGAAGAAATAGTTATGAAGTCAAAAGAAATAACTAAGAAAAATGAAAAATCATACCAAGAGAATCCTGAAGCAGCTGAGTAAGTTTGCTGTTCCTGTAGGGAACATGTGCATTCTTGGATGCAAGGGAAGAAATTACATCTCCCAAGGCAGAAAGTGACTTGTTGATGTGTTGAGCCTCCTTAAGTCTATCCCCTGTGGCCTCTGTTTTATCAGCTCTCTCACTTCCTGCCAGGTCAACAAGATGCATACTACCACGAATAACACTTCCAGATGTCAGGTTCCTTCCTTGAACATGAACTGTTAGGCAGCTACAACAATAATTCCATTACAAGTTAGTAATATTATTATCATGAAAAGGGTCAATGTTGTGTTGCCCAAGGCCAACTAAATGGGATCAATATCACCACTTTTGTTATCAGCACAAGGTCATTAGAAAAGAAGTTCATCAAAGTTATCCCATTGGTAAATAACATTATCCTAAGTGGACTAATGAAGTTGAGATGTATTGCAAATTGTATCAACATTTTTATTTAACTTATTATTAACAAAATATCGTTAACCCACAGAAGATGGTAACATAGACAAGTCCTTAGAAATTGATTGATTACCTGTGAGAGCGACTGCTACGATCATTCATGGCAGTGGCACCAACGGCTCGATTCTTATGTCCCAAGTTCATTAAATTTATGACATCGTCCGTGCATGAAACGGGAACAAGGTTCGCATCTGGCACGTTGATGCCATTATGGGAACTGTTGCGAATTTCTAATGTATGCTACTGTTAAGAGTTACACTTAATTTATGGAACAAGAGAATCAATAATTGAACATTGCATCCAGATACAAATCCAACACATGGAAAATACTTTTAATTATAGCAACAGAAAGGATATCTTTTGTTAGAACCATCTGTGGATAGAAGATCTTTGACTTGCTCGTTGTAAATCTCAAGCATCTGAACAGAGATTTCATAAGAAATGGTGTCTTTCCTCTGCTCTTGGAGATGGAAAAGATCTCTCAGTGCACGGTAGTTGACACCTATGGTTTCCTCATTAAGATCGTCTGGTCCAGACTGCATCATGCACATACATTAACAGAGTTATTAGTCATTACAATTTTCACAAGTCCGAGGTTGAAAACAACTATACAAGGTTGTCTGAATCTCTTACCATAGTAAACGTTTTTCCTGATCCCGTCTGGCCGTAGGCAAATATACAGACATTGTAACCATCCAGAACAGAACGAATCAGAGGCTGTGTATCTGAGAAAACTTCCCCTGCAAGTAAACCATAAAGATCGGCAATGACAAAAACACAGTGAGTAGCAAATGTTTTAGAGGATGGACACACTAAGACCAAACCAACCTTGTGTTGCAGAAGGACCAAACGCTTTGTTGAAATTAAATATCTTCCTCCCCTCTTTCCCATATTTGGAAGGTGTTATGATTGAGATACTTCCCGCTTCCACGTTACTCACAGCACTATGATGACTTGGTTGCCCACCCAAGAAGGGTCGTACTCTACAGTACACCCTAATGTTTCCTACCCACATGCAAAAATTTTGACCATTTACTCTCATTTAGAACTTGAACAAACAACCAAGGAGCAAAATTATAGACAAACTCTTGATTGTTGGAATTTACCTTTCAGATCCTGCACTTGATTATATAGCTTGCGGTTTTCTTCAAGGACTTTGTGGTATCCTGAAGCAGCAGAAGATAGGCTATGCAAGTGCTTACCTGTTAAGGTTAGATAGTTAGTAAGTAGATAGATAAATGATATTTTTTTGTCAAATGAATTAGAGGGTTTTCTATTATCATTAAACTTACTTAAATTAATGATCTCCTTCTGGTGTTCCTTCTGCATAAACTGCATTCCTGATTTTGTTTGATGGACGATGATTTTCAATTCCTAAAAAATGTTAACTTGAAATTAGTTACTTTACCTCATTAATTCCTGAACAATATCTACATTAAATTCCGGTATATGTTAAGAATTACTTGGATGCTTCTGTTTTGTTGTTCTACTATCTTTTGCTGCTTCAAAATCAAACTCTGGATGTTTGATTCTTCATGACCATTGTACTTCTCTTCATAAAATTCCTCTTTTTTATCCTGTACTTCCTCCGGTTCATCTTCCTTTTCTTCAGTCTGAATACTCTCCAGACGAACAAAGCCAAGCAGTTGAGATCGTGATAATAATCAATCCAAACATATTCGTTTGCACTTGCAAGACAAAAGCAATTCAGAAATGTGAATTTTACCTCTTCATCAACTGAAGCAGCTTTGGAAATTGAACATTCTGTTTCAGATGGTGCCTTATCTTCTTGAGTTGTTTTACACTGCCAATGTTACAATTTTGACATTAAATTCAGTGAGATTTGTGGACCCGAGAAATGTGAAAATATTCGTGAGCGGCTATGAGATTGATCAGAGAGATGATGCATACCGTTTCTTGTTGGATTTGCATGCGATGTTCAAATTCTTCCATGACTTTGCTAAGGAGGGATTCTACCACCTGTTATAGCAAAAGATGTATATCATTAGTTAAGTAGGGACAAAACTAAAGGAAAAGGATAAATTCATTGAAGAAAAGTGGTTCATGTTATATCCATAATAGTATCATGCGATGCACTTGGGTTACTGGGTGCATGTCGGAAATTACTCAAAATACTTGTCAGAATGGTAATTATAGCTAAGGATGAAAAAATATATATCTATTGACTTACAATGGGAATTTCTTCTGGCTTCTTCTCAAATAAATATTCACGAACTAGTGCTTTTAAGGAAGGAAAGGAACCCTGCGTATATCAATTCAAAAAACTTAAGACAGATGAACCTCACCATCTACACAAAAAGTATAAGATCATAAACAATAAAGCTCCCTAACCCCTTCATTTGGATCATGCCCGGGATCACTCATATAACCATCTCTGTCCCCTGATGACATAGTCCATAAAGACTTCATGAATGGTTCAGAGTTTTTCCTCGCAATTGGTTTCCCGGAGGTAGGTGGCTTTGGATTCCCAGCCCCACCATTTTTCCATGACCCATGTCTTCCTCCATGTTTCCCTTCAGCGTAGGACTTGAGAGCTAGAACACAATTCACTATCCTTGAAGATTTTCCTCCCTGAAATCCACACGTGGAGGGGAAAAAATGTTAAAGCTAGAGCAATTTCAATGACATTGATCTCAATCTATTGAATCCATCAAAGTACTAAACAGAAAACTTTAAGTCTGGTCAATAAGCACCTGTTCCAAATCAGAAGCTTCAAAGGTTGGAAGCCCCATTTCCTCCATAGCTACAAGAAAATTCCTTACATTTTCAAAATATTGAAACGCAGACAGTGCTGCCCCGTCAGGAATAATAACAGAATCGCATGAACCTTCAACTACCTAATAATATTGGTCAAAAATCAAATAAATGTTTAAAGAGAGTAAATACTTAAGGAACCAATATATAAGGCAGAGAAAAAACACATAAAATATAAATAATTGAACCTTGGGCACTGCTCCAGGTTGAATTTTGTTAAGAACATTGCAGAGGATAATCCCACTACGCAATCCAATCCTGAAGTCTTCTTCAGAAGGCTCAGCTGGCAAGTCTTTCCCTCCAACAACTCCAACTGTCTTTCGCAGCCAACCAGCTGCTTCATATCTTCTCAAGGCTTCAAAACAACACAAGTAAAATCTCCGTTATTTCTTCTCTTCGAGATCATTCAAATTTTCTATGGCCATGTAGTTACTAACACTTGTTTCCATCATTCAATCAAGCTCCTTGTTTTCCTATATCATCAAAACGTTAACGGCTTATGAAGCCAAAAAGAACAATGTTTTCATTTTCAACTAAGCAAGCGTCCTTTATTGGTTGAACATAAAAGAAAAACAACATTAGCTATTATAAGTTTCACCAAAAAACTTGAATTGATTTACGTAATGATATTCTGAGAGTAATGAGATAGAAACAATGGAGAGAGGGGATATATACAAGCTTCTTCAGCTTTTCTTGACGCCAAGTTGACGTCTAAACGGCCACCATGTTGTTGAAGAACATCTTCGACCACAGAAACAACAGAGAATGGTACAAATTGTTCGGTTGTCATAACTAGGCCTCAAAACACAAAAAATGAAAAGACCAAGCCACTGACAGACACAGAATTGAATTTAAATTGTATATATTAACCAAAATGGAATAACCCCAGCCTCTTATAAAAAGCTTCAGCCTTGGGGAAAATGACACAGAATTCTAAAGCTATGTATGAAAGAAGTTAGCTTAATTCTCAGAGGAAGAGAATGTGAATGAAAATATAGACACTAATTTTTAGAAAAGCTTCAAGATGAAGCTGCAGAATCACAGAGAATGGAAAGGAATTTAAGAAAGAAAAGAGAAAGAAAATGGCGTTGGAATTTCTCTTGCTTTCTCTTGGTTCTCTGGTCTTTCTCTCAATAGTTTGCTGTCTATATTGACGTTGAAAAGCTAACACCGAACCTGGTTCCGAGCCTCTCGCTGTGTCACTTATTGGTTTATATTTACCGGGTGATAAAAAGCAATAGTTTCTAGTTTATATATGTTTTGCCATTTTGTGAAACTTTGTCTACTTCCTATCTTTAATTATCCTAATCACGGTGTAATAATTTACTATTATATATTCAGGATACGTACAGAAACTGTAAAACATTAACAAAATTTTAAATTTTAGAATAATTGTTGAATATTGTTTTAACTTTGACAATCAATAAAATAAGTCATAAGAAACTACAGCCTATTTATAGAAGTAACTATTTTCACGTTTTTCTCTTTTTTTGGAGACAATTTAGTACTGAAATGAAAACAAAATTAGTTTTAATTATGGGATTTTTGTCCCCCTCATTTCTACCTTCGAATGGGAAGTATGTCAATACCTATTGTTGCACTCAACTTTATTCAGTTGAAGAGATATTATTGTAAATCTGTTTGATGTAACTAATGTATTGTAAATTATACTTTTAAGAAGTAATTTTCTGTTTAGGTGAACACGCTTTTCTTTAGTTTGTTGTCATAGTAAAACAGAATTTATTTTACATGAGATAAATATTTTGTCTGTGAATATTACAGCTGAACCTTTTTATGTCTTTTATTTTATCTGTTTGCTATGAGATGGAACTATATATTTAGCAATAAATACTGATAAAGGAGGTTCTATACCGGCAGAAAGAAAATACAACAGTTTAAAAATGCATGCACGGGTTTTCCAGATTATGATTCAGAGACTTCATTCCAATTAATACAATATACGATTTTGTTAATTTAAATTTAAATAATTAAGAATAATGACATTTTATTCAAAAAATAATTATTATATTAAAAATAAAAATATAATAAATAATTGTCTTTTCACTAAAATCTTATTACTATTAATTGTTTAAACTTTAAATTTAAAGGTTGAGTTTAACATTTTCGACCATATATGTCTCGAGTAAAACAGTAAGAATTTTTCATGGATATGTTGATCAGTCCTAAAATTTCATGGAAGTAAAAATAAGTCTACAACTATACAAAGCAAAAATCAATGTTATTTTGCTGATGCTAGTCCATGCATTATGCTGGCACAGGAACAAACCAGCACCAGCAGTAGGCTATGAAACAAGGAATGTTCTAGACTCTACAGAGTTCACAACACTTTAGTACATATCAGTTAAAAAGGGAAGTCTAAAGTCTCTGAGCTTCAATATCTGTATTGATTTGTAGGTGTTAATTAACCAAGTCCTGGCCCCAGCCAATGTTCTCAAAAGTACATAAGGAATAACTTTTTGGAAAAATAATTTTCTGGGTGAGAGGGAATTGAGCAAGGGTGACTAGTGTACAATGTTTGTGCATGCATCCATTACCAAAAACTGGACCATTTGCTTGGTGTATTTTCTAATTTAGCAATTAATTTGTGATTCATTATTGTTGTTATTATACTATATATTAACCATATACTACTCCGCAAACACTCCAGCTCCTCTTACATGTAAAGCCTTGAACATGTTGTCATCATTAGGCTCTAAAAAACTTGGATATATAGTAAACAAAATCTAACACAAAAGCATTCTTCCATGATGCATGATTAGTACCATTACACAAATTAAATGAACCTTAATACGTAAAATTTAAGTTCTTATGGATCATTTTCGGACCCTCCCCACTCTCACATTTTCCCTTAACAATGTATAAATTGTTAAAATAATATCTGTACATTCATTAAAGTCGGTTTTCCAACATAATCTAATTGTGTGGGTTTCTTTCATGAATGGTTATCAAATTGACATGTCAAAATGAATCTAAATAAGAAACTTTTATAGGGGCCGTGTACGTGGGTTCTTTCTGCACTCTTCCTTTTGTAGATTTGAATTTTCTGATTGTTGGAAGTGATGTGCTTCAACGTTTATATTAAAAGCCACAGCTTTTCTGTCATGAAAAGGGCATCAAGAGCACATGAGTACTTTGTATCAACTTATGATTTTGGTCACCAAGGACCTTTGTTTCTAATCCACCTTTGAAAGAATTGATGTCAAAGCATCTGAAGCCTCTAATACCAACAGGCCCTGCTACCTAAGCTATGGGATTGCTTATCAAATATTGGATGTATTATTTGTAAAGCACGAACTAACGCAAGGCGAGCACACATGCAATGTCTAAATGTCTAGTGACTAGCAACTTGATAGTTAAGTTCATAAATGTAACTTTGTACATATATAAAATTATTTTTATAAATTAATTAGATAAAAAAGAGTTCCATGTTCAACTTAGTTGCGTAATGCTTTCTCAAATTCATAGTTCAAGCAAAGAGAAAAAAGTTGAAGGGGCCAATGCAAAGAGATAGGCACCACCGTGCTTTACAGATTGTTACCTTAGCCTAAACTATTGGTCCCAACTCTAGTCAAGGTTAGAAAAAGCTTGGCCACACCACATGATGATCTCAGCACACGCCATAGAATTAAACATCCATTGAAATATCTCACAACAATTGTTAAGGATCTAGTTTTTAGATTTTACACAAACAACAACATTTTCTCGTTTTATACTACAAAAAATACACATTAACTTTGTTTTTCTGCAGTTACATTTTCTTTTCTTCCACCAATACAGATTATAAATAGAATCTAAGTATTTGTTTATTTTTTAATTTTGATAAAATTAATTCAAGTTGTTAAATATTATTAAGATATGCATCTTAATTAATTACAACTACATGTTTTTCATTAAAATGCATGTCACATTTAGAAAAGATAGCCTCAAAATACTAGTATTTTGTTGGGAATGAAAGTCCACCCAACTTGTTAACCTACATGTTTTTGATTAAAATGCATGTCACAGTTAGAAAAGATAGCCTCAAAATACTAGTATTTTGTTGGGAATGAAAGTCCACCCAACTTGTTAACATTACCAGACACACACAAAAAGCCCAAAATCGAAATCGAGAAGGTTACCTTTTTTTTTTGTCGTAAAAAGGTTAACTTATGACAGTGGCTTTGTTGTCAACTCACAAAAGGCCCATCACCCTCCAAAGTCCAAACTTGAGTGGTGTTTCAAACACGTGATTCCTAGCCTAGCCTAAAAGCTTAGGATAAAATTACATATAGGAAAAGGTCCCAAACGAGACTTGTTTCCAGGTGCGTCCAAATTACATAATACTGCCAACGTTCAATAGTTGTTGCTGCCAGCCCAATCCTCCATTGGTAGGCTCCAGCTATTAGAGCAACTCAGGTCTTAATGCAACTTTGAATGGTTCGGTATACACCCTTTTTCATTATTTATCACAAAAGGATACAACCCTTTATATACTTTACAAAATAAACTGCTATCATAGGTAGTACATAATCTTAGATATAGCCCTTTTAAATGATCTATAACTTCAAGATATTGCATTCACTATAAAACTTGAAGGATGGTAAATATTTTATACAAAAGTAAGATTATTTTAAAAATATTGTAGATATTATGTGGGTCAAATAGGTCAACATGCCATCATCAACTCTAGATTATAATATGGTTTGATAAAATGTTAGCTTTCAACGATTCTCTGTAAAAGTATAATTCTTCATTTACATGATTAATGGAATGAATAGCATACGAGACATTATTTTACATGTGCTTCCCTTGCTAACTCTGAGAAGTGTGTGGATAGATGCTTTCAAAGCCTTTGTAAGAGTACTTGCAGAGATACTTTAGTGTATGATAAATGTGATTCGTAGCAATTTGAATCACAACAGAGAGCTTCATAATTAACTAGACGTAACAAGAATACCCAGAATGACACTTCAATCTTTTAGTCATTACACGAATAATAGACATAGACAAGCAATGGGTGTGAATGATCAGAGAAAGCATGCATGTATGTTGTTCATATACCCTTTACCAGAGAATCCACAGACATCTTGAATGCACATTCAAATAGACTTCCTGTTTTGTTTTTATTTATTGATTTATTTTGTTGACAGTTTAAAAAATATACACATGCATGTATAACTTGGTAATAATGAAGAGGCACGTATAACTATCATGTCTTGAAAAAAAACATTTCTGAATCAAAATTAGGGAGACAAATTTATATATTATTGTGATCTTTATTAAAAAATTATGTGCGCTGTTTCCGATCCCAATAGAAAAACAAAAATCCACCTAAGACCCTGAAATGGTTGCACATTTGTACCTGGCTAGGCTAACATACCTACTCCCTCTTTCAAGTAAAACGCTGTCGTTCCTTGTTATTTAAGCCCTCTCTGCTGAATTGGAAATCAACGGTCCTGATTCAAAGACGGACGTTGATATGTTCAACGTGCAGACGCAGTTGAACTGCTGTGCGGGGCATACTCGTCATTTGACATTTGGACTAGTGGAAAAACTCTTGTATCTTTCTTATATACATACATGTGTGTATATATGTATGTATTCCTTTAAATCTTATGATAATTATAATCAAGTTATGTCTTTCTTACCGATTAGTGGGGTTAATATTTTATTTTTAATTAATTTTAGAAAAATAATTAAATTTTATTATTTTTAATTAATTTTGTACTTTTATTTATATTAAGTATCTCAGATTATATATTTGTGAATTTTAAATTATTATTAATTAAATTTATTTATTTATTTTTTAAATACATCTTCTTCTAACATTGTATACTAGATACACCCTCATCTCTACAATCCTCTTAATAAAAACTATGTTTATACTAAATTATTTTAAGTATTATTACTTGAATTTAACAAGTTTAACTTATAAATTTTTGTCCAACTTTTAGTGTAAAAAATTATAATGAACTAATTAGAATACATTATAAATATAATTTGTACAATAATTATCATAAAAATTAATAATGTTCCCTTATATATTAATTTATAATTAAACAATAATATAAAATTTCTTTATATTATCAGTATTTAAATCAAATTGATTAAAATTCTAATATATCATACCAAATTAATAGAGACTATGTAAAGTATTCATTTAAATAATTTATTTTATAATTCTATCTATAAGTCAAAAGAAATTATTTTTTAATTCATTATAATTTAATAAAAAAATTTATTGTTTTTTTTTTAGATATACAACTTTTTTGTTATCGAATAACAATGACATTTTAGATAAGATTTTATTGTTTTTCAGTTTCACTTATTTATACACGACTTTATATTTCATTTTGTTAGATTAATTCACACACACGTTTCTGTTAAAATAAAAAAAATGAAAAGTATTTTAATTGAATTATTTTTTCGTTTATTTTTATTTATTGACGTGATTGAAAATATTTATTTACTAATTCTTCATCGGAATTAGTCTTCCAATAAAACTATTTATTAATCAATTTAAAACATAACTATATAATTAAGAAGTTAAAAATTGTGAAAGCATTAATATCAGAGATAAATGATATTTACAATTTTATTATTATAAATAATCAACAAAATCTGTTAATGGTTGTATTTTGAAACATTAAATGAACAATTAATAACAGTAATCGTAAAAAAAAGTCATATAAAATAAAAGATCTTACTTGCAATAATGTAGATTAAACGAGTAATTAAAAAACACACAGATAGAGATAAAGCGAGGAACTTACGGTTTTAAGTTTAACGTCGACAGAGGTATTTTTGTAATTTGGATGCGGACGCCGTTTGAACGTTCTCAGGGATGAAAAATACGGTGGGTTGGTTTCTCTCTCTCGATGTGAAAGAAAAGAAAAGAAAGTGTATAAAATAAAATAAACATAACGGGGCGAAGAAACAACCGAAACGAAACGAAACGTTTCTTGGAATTTGGAAACCCGGTTCATCCTCTGCGCCTCCTCTCCCAGGTACCCACCAAATATTTTCCATATCTTTCTATTTGATTCCCACCTTATCATGAATTATTGTTGTTATTTTGCATTGCTACGCATGATTTTATTTTATTTTTTATTTTGCTTGGGTGGCATAATCCCTAAAATAATTATGGGATCTCTGTAATTAATTTACTTTTTATGTTTAGGCTTATTGCTAAATCAGATCTTTGCTTTCTTATTGGTTGTTGGTAATTTGATTTCCCAGTTTGAGTTGAGGTTAAAGGGGAGCCTTGGATGGAAGGATGATGACACGATTTAATTTGATTTTATTTTTTTGAAGAAGGTTTAATGCTTTATGCCCTTGAATGGGGTTTCTGATAAATTGGCACTTTGGGTTTTTGTTTGTTGTGTAAAAACAGATGGCAAGGGGAGGAAAGGTTAGTGGCAAACGCAGTTTCAGGAAGAAGGTTAGGTCGAAGGAAGGGGGTTCTGATGATTCAGATGAGGATTATGTGGTTTCAGATGATGGTAGGGATGTGTCTGATTGTCCGGAGGATTCTTTCTCCTCTTTAGATGGATGTGCTTCTGAGGAGAGTTTTGATGATTTTATAGAAGAGGAGGATGAAGGGGAGGAGGAAATTCGTCAAGTGAGGAAATTCAATAGATCAAAGGCCAAAAGTAGCGATTGTGATCAGCGGAAAATTGTAAGTAAAACATCACGAAAGAGGGGGAGGATTGCGTATGCTGAACAACTAGAACAAGAAGAAGAACAAGGGGGAGATGGAGATGATGACGATGAAGAAGAAGATGAGGATTTTAATTATGACGATGATGAGGAATTTACCCCAGAGGAAGAAGATTACTCAGCTGAGGAAGAAGAAACAATGGAGAGAAAGAAGAACAATGATGGTGTGAAAATGGGCAAGAAGGTTTTACGGAAAAGGGTTTCTGCAACTTCTACCACAGGTCGGAAAAGGAGGATATCTAGAGCTTCAAGGAAGCCAAAGAGAAAGAGAAGACGACGGAGTGGAGGATTACTGAGGAAAGTACAACTTGATGATGTCGATGATTTTATAGATAGCCCAGCAATCAGGATAAAGAGTAGGAAAAAATTGGGTTGGGAAAGGAGAAGGATTGTCCTTGAAGATTCCAATTCTGATTCAGATTGTGTATCTGGTTCGTCTGATTATGAATTTACTATCTCTGAAGAAGAGAGGGAACAGGTGAGAGAAGCTAAGGAATTGTGTTTAAGAAGGAACTTAAGGAGTTCTTCCCTGCTAGTGACAAATGAAGTGGTTGGAGTACATGACAATGTACATCAGCTACGGAAGCCTCCAGCCCGGAAGGGTAAGGAAAAGGTAGAGGAATCTCAAGGAAGAAAAGGTAAGGAAAAAATAGAAGATTTAAAAAGTGAGGTGGGAAAGCAGGTGTGTGGAATTTGCCTGTCTGAGGAAAATAAAAGACGATTAAGGGGTGTACTAAATTGTTGCACTCACTATTTTTGCTTTGCTTGCATTATGGAGTGGTCAAAGGTGGAATCTCGATGCCCTTTGTGTAAGCAAAGATTCAAAACAATCAGTAAACCTGCACGATCAACAGCAGGAGTTGATTTGAGAGAAGTGGTGATACAAGTGCCAGAGCGTGACCAGGTATTTGAGTTTTACTTCATGTAGGCTTTACTTTTTGCCTATATTTTTGCACTTGCTTCAATAGTTGCTCATGGTGAAAGATTTCACCTGCAGGTTTATCAGCCGTCTGAAGAAGAACTGAGGAGCTATATTGATCCATATGAGTATGTTATTTGCTCAGAGTGCCATCAAGGTGGGGATGATGGCCTGATGTTACTCTGTGATATCTGTGATTCCCCTGCACACACTTATTGTGTTGGTCTGGGGAGGGAAGTACCTGAAGGTAATTGGTATTGCAATGGTTGTAGACCAGTTGCTTTGGGATCTTCAAACTCCCAAGTGCAAGAACGCGTGACAGATCCAAGGTTGACAACTCAAAGCCTGCCTATCAGATCATCATCTGGTCTTAATGTGAGAGAGAGTATAGACCTCAACATGGTGTCTTCACCTCGTACATCTTTCAATCAAGCATTTGTGCATCTTCCATCTTCTAGATTATCTGGCCGAAATGTTGAAGGAGCTTCTCCAGTACCGGGAGGAGGGGCACCAACTTTATCAGAGAGACGCTGGATACACCGTCAAATTCAGCAGTTACTTTCAGTAGATAGAATGAACTCTCCAACTGCCACAACAAATGGTATTTCAGCTACCAGTTCAACAAACAACTTATATAACTCTCAAATTGATCAAAGTAGGGAACCAGTCACTCAACATACAAGGACACAGGATGTAGGAACATCATATCACACATTCTTTGAGGAGAGATTATGCAACAATCTCTCTCCATTAATACAAAATGGAGATTCTTTCTCCATAAGAATAAGCAACTCAAGAAGGCAAGTGATTCACAATTCAGCGGCATTTGCCAATGGGCCTGTGAATGGGGTGCTATGGCCTGGACTTGTGGCGGCACCCCCCATATCAGGCTATGAGGCAGTCCATCAGTTTGGAAGCAGAGCTAACATTAACATTGATGGTAGTTTGCCCCCTGCGATCAAAGAAGAGAGTAATTTCTTCATTGTAAAGGAGCAGTTGCAGTCAATGGTTAATAACCACCTAAAGAGCTTCTCTCGAGATATTGATTTAGGTAAATGTAGTTTTGTTCTTTCTATCAATCACAGTATATATCTACCAATGTTTGAACATTTTTCATCATCAATAATTAAGCCACTAGACCATTACACAAAAAAAACTAGGTAGGCTTCCCTGTCATGTGAAGAGAACCTTGATTGCCATTGAGGCACCGTGTGTGTCTGTGTTATCCTTTTTCAATCGAGCAGTGGAATAACTTTCCATCATTGTTTCTTTTAACAGGGAATTTGCATCTATTTCGATTGATTTTGCTTTTGATGATCTCATTCAAATATTTTAAATGCCTTTTTATGTATTGATTCAGGCCGTAGTACTTTCCAAGACATTGCAAGAAGTTCCATGCATACCACACTCGCAGCTTGTGGGCTTGAGCACGACAAGAGTGAGGTTTGCACTGTGCCACCACCCGTGTGTCCCCACATTGAACTAATGGCTGGTGGACAAACGAGTCTGATTAAAGGGTGCTGTTCATCTTGCTTTGATTCTTTTGTAGGGGATGTGGTGAAAAGGATTTTGGACACAAGAATGTCATCTCAATGGTTACGATTAGGACTTTAGGCATAACATTCTTACAATGTGTCCTGAGCACACCTTTTTTGTCATCACAGAGCCTATATAATTCAATTTGTTAACTTTGGCGCTCATACAGATGGCGATCAAGAATAAGCCTTACCTTGTTTGAAACGATTCAATTGTAGAAGGCTTAATTTTAGTTTGTTATAGTCAAATTTTGATTTTGGTCTTCTAATATATTTTTTTAATTTATTTTTGTAATTTTTAATTGTTATAATTAATTTTTTTAATTTTTTAATCATTATAATAAAGTTTCTTAATTGATTTTTCTTTATATTATCTTTCTATTAAAATTTATCAATCAAAACATGGTTCAACAATCATGCCATCTCTCTAAGTGTTATTTAGTGAGGCTGATTGCATGAATCACAAAAAGTTAGAGAAATTTTGATCTTTTAAATCTTCTAATTTTTCAAAAATCGAATTGGCTTTAAACTTTAAACTATTTGAATGAAAAATTAACAATTTGAGAATTTTTAGAAAAAGTTGTAGGATTTTGTTTTTCTTTCTCGAAGTCAGAAATTGAGGTATTTTTAGGTTCAAAGAATTTAAGATTAATTAATGATGGTTGGACTTGGATTGTAATAATTAAAAATTTGAAAATTAAATGAATAATTTTTTTTGAAGGATTATAATTGTATATTGATTATAATAGAAAGATTAAAAGCAAAGTCAAACTAAATAATTGAAAAGAATTTATCTATAACCTTAAAATATAATACGAAATTATTTACAAATAAATTGGATTTGTAAAATAATATAATTTAAAACAAGTTTTTATGCAAAAGTTCACCTCTAGGTGAGATGAATTTTAATACTCTTTCATATAGATAATTGTTGCATTTACAGTGAAATTCTTTGTATTTTTTTTTTTATGTAATGTTGGTTTGTGAGGTTAAAATGGTCATAGAAACATCGTAGAAATGACAAATTCTTTAAAATGAAAAAAAAAATCACATCTAAAGCAAGCAAATAAAATGATCAGTCAATTATGCTATGCCAACAGCACAAGAATGGAATAAGTAGGACAAAATAAGAATTGTTGTGTCCACCCTTGGGGAAACAGACAATTAATCCACTGAAAAAGGGATCAATCTTCATCCTTTCAAGGAGTAACTGAGAGGTTGATGTATAAAATTAAAATCCTTATATATCTACTTCAAAATTAAGGCCCCAACGAGAATGTCTAGTTTTAAAATACGATTTTATGCTTAGAAAATTGTATAAATTCCATTTAAAAAGAGAAACAAATAGGCATAATTTAAACTAAGCAAATGCTAATTAAGATATCGATTAAAGAATGAAAAATAATTTCTAATTAACAATATAATAATTATTTTTTCCATAATTTTTAGTACAACACAAATATAATTTTTTTAAAATTATAATTTTAATGAACTGATTAGCGGAATATTTAAACTACCGAAGTGACGTCACCTTAAAAGAAAAGTCAACCCAGTAACCTTCGTATATCTGTTTTTTTTTACATAAATATTATAATTTGAAATCAAAATTACGTATTTAGTATATATTTTAAATTATTTACGCAATTAATATAAATCACATCTTTCAAGTATAACTTATTTATAATTTTTAAAACAGATTAGTAAGTCATACAGGGCATACGACTTTTATTTTAATTTAAAATATATATATTTATATATTAAAATTTAAAATAATATATATTTTTTAATTCAACTTCATTCATATTTAGCATAATAATTTTTTTTCTCTTCACTAAAATTGTTAATAACATATCTAATATTAGGAGTGACATTAAGATCTGATAATATATTAGAAAGTTTTACCATGTCATTTGTTAATAAAAACATCATTATTACATTTTTTTTATTAGTATTCTTAACTATAAATTAATTACGTATATATAATCAATTATTTTAGTGTAGAGAAAGAAGAATATTGGGTCAAATATTGATAAAGTTAAAATAAAAAATAAATACAACTTTTTATATATTTTAAAATTTTTATTAGTTTTAATGTATACATATATTTATTTTAAATTAAAACATATGAGTAATATATACTAAACACGTATTTCTTATTTCGGATAAAAAGCCACGAATATCTAAAGCATATACCCCAAAAATAGAGAACGAAGCTGATCTTTATTATCATACAATACTAAAACTAAAGCTTTGATATCAGCTTTCGTAGCTCAGTTGGTTAGAGCACCCGTTTAGTAAGCGGGAGGTCTTGAGTTCGACTCTCAACGAAAGCAATTTCTTCATTTTGATTTTGCTAACTATCATTTCATTATCCCACTTATTTTTTTATTACATTTTAGATTAAAAAATGTTAAGAGGTTACGATATCCTTATTTTTAGACCAATAAAAATTAATTAGTTGTATGTACTTTTTTAAAATTTGAAGAGAAGCTGATACACTCGTGGTAAGCACTTTTTTAGGTTTAAAAATAGAAAAAAAAAAAAAAAAAAAAACAAATGAAAGACTTTCCTTCCCTTTTATTAAAAAAAAAAAGTTGTTCTAAAAATAAAAAAATTTCAAATGTAAAATAAGATTCAGAAAATTTATTCTACTCCTTGATAATATCTCAACTCCCTTATATTTTATAAAACTATCAGAGAAACTCTTCACATCCTATTTATTCCAATCCAAAGTTTCAAACGTTGCATGGCTCCCCATCATCATTACCCTGCTTTTACCGGGATGCTTTCCGACCAAACCGAATCAGTAATTTTCACAATAAAGTAGCTCGAAAATTTGGCATATGATAATAAGATTTTATTGATAACAAGTTAACATTACAAAGTTTCTTTTCTCCATCAAATACAAATTTCAGAGTCCAATTTTTGGTTAAATATTTTTTTGTCACAATATCAATGCAAAATATCGTCAGGAAACTAATCTGAATTCTTCTTCTTCTTAGAGTTGATAATATCTGACTCTGTGAACGATTTTTTGACAAGGCCTGATAGGGTCAATTTCAGATCAAAGGTCAACTTGGGAAGAATCAAGGACAATGTGTTCACATCTACCATGGCCCTGTGAGCTGATCCATCGACTTTTATTCTGTAGAGCTCGCGGAGGGCAGCAAGGGATGTTGAAGAAAGTTCTGCTCCTGTTAACACTAAAAAGTTAAGGCTTTCCATGCAGAAACAATAAGTATTTGTGTGTGCGCTCTATGTATTTTGAATAAATGGAGAGAGAGAGACCTCCAGACTTCATTAGTTCGCGCGCTAAAGGAAGGGTGTCCACAAACAGCCAGTTAGGAGGAATTGCTGTAGAACAACGCCGTAACTCATGAATGATGAAGGGTACATCGAAACAGCGAGCATTATGAGCCACCCATAAGACATATCCTCCAGGTTTCTCACGGCTTTGAACATAGCGCAATAAGATGGGAATCAGGTCCTCCATTCTACAGAAAATTCATAAGAGCACAAAAATACTCAATGGTTCCCCTTGCAAAATTATTTTGGTGTCCACACTCCATAGGCTCAATCACCAATGTCAGTAGCCAAATAGGTTCAAAACCATTTGGGAAACATGATAATTACTAGAGGCATGGTGATAGATAAATAAGCAACACTAAGATTTTTGTCATACAAAACATATAAAGCTGTGAACTTGTATTTTCTTCCAATCCATTATCAGATCAGCATGGTTACCTCCTTACATATTTCAAAGTGAAACCATGCACAATGACTAAAAATGAACAATTTTGGAAGGAAAAGAAAATTCAAGAACTGCATCTGAATAAGTTGAAACTGTTGAAACTTAGAATCCCCCTGTCAGTCTGTTTATTGATAATGGGAGTGTTCTTCTCTAATTGCAGAGTAACAAACCAAGCACTTTTTTAGTTTGCGGGTGAATAGAATTTAGTATACTCAGATATTAATGAATTTATATCGGCCATTAGTTATGTAAATAATTTGAAGTAAATCTACACTGACCATAAGATGGTATCGAGACAAAATAAGTTGGGTCATAGATTAGATCTCTGTCAACAGTTCAGAATCAAGATGATCATATTTCTAACCCTTATTCACATCGTTGAATACGTGTGACTTCGTGCCTATCCAACAAACTCCACATAAAATCAAACATAAAAAATGTGAATTTTCATTGATTCTTTCCAAACTAAAATGCACTCAATGTATATGACAAACACATAGTATTTAATTCCAACCTAGTACAGGGTTAGTAAGATCTATTCAACAACTTTGGTACTTGTCTTGTCAGTTTAAAGCAAGATTCTTCCCATTCATGTTCTTTAGCCACATACCAAAACGAGGGGGAAAAATATAGAGGTGCCACTAACCCCTAACCCTATATATTGAAGTGAATAGGTAGCCAAAAATAACTTCAGGACAATTCTATACCCATTTCACAATCAAAAACAAATACTAGGATCTAGGAAAGGAAGGATTAAAAAATGTACAGTAATCCAATAACCCGCAAACACACTCTCATGAAAGGCATATCCAATAAGATAAATATGAGGGGATTTAATATGCTGCTTCTCCAGTCTACAGCCTTAGCTTCTCATGTTTAACAGTTTAAGCCGGTTTCACATCTTTTGTTTTTGTCTGGATGGTTGGTAGACGGGAAATCAATTCACTAATTTCTTTTATATGAAATTATCAAAAGCATAAAATAAGAAAAGAGTATGTATATTATAAATTGTGATCACAAATGGCCGTGCTATGACCCTAAGGAGATGTGGGGGTAAAAAGAAAACAAAAATATATCTCTTAATCTCCCTAAATTTACAAGGTCTTTTTTTGGGTCTTCTCTGGGGTATCCCCACGCCATTTGAGAGCGAGAATCTCATTTATGATTTTGAGACTGCCCCTCCTAAATTCAAAACCTCTTTTAGCATTGTCTGATCAATTAAAAAAATTCTAGACACACAATAGAATATTTTTTTTGCAAAGGTAAGTTAATCCAAGGTCCAAACTATGAAAGAGCTAGAGATTAAGGTTACCTAGGAACACCAGGTTTGTTGACCATCTGAGTAGTAATTCCATGAATGTGTGAATTAGGAACTTTGCGTTGAGGGTTTACAAGAGTCTGAAAAGTGCTGTTCTCACCACCCTGAAGGTCTCGAAGTGCAATTTCAACAATCCTTTCATTCTCTCTGCTAAGCCCAGTGGTTTCAATATCAAAAACAATAACAGTGACTAAGCTAGACAAGTCTTTATTTTGAGCAATCTCTTGATGTATGTCACAATACTGAATTTCCTGGAATTGACCTAGCTGTGTTTTATTTACATTTACAGTAGCATTTGCTAAAATTGTTTCACTCAAAATGTCATGCTTGGTACTTCTCGATTTGGTGCTCCCGTTGCCTTCTGTATTAGTAGTAATTGGTCTTCGAGTCCACTTCTTTCTCTGCCCTCCCTGAAGACCATAAATTCTAGAACTAAGCAGCCTGATGCTAGAATTGTCTCCACGACAACTACTGAAGCTGTGAAAGGTTTCACCCCAATAATTAGCTAAGCTGTGTATTCTACATCTAGGTACATGCAATAACGAAAAAATCATGGAGCCTGTCTTCATTTGAATTCAATTTTTTGACAACTAAGACAGTTATTTGATCAAGAATTCTTCATCCAATGAGTCAGCAGCTACAACCTGAAATGTAGATAAAACAGAACCAATGTAACACACAAAGAATGAAACACTATACAGGCATAAATTATCATATAGGTCTGATCTTCTAATCCCAAACAAAATCCAATCCCAGATCCAGTATAAAAGCAAGTCATCAAGATATATTTGGTAGTTACAAGTTATAACTTCAAATTTTTGAATGATAAAGAAATATATCATATTAAAAAGAAAAATTCAGGGGTTGGACCAGTTAGATTTATCCAAAATATTTCATTCTACGAATGACAACTAGATCCTGTGCAAACCATGTATGTATCAAACACAAATTTGAAACAGAACAAAGAATTACAGAAAAGCATGGACTAAGCAACCACCATGAACTGAATGCATAATTACAACAGTATATGGCTTTTTCCATAGAGGGCCAGCAACAACATCCCGCAGGAAAATAGAAGGAAGGTATTATTCCTTTAGAACAAAATAGGTGGCCCAGAAGAAATCTAACTCTGCCTTAAAAAGAAAAGTATTCCAGTATCAATGAATTTATAAAACAACAAGCATACGCAACCACACGCGAACTGGGTAAGCTAACAATCCGTTTTATCATGTGATATAAATTGCATTGGCTGTAATAATGGCTAACTCTATACAAAATAGTGAACAGAAAGCTTACATTATAATATCAATTAAACCTATATTAACTATTGAAACAAATCAACCAATTTAATAAGGGATACGAGATGTAAATCATGTGAAACAAGAATTACAGGAACCATCCTCGCATAATCTTCAACTCACATACAAAAAAAAAAACATTATTTTTCGAATGAAATAAAATCCAATAGTATCCCAAAAAGCCAAAAAAAAAAAAAAAGTTCAAGACATTTTCTGGTGTTGATAAAATCGAAGGACGAGAGGACACAAAATGGCACCTGTTTCAATGAAATCGTAACTGGTTGTGTGAAAACTATAATGGAACATAGAGCGAAAGTATTAGAAAAGATTCAAAGGGTCAAAGAGTCAACAGAGAAGAAGGTTTGAAAGAGTAGGTAAAGAATATGAGTTACCTGAAAGAGGGTGTGATTAGAAGTGAAGAAGAAAAGCATTTGGAAGAAAGAGGTAGTTATAGTTAGAGAGACAAAGAAATAGAGAGAAATGTGGGGAGGACAGGGGAACGTGCTCCGTTGAGCAACAACGTTAGTTGCGGATCGCCTATTGTTTCACTATAACTACACTCTTCTCTCTTTTTATATTATCCTTTTCAATTCAATTCCTTCCTCTTTCATATGGATGCACCTCCCCCCACCCAAACTTCTTCCATTTCCATTTTTTTATTTTTATTCTATCATTACTTTTTAATATATAAAATAATTCATATTGTTTTATTTCAAGTTATAACTAACAGTTTTTTTAATGCGTATTCAGCTCATATATTAAAAATAAGATATAATAGGATATATTTAATGTTTTTTAACATGTATTTTTGTATACATGTTAATAAAATTGTATAAAAAATAAGAAATTATTTTTAAATATATTAATTGTTAATTTTTTGTATATTTTTATTTATTGGGACAATATATTCATTTTATTATCTTTATAAATAGATATAATTATTGATTTAATATATGAGTTATTAATTTAATTATTTAGCAATATAAACATTTTTAAATTTTATAATATATAATTATTTATTGTTAGTCATGATAACTTAATTATTTATTTCTTATACAAATAAGAAGGAGGAGTACCATTTACCTTGATGATCGTCACTGCAAAATGCAACAAGTCGTGTGTCATATGAAAAAATTTTAAGTTTTTTTTTTTTAATTAAATTTTTTTAAGGATTAGGACAGGTGAATTTTAAAGTAAAAGACATTGAAGTATCTGTCGATTAAACTAACTTAGGTACTCAATTACTGTTGAAGCTTCAATGGGCGCAAAACTCCAAAGCCATTATTGTTTCACTAAAGCGAATCCTTAACTTAAAAAAGAAAAAAAAAATATTACATATTGCTGTAGTTTTAAACCATTTTTTAATATAAATAATTTTTAATGTTTTTTATTTGTTTTAATTTTCTTAGCACACTAATTGACATTGCCTTACATGTATTTTGTTTTTAAAAAAACCGCAGTATTTGACTGCATCGGTGTTAGAAATTACAAGACAATTTTATTATAGATAGCAAATGGGTCGATCATGAAGTGAAGCAGAGGATACAAATTCAAACATGGTAAGTCACGTGTTAAGATAAATGTCCTGTAAAAGCGATATATTTATGTATATGTTACACACACGCTTTACTGATATTTTGGTTTTATAAGATATTGGGAAGAATGCATGAGCGATTATGCCTTGCTTGAGATGGTTGCATACGTTGCTTTACACATTACATCATTGCTCTCTCTGTTGCCAACGCATTTTTTGTTACAATATCCCGTCCAAATTTGGACACTCAAATGCCCAAACATATGCACAACAAGAAATCCAATATGGCCAACAACAACAAAAGCAAGAAAACCCAAGCCCGCTTCCTATTTAGTTACGGGCTCTCTTTGACCATAGTCTTATTTTTTAGGCCCCTCATTTATCGCTGTTACTAATGTTATGTTTTGACGTGGCAAATAGCAAGACCACAAAATAAAAATAAAAATGCAGAGCCATTGTTTAGCACCCGAGCCAGATGTTCGGCCAACGGCCCGAAAAAGATTTACCAAACACTTTTAGGTCGGTTTTGTGTTTGTCGCCTTTCTGCCTCTTTATTAGGAAATTTCAACACCTTTTTTTAGTAGTTACACCAGTTTTAAAACATAGAACAAACTTTATTTCAAAATATCCTTACCTAAAATAAAAAACTTAAAATTTTCGAACACGTTTATTAATAAATTTTCATTTTCTTTAAACCATGTTTAATTTATGAAATTAGTTGAAGAATACGTGATTTTTTTAACCAAAGTTACTTTTTAAAAAGAACTTAAACTAATTATTTCTTCATTCGTTCATAGGATCCCTTCATTATTATATTCCCGGAAATTTTAGACCAGCACCTTTTATGAAGGCATGTATTCCCACTAGTAGTTAAAGCAAAAAACCGTGAATGGACAGAATAAGGGAAATAATGGAGAAAGGAACAACATCAAAGATTACTTGTATCATAATAATAATTAGCCATAAATCTGAAATACTTACATTAAAAACTAACTAGCCCTATTAGCAGATATAAACAGAAGGGAGTAAAAGTAAAAGAAAAGAGATTTTCTCCCTAACTAGATAGGAACAGAGTGAAAAATACCCATAAATAAGGGTACATATTCATTTCACAAGGCCAAAAGAAAAAGAGGTTAGCTATACGACAAGGAAAATGGATTGAGGTGGATGAGTAATTAGGTTACCTTCAATGTGCTAAATTAAGGAATGCTTTGTTTGTAATTGTAAAGGTAATGGGCGTGATTGAGGTTCAAGCGAAGACAAAGCCAGAGGACAATGCCATCAAACACACAGCTGCTTGTTCCTCTTCCCCTAACTTCTTCAACCTCTGTTTTGGTGATGGGTGGAAGAGAACTTCCTCACCCCACGCCACTAACTTTACCTTCAAACACTCCCTCAAATCGGAACTGCTGCTGCTCCCCCTATTCTCTTCCCTCCCTCTCTTCCTCTCTTCTCCTCTGTTCATTCCCACCGTACAACAAGAAGCCCTTCTCTTCCGATACCTTATTCCACAAGCGTTGCACAGCGTCTGCATCACCCACAAAAAAAAAATCTTAATTTTATTTATTTATATGTATATAACCCTTTACTGAAATAGACATGCCCAAGCCAAATCAATATCAAAAGGCGGAATCCAAAAGTAGAAAGGAAAGAAAAGCGAAATGATATGGAAATAGAAATGGAAATTAGAAATGGGTTAAGGGTTGGGGATGAGGATGATGATGATGACGACCTTGGGCCCAGCTGGTCCTCCTCGCCAGAGTGGGGTCTTGGTGGTTTTGCAGTGAGCACAACACTTGTCGTTCTCAGATGACCATTCCTGAATCAGAATGAAAACACATTAAGCAATTATTAGTAGTAAAAGCAACCTCATAAGCTCAATCAAACCAGACTGAAAAGAAAACCCCGCACCTTGTCCTTGAGATCCATGATTACCATGGATCAACCCAAGAGGCTAAATATGAATGCAACAGAAAACAAGTAACCGAATCACCGAGAGAGTGGCAGTGCGGTACCGTACTAGTACAACTACCAAGCTACAATACAACACACCCTCGCATGCACCACTCTCACCAATTTGGAAACAAATTATTTCATTTATCACTCCAACCGACTCTGTCAACTGAATATACCCCAAAAACCCTAGGTCTCCCCTTCACAATTACCAAATTACCCTCCTTCTTTCCTCAAATACAGTGGCAAACCTGCAACTTATACACCTCCACGCTGCCACCTGTCCATGTGACGTGTCCGCTTCTCCTACTCACACCACCCAGTGACCCAGACACAGTTAAATGGAAATTTCAAGACCCTTTTGCGTTGGGTGTGCTATAAATTTTTAATATTCTTTTGCCTTTTTATGAAATTAGCTTAACAAAACATGTTCATTGGTGGGTTAGATTTCGTTATTAAGTATAACCACATCTTAAAGATGAGGTTTTTTTTTTCTTCCGCCGAATATAAAATAGGATGAGGATGTTTGGGCTGATTAATCATAAAATGACGATGGGACCCAAAAATCTTATCAGCCAACTTTATTTTCTTTGCTAGAATTGTCCATATCTATCCACTTTCCCCAAATTCAAAAGACATCACACGTTCGGATTGCGTGAATGGCAGCGCCGTAACACTGCTGTAGAACCCGCTACACATAAAATAAAATGGTTCTCATCACATGGTACCAACAAAAGAAATGCATGTGTTTTTATTTAACTACGCAGACGCACTGGTGCAACACGTACAATTCAATGCAAAAATGGCTACAAGGTGACAACGTCAACAACAAATTCCTCTATATTCTAAATTGAAATAGTGTATCATTATTCTTGCACAATAACTTGTTACAACTTACTTCTTTTTCCAATTATAATTACATTCTAACCATTTTAATTTACATAGTTTTGTTTTTAAAATTTTGTTGAAGCATATTGAAACTGTAAAAAAAATTGATATTATTAACTTATTATAAATTGTCATACTGGTTAAAATTAATAATTTTTATAATAAATATTTTAAAAATATTAATAAATAAATTAAATGTTCATATTTCAGGAACACGTAAGACAATGTTTAAAACCAAAGAAATAAAATTACTTGAGGGCCCGTTGCTAGTTAAATAGCATTTTCCTAAAGATTTTAAACAATAAAACCATTTTTAATTTCTAGAATTAATCGTGATAAAAGTAGGCCAGACACAATCCATGTTATAAAAGTATAAAATAAAATCCAATATTTAGGTTTTCCAAAAAAAAGTTTAACAATCCAATTTTTTATTTTATTTTTTATTAAGAAACGAAACTTAACTCAGACGTACTCAAAAAACCAGAAATAAAACGTTCCTGATTTTCCTTAAGATTCTCACCATTTATATGAGGAAGGAGTACATTTGCGAGGCCAGGCACTTGCTCATAATCTTCCATTGCTGTCATTATGATGTTCGCATTTAAAGTCGTTTATTTGATCATTGGGCATTTATGCTACCTAGTTCAGTTAAGCACCTCTTGACTGATGGAATATTTGGTAAAGCTAAATTATAAAAGAATTATCACCTATTTTTTATTATGGTGTACTCAAACTTGGAACTGTGCACATAAACTTGGAAGAATAATTTATACTTGATTATTTCATATATGAAAGATAAAATATTTTTTTAATAATTACCATTTTTTTATAATTCATTTTTCATCAACTTAATAAAAAATAAATATTTTTAATAAGAAAGTGAATCCAAATATTAATTGCCACTAAGTCAAGGGCCATACACCATTATAATTCAATCAGCCAGATGGAACGTTGACTCGATACCTTTCAATGTCTCAAGGATTAAAAGAGGGCTGTGGACACTAAATTAAAAATGTTACCAACAGATTTCTTATCTCACTTTTAGTTATTAATTAAAATTCATTTAAAACTATGAAAATTATATAAATTTCACTTTTTTTTTCTCACTTTAATGATTCTTTCTTATACGTTCGAAACTTTGAACTAATAACAAAAACTGTATTAAAAAGTGCTCCAAGCACTCCTAACAATGAATAATTCTCGCTGCAGTCTTTGAGCATTATTATTTGGCAGCTCTTATTTGTTATTACCTAAACCACTGTTTTATTTGTTTAATTTTTAACACACATCATAGAACGTTTTCCGCCGAAGATTTGTTATCCACATTTTTTTAATAAAGCACATCAGGTACAGAAAATGACAGGTCCAAGCAACACACAAAACACTATAATAACGTGCTGTACTTAACCAAAATAAAAATTAAGCTCTTTCCGATTTCTCACATCCTTTTCATTTATACATTACTTTTTCATTTAATGTAAACCCCAAAAATCAACATAAACTTTACATAGATTTGAAGGTGCAAATTTCCTACAACCAAATGGTTTACATCAGCTATTTCACAATATTAAATCAGCGTAATTTCTTAAGAGGTAATTCAACGTTATCTTTCATCGTGTACAAGTCAATTTTCTTATTATCAGCATTCAGAAGTGAGGCAATCAGACTAACAATCTACTTTTCCCTAAAAATGACGAGTATAGTCCAAGCCAGGATCTACATGTTTGGTTTGTTAAAGCATACTAGACACAATAGTACCAGGTGCTGGATATTGAACCATGAAAAGTTTCTTCTTGAAGGCAAAAAGTCCGTGACTAAACATTCATAATTTTATACATTCCATCAACAACATTCAAACACCGGAGGCTAATGAAGGCCGCAAAGTAGTTGGACACAAGACGCATTGTTCAATCTGAATCTAAATAAAGGAAATCTGACAACAATAAATGAGCGCATGAAAAAAAATAATAATAAAAATAAATGAGCACGTATAATAGTATGCAAGGGAGAGAATAAAGTGGAGGAGAAAAGCCCAAAGAGCAACTGAATATAATGTCTGGGAATAAAGAAACTGTTGCACACTATTTGATCTGCAAGACTTCTTCCCAAATCTGATTAGTAAATATTATATATCGAACCTGAACCGGATTAGTAAACATTATATGTCGAACCTGAACCGGATTAGTAAACATTATATGTCGAACCTGAACCGGGACCTAGTGAACATGGCAACTAAAACTTCATGGTAAACTTCAATGAAAGAGTTTATAAGAGAAAGGGTAAAAGAAAACTCCATCTCGTTACTATAAATATGAAGATAGTAGAATTTGGTATTTTGCCAAAACACCAAGAATCACAATTGGTACTACTTACTGACCCCAGTCTATGACAGAAAAAAATCACAAAACACAACAACAATTCTATAAAAACTAAATCACTCAGAATGATCACTTGGCAGAAAGCAAACTCTAGTATATATATAACTCTAACGTGGCAAGAAAATCAAGCCACAACCCATCTGTCCCCATGATGTATGTAAAACCAGCCATTTCAAAAACCCAAGCCGGTCCAGCAATCCTCTATTTACCAAGGCTGAACCTTGTAAGACCCAAGAACAATGAAAAGACATTGAATTGACCCAACTGTTGGACTGTCATACTGGAGGACTTAACTGATTGACCAGCAAAAAGTCCTGCAGTTAAGAAAATTCAAGATAATGTCTACACAATAAAGGAAAGAACACAATGCAAACTGCCAAACTTTCTTTACAAGTTCCAATAAATAATTTCCAGACAAACCATAAAAAGGCCGAATAAAAGACAATGTTATCTTAGTAAAGCATTAATACCTTCTAGTTGAAGTTGAATCCACCAGAAGGCAGAGCAGGAAGCTCAGTACCACCAAAGTTGAACCCTGATTGAGAAGCGTCCCCTGGAGGAATAGTTTCATCCTCTTCCTCCAACCAGTAAGTCTCAAGAATCTTCACGGCCTTTTCATAAATCTCAGTGTTATCATGACTCTGGAGGTTCTCAATTTTCTCCAACCCCTCAGCATCATCAATCATTTGGGCATATAGATTCACACCATCAGTATTGCCGACATTTTTATCAGCTTCTCCAACCTTCAAGATGTTTTCAAGCCCTTCCAGACAAACTGTCACAATCCTAGGATCAGGACATATGAGAAGATCACATAAGGGCTTAATACACCCTTGACTAACCAGGTACCTGTCAATCAAGGGAAAAGAAATATTAATCTTCAAAGCAAAAAACAAAAAGAAAAGTTTTAATGCCAACAAAATTTCTAGGAAGCATTGTAAACACAAGGATCTCTCATACTTGATTTGTTCATGAGATCCACCCGAAGTAGCATTTGAGATAGCCCAAGCAGCCTCTTTCTTGATGTCAAACTCAGCATTTTGAAGCAAATGGACTAAAGGACCAATTAAATTAGCCTCAACTACAGCCTGTAGATTATACAAGAGAAATATAGTTTAAGTTCAAAGACAGAGAATGCATCAAATTTTAACTACCATAAATGCACAATAACATAATGAAGATCCCTAAAAATATCTATATACCTGAATCTGCTGTTTATTCCCAGCTGTGATGTTTGATATGGTCCAACATGCTTCCTTCTTGATGCTTTTTTTAAAAGTATTAGTCAACAGATTCAGAAGACAAGGAAGAGCTTGATGATTGATGATAATCTAAGCAGAAAAGCACAACATCAACACAAACAAAAACAATATGTGTGGACACACATTTGACTATACACACAATTAAATTGTCCAAACAGAAGTATACAGATAATGCACACAATAATGGAATCTTCACAGAAAATGAAGTAAAAGAATTAACCAATCAATCAAGTTTGAAAAAATGTTTCGGCATGACTTCAAGTAATACTAATAAAATAAGATTTCACTCTGGCACTCAACATATTAAAATGACTAAGAAAGCTTACTACTCTTACAAGGACCCTTATGAACATGTAATAGTTTCATAGAGCACCTAACAAGAAAGCCATTTTAGTAACACAACGTGCTGCTTGAAAGTTTTGGACCAAAGGAAATTGTGTGTTTATGAGAAGGAGAATGGGGAAAGCTTCACAAGTAAGGAGCAAACAATAGTGGTAAACAGCAAGGTATATGGGGGGAAATTGTGCAATGCTGGGAAAGGAAATAAAACATGAGTACGGATGGGGTGGGTAATAGCAGCGAGGCCAAACACAATAATAATGTGGTGGCAACATTTTCTGCATTTCTGATATTCTGGTATCTTTTTCTGATTTTGAGCTGTATTTGTATCACTTCTGAAGGACTTTTCTCTCTATTTGAACACTAATACCAGTTCCTATCACTATTACTATTTCCCTCAATGCAGAATAGCCAAGTGACACATTGAAGCCTATATATAAGTTGATAAAAAAGAACTACGAGAAATTCATGAACTTAATACCTGTGTCTGCACATCATCTCCAGTAACAATATTTCCAACTGTACGAAGAGCAGGAATAAGCACTGAAGGGGATGGGTGCCTGACCAAAAGTAGAATAATATTTACAATTTGACAGCATAAAAACAATAGAATGCATACATTTTTGCAGTCATATTTGAGATTCAAGGTACTCACAATAGAAGCTCAACAAGCCGGCTACAGACACCAGCTTCAATTACACCTTGAATTTTGTCATTTGTACCATCAGAAAGATATGAAAGTGCCCAACAGGCATCAGTCAAAACTTCTTCATCATTTGAATGAATAAGACTGGCAAGAGCAGGAAGTGCAGGCTTAACCTGTAGGGAAAAAAGGATAAGAATCAACCAATACTCAGTCAAAACAGTGTCAACAAAACAAAAACAACGAAGACCAATGATGGAGCCAAGCAATAGCTCTACATGTTTTATTCAGTCATACCATCATTTACAAGTGTGAAGTGCGTGTACTGCCACAAAAGAACAAGAAGACAGCACACTGCAATTTCATAATATATCTATACAAACACTAGAAAGATTTTATTTTTAATAAAATGAAGAAAAATTTGAAAGCTGTTCATCAAATTAAAATAAAAACTCTAAAAATAATTCCATACAACATTTTACTCTGCAATAGATACCTGCACATATTATTCAAGAAGCAAATTAAAATGAATAGAACAAGCATAACGGTGCCATCATTTCAGCATGGCAGAGCATTTTAAAAACAAATGGGAGGCACTAAAAAATCTTTATTTCTGATCATGTTATGCATAACTGCATACCTGATCAAAAGGAGGCTGTGGTTTCCCCCTGCAGAAGTTTGAGAGTGTCCAGGTAGCATTTCTGAGCATAGAAAGTTTGGCATGCTCATTCAATTGAGCCAACAGAGGAAGCAAAGCACCATTACTAAGTACAAGATCACGACATCTGGGAGAATCTCCAGCAACATTTCCTAATGCCCACACAGCCTGATGTTCCCCAACATACAGAAAAGATGTAAAACTTTAAGCAAAATATAACTTGGTAGAAGGTACATTACTCCTAGGTACTGTTATCTTTCTTATGCATAGCATAGGTGAAGGAATGATAAGGTACATAAAATATACCTGTTCACGGACATCATCGCTGGGAGAACCAAGTAGCTTCACAAAAATTGGGACAGCACCTTGATCAATTACCACCTTAGTATTTTCAGATGTTCCAGAGGCAATATTCGTCAAAGCCCAGGCTGCCTCAAACTACAACAAACATTAAACAAAGTCAAGGCAATGCATAAGCAGAGATAAATATTTATCACAAAATAACACAAAGCAGTTAACAAACCTGAAGCTGTGGAAAATCTTCCCTCATCAAGAACTCAACAAAGCGTGGAACCACACCAGCTTGTATAACTTCCTCAATTGGTGGGCTACGTTCTGGTAGAACATAAACAAAATTCATCAAAGATTGTTCGACATTTAGAACCCAAAAATAAATGAAAAATGCTAGAGACCAGTGTCTAACCAATTGAAAGCAACTTCCGAAATTGAGTTGTGGCCTCAAACTGCAAGTTATTGTCATCACTCCAAACACCTGTAACCATGGATGGTAGGTGTTCCAACTACAGGAAATAGAAAAAGAAACTACAGTTCAGTAAGCTTCAACTTGTTTCTGTTTCGTGCAAATTCAACATAACAACAACCAAACTTTATGGCTTCAAATAGGTGAGTACTGAGTACAGTACCAAAAAACAAGAGAAAGAGAATATAAACTGTCCCACATTTTGTAACCAACGAATATCATAAACATGTTTATATCATAGTATAACCCTTTCAATAAACAAACACCGCAACAGCTCAAATAAAACATGCAACAAAACTCAAAAACCAGAGTTCCGCGTGTACAATTAACCTAATCACGTGTCTATATTGGCAGAGTGAGGTGGAAATTCGTTATGACAATTTGAATTTCATAACGAATTTAGACAAAGTATTTTAACTGTAAAATAAATAAATAAAGCAAATGATATAAAACGCGATGAAACAAGTAATGAAACAAAAGAGAGTGAAATTTGAAGATAAGCAGAATTTGCCTTCTTCTCTATTTGAGTAGAGTGAACTGATGCAGGTATCTGCTGAGCTTGAAGGCCCTCGCGCCTCTTCTTCTGCAAGCTCTCTTCCCTACGGTTCTTTCGGATCTCGACCATGGTATCCTCTCGGCGTCTGCGACCTTCTTCGGCATCGACGGCTACCTTGTATCGGTTCCGGCGAACCTCGGTCCTGGCGTTTCCGGTGGGTCGATACGACATGGTGTTGGAAGAAGGAGGCACCGCAGGGGTTAATCGGATATGGATTGAGGAACCGAACCGTAGGGTTTGGGAGAGGAATTAGCAATTGAATGGAGAGAGCAAAGGGTTTGGGTTTTTGATTATTAGTAAGTGAGAGTACTTTGAGGGTTTGAAAAGGAGAGGGGTTTTATATAGTACGATGGATTTGGGACAGAAGTGGACCTGGATCGGCTTGCATTTGCGGAAATGCCACTAGTTTTTGAATTTAGAGATGAGGGAAAAAGTTACTTTGATTCTAGGAAAGGGAATCCCAGTGGGATTGGGATGCCTTTTATAAGGCCAATTCTGTCTATTAAATAACTTTTTCAACAAATTTTTAATTAATACATGTAGGATAAGTTACTATAGTTTTCTTTCACACCTTCACAAATTTTATAGCTTCCTTTTTTTTCAGGATATCTTTCTTGATAATAAGTAATTTAAATAATTTATATTATTTTAAAATATAAATATGATTAATTATTTAATTTTCTTATTGTAATATGAGTTTAATTGTAAAGCATTTATAAAAATATGAAGAAATTTTTTGCAATACTTATTGTTTTGCAAAAATTCCAAACTTAAAGTGTGTTTTGTCACGATAATATAAAAGATAACAATTGATCGTTAACAGATAATTTTGTTAAATATAACATCAACTATGAAATAATGTGCAATGTAATTTTTTAATAGAAAATTTGTGTAAAAATTTAAAATAAATAAGTTTTGTGTAATTTGAAAAATAAACAATTTTTTTGGTAAAGAAAACACAAAACAGAAGGAAAATTAAAATAAATTACTCTGTTACGTATAATTACTAGATACTCATACGTATGATATTGTTTTACCTACAACTTTTATGATTGAATGATAATTTTTATGAACATTCAAAAATAATAAACTGCTAACTCATGCCCCACCCCAATTTTTGTTGTTCTTTTTGTTTTACAAAAAAGTACTAATAAGTGCAAATTGAAGGATTAAAAATAAAAATTTTATAACAATAATATAAAACACATGTATCTTTATAACTTTTAATAATTATCTTTTATTAATTCTTTAATCCAATACCCTATAGTTAACAAATCCTCTGGTGCATATCCATTATATGAGTTCAATTATCATGTCAAGACGGTGTAGCACATGGTGACGTTGCTCGATATTAATTTTTAACTGCATATTTAGAAACTTATTAAAAACACGTTGAAATGAATTTACATCTGAAAAAATTTGAAATAAAATCTCAATAAAATTTTTATTAATTCTTTTTTTTTTATTCAGTGTAATTCGAATCCAAATTATATATTTGAATATAGTAAATTCACAATTCAAAATTTTTTACATATACAAAGACTCAAACTTAAAACTTTACTTAAATAATACCAAGTCACTTAACAAATATTTCTGTTAATCTTTTGTTACAGGAAAAAAATTATTATTAATCTATTATCACAAGAAAAAAAAATTCAGTGTGTCAGTACAAAAAAAGTATATAATAAAAAAAATTGATATAAAACTTCCAAACATAAAAGCATCATTTATTTTTTTTTCAAATATTAGTACTTGTTTGTTTTCTCTCTTCTTTTTTTCTTTTTTGCTAAGTTTATTTTCTCTTTCCAAAATTAACAAAAATTTAACTAAAAATAATTTTAAAAACTAAATTATCAAAAAAATTATATTTTTATTTCTTTCTTATAATTAGCATTATAAAATTATTTAAAAAATATTTTTAAAAATTAAAGATCAAAACTAAATCAATCAAACCTTTTTTACACCTCTTTTTTATTCTTTTTACACCTTATTATTTTATTAAAAAAAATTCTCATTCTTCTATTACCACTTTCTTTAAACATCATTATTTTATAACACGCCCCTTTTGAATGTAATAAAAAAAAATTAAATTTCATAAAAAATAATATATTTGTCAAGTTTTGTCGACCTACCATCGTAGTCAATCTTCCAAGCCATTTAAAATAAATTTCTAAAATTTAATTTTAACACTTTCAAACAAAATTAATTATTAAAATAATTTCTCAAAATTAAAAATTTACTTTTAGAAAGTAATTTATGCAAATATAAAATCCTAATTTTAAAAAATCATTTTTAAAAGTGTAAAATTTTAGTTCTAAAAATTAATTTTCAAAAACTTAAAAATCTAACTAAAAAACTTATTTGAGAATGTCTTTTTATTATATTTTGGCGAAAAAATTACAATTGATTTTAAAATAGTCAAACAAATAATGCAGCTAAACTATAATCGTGATGCACGAATCCAAACCCGTGAAATCCGGCTCCAACTCAAACCTCAAACTCCAGTCCAATTTTTTTACAAATGTATAAATTTCCAATGGTGTATGTATCAAAGACAAAATATCTAAGCCGACGTCAACAAGAACTAGAAACCTCTATGTACCAAACATACTTTTTTAATAAACCATGCACAATGTCGTTCAGTGGAGCATAACACCAACCACATGCCCAGGGCTGGCGCTGAGCCCACCTTTCTAATGATGCTCTCATGCGTGTGCTTTCACAAATGCTCCTAAGAGAGGCCCACCAAATAGATACATAGTAGCACTACAACACTTCACTAACTCTCTTGGGCCACTCACCCAAAATATCCAAACTGTTTAGCAACCCCACCTCAAAATATAAGTTCTAAAAACCTTTTATTATAAAATAAAATAAAGGATTCCCCACATGTTCCTTTTTATCTTCAACTAACAACCGTCCTTTCAATTCCACAGTTCCGCATGCCATACACGTGTCATGCTTGCGTTCTCACGTGGCATTACAAAACACAGACCTCGAAATTCGATACGAAAATGCTTTACGCTTAGGATGTTTTAGACAGCGAAATTAAAACTATTTAGTATTAAAAAAATGGCCCGAGGGCCGTATTAGAATGGCCCGCAAACTTGCACTTAGTCCATTGTTCTCATAATATAGTAACTAATAAAAAGCATTGTCTAACTAGGTGTTCAAACTTAATGTTTAATCAATGCAGGGATTTTGATTTCAATGATCCAATTTCCAGTAAGAAAAAGTATAATGTTACAAGAGGGATTCAGTACAACGCACTAAGAGCGTGAGTTGCTGCGCTTGGCTGCGTTGCCCCTAGATCCATTGACGCGTCCTCTCTTCCCAGCCGTCTGATCCTGATTCAAGTCAAAGCTCACCCCATCACCCCCCACCATTTCCACGAACATCCTTTGCAGGTCCTCCAAACTGTCCCCCTACACCACAATCAAACACAACATCACATTACCTACCACATTCTATTTTCTCTTCACATTTTGCCAAAAAGGAAACTATTATGACTCAATCACTACCTCATCTTTCACGTTGTTCATCATCGATATCATCTCTTGCATGAAATCACAAAATTCCTGCCCAAATAAATTGTAACCAAACAATTTTTATATATATAAAAAATCATAACGGCGACTTGGGATTCACGCATCACGATAAAAAGGAGCTTGTGCTGGTCCATAATGGAAATTTCAAATTATTTTAACAGAACTAAAACGACGGCTTAAAAAAAGGAAATAGGGCAAGGCAAAATGGCAATGGTGTTACCGAACCAAGATGAGAAAAACGACATCGTCGTTGGGGTGTAGAAACCAGAACGACACAGTTTTACCTCGGCTTGTTTACGGCAAAAATCCTTGCCTCATGCTCTGCAACTGCAAAATCAAAGGAAAGAAAACGATACATACTTGGCCATCTTCCTCCAAGGGATCGTAGAGCCCCGCATCGTACATTGACCTTTTCGACAGATCCGAAAGGACTGTTGCAGCGCCACCACAACGCAATCGTTAATCCCCCATCAAATCCAAGTCATTACCAGTAATCAAACCAATAATTACGACGATGACAACAACAACAACGTAACCTAACCTGAGTAAGCTTCTTGGATTTGCTGAAACCGCCGCTTGGCCTCTCCAACAGTTGCAGGATTCCGAGCCCATCTGTCCGGGTGCCACTTCTGCGCCGGCCCAGCCCAAAAAAAACACAATTATAAAAAATTGTAACAGAAAATACGACAAGAATAAAAGCGCAGCGTATGATTACCATAGCAAGCTTGTGGTAAGCGGTTTTGATATCAGAGAAGGAGGCGTCCCTACGAATCCCGAGGACGGAGTAGTAGCAAGATCCGCCGTTGGATCCTCCTCCTTCTCGATCCATCAAACGGCAGAAGAAGGCGAAGGCACCCACTCAAAGCAGCAAGCTTCAATCAAAGTTTCAAAACAACAGAAGCAGAAGCAAAAGCCATGTCAATGATATAGACGAAGTACAGAGAGGAGAAAAGGGTAAATTTGGGAGGAGGAGCAGAGACTTTTTGTTGAAGCGGCAAATAGGAGAGAGAAAAAATATCTTGTGGTGGCTTAAGCTTTTGCTGGTGAAAGATTGATAGATAGATAGATATCTCAAAAGAAACTTCGAGACCCCTTGGCTTGGTGATGGTGAAAAGGGATTAGATATTTTTATGGTGTTTAGGCAATTGACACTCCAACTTCATCAAATTACACCGCTTGCCACTCATGGTTTCGCGTGTGTCATTAAATTTAAATCAAATTACTATTGTCGTGTAGTATTAGAAATTGGTATCTTAACCGTATTAAGTTTTCTTTGCCCTTTTTAAGTTGTTCAATTGGGTTTAAAAAGATTTAACTTAACCAACTCTATCTTCCGTTTCACCGCACGGATGCTTCTAAAAGATGATTTGCGTAAAAACATATTTATTTAAAAAATACTTTTATTGGTAAATATAATTTTGCTGGATTAATTCTTTTAGTTTATAATTTCAATTAATATGTTCATAGATATATAAAATTAATGATAATATATTAAAAATAAAATAATAATAAAATTTATTATTACTTTCTAAAAACATACTTGTTTATCAAATAAATATAATAATATCATAATTTAAAATTTCATACAAAATATTAAGTATCTTAATTTTTTACATGGTAAGTTATTTTTCTCATGATCATTTATTTTACATTTATTAGACAAATAAATAATATTTTTTGTAGCCAACTTAGCTTATTAAACATTAGAAAATTTTAAAAATATTCACACGAAAAAAAAGGGTAAAATCTTATCATAAAAAATGAAAATAAAAACATGAAAATAAAAAAAAACAAATTAACAGTGGAACATATATTCAAGAATATAAAGAGAACTAAAAGCTGCAAACAATTAAAATTAAAGACAATTTAAACAAAATAAAAAATCACTAAATTATAAATAAAAACTTAATGTTGAGGAATTAAGAAGTATTTGACAGAATTTATATATGTTATAATTTTTTGTACACATTTAAAATCATTATAATATTTGATTAATTCAAATTATTATAGTAGGTATTGAAATGAATACTAATTGATTAATAATATGATTTCAAGTAAACATAATTATATGTACCATAACGTCATGTAATTTCGACAAATGATTCAAATTAAAATTAGACAAACAAAATTACAATATTATGCAATATTAAAGAAGTGATATAAAAGGATTATATAAGAGTTTTAAGAACTTTTAGTATTTTATTTATAAATATTATTATAATTTTGCCAATTTTATTTTTGAATCTACTTTGCTTTATTAGGAAGCTTTTATTTAGAAATTTTATTAGGATTTGTTTAGATTTAGTAAGAAGTTAATATTTATATATTTAATCAATATTTTATTTAAATATAATATATATTTCATTAATGTATTATAAGGATTATATTTAGTATTTTATTCATATATTTGTTCATATAATTATATTATGATTTTATGATATTCTATTAGGATTTCGTCATGATTTTTTAATATTAGTAATTATAAATGTATAAATAATAAATTAAGTGATAATAATTAAAAAATAAAGCTAAACTATTGTTTTAAACAAGATTTTTTTTTCAACTTCTTTTTCTTGTGGATAAAAGCTTTCTTTCTTTCATAGGTTATTTTTTTTAGAATGTAATCAATAATTGTGAGCGAAGATTACTTTCTTTATATTCACGACAATAATATTTTGTTAAATTAGAAAGTGTTGATAACTTTTGATTCAGAGTTGTAAGCATCGTTAGATCAGAATATCTAATTTGAGATTTATGAGTGATTATTATCATAAAGATTTATAATAGTACAGCTAAAATTATCTTCCAAATTTAAATACTGTTCCAAGTCTTATATTGAGAATCAAACTAAGTGAAAATCATAAAATAAAATTCAATTTCTTTAATATATATAATATAGCAACATGTATTTGAATTAAAAAATGAAACAATACACTTAATAACAATTGTATACTAACTTAACTTAAATCATTTGCCAATACCTTCTATATTTGCTATTGCTTTATATTATCAGTAATTATTGAAAGATAGCCAATCAATCTAAAGCTTGCGCACTTAGACTAAAATGTACAAATTGACCACATTTGTATGGATAGTTAAACCAGTTTTTGCCATTGTTTGACGATTCTCTGCTAAACACAACACAACTGAGGAAGTAAGCGTGAACGCTGAAGTCTTCTCCAAAGCATGCTAATTAATGTTCTTCACCCCTTTTCCATGAAGAAGAGAAAAAATCATTTTCAAAATAATTTCCTGTTGAATAAACGTCAGGCATCTGGGTTGGAACATGTGATGGATCCAATAAGAATAAAGCATTCCCTTCTATGCACATTCCAGACAAGGGCTCGTCGAAGCCTACTTGGTAATAATGTGCTGCTTCCCCATTAATGTGCGATGTTGAAGTTGAAGGCTGATTAAAATCTTGTGCTTCTAGTAGAAATAAAGAGGCATGTAGAGGCAAAAATGAGATCTATATAGTACAAATCACAATGAAAAAAATAAATAAATTATGTTGGAAATATACACCATAGCAACCTAAATTATATACATCCAAATTGGAGGCCTGAGAAGGTGAAATAATGATAGTATTTTGGAGAGTGGAGTTTTTGAACAGGGCCTAAAATAATTAATTACAAAAAAGGAAAAAGTTATCACTAAATTAGTTTTCTAGAAATTTACCTAAAAGTCTTATGAAAAGACATAAATGGAAAATATTTTAAAAAACTAATTCACTAATGGATTGAATTTATCACTACCAATTGAGAAAAAAAAGTTAGAAATATAAGAGAAAAATTTATAAAATAGTTTTTTATTGTTTGGATAAAGAGAAAAATAAAGTAATTCATTTCCTTATTCAGTTGAAGGAAAAAAGAAAATTAATTATTTTATGATTTATGTATCATTATAATTTAATAATAATTAAGTGAATGTATGTGCAAATTGTAATTTTAATAAACTTTTTTTATAACGTCTATTTTATCTATGCCCAAAAAGAAAAGTTTTTATGGGCGTTCCATACACACTTTTCTTGCCAACCCTCTATATATTTCTTCAACCCTTAATCCCACATTTTCTTTCCTCAAAAAATCAGCCACCCAAACAAAACTTTAATGTTCCTTAAAGTTAGTAGGCACTATTCCATAAATCTTTACTTTTTTTACAAGGTAGATGGCAAATACAAATGAGAAACAGCAACAAATGTTTAACCTTAAAAAATGATAAAAAGTAGCAAAATTGAGACAAAGCACCACACAATATTTTTAGCCATGTTTTTTTTTTTTTTTTTTTTTGCACTTAATTTACTTATGGAATTATATCTTTGCATTAATTTTCGCTTACCTGAGGATTTTGCACTAGACTGTTTATGCATGGTTTCACATACACCTGCATGAGACAGAATTACAAACCTTGCTGAGCAGTTGGCAAATAAAGTGATTGCAAATCTGGAGATTGTCCCGCTGATGGTAAGCTGTGAACTGACGTCTGGTCAACTGGAAACAAATCTTGGACATTTTGGAGAGCATCCACCAACTGCTGCCATTAATGGTGGAAATCAACGGACTTTAAGTCTTCTTAAACGTATATTTTAAACATTGGCAAGATATATTGATACAACAAGGGAATATATTACTGATGAAGTTTTTTTGAGGAAGCTTTTAATTATTGTTATTATTAATTATAAAACACAAAGTTCTGGAGATAATGAATGGAACTCAAGGGATGATAAAAATAAATCGCAGCCCCATAACTAGAATGTTTTCGTCATAATTCCATATCTAACGCTGTAATTCTTCTTGATCATAGTTTAACATAATAATAATGCATGACATGCAGCGCGCGCACACGCATAACGAAACTCACACTATAGCCATATATATCAATAGTGCAAAAGTGACACACATAATCTGATAACCATCAACTTCTATTAACTTTATGAAACAAGAGAAAAAAATAAAATAAATAAATAAAATATGAATATTGTGCGACGAAATCAATATAATATATGTATATATTGGTGTGCACGCGCGTGTATAATCATGCCCTACTTCTAAGAAACAAAGTATCAGGCAGCATATATGTGTGTATGTGGATCAGGTATCAGACAGCATAAGATTTAAACCTCCTCGTTAGAGTCGACAGTATTTTGTGAAGGGTAATTTGGTCCGTCAAATGTCGTTTCAGCAACACTAGTCTTAGCATGCTCAATGATTGCTTCCCGTCGCTTTTTTGAAACGTTGCCAAATATCTATCGTTACAGAACAAAAAGTTTAGATAAAATTTTACTTGTCAAATTATTGTTTTTAAGAGCTATAGAAGTACCGAGAATAACAGTTGTTTTCTTCCGTAATACCTCTGGCAAAGATGATGGATTGGTTTCATTCCGCAGCAACAGATCCTCAACAGTTTTTATCCCATATTCAGCTAATCGCTCATGAGTTTTCCCATATTTTGATATATATTTCAAATGCCATATATTGTCCTTCAGAGATGGAGGATAGTGTTTCTGATTCACTGAAATGATCAAATAACGTGTCAGTCGCATGAATTATCTTGAATGACTAAAGTTTATAACTTATAAAATCAAAATTAATAGATAACACAGTATATATCAACTACAGTTATAAATATGTGCACCAATATACGATTTAGGTTGGATTTCAAGCTTTGAATGAGTGTTTAATTGAATCTATGGAAAAAATAGCATTAAGAAGGTTCACCGTCTGTGGATACTTGATCAAGAAAATAACTTTTGATTCACATATATATTATGTCTAAATATTTAATGGTGATATAAATGAAATGAAATAAATATAACTATCATTTTACTATTTTCATAATTTTCTTATAGAGCATATAAAAAAAAAACTTTCATCTCGTATACTTTGTCAAATTATAAGATAAATAATCTATATTATTAAATTTCATTATATTTTGAAAAATTAAAATCTAACAGCATTTCAGGAGTGGCTGTCAGAAAAAGAAACAAAAGAAACGGTACGGATTGTTGAACACTTACCCTCTCCTCTGGCATCCTTGACAATAAAAGGTTCACTTCTACCTTCCCTGATGTTTGCCTCATTCAAATTTGATAGAACAACCTTGGCTCCTAACCTAAAGTGTCGGCTTCGGGTCCTGCTTGAGTTGTCGGTAATCATATTGTTGGTTAACCAACCAACTCCATTTTTTAATGTAATAACCGTATCTCCTTTCAGTAACTTCCCTTTATTGTCTCTTGGAGGCAAGATTTTGTCCTCGAATTCATCAGCAGTCCAATCTTCATTGCCATCGGAGCCGAACTCGCCATTAAGGACACAAATCTCTATCTTGGTCGAAGCAAGTGGACCCTCAGCGACAATAGACTGAGATTTAATATCATAAAGAGCGACTTCAACAAGAGTGTTGTCTTCAGCTTTGATCTTTGTGAAAGTAAATATTGTAGCAGGCAATTTATTCTTGAAAACCAACCGAAAGGGTTTGGCTCCAGATATTCCATTCCGATTACTAGTTGGGCTGCAACAAATTTAAGACACGCCATCGTTTCTTTTGATAACATTCAACTATGCAAGGACTAGTTAATATTAGAAAATCAAGATAAAAGAGAAACAAACCTTGGAAATAGTCGGGTTTTCAACACGTCACTTACCTAGTTGAGGAATAACAATATGAATCAATGAACCAACAATTGAATATTTGTGTGATGGATGCTACTTAAACAAAGTTAAAAGCCAGTTGTTAAGATGAATGTATAGCCTTAGTCATTAACGACATCATAGTACTCTCTCACAAAGAAAAGTGATTATTCTTACCACTTTCTTAACTAACTCTGACAAGCACGGCATCATATCATCATTCGTTAAGTGAAATAGAGAGCCAAAATTTGTTATGGTGCTGCCACAATAAGGTAACCACAAAAGATAAACCGTTATGCAAAGAAATTATAATTACAGTAAGGAATCGAGAATAACAGATTGTAAGTACCGGCTGGTCTCTGATTGTTGTGAATCTTCGCGTCTCCGCTTTGAATGTTGAATTTGAACACCCCTTTCATCACCCTCCTCCTCCTGCTGGTGTTGTCTTTTTGATTCCATTTCAAATTAGACAAGAACCACAATCAAATCGGTAACTCACTTAATGTTAATAATTTCGAATCCTAATGATAGAAAGCGTTTAATTAAAAAGTTTCTTTGAAGGGAGCTGATAATGATGAGATTTTTATAGTGTAGGCGCAACAGAATTTTCGAGGAATTTACGAAAAAGGGGAGGTTCGAGGAAACGTATGTTGAACAAATGATTCTGATACTGCTTTGCTCACACCCCCCAAATAAAATATGTATATATATATCTATAATATCTGCATTTCAATCGAAATTTCTCCCCTTCATACGGTTCTCTCTTTCCTTCTAGCTTGTATTATAAACACGAATTGCTGACATAATAATATAACGCGTATTCTGAAGGTAACATGAATATTGGGTTAAATAAATTTATCCCGATCAAGTTTCTGGGCAGTAATTAATCTCGTCGTTCACTTATGCATGCATGAACGAAAAGGACTGCTAAAATTGGTATGCAGTGATAGTGTGTACTGATACTTCACGCGTAAGCACTTGGTGGGGCAGGGAGTGTTGATCACAAATTTTCCATAAATAACGCGTTTACTCTAAAACCGCGACCACGATCTAAAACATTTGAAATATTTTTTATTCTTCAACACACACACACACACACATATATATATATATGCAAATTAGAAAATTGCCGAACTTCCTAGTTTTGTTTACAGTAGAATATTTTTGGTTATGGTTGAAGATGGATTTTTCCAAGTTTGAACCATTCAAAAAATAGGGATATATTCTTTTGTTTTGTTTTTTACAAATACTGAAATAACCTTACATTAGCCTCTCTCTTTTTTCCTGCACAGCCATTAATTTATTACGATAACTTTTCCTATCCAAAGGAGTTTTTTTTTTTTTTTCATTATTTCGTGTGTTTATGTTTAAAATTTGCTCCATGCAGGCTCCGGGTGTCTATATAATCTCCCTCACTTGACCCAAGCAGATTGAGTGATTGACACGTACAGACATTTCATTTGTTATATGCTTTTTCTTTTGCAATCTTCTTTCTTATGACTGGCGCAATATATTAAAGAAAAAAACATACGGACGTACATTAATACATTATATATGTCAAGGATTTTTCATAAGTTCGGTACATATGTCTTGATACAAATTTTTTCATGACATAATTATTTGCTTGTTTTTAAAAAATTGTCTCAAGAAGTTAACAAAAACACATAATTATTATTTTAAAAATTTTAAGTACCTGTTTAGATACAATTATTTTAAAGAAACGATCACTTATTTTTGAAAAATTACCTAAAGAAATTAACAAAAGTAAAAAATTATTTCTTTAAAATAAACTAAAACAAACATATATACTCCATGCAGCCATGCGCACATATACAAGTATGAGTGTTAAAAATTGATAGTAGATTTATGTAAAAAATTTATTGTATCAAAAAGTCTTTCTAACAATGTATATGTTGAACAATGTGTGTGTTGATGAAGTTAATAATAACGTAAAGTTGAACAAAATATTGACAATCGTGACTCGTTTATAAGAATTAAAGATAGTTGGCGTTAATAGTTGTAATACTCTTGTTTTACTGGAAACACTTGTGGTTAAAAATATTTTCATTATGTACTCATAATTGAAAAAAAATTGTTGAAGTAATAAGTATGAGTGAAAAAACCTTACATTAAATACAAATTAAGAATTTAAATAATTTATAAGTAACAATAATTCATACTCTAATACAAAGTTTTTAATTGGATAAGAGATTTAATTAATCTATTTGTATTTTTAATTAATTTTTTTTAGAAACATTCTATAAGGTTATTAATATTGCTAAAATAAGATGTGATATATCAAAAAATGTTAAATTAAAAAAAGTCCCGACAACTTTTTTTAATATATTAGCTCCTTAAAAAAAATTTATTCATTAAAATCTATTAATAATTATAAATTATGTGTTTATTCTCTATTTAATGAATATTAATTTTGATAATTATATTTCAATCACTCATAAATGGCTTTTAATGAATATTATGTGTTCCTGACTAATACTCCACTTTTAACAATAATTTATTGAAGCTGTTTTGGAATAAGTTTGTGCTTCCATAGATAAACACTTTCTCTTAAAAGGTATTACTTGACAGCGTACCTACAAAATCAAATTTGGTAGCAATGGAACTTTTTTATATAAATATTTTGTTACATTTTAATATTTATGTTTTGGTTTCTCCCGTTAACAATATAAATAATGTTATAACGATAAAAATTAAAATCTAATAAAATACTCATTAAAACATAAATTTTTTACAAAACAAATTCTTAAACAAGTATTAATTATAAAGATTAAAGTATATTTAAACTAAAAATAAAAATAAATAAATTAAAATATATATTTGATTCGTATATTTAGCATTTTTGAATTAATTTTTATAATTAATAAAAATTATATTTTATACACGATTAATTTATTATAATTTAATGTATTTTATTATTAAAAATGTTATAGATATTAAAATATAATAAAATATTTATATATACATTTAAACATAATTTTTTAAGTATAAAAATTAATTCATAAAGTTTTCAATTACAAGAATTAAGTGTATAATTTAAAAAGTTTAAAGGTTCCTGCAACATTTTTAAATCAATTTTAGATTATTACAAATTTACATATTTTTGTCAAAGATCCAAACAATCAGCAATCAGGACGGTAAATAAATTCTTATAAATTAGTCAGCTAAAAGCATAACATATGACGTAATCACGGATGCTCTTAAATTTAATTTAAATGCTGAATCTCAAATGTCGGAGAAAAAAGGCCACAGGCCCATTATAAATATCTTCTGATCCAGTAAAAATGTTTGCGACCATACAATTAATTTGACCCAAAACCAAAATAAAAAACAATGAATGGCCATTAAAAGATAAAAAAGACAGTCCAAGTCTTCTTAGATCTTTTCATGTTTTTTTTAGTTTTTTTGTCCAATTTCATGTAGAGATAAAACAAATTAATAAGATCACGCAGAAGCGTAGTTGAAAATATTTTAGATTCATCCTAACAATGTGAAGAACAAGAAGGACTAAAAAACACTTACAAAAACTCGTTATTTTTGTAATAAAAATAAACGTTGAACTAAAGCAGGACAAAGTTTCCGAAGAAGAGCCAGCGTTTACAGCCAAGTTTCGATTTGTGGACAAATAAAATGATAGCGTGTGTGAGAAATGCAATTAAAGTGTGGAGAAGAAATAGCTGACCTGAGCAGAAGCTATTGCTTTGTTTGAAGTTGAGGAATGTTTGAAGGGTTTTGTGTGCCATTGATGCGTGTAACGCAGATAGATCTGAACATGCAGTGGTTCAACTTCAAATTTTAAAGATATTGGTGGTCATTGGTCAATGGTTTCGGAGAGAAGGACAACCAAGAAGTAAGTAAGATGAGTTTTTCGATATCTGAAATACGATTTTGAATCGCACAAACCTTCATATAAAGAAATTCCAAGGAGCTTGACTTGCTCGGTCAACCTCAGCTATTTCAATTATTCTTCTTTTTTTTATATATTTATTAATTTTTCTGGTTTGCGTTCATTAATTACTCCTCCGTTTTTGTTTTTTGTCTTATCCCTTCTTCGTCGTGCTGGAAATTCGGTGTGTGATTCAGTGCTTCTTTCCAATCCGTTGATTTTCTTTTTCTAATCTTCTTTTTTCAGCTGTGAAGTCGGATTTGATGCTGTTGCAAGCCATATACTACAGACACTTTGTGAGTAAGATATAAATATAAAATAGAATAATATTTTTTATTTTATCTTATTTTCTGTAATATAAAATAAGTAATATTAATTTATTATGTTCATCATAGTAACTATTTTCATTCTTGCATTGAAAAAGAAAAATATAACTTAAATGGGAGGTAGAGTAAAATGAATAACGGTTATTTTGAACCATTAAAAGCTAGAGTAAATGAGTATTTGCTCAAAAATTCGCTAAAGACACTTTGGTTGTTGAAAAAGTAACTATTTTAGTCCTTGAAAGTTATACAAATAAAATATTTTAGTCTTCATATTCAATAGACAGAATCTCACATTTATAACAAGGTAGCGGTCTACTTGGTTGCTTTCTTTTTTTTAGGGACTAAATTTGGTTGGGTGAAAAATTTTTCAGGGCTTAAGTTGAATATTTAACAGAATCCTTTTACATAAAGTATCAACAGAATAAATTTTGAATTGATGGTGAACCAGAATGTATAAACATGATTTATACAGACAACAACCATAAATTGTGCATAAATAACCTAACACTAGGATATACAGTAGGACCCCATCTTACACGTCTCTCACTGTAGTTGAAATTGAAGGAGGTAGACTTCAGGAAAAACAAACTCACCACTAGCTATAAGACATTTAGGGGAATTAATATACTAGACTTAGTAGGCTTATTCTACCTAATAACCAACGAAGGCCATAAAACGAGAGTCTAACAGTTATAGTAAAATAGCTTGGCATTCTTTCTGGCAGCTGCATCTCTTTTCACTGACATGACCCATTTGAGAGCAACACGAAACTTGTACCACACTGCTTTAGGTTTGCCATTGCTTGATATATCCACAGCAGAATTGAGGAAAGTAGAATAGCTACTAAATTCTGCTCCGACAGAAGAACCAAAGAAAAAGCCAGTTTCTGGTTCACATGTTGTGTAAGGAGGACAATCATTTATGAATTGAATACCTGAACTTACATTATCTATTTCATCACCACCTTCCACAAATGGAAAATGTGATCCATTAAGGTAACAACTATCCCCTTCAATGTACATTTCAGAGGGAAATTCATATTCCACGTGACTATTTTGTGGCATTTCTCTTATGTCTAGCCGTTGATCAGCATAGATTTGGTAATCAAGAGTTCCTTTATCACAATGTGAAGTAGAGTTAAATGGTGGACTGCCTCCTGGCGATCTTACCGGTTGACCTGCACAATAAGGTTAAAAGAGTAGAGAAAAATATTCAACAGGAATAGCATGATTGGTGAAAAGACGACATGAACTATAAAAAAGAGTCAAATGCATGAGAAATGGGTTAGTTTTGAAGGTAGTGAATGACATAGAAAGATTTGTTCGCTATTGTATTTGTATATAGAATAATATTGATATTCTGATAGAAATGAATACAACATGATATATCCAAATTTTCCTTGGTATTTTGTTCAACTTGGAGCAGTTTCTTCCAACTTTAAAAATAACTTGGACTATATTGCACGATCACTTGGAACTCTTTATGTACTCTCTGTCACTCACATTTTAATATATATGTAAAAACAAAACATTGGTAATTCAAGATAATTTGTATTTTTTCAAATCGAAACCCTAAACCCTAAAATAGAACAGTACGTCTAATTCCCGCTTTAACGAGATCTGGATTCCGTTAGGATAACATGTGCAACATAGCCTGGCATTGGTTAGTGATTAATCCCTTGTCACGAAGTCATGATGAGTGATACAGTATTAGAGATAATGAAATAACTAAGAATTATATCATTACATATATACCTTGTGTAGTTGAGATATTAGTATGTAGGAGACCTTGATCTAGTGTGTCAGACTGTCTTGCTTTTAGTCGTGCCTCTAGGTTTAAGCAGTTCAACTTAGTTTCATCAATCAATTTCAAATAGTTAACATTTTTGTAAGCTTCTTGTTTCACTATTTCCACCAAATGCTGCCAAGGAAAAAGGAAATCGATCACCTTTTAATATAATATATAAATAAAGATAAAACATTAGTCAATAATTTAAAGAAATCAATTATGAAGTACGAAGTTTTTCTTTAAAATCTACATTTAACAACCAATTCCAAACTGGATATTAATATTACCTTTTCAATGGGGGTGAGAGTATCCGGTGAATAATAATTTTGCCAATCGAATGTCACTCCCACAAGGATGAAGATGGAATTGAATAGCAGGCCAATTGGTGGTTCTGCTGAGTGATACCCGTAAAGCTTGTAATCATCTATCACACAGGCCTTGGCATGTTCAATAATTGCTAACCATGACTTATTTGGAATGCTGCCAAACTTCTACATCTCCAGAGCAAAAGATCCAATCAAAATACTCATTATAAGTAAGGATTTCATAAATTATTTATATGAAGGGGACAATAAGTAAAGAATGTCAATCAATAACAGACAAAAGAAGATAAGAAAAACAGACAAAATTTTACTTCATATAATGAAGTTTCGTTGGATATGAACAACCGCAAGAAATCCTTAACAGTGCGAATTCCATGTTCAGAGAGCCGCTTGTGGATTCTCCCCCCTTTAGCAATTTTCTTCAAACGCCATATTTCATCTTTCAAGGATGGAGGGTAGTGTTTCTTGTACACTTAAATGACCAAATTATACGTCAGTTTTGGAGTTGTCCCAAAAGACAGGTTATAATGAAAAACAAAAAAAATCCAACAAGCATAAAATTTTCATGGAAACAAAGATTATGTGATGTCATAGTTGGAGATAAAGAATCAGAGACAAACTCACGCTCTCCTCTGTTATCTTTGACCACAAAAGGTTCACTTCTACCTTCCTGAATGTTTTCTCCTTCAGAAGTTGGTTGCACAACTTTGGCTCCTAACCTGAACCTTCTGCTCCTTTGCCACTTGGAGTTATCAGTGAAGGCAATTTTATTTATGCAACCAACTCCATTTTTTAGAGTAATAAACCTCTCTCCAATCAACAGTGGCTCCTTACCATTTCTTTCCCGCAAGATATTGGCATTGAACTCATCTTTTGTCCAATCCTCACTTCCATAAGATCCAAACTCACCATTCAGGACACAGATCTCAATCTTCAGTGAGGAAAGGGGACCATCATTCACTACATGCCCAGATCTAACATCAAAAAGAACAATTTGAAGGGGCGATTTGTCCTCTGCTAGTATATTAGACCGAGTAAAAATTGCATCAGGCAACTTATTAAGAAAACGCAATTGTAAGGGTTTGGCTCCAGATATGCCTGTCTGATTAACCCTTTTTCTGCAACAAAATTGCCAAAAAAAAGAATGGTAAACTACAAGTGTTGATCAAATAAATGGAGGAGAGGGGATATATGATTGGGATCAAGAAAAGAAAAGGTTAACCACGTAATAAATATAATTTCGCTAGTAAAATTGATCTATGATCTTTCAAATGAGTTTTTAATCCCATGCCCCCATAAGAAATAGTACACCAAATGTTTCTTATTAACACATAATTTGGACATGAAGAACAAACCTTGAAAATACATGACCCTGGATTTTATGTTCCACCTCCTCTCTCACCTACTTAAGAAAGACACATGAATCAATCAAATTGTGCTTCTCTTTCCTTTACAAATCAAATAATAAGCACAACAGGGAAACGATGTGTGAGAATCTAAAATACATTTATCAATTGCTGAAACCTTGGGAACCTTGAGGATGGCATACTACATAGGTGATAAATTGTGCTTGGTTGTGCAATTTCAAATGAAGAAGATGCTTAAAACTAGCAGAAAAATAAACATTACAATCTTTCTCAACACCATACCACTTAATAGCTCAATCATTTCTTACCACTCTTCGCAAAAAATTTTCAAAGTAGGAAGCATGATCATTCATCCATGGTGCATTTATCACATTTCTAAGGCCACTGCATAATAAACAGAAAAATCAAATTTAGAGCTCACAACCAAAAACACCAAAATAAGTACACAAATTAAAAAGTACCTTATTGATGCTTGTTTTGTATCACCATGGCTAAAATTTGGCTCCCTAATTGGAATTTTGCCACTGCCTTTGTGCTTCTGAGGATATCGCCTATTTGATACCATCCAAAAAGTTACAAGTAAAGAAACAATTCACCTTTCTCAGAACTCCCAACGATTTAATAAGTCAACCAAGTGCCAAGAACTAGTATCATTAACTCAAGCCAAAATGCCTTATATACTCACATGCAGGAAGAAGGAACGAAACTTCAACAGTTCTCTAATAGAACACGTTAATCCCAAAAGTCAATCTCATATTTCCTCCAAAAATTCCCAGAATGTTCAAACACTTAATTATTAATATAAAAGTTAGGATATATACTATGAAATAACTCTTAAATATATAAGTGTCACGAACTTCAAACAGCGAAACCAATAACTTGTTAATAAATGCTACGTCTCGTCTTAAATATAAGATGTTTGAAGAATTTGTTACGGTCTTATTGCTTTTATTAATTATTTTTTAATAAAAATATTCTTAAATAAGATAAAAAAAAGTTAATTAAATATAAAGAGAGTTTACATATGAATCCATTATCATTTAAAAATATTTATTGTTATTTACAAAATTTAAATATGGCCCCAATTAAGTTTGAATAACTTACTTAATGTTAAATAATTTAAATTTTAAATATTATTATTTATATACTTTTTAATTTGTTGTTAGTATACTAACGTGAGACTTTTTATTATTTAACACTATTTTTATTTAAATAATTTTATATAAAATGATTTTTATTAGTTGATTAAATTAATAATAATACTTAAATATAAAGCATTTAAATAAGAAGTGATAATAAATATTTTAAAATGATAATAGACACTTTTGTTTATTATGATTTTTAATAATTTTAAAAAATATTTAAATTGTTGATAAGTTTTATATCATCAATAAAATTAACTATTTTTTATAATTTGTAAAGTAATTAAAATAATTTTATATTTAAGACTAGAGGATGTAATGAGCAGTACTGATACTCTACTTATAATTAAAGATAAGTACTAACTTGACGCGTCATTATTACACTAATACGGTGAAGTTAGAAAATTAAAGAAAATGATTGTTGTGATCGTTATTGGGGATGCGATTGAACAAATAAAACATTTATCACTGATACGTTTAGATTAATTAGAGATGACACATAATACCCACACAAACTGAAGCCTTTTTCTTTTTAATTAATTGGTTTTGACTCTAATAAACTCAAAAAATCAATTTCAAATAAACAAAGTTGAATTTGATTTACATATAAGGGGATGTACATTGAATGTAACTAACGAAATCTAATAACTTTTGGCCTGATTATTTTGACATCAGTTTTGTGATTAGAAAACCAATTACTCGTTATCCCAATTCTTTCTTTATGTTCCTTTATTTTTTTCATATTTTAAGACCATATGATATGATCAATCATTTTGTGTTACACATAAATTTTATAATTTATATTAAAAAAATACATATTACTATATAAGTGAAAAATCTCAAATCACTCAATTTTTTTCCCATGTTACCCAATATAAATATACAACATTGTTTTATTTTACTTAACTTATATATGCATGAAAGGATGTCCTCTTGCCTTTTAAAAGATGATTACTCGAATCAATTGGTTGATATCGTTTGTGTACAATATAACACGTTCGAGAAATGAAGAAATAAACACTAACTAGGATATCTAGAAATTTTCAATTTTAGTTTCCCCACGTGTGAAAATGTTACTGTTTCTCTTCAAAAAGTCAATAAAATAGGATGAGAAGATGAACTTAAACATCTTTCGGCCATTCAATTTTATTTCACAGGCTGTACGGTTGACATTGTCAACATTCACTAGTATTGAACAAACCAAAACTAATTTCCAAGAAAATACTTTGCAGCACAAGGCAACTTTCATAAAATGAAAACATACAAACATTTATTATTATCTTCAAAATATATTAAAACCAATAAAAAGTAGCGATGTATAGTAAATTTATATATATATTTTTTAAATATTCATAATGTTAATTAGTATTTTATATATTTAATGGATGAATATGCTTACTTATATAAGTAACAAATAGTGTCTTATCAAAACATATCACATAATATATAAAAATATAAGGAGAGTTTAACAATAAATGCATTTAGAATTTTTTTATTTATTTTAGACATATTTTTTTATAATTATTTCTTATAAATAAGATTAGGGATGCTAATTAAAAGAATTTGTAAGCATCAAAGATAAGAGAATTTAGAATTATTCATATACTCACACATACATGTGTAATTTTACACAAGTTAGACATTTGTAAATATATATTTTAATAATTATTATTTATTTCTATTTTAAATAGTATAATTTATTAAAATATAATAGATATTGAAGTACGATTCAATAGTTAAATTACATAAAATTTTGTATACTTGATCAACTTTATAAAAAATTAAAATTAAACTGTTGATCTTAAAAAAATGATTAAAATTTTCATTTTATTAAAAATGTCATTTTAACCTATTGGCATATAGTAAAATGTATAAATATTAATTATTAAATTTAGATATTTAATCATGCTAGTTATATTTTATTTGTAATGCTCATATTTTTATTATGTTGAGAGAAGGGGGTAATATTCTTTTTGTGGTTCTCACTTAATTAGTTGCAAGAAAAATGTAAAAATATAATAGAATAGAATCATGATTGACGGGTATAAAAAAGAAAAAGAAAGTTTCATTGGTTTAAAAGTCCAAGACAATATCCTAGTGCAATGATGGAAAATGGACAAACGACAGTGGTCCTTTCTTTGATTTTTTGGTGATTTTTGTGCATAAAGGAATGGTGGCTATCTAGCTAGGTGGTTATTATACCTGTAAAAAGCTCATTAACTAAGCAATGCTCTTTCCCACTCACTGCAAATGTTGTCCATCAGGTGATACGAGGTAAATTGCGGTTCAACACATGAAGTGGCTGTGTTTGTTTCATATGCTCTTGTTTATTGCACTTGTTCCTACTACTTTAAATTTCTACGTCTACCATTCCTATAATGCTCACTTTCTGTTTGTGTTTCGCTTTCATGCTATTGCCCTGTCCATCGAATTCTGAATTGGTCCTCATAAGTCATGACCATTAAATGAACTCTCCAACTGTAGCAGCTACTTGCACAATTTTCTATCATTAGAGGCAGATGGAATAAGATTTATGAAAAAGATATAAAACTGCACGTCCCCGTGGTTGAAATTTGCAACCTTGTTTGTATCCATCATTAAGTTGGGTTGGGGCAATAATGTTCTAACCAAATAATAATATGTATCATTTTTATTAAAGTTTTTATTGTTAAATATTTAAAATGAAGATTTATTAATTAAGTGTTTGATCTTTATAAAAATTGTACAATTTAGATTAAGTTCTTTTAAATTTTTTTATTAAGATATAATCTTTATTTTTTCTTCTATACTTTATTTTTAAGTCATTTTATGTTATAAGATTCATTGAGTTATTATTAAATGGCACTTTTTAATGGGCTGTATCAATTAATGGAACTAAAAATAAAATAAAATAAATAAAAACTATATTTTAACAAAAAAAATTAGAAAAACAGTTCAAACACTTAATTAGATCTATTTATGAGAATTGTTATTAATAAAATAATAATAATTAATATTTTGAATTTGCATGCAATAGTCAAGGAAAACCTTTCAAATAAATTATTTGAATTTATTTAAAGTATAAGGATTTAAAAAATTATCATTCAAAAAATAAAAGGTTTGAAACAGTGGAAAATGAGGAGGTGTGGACAGGCTCCATGTTCTATAATTAGTGAAGGGTGGGTTAAATAAAGAGGCAAATAGACTAGCGGTGGCTATTACGGTTAAGTAGGTTGATAATCACGAGCTGTATGTCCCCTTCCCCCTCTCTTGTTCCAGCTTAGGAAGATGTCTGTCCCCTTAACCTCTATTTCATACTTTCCTTCAAATATCTGTATAAAACATTCTCAACATTTTAAACCTTGCTTTTCAAGTTCCTCTCTTCTCTCCTGCCTAAGCCAGGAAGAGAGAGAGAGGTAATTGAACATCAAATCAATTAATTGAAAAAAGGTGATCATTATCATCACCTTAAAGAAATGGAGGGGCTCCAACACCATTATGCTCGTTCCTCCTCTTATCTACATGATGTGAATAAGAGAAACATGAAGGACAACCAAATGGGTGTAGGGACGAACACCACCACCACCACCACCAGAAACTCTCTAGCTTTGCAACCTTATGAGCCACCCCGTGAACGTTGCGTTCAAACTGTGTCCAAGTCAAAGTCAACGGGGTGGTGGAATGACCCTGAAAAGAAGAGAAAGCGCAGAGTGGCTAAGTACAAGTATTATGCGGCGGAAGGAAAACTCAAGCATTCTGTGAAGAAAGGGTGGCGCTGGTTGAAGATCAAATGCATGAAGATCGTAACCAATCTTTAACTGTGCATTATGCAATGCAATGCGATAAGATCATCTTTAATCATTTTTTAATATGCACATCTATTGTTAAGAGGTGTGATGGAATCTCCACAATTGTTTCAAATCAATCACAAAAGTCCACATTCATATGTTCTTGCTTGCATGCATGCATGTCTTTTCTTTATGTAAGATTTTCCCCCTTTCTGAGATAATTATTAGTTCTTTCATTTTCTGTAGTTGGTTTTACTTTTCTTCCTTCAATTGATGATCCCCCACACCTCATTACACATAACCTGGGATTGACTCCGTGTTTATTGATATTCGTCGGATTCAATAATTTTGTCTTGAGATTTTTCAAGCCACGACATTGAGATTGAAAGGCATAACAATTGACGAGCCATTTCAAAGGTACGAGCGTCACGTGAAAAACTAACTAATACATGGGTTAGTTTAACTGACATTATAATTATAATTTTGTATGTAATACTTAAATATATTGCAAGTATTTGGATTAAAATTGGATGAACTAAAATTAAAATATATAAAAATATATTTAACCTTTTAAAAAATAATTATTCCTGAAAAAATTTCCTTTTTTTTCTCGGGAATTAAAAAACATCTCATCCAAAAAATAAAAATGAAAAATTAACAATTAGAAGAGAAGAGACTATTAAATGAACACGGATCAATCTCAGCCATAAGTATTTATTATACAACTAAAATTGACGCCACAGTCTTCCTTACAGGAACTGTCGAGAAAACACATTGAACCCAAAACACAGATTTCTCAATCCTTGTGGTCTATAAAATCTAGATATTCCAAAAATATCAATGTCATCCTATTCGATATTGATGCATGTTCAATAATAATTCTCCATTTATTTTTTCAAAAAAATTGATTGATTGACACGTTTGAGATCTGGGATACAACTTAAATACTTTGAAAAAGACTGAAATTACACACTATCTTCTTAATTATAACAATTGCATTATTTGTATTTTTCAGTTTTTTGTTTGGATTCATAGAGTACCCAAATAGCACCTCTTCACCTCCAATCGGTAGAACACACGCTCCTTTCAAAACAATTTGTTTCCCTTTCCATTATTTTATTGTTTTTTCATTTTGCATTTTTTCATTGAGAACCAAAAGAATCAGAGACATATCTCATTTTCAACAATGACAATGGAACACACAGCTTTCGAATCCACCCCCCAACAAATGGAATTTTGAGCCCATGTTCGCTTCCAAACATGAACTATCAAATCTTCTTATGAATTAGAACATGGAAGGGAAGACAATCGTTTTTTTTTATGGTATTTGATGGCATCATTGGTCAGACTCCATTCTCCTATTTTTAATATTTTGGTTGACACCTCTAATGTCGTGTTTGCTAGTCGTCATGTCAATTTGTTACATAATAAAATTTCACGATTGATTGTAACATACCACAACATGCTTCCATCTCCTTTGCATGTGTAACACACGCTTGATTCAACCTACTCCAAACTCGCATGTTGACCTGCCTAGCTAGTTTTGATGAGATGGAAGGAAAGATTCTGAAACCTTCACCTATTTTTTTGTGGGGTTTTAAATTCCATGATTTCAGTTACTCATAAATATCCTGTTTAATTTTTCCTAAAATTTCAAAAACAATATTTTTGGGCATGTATTTTAAATTCTAAACATTCCCCTCCTAAATTACCCCATCTAAACACATCTTAGTATGCATAAGCTTAGGATAAAAGTATCTCGCTCATGCAGCAATCTAGTTCTTTCCATTCACCTACTAATTAAGATTGCAGAATTAGTGAAGTAGGATCTCACATGATGTTCGTGTAAAAAGCATTGTTTACTGGCTTGCAGCCTGCAGGCTCTTCCCATCTCATGCACTAAAGTTTGTGCGTTTAAGTTTTATTTGAGGTCACTTTTACACTCTTTTTAATACCTTTGGTCACCAATACTAAAATATAGAATCGTCCCACTGAAAGAGAGAGAAAAATATAGAAGAGACTATTTTTGAAGCGACACTCAATAATTGGATTGTTAAGAAAAATTATATGCCTCTCTAGGATTGTCTTTTAGTATGGGATCATATTGATATTTTCTCTTCTCTCAGTCTCAGAGGTCTAGTCTAGCCAGAATTCTCCTCCTGCTTATCAAAGTGATAGGCAAAATGTATGACACAAAAGGCAAAAGCAAAAGCGGATAATTGATCCGTGATGTATATAATAACAGAGAAGAAATTAAACATGCTAGCTAGCTATTTCAATTCTGATACGAGGAATAGTTTGAATTATTTATCATGTGATTACAACTTATTTTTTGTTATCCACACTTATTTTGATTAAACAAAATGACGAACAAGAAAGTTTAAATTGACTTCTCAAATAGATAAGAGATTTGGGTCCAAGGTACACCGTGCACTAATATGCATTAATAAAAGGAAATTATCACTTAATACCTAATAAATTGGTGTAAAATAATAGGTGAATAAAAAAAGAGATAAAATGCAACTAAGAAAAATAAAAAATGTATTAAACGTTGTGATAAAAAATAATTTTACACAAAAATAAATATAAAAATATTTAAAATTATAATAATCATTAAATAAAGTCTGATTAAAAAAAGATTTTTTTTGTCTAAAATATTATTAATAGACATCTTTGGATCATTTTTAATGCAGTACAGCATAGTTTTTAATAAAAAAATTATTTTAATTCCTTGACTGGTATTCAAAATACCGAAATTGTTAATAAAAAGGTCATGATATCATACTTGCATTCAAAGTGAGTAAATAAAAATATGTTTATTTTTCAAATTATAATAATAATACAATTTCACATGAAATTTAAAGTAAATACACTCCTATTTTAATAAACGAACTTATATTTTAGAAGCAATATTCGCAAATGATTAGTCCTCGTTCATGCAAAGAAGGCACTTCGCCAACTGTTTTATTAACTTTATAGCACAAGCACATCGTAGTCAACAAGAGATTAGATATGAAATTCAAATCTAATCTTAAGATTTACGGAATCATAAAGGTGTTGTTATAAGAATATAGTCAATACGTTGACATAACACGCAATGCAATGCAATACCCCAACTTTTATTGCAACTATTTTAAAAGGTTATAATTGAGAAGTGTTTGGTTCAAAGTACTATATATTTAACTTTTTAAAATAAAATTATTTTCTTATAAGAAAAACACTTGTGAATAGACTCGAAAGAAACAGTTAGTTTAATTTATTTTTAAAATAATTATTTTACAATTTTTGAGAGTTAAGAAATAGTAATTATTTCCTGATTACTGTATTTAATGAAAAAACCCAAAACCTTATATCGTTTTATTTACTTGTTTGTTTTTAATTTGATCCCTCCACTTCACTTCACAGAGAGTTCACAAGACCCAGCATCCTCACCTCTCTTTTGCTCTCGCTTCTCTTGTGACTATCGCAGATTTTTCTCTCTGCTCCCACTTCTCACTCTCACTCTTACACTTAACTCTCAGATCTTTTCTTCATTTCCTCGCTTTGATTAGTTTCGTGGACGAAGAGAGAGTCAGAGTAACGAAGGGTTGTGTTGTGTACCCTTGTTGCCCTTTTCAAAAATTATTTGGATTAATAATTATATAGTGTGTGCATTGGAGAATGGGTCTATGAAAATGATGCAAAAAATTGTTCTTTTCTACGAAAGAGGCTGCAATTGTGTTTGCTGATTCGTGTCGCGTGCTTTTCTCAACAAGGAGCTCATGAATTTTGAAATGGGCTGTGACGGATTTCTCATTTCAGGTAAGATTTCGTTCAAAATGTTAATTGGTTTTGAGATGAGAGATTTGGGTTCTGGAGTTGAGAGAACCGAATGGTGAAAAAATGTTTCCTTTCGCCACAGAACACTGTATGTTGATGTGGTAGGAATAGGAAAAGGAGAAATGGAGATGGAGAAAAGACGTTCCAAGGGAAGCTTCCTCAGCTTGTTTGATTGGAACTCCAAATCTCGAAAGAAGCTGCTTTGGAACAATCCTACCGTACATGGTAATATTAATGAAGTTAATATTCATTTTTATTGTCGTTGTTTGCTTGCTATGACTTGTTCTTCAATGCTTTTGTCGCTTGTGAGTCACATGTGTCTGTTCTAAATGTTTCTGCTACAATATTGTAGAGGTTTCAAAGCAAGGGAAGGAAAATGTGGAGAACTTACCAAAGTCGCAGCTCAGTAGGGTGTGAATTTGTCCTCTTTTTTGTTGTCTGCTTGTTATTAGGTGTAATTTTCACACAATTTGTATTTGATATTTTTTGCTCTATTACCATTGTTTCAGATAAAGGTGGATGAAATTGGAGCAAGTCCAAGTAACATTGGATGTTGTGAGTTTGATAGCAACCTCTCTATTTGTAGTGATGAAGGATGTGGGAGTAAAGCTCCTGGGTTAGTAGCGAGACTAATGGGTTTGGATTCATTGCCAGCTTCAGCAGTCAATGAGCTCTCGTGCAATTCTTTATATAGCTCTAACTCTCACGGAGCTTCTCATTGTAATGAAAGTGCTCTGCATTCAGTGGATGACTTTCACGCTGCCGACTACATAAACATGCCACATAAGATGGAGAAATCTTCTTTGGATGCCAAGGAATCAAGGGCACGTAAAGTGGAAAACCTTCCAATAAAGAGATTTCAAACTGAAATGTTGCCTCCAAAGTCAGCTAAACCCATTCCTGTTACTCACAATAAACTGTTATCTCCTATCAAGAGTCCTGGTTTTCTGCCACCAAAGAACGCAGCTCAGGTAATGGAGGCAGCTGCTAAGATAATTGAGGCAAGCCCTCGGCCATATATGAGGAAAAGAATGGCATCCGCCGGGCCTTCATCAGTTCCTTTGAGAATTCTTGATTTGAAAGAGAGATTGGAAGCTGCACAATGTGCATCCGTGCCTGAAAAGCCTGTGCATTTGGGAAATGCCAATCCTGCAAATGGAAAGCTTAGTGAGAGGAGCAATAATCTGTATAAATGCACTTCAGCATTCAAGGGTTCAAGAGATTCAGAAAAAATTAGTTCTTACCCTTTAGCAAGTAAAGGAAAATCAGTTTCACTCACTATACAAGCCAAAACCAATGTTCAAAGCCGAGATACATTGGTTTTAAATGGTGATAGGAAATATGTGAAGCAGAAAGAGAAGAATGATGTAAAGTCAAATCAGCTCTCAAGGAGCCAGAAACCAAGTGCTCATCGTGCCATGCAGCAGAGAACTTCCACAAGTCGAAATAGCAATGTGCTTGGGCAGAATAATCAAAAGCAAAATAGCATGACCACCAAAGGTAAATCAACTTCTAAAATAGATTTCAATCAGCCAACAACACAAGCTTCGTCTTCAGAAAGTTCTACTGGAACAAGGAAGACAAAAAACAAGGGTGCTATAAATACCAATATTCAGCCAAAAAGGTCAAGCACTAGGGCAACTGATAACCAAAAGGAGTTTCCACGATTCAAAACAGAGAGTATCTCCCAAAAGAAAAAGTATATCAGCAGAGATGTTCTTAAGGCAAGAGGTCCTGATAATGGAGTGAATAGTTTTGAAAGCAAGTCCATTAAATGCAATTTTACAACTGATGGAAGTTTTGATCAAGATGCATTTAACATGAAAGAGAGCAAGGATGTTATTTCATTTACATTTACATCTCCCTTGAGGAGAAGCATGCCTGAGTCACCATCCTCTACTGAGCAAGTGATGGGAACCAGAAATAGAATTGATGTCAACTGTCTTGGGCACAATGATAATCTTTATGCCAAAAAATTATCATTATCTCCACCAGGGTTAAATATGATAGATGGTGATGCTTTAAATGTCCTGTTGGAGAAAAAGCTTCAAGAATTGACATCTAGAATAAACTTACCTCAATGTACCCTGGCCACAGAGGGTCCTTCTACCAGTTTGAGATCTAGTTTGCAAGACAAATTTCCCAGTGTGATAAGCACCGTGCCTAAGGAACAGGAGAAGAGCTTTCACCCTGACCTGTTTAGTGATAAGCCGGATAGCATGCATAAACTTCATTTTTGTTCAAGTGATGATCCAGTGCTTAACATGAATCAGCAACTGCAGGTATGTCATTTCCTTATGTTTTCAGCTGCATCATATATGGGTTTTATTTCAAGTATCTATTATTGATATGGCATCTGGTTAACTTCCTGCTATTAATTAGTCGGGAGAATATGTTGAGGTTGGAAAAAGGAATGTTGGGGATGCACATTACAAACTATTGAGGATTTGTTTGAAATGGTCTTCGCATCATTTAAAGATTCTGATTTTACAAATTTGGTTATTTGCAATTTTCAATAGTCCTTGAACTAAAGAAAACTCACTTGCTTATCTGAATACTCAATCACTTATGCAGACATTAGAAGTAAGGGAAGATCCTAGCTGTAGCAGCAACGGTGAAAGTAGAAATGATCTAGTTTGCCAACTTTCCACCGCTGTCACTTTTGAAACTCCTTTGGTCAGTGAAAGTTACTTGGATAGTGAAGACAGTGCATATGGTAATGTTTCAATCTCTCTTCTTTTACTTTCTTAATAACAAACTGCATTTTGGGGTGGGGGGGGAAGATGGAACACTAGAATGAACTTCAAAGATGCTGCAGGAGTATTCTTAAAAACTTGATTATTATGCATAACTTTGGAGTCTTTTATTATTTTATCCTTTATGCTGTGGAATATACAAACTTGTTATATTCATTCATGAATATTGGGTCAGAGAAAATTGCAATGAATTTATTACATTTCCTCAGCATAGATGCATTTAACTATAAAGTTGTAACACCTGCCAGTTTCTTTCCTTTTTTTTTCAGGCAGCACCGTTTATTCTTCCATGCAAGATGAAGAAGTATCTAATATTTCCCAGACAAACGAATCTCCATCACTTGAAGATGAGGTGAAATGGTCAGAGCAAAGCTCTTCCACATTGATGGGCATAAATATGACCGTGAAACAAATAAGTGGAACATCAAATTTGGTAAATTATAAAAGATCAAGTGACATGGAACTTGAATATGTACAGGATGTACTTGGCAATGCAGAGTTTTTGTCGGAAGAATTTGTCACTGGTGAGACTAACATGGTCATAATGCCAAATCTCTTTCATCTGTTGGAGAATCTGAACAATGGAATAGAAAACTACGGAGAAGAGTACTCAAAGCTTGAAAGGAAGGTTATATTTGACTTTGTGAGTGAGTGGCTAGAGTTCAAATGTAAGCAAGCTTTTGTTGGAACATGCAAAGCATGGCTTGGATGGGTGACATTAGTTCAGAGGAAGAGTTGGATGGCTGAGGAATTGTACAAGGAGATGCTACGTTTTAGAAGCATGGAAGAGGTAATGGTGGATGAGCTTGTCAACAAGGACATGAGCACTGGATGCGGGAAATGGCTTGACTTTAATGTTGAAGCATTTGAAGAGGGTTTAGAAGTTGAAGGGGACATTCTAGCTTATTTGATTAATGAATTGGTTTCTGATTTGTTACATGTTTAACCACTTGATGGCCTCCATTTTTTACATTATATTCTATGTAATGCGTATGAAGACTTGACGATAAGGATCGATACCATTGAAATTGTTAAAAAGAAACACGGTAGCGTCTCGTTGAATATAATTCATCAAGTCCCCACAATGTTTTTCCAACTTGATAATATTTTTAGTACTTTTTACCTGTAGAATTTCTTTTAAGAAACTTGTGTATATGGTATGTATGTGTGTTGAAAGTTGTTCAAGTTCCCTGTTTACTCCTCATGTGTTCTATTTTGTTCTGCTTCTCTCATTTTCCTTTTCTTCCAGAAGAGTATGAGGGGTTGGAGAGAAGAGCACAGTTTATTATCTAGGGACTAAGTCGTATTTCTAACATGTTGTCGTGGCCATAATATAATGCTGCGCCTGAAGCAATTGGTTTTGTATGCCCCCCAATAGTAGTATAGATGAAAGTATCTAAACTTCGATGTTTGTGTTGAGAGGAGAGTGGAACTGGGAATCCCCGTTGCTCGTATATTGGTTTGTGTTTTTTATTGTATGTTCCACAATGTCAACAAGTCTCCTATGCCATAATTATAACAGCCTATTACAGCATACCATGTGGTTCCTTCATTATTTCCTTGTTTCAACTTTGCTCCCTCCCCTTTACATGTGTCACAATCAACAAGTCTCATACATTAATACTAATATTAAGCAAGTTGGAGTCTCAATAGTTGTATTATTTTTCTCTTTAGTGAGAGGAAAAAAAAAGAAAGAGAAAACCATGATACTCTTTTTAGTTTCCTAACATATGCAACTCTAAACAATATGGAATATTATATTTCATTTGTTTTATATTCTTTTAACTGTTTTTATTCTCTTTTTAGATTAAAAAATTATTAATGATTCATTAAGACATTAAATATTAAAATAAGAAAAATTGTCTTCAAAATAATAAATCCAACTTATAAACAATAGTTAAAAAATACTAATGCAAATTTGAAAATAACAACCTGAATATTTATTTGAAAAGTTTGAACACCCTTTAACATAAAGTACCATTATAAATTGTAGAACTGGATGACTAGTAATTTTATAATTTAATAACTATGTTTTCTAATTCAGATTTTGATATTCTAAAAATACCATGCTGATTTTTTTAGTGAACATGAAAAAAAAAAAGAGAAAAAGAAACTTCATAGACGAAATTCATATTGTCAAATTATTTATTTATATAATTATAATAATTACAACCAGTTAACCTTTACCTAATATGCTAATAAAAGATTCTGACGGAATATCTGCCAGCCGAAGCCACCTCACATACCACTGTCTAATTTTTTTTTCTCTCTCTCTGGGGAGTGCCATTGCTAAACAATATTTGTCTTACATTATAAAATTATAAATATAATAAATAATGTGATATAATAAAACATATTAAACAAATATTAACATTATTAAAATATTTATAAATCACAAGCATTTGATAATCCAAGACTTAGTTTGTGTTTGAATAGTTTCTTGATACCACCCATGAATTTGATTCAACGTTGACGCAAACACATTAACAGATGCAATGGTTACCATTCTTTGTTGCAGGTTACTGTCTTCCCATGTGAGTGTGATTACCAGCGGCACAAAAAAAGATATTACTTATTCAAAAGCAAAATAGACCCCTTCGTTATCATGTTACCAATATCTATATGCATGCTAAATGTTGCAAATGAAGATAAATAATGATAAACTAATAATAAGAAAATGATAAAGAAGTTTCTGTCATGCCTCCTAAAATAGTTACGAAAAGGTGTCGAATAATTGAGTGTAATGACATTAAGAAAATGAATTAAAGTTTAATGATATTATGTAATTTTAACTTTCTAAAATGAATTAAGGGGTGAATTCCAGTTATCTTTTTTTTTACTAATCTCATAACGTAGAGGTTTTTAATTCAAACAAAGTACATGTTGTGAATAATGTTTATGATATAGATAAAAATAATTAAAAACAAGAAGTTAATCACATCAATGTTAATAATTGGCAATATACAAATACATTTTTTTTATGATTTTATTTATTAGTTGTTTTAATAAACACAGGCTTCTTTTAAGGAAACTTCCAAAGTTTTACACATAAATATTTGAGGAAAGAGAGTATACCATTATTTTAACATGCATGTGACCGCTTCTTTTAAGAAATTTTTCTTTAAATAATAAATATTTTAGTTCTCCAATGTTACACATAATATCATGATGCTTTTTTTAAAAATTAAGCATGAATTTAATTTATTACTTATCAAATAGTATTATTTTAATTTATCATTTACAAAACATACTAATTGAAATAATCAATAATATATAACAAAAATTGATACTATTTCATAAATAAGAATATAACGTTAACTTTTTTTCCAAAACTAAAATAAGAATAATCACAGACTCGGAACTAAAAAACGTTCTAAAAGTTTTATCAACTAAACTATTTTATTACTACTTTATTCTTCTATAAATTAATATTAACATCTATTTAACATTTTTAGTACGTACATTATATCATTAATCATATTAATTAGTTTTCTCTTTTATTTCATATTTCACCGGCTGCAATACCCTTAATAAACATTATTCTTTATATTTATATATAAACTCACTTCAAAGTAAATTTTGTAATACAAAAGTTATCATCATAAATACATGCTGTTTTGTTAGTCTCCAAATTCAATTCAATTAAGGAACAACAAAATTTTTGCTAAAATCCTGAATCATTATTATTTTTTGCATCAGGTAACTATTTACTTAAAGAAAAGTGTTAGAAATAATTTTTTTATTATATTTCAGTTATTGTATAAAATTTATAAAATATGAGAAAAATATTAAATTAAAAATACAAAAGAGTGAGAATTATATAAATTTTAATTAATAATTAAAATTACATTAAAAAGTATGTTAAATAATATGTTATTAACATTTACTTTACTTAAACTCATTGAATAAAAATATTAAAACTAAAATTACAATATAAATATTGCGTAAGAATTGTTATATTATAAGTAATATTTGTACTATTTTTAATTGAAAATTATTTCAATAATATATATAAATTTTTAATACCGACATGCTAACTTATTATAAAAATAGAATAGCAATTATAATAGGATAGGAATAATAAATTTACAGCAGACTTGTGTATATGAAAGAAGAGAAGAGAATGGCAAGGAGGGATATAAAAGAAGAGTGTGAAGGGCAATTTGATGAGGGTTGTGATATGCTTAAACAAAAAGTAATAATAGTACTGTGTTAATGTTAGTGTTGTATAGTATTTTTCTGCACTCGTTCTTGTTTGCAGTTACAGTTGCAGGCTAAGGCTATAGCATCACCTTTCTCTCTCTCTCGGGAATGGTAATGGCAATGGAAATGGAGCGTCAAACCGCAAACCCAGACCCCCCTCTCTACGAAGACATCGAAAGCACGTGTTCCACTCCTTACGTCAGCGCACCTTCCAGTCCCGGCCGGGGACCCATCGCCGGCGGCTTCTTCTACAGCGCTCCTGCCAGCCCAATGCACTTCGCCATAACCGCCGCTTCCACTTACTCTTCTTCATTCGACAACGCCTCTTCTTCCGAGTTTGAATTCTCGGCCCGGTTCAACTCCACCGGGTTCGGCGCTTCCGGTTTGATGAGTTCCGCCGACGAGTTGTTCTTGAACGGTCAGATCCGGCCCATGAAGCTATCGACCCACTTGGAAGTGCTGGATCAAGAGGAGGTTGAGGTTGAGGTTGTTGAGTCGCATGTACGAGGTAGAGATCTAAGGTTGCGTGACAAGTCGCAGCGCAGAAGAACCAGATCTCTTTCTCCTCTCAGGAAAACACCTTTGGAGTGGACAGAGAACGAGGATGTTACGAATAACGATAAAACTAACAAGAAGGAAAACGAAGATGGAGATGGGACAACAACCTCGTCGTCTTCTGCTGGAAGGAGTTCGAAGAGGTGGGTTTTCTTGAAGGATTTTCTGAGGAGCAAAAGCGAGGGAAGCAGTAACAACAAGTTCTGGTCCACCATTTCCTTCTCACCCATCAAGGATAAGAAAGGAGGGAACCAAAATCACGGAAATGGGTCTTCCCGGAGCCAAAAATCCAAACCAAATTCTCAAGCTTTCTCTAAGAAGGTGACCGGAAAACCCAGTAACGGCGTGGGAAAGAGGCGCGTGCCACCATCGCCGCACGAGTTGCATTATAAAGCGAACAGAGCGCAAGCGGAGGAGTTAAGAAAGAAGACATATTTGCCTTATAAACAGGGCTTACTTGGCTGCTTGGGATTTAGTTCCAAAGGTTATGGTGCTATCAGTGGCTTCGCTAGAGCCTTAAACCCTGTCTCTTCCAGGTAATGGTTTATATATATATAATTAATAATGTACAGATTGTTAACATTATTATCACTATATTATTATTATTTTTCTTCTATAATCTATATATAGTTTAGTCTAGTTAATTGTGGAAGCTTCGCAGATTGGTGAAGGTGGTTGAATCCTCCATTCCTTGCGGTGGATGAAACTTCCCCACCCTCCTTGTCTATGTACAATATTTTACTATTTACACTTGCTGATGCTGTGAGTTAAAATTCACACTAGCCGTTCTTAGTTTTGGCACTTGATATGTTTGATCCAACCACACCGAAAATCTTCCATATCTTCTTAGCATTTCGGAAAACAGTTTTCTCAATTGTTCTTAAATGCAAATTTTGTGGTTAAATCGGGCCTAAGTAACGTCATCATTGGCGTGATTACAGCTTGTATTATCAGGAAAGAGAGAGAGAGAGAGAGAGAGAGAGAGAAAGAGAGAAGCGTACTAGTATTAACTATTAAGTTGAATCATTAAGCTAATATGTAAAGGGTTTCCCAATTTAATTAATACAAAAACGGGGACGGTTAATGTATCCACGTAGTGTGGGGAACCCTATGCCCCAGACTCACAGTGTATACAAAAACAACACAACTCAGATTGCATTGGGAGCTATAAGCAGACCCACGACACACCAAAATTGAAGATGCCTGTATTTTTGTTTGCATCTTTCACGTCCTAAGCTTTTTGTTCCTAATATCAATTGCAAGAAGTGAGTTGTGTTTGGCAAATAGATGAAGACGAGATGACCCAGGTGGCCTCTTGTCTAGTCCTATACCCAATTAAAATTATCTGCTTGGGGGGCCATAAGGTGTTACATGCAACACCATAATTATCAAGGCCTGATGATATTTGACAGAGCTTATTGGATTCAGGAAAAAAAAAAAGTTGCTATCCTATACTATATGTTTGTACTAGGTACCTCTTGAGAAGTGGACATCAAATGGATTCAGATTATTTGATATTGACTTGCCTATAAGTATGTTACAATTACACGTTCAAATGGAACCCATGAATTGAGATGTGTTCTTATTCTTCTGGTGTAATCTCTCGTTCTCATACAGATTAGTACGGAAATGTGAGAGGGATGTAGATTGAGGAAGATAAAATGTTAGTTATAACGTTAATTGTACTTGCTACTCGCGCTGTCAATTATTAAATTTTTTTCTTTTTAAGAATTATTGTGGTTATTGGAAAATCTTCAAAAGGTAGCCAATAACTGAGATATGAAAGTCAAATGAGGCGGGCCCCAACTCCTTTAAAATTAAGGTGGTGGCATCAAGATTTTAGCTCCTTCAAAACCCAAAAGTTGGTTGCTGATTTAAGCAAAATCATGCCACGTTCTCCTGGCTCTTTCGCGATGAACAATTTGGATGTATGTCTCGGGGATTGAGCGAAAGATTTATCATTAACGGTTTGTAGTCAATTGGTGTCGGCAAAATTTTGTTATTAAAGTGGGGTTTTAATGATATCAATTGGGAGCATGAAGGAGAGAAAAAAATGTAGAGGAAATCTAGATTTCGCGAATCAGAATTGGTGGATAAAGATGGAACAATTCATACTTTTTGAACCTGGTTTATTAACATTGAAATCCCAGTCATCTGATTTTTATTTGTTAATTGCACGACAACAAGTCTGGGTCGTACTTCATTTTCGAGAGTAAGGAAATTATTTCCAGACAGACATTGAGAGAGACAGGAATCAAAAGAGAAAAATAATTCATGTGATGAATAAAATGATTAAACAAGGAAATATGCGGGATATTAAATAAATGTTGACATGTTGATGAGTTTAAAAATAAAAGTTATCACTGTTATATCTAAAATGTAGTGTCAAATCCTAACAAAAACGTGCGAGAACATGTCCTCGCCACCTAAACAACTGTTCGCCAATCGCCACCTTCTCTTTTTTCTATTTGTTTATAATTTTTTTGTTCTTTCTTTTTTAAGGGTTTTTTGTTTCTAATTAAAAGATAATTTTTTGTATTTTGAAAATTATATATATATATATATAATTTATAAAAATACACCTGTATTTAGCATTATATAATTTTAATAATAATAAAATATATATTTTAAAAAATGTGTTAGAGAATATGCTGCTATATTCATGCATATGTATATAATTTGTGATGGTGCTTACACCTATTTCAGCCTTTAGGGCATGCTATTGATTAGAGAAATGTATTTGTACTTTTTTCTTTTTCTTTTATTTTTTTAACATTTGATAAAAATGTTTAAATATATAAAAGTTTAGGCTTTTTTTCAATTACAAAATATGCGAGTTTTGATAAAATTATAAAAGTATAGTTTTTTTTCAAAAATTACTATCAGCTACTTTTGGCTATAACGATTTTTGAATGCTTTTTTTTTTTTCTAACTTTTTGAATATTTTATTATTATTTTAAAATTTATCATTAGTAACTTTAGGTTTTTTTTAAAAAAATCGTCTAAAATTTTATTACTTTTTTTTTATTTTTCATCTATAAATTTTTGTATTTACATTAAAAATTGTAGTTGATGATTTTTAAATTTTATATTTCTATAATTTTAAAAAACACTATTTTAGTATAGTATATATAATTTCTAATAACTGTATATAACAAAATAATCCTAAAAGTTTATATTTAAACTTTGTACTTTTTAATAATACAAGCATAGATTTTTGTACAGCCGAAACCTTTTTAGAACGCAGCCCCCCCCCCCCCCCCCTTCTTCTTTTCCTGCTCAATCTCGTCTGTGTGGGCCCTAAAGAAGCAGCACCATAAACATGGTTCCGTACTAGTTCGGAGTTCTTAGTTATGATTGGGATGAGATGCATTGCACGAAATCCATGTGAGTTTTTCTTCTTTTCCTCTTTCTCGTTGCGCCACCGCCAAACAAGGGCCATGTAGTAGTAGGCCCTATACCATATTCCAGTACACGTAATTTTTTACTAGTAATTACTAACTACTGCGTTTTTGTAAACTAATGAGAAAATAATGAAGGTAATAGTGCAACAAAATAAGAGATGTAGCCTGCAAAGTTCAACGGAATCATTATGGATAAGAAAAGGCAAGTAAAACAAAAGGGAATGAAAAAGGTAAAACAATCTTCATATTATAAAACTGAGCCTGAATTTAACAGGTTTAGAATATGATTTCTCAGATGTTAAGCCTATCTTTTCATTTAATTTTACAACGTAGTACATCAACACTGCAAAAATGTGCCTAAAAAGACTACATATTTAGAGGACATGGTCATCATGAAAACCAAGGTGATAACACCAAGAAACTCGGGAATTACAAATTATATATCTGCCCGCAGAACTGAAAGAAATGACTCTTCTACCACAGTAAAATCAACCAAAGATAGATAAGATGTTCTTTTTAAGGGTGAATTCATCAGCTTTTGCTGGGCTGATTGACTGCATCCGAAGACAGAAAATTTCAAACATGATTCAAACGAGTAATCCAAATTATTAAAAATAAAAGCTTTTAACATGCCAGTTCATAATAACGAAAACCATTTCTTTGATCAGCTTTTTCCATTGTTTCTTAATTTTATTACTTCTCGATGGCCAAACCATTAAATGATTCGAGCAAATAGATTACTTTGACTGTTAGACATGTCACCATCAAACCCTTACCTAACCCTTCAATAAACAAAAAATATGAGAACAACACCATCTTTTACATCATCTCAAGTAGCTCGACATTTACAACTCTTAAATTTGCTAATGAAAGGATATCTTTATTGTAAATTGTAAATGTCATAACTCATAAGCATCTTGAAAATTAGAATTGAGAAAATTGAGTTCCTTTAACGAGACCAGCATGATATTTGAGAATATTCCCTCATTGCGAATTCTTTAAAGCAAAACTATGGATCTCTTAATCCGATATGCATAAATATAAGGAACAGCTTCGGTCCCAAGCAGGTTATTTAAAAAATATAATGAGTTCTGTAGAAAGTTCAACCAAAAAAATTCATTACTTTCTTTCATCAGTAGAGTTAAAAAGCTACATCATGAGATCAGTAATTAAAGTTTTTGCATGTTCCTCGATAGAAAAATACTGAATTTAACCCAGTTGTATTATTATTGAGGGGGTTGCTTCATTTTTGTAATATAATATGTCATTGGACATAAGACCTCCCATCCCATGTAGAGAAGCTATGTCCAATCTGATATGATATTATGCATGTTTCTTGTTTATAATATTTTATCATATTGGTCTCAAACATGTTTACAATATTCCACAAAATGTAATAAATTACCTTCTCAAGCATGCGCTCAAGACGTTGAATTTCATTCTTTGCATAGTCTGCACCCTTTTCCATACTGTTCTTAGCAAGTTTTAAGTAGAGACTGCCATGTCTGGTACAAAGTACAAACAAAAAGGACATCACAAAAAATCAAACAAATATATCTTTATAATTAAAGAAAGAAACATGGTTAAACTTTCCCAGCTTCACAATATTCATAATTCGAAATAAAACTTAAAGTAACCAGAAAGTAATAGAACCATAAGATCGTTCAAACCTTGCAGCAGAACCTTTAAGCTTCTTAACTTCCTCCTCAAGCCGGGAAAATACTGTCCTCTTCTCATTGTCATCAGCACTCACAAACTCCTTCACCAAGTCATCCAGAGAAGCAATCACACCAGCCTATAGCAAGAATAATTTAGCCATTCAGAAATGAAGTATATCATTCTGGTTTCTTTTATTAGTAAACATATATCGTTTCACTAACTTTAGAAGTAAGTTGCCCCTTCCCATCACGGTATGTACCACATTTCTCGTTGATGAAGGCTACAAAATCACCCAAATCGCGGCCACCATCATAATCTTCACCAGCTTTATTTCTCGTTGGAAAAAACTTCAGTGTGGGGTAGCCACTAACGCCGTATCTGTATTAACAAAATTTTCAAATTATGCACATGCACTTCTGAAATATGATATCAACCTAGTTTGAATAGAAGACAAATCAAAATATATCATTGTACTCACTTCTCAGCCAAATCCTTATACTTGTCAGCATCAACGTTGGCTATAACAACTTCTTCCTCTAGTTTAAATGCTGCAGCAACCTTTTCATAAATCTGAAGAAATAGTAAAAGCTTAATCAGGATTGACCTTGACACAGTCACAAGCAAGTGAAGCCCATTAAGCTATAACAGAGGTCTAAGGACTGAAGAACATTCTTACAGGGGCAAGGGCCTTGCAATGACCACACCTGGAAGACAATTAAATTTATCAAGAAAAATATTCAAAATAAAAAGAAATCTAACCATTCAACAAAGTTTTCTCAGTTCATCTATGACTAATCTATACTAACCATGGTGCATAGAATTCCACCAGAACATCTTTTGTTTCGTCCAAGACAATCTCATCAAAGTTATCTTGAGAGAGAATTACCACACTGGATGGAACAGAAACTATCTTCACATTGGTGCCTACATTAACAAGATATTTTATATCAGTGTTAGGAGAATTAAGTTGCAAAATGCTAAAAAAGCCATAAAGAACAAAGAATGGATGGCAAACTATCATGAGAGCATGCTACAATAGAGACACTGCACGGGATGGCAATAAAATAGGGAAAACAACATGGGATAATTATATAATATTGTTAAGTATTCAGTACAATGACTAAAAATTCATAATAATATCGGATAATAGTTTGAAGTACAATCAATCAGAAATGCATATGAATACAACAGAGTCCACTTGGTACAAAGAAAAAATAAATACCTGTGTTCAAAACATGCAAATAGTGACAACCCTTAGATTTATATACAAATCAACAAACTTGTTCTAAAATACGCAAAGTGGCATCATGCAAAAAGCCACTACAAGAAAGAAGGGATAAAAAAGAAAACTAGCAAGAGCATAATTCAATAAATAGCGAAAGACAAGTTCAGATAACTACCTGCTTCCATGTTCACAAACGCAGCAAGGGCTTCCGCAGTACGTGCACCTTCATATCTAGAAAACACAAAATTTATTAAATGTAGATTACAGATGCAATGAATAGCTACAACTTAAGAACGAGAATATTGTTTACATTCTCTACGGCTAAAAAAAATTGGAAGTAAAGGAAATAAAGAAGGTGCTCACTTCCTTGGCTCAAGAGATCCCTTAGGAAACCACTTAATTGTAGGGTAACCAGAAACCCCATATTTACTACAAACACTCTTATGTTCATCACAATCCACCTGCAAACACGTTAAGTCCCAAATCATCGACCAAGTTGCTAAAATGAAACGAATTACATTTTGAAGAAGCGTAATGAAATCAAAATAACGTAAAAAAAAGAAGAATAACAAAAGAAAGTAACCAACCTTCCCAATCAAAACGGAATTAGTTTTCTTAAAACTAGCTCCGAGCTGTTCATATTCTGGGGCAAGCTTTTTACAGTGTCCACACCTAACATGAAAACACGAATAATATGTCACAATCAAAATACGTAAAGAGAAGCGCGTGAGAATAGGGAAATTCGATTTGTATATACCAGGGAGCGTAAAACTCAACGAGAGCACCGCGATCCTTGCCGACCTCATTTTCGAATGTGTTCTCTGTGAGCACAACGACGTCGTCCGCTGAAGCCGATGAGAGAAGAAGGATCAGAGCAATGGCTCCAACACCAAGCATCAACCTCATTCTTGAGCTCCACATTGTTCGCTTCTTCCTCGATCTTTCAAAATCAATGTTGGATGTTTCTTTCTTTTGCTCTGTGTTTATTTATTTATTTTTATTTGTTTTTTTTTTTCCTATAATTTTCGTTTCTTACTTAGTGATGCAGCAACGTAAAAGCAACATAAATGATTTTTCAGTCAATCCGTAATAAATAAAAAAACGCTGAGAGTATTCGTTTATGATTAAATGGTTAATGTATTTAATGAATTGAAATATGGTTTAATTGTTTTTAAGTGATGACAATAAAATTTAAATAATCATATTTTATAAATAAGTTTATTAAAAAAAAATTGTTGTCAATACAGTTTTTAACATATTTTAATTATTAATTAAAATTTATAAAAGTTATGTAATTTTTATTGAATCTTTCTTATTTTGAATTTAATGAAAATTTTTATTTAAATTTATATATATAAAAAACACTATTAAATGGGATGTTTTTTAAAAAAACCTTTTAATTTTATTTTTCTTTTATTTATAGTAAACAGGCTCAAAGGACCCAATTACAGAAAAAATTAAACTACAATTCTAAGATATCTAAAACTACTAGCATCCAGATTTAAACAGGAAAAAAAATAATAGAAGTAGAGAAACTAGTATAAAGAGCTAGTAGAAAATCATCAGCATACATATTATTAGCCTATAATCCTATTTAATACTATTATTTGAACCTTTATGTGATCACGATCAAATTTAAGGTTATAGGTAAAAGAAAAAAGAATTGACCACAGAAGAGGGGTGTTGCGAGAATCGAACTCGCGACCTCTCGCACCCGAAGCGAGAATCATACCACTAGACCAAACACCCAATTTCTTATTAAAAGTTATAACACATTATATTGGTATTTTAATGATAAATCGCTCCTCTTTTTATACTCGTTCTGAAAATTAAAACTAGGGTTTCATATCAGCTTCTGTATCTGCCCTTTGTTTATCTCAATTATCAAACTGCCTCAGCCTTCATTGTAACTTGCTCTAGATTTGTTTGTTTATCAATTGTTTGGTTTTCTCAATGTCTCACACCAGCAACAATGTAAGTTCAGAATTTTGGAATCGACTCCCTATTTTCATCTCCACAATCCCTTCGATTTTTTCTGCTTTTGAGTTTCATCTAATTGTTAATTTGATTGGCATGAATCAGGTCGTTGGGGTTGACAACACGTTCAGAAGGAAATTCGATCGAGAAGAGTATCTGGAACGAGCCCGGGAGCGCGAGAGGCAGGTACGTCGTTGGTGTTCCTCCGATATCGATTTCTTATTCTGATTTTTGGATAATTTAGGTTGATTGATTGAGCTGTGTGTTTGCAATTTTGAACAGGAGGAGGATAATCGATCGAAACCTAAAGGTCAGTCACTGCATTCGTGCTAGAGTTGGAGTTGTGTTCAACTAAATTTGCTTTAAGTAACAACTGACTAAACATGATCTTATTCTTGCAGTTAAAGGTCCTCCCGTGCAGAGGAAGCCATTGAAACATAGAGATTATGAAGTGGACCTTGAATCCCGCTTGGGCAAGACTCAGGTATGCTACTCTGAACATTTTGGTCAATGCAATGCCCAGCATCATTCAGATTCTTACAAGTATGTAAGCATTGTATGTTGTAGGTCATGAGCGGTCACGTCCACTGGTGTTAAAATTTTGTCACATGATTCAGTTGTACTGATAAAATGTAATCTTTTGCAGGTTGTTACGCCGGTTGCACCACTAAGTCAGCAGGTACCTGGTTTTCATATTTGTTTTAGATTTCTAGTTATCACTATCTAATTGTTGTTTTTAGGTACTTTTATATTAGAAAAAAAGTTCTTTTCTCATAGTGAGTCTTGTCAAATTGTAAATTACTTTTTCCTTTTGTTGTGGGAGGTGTAATGCGTGATTAAATGTTAAGGATGAGTAGTAGACTTTGCTGGTTACACTGTACACATAGGACCGCTTCTTTTAATGAATTTTAAAGTTTTCCAGATTCATAGGGAATCCTATGTCATGAGCTCTGCAGTTAGTCAAATATCTTTTTCAACCATGTCAATCATGCATAAATTTTGAGTGTTAAGGTTCCCAGGTTCAGTTGGATTGTGGCTTTAGTTAGATTTGAGACCCCAACTGGGCTTATTTGTACCTGATCGTTGTGTGAGATATTATCTGAAGCTAGCAAGCTACATGTCATGTCAAGTTTGAAACTAGATATGACACATGAAATAAGATGGAGGGTGGAATGACATGGAAATTATCATCCTTGATGCCTCTTGCTTAGGGAATTTTTCAGCCTTGTTTGTATGTTACTTTTATATATGCACCAAGGAGTACTAAGAATAAGACTTATAGATGATGTTACAGTTTTAGGTTTTTGCTATCTGGTTGTTCTTTTTGTTACACTGTTTATGTAGCAATTTTTTATTTAATTATGTGTATTGCAGGCTGGATACTACTGCTCCGTTTGTGAGTGCGTGGTAAAAGACTCTGCAAACTATTTGGATCATATTAATGGGAAGAAACGTATGTAGTCTTTTTGACATTTCTCTGATTTTCCATGTAATTGCTTTAATTGCCTTTGCTTTGCTCATATTTATTCTTATGTTATCCCTTAGATCAAAGAGCTTTGGGCATGTCTATGCGAGTTGAACGTGCTTCTCTTAAACAGGTAAAGCTTAAAATTGACTTCTATTACCTGTGAAGTCAAATGGAAAAACCAATAACTGACTTTGCACAAATTATTTTGTTTTCACATGCATGTATGCACGTGTGAGCCTTTTTCTGTCATTTTGTTTCTGTTGATTTATCTATGCCTCTACATGACAGTAATAAATATTTTGATGAAACAGGTTCAGGAACGATTTGAAGTTCTTAAGAAACGAAAAGATCTTGGCAGTTTCACAGAGCAAGGTAAAGCCTTGGATAACAGAAGGGGTTGGGTTTTTTTATATAGAATCATACATCAGCCTGGATATTGTTCTTTGTTCTTTCTTACCCTGGAATTGTAGGTGTTCTTTCTTTGATAATATCTAAATATAGTATGTAATTTCTTAAATTCCCAAGTAATAGCTTTTAAAAAAAAGATTAGTGCCGTATAATATTTTGATTATTTGTAGGTGTATGTGGAATTTTCAAATTTTGTGGTTGCCCCACAGTCCACGCTAGGATTCCCCACTTTTATGATGGAATTAATGTTATGGAAATTAATTGGTATTATTTAACAGATCTTGATGAGCGGATTTTAAAACAGCAGCAAGAAGAGGAAGAAAGAAAACGACTACGTCGAGAAAAGAAAAAAGAAAAGGTAAGAGTGTGTGTAGGCAATAGGTTGGACAAATCCTTCTCTATCTTCCCTCAACCATATCTGTGTCGAGTTTGCCATTAAGAAAATGATTGTAGTGTTATTTTAGTAAATAAATATTGCTTTTTCTTTTTCCCAAATTAGTAATTAAGAAATGTTCACTTTTGGATTCAGAAGGAGAAGGCGGTGGAAGAACCAGAAATAGATCCTGATGTTGCTGCTATGATGGGGTTTGGAGGTTTCCGGTCATCCAAGAAATGATAACATTCTGCATGCGGGATGAACTGTATGAAATTTTGAGCAATTGCTCTGCAATGCTAAGCTGAATCTGATATCTACCAGCCTGATTTTGGGTGGCTAAACGATGAATCTATAGTGAAAAGTTAAATTGCGGCGGGCACAGTAGTTTGCGTGCTGGTCCTTAGCGTAGCCTTATTCAATCATGTGATTCGGTTGAATATTGTACATTTCTTCTGATAGCTAACCTGGTGTATTATACGAGCTTCATACTTGTGTTCTCTACTTTTCTTTTAGTGGGAAGTGATAACTTGAGCGTAACTAATGGAAATCAATTATGAACATTCTGATACAATTCTATTTTGGGCTAGCATTTCAACACCCATTTTCATTGAGAAATATAACTACATAGCCTTTTTTCTGCACGATCATTAAATTATACGTACTAAACTCATGATCGATATTCTTGCTAGTCGAGATAATGAAAATAGGCATTCTTCATGTTTAAGCGTTTCCATTGCCTGAAATAACACTGACTAAAAAAAAGTAATCTAAGTTAATTTGCTTAAACATTCTTCGAGCATTTTTCATGTTTTTCATTTAACAATTCAAAAATGTTTTATCATGTTGACAAGTATTCATTTGAGGTATAGGGCTCAGTGTAGAAACTCGTATTGTTGAAGCGCTTTGTCTCAGGTGAGTCCTAAACCTTAGTTTTCAGGTACTAAAAATTGAGACTGATAGTATATTGGTAGCACAGACTTGGAATAAAGGTCTAATCATGAAAAATATTGTCAAAGCACAGACTTGCAATGTGTGTCATGTGAGGAGAAAGTTGTGAACAATATTGTAGACCATTTACCAACGTTAGCTTTTAGCCTATTTTTCTATGCATTCTAATTGAGTTTAAGTGAAAGTTGGAGCTGATAAAGTAGGCCAGCTCACGAAGTTATGAAGGGAAAACTGAAAGTGAAAAGGAGGTTAGTTAATGAAAAATGGCAGTTTATACCAATAACGATTGGAGACTAGTTGTGTTGACGATGATAGAAAGAGTGAAAAAAGTGTAGATCCAACAAAATGGTTAGCAAAAAAGACTAAACACAGCGATAAAACTTGAGAAATATAACTACATAGCCTTCCTTCTTCACGATCGTAAAATTATACGTACTTAACTCATGATTGACATTCTTGCTAGCTGGGATAATGGAAACATGCATTCTCCATGTTTAAGCGTCTGCACTACCTGAAATAACACTGACTAAAAAAAAATAATTGAAGTTTATCTGCTTAAACATTCTTCAGGCATTTTCCATGTTTTTCATGTAAAGATTCAGAAATGCTCTATCATGTCGACAAGTATTCATTTGAAGTATAAGGCTCAGTGTAGAAACTCATATTGCTGAAGCGTTTTGTCTCAGGTGAGCCCTAACACTAGCTACAGATCTTAGTTTTCAAATACTAAAAATTGAGACTGATAATATATTGGTGGCATAGACTTGGAATAAAAGGTTTGATAATGAAACATATTTCCAAAGCATAGTGAAATATTGTATGCTTTTAGTCTCTAATTTGGAATTTTGCAATGTGCGTCATATGAGGAGAGAGTTGTGAACAATATTGCAGACCATATAGCAACGTTAGCTTTTAGCCTATTTTTCAGTGCATTCTAATTGAGTTTAAGTGAAAGTTGGAGCTGATAAAGTAGGCCAGCTCACGAAGTTACGAAGGAAAAACTGAAAGTGAAAAGGCGGTTAGTTAATGAAAAAGAGCAGTTTATACCAATAACGATTGGAGACTAGTTGTGTTGATGATGATAAAAAGAGTGAAAACAGTGTAGATTCAACAAAATGGTTAGCAGAAAAGACTAAATGAGAGAGATAAAACTTAAACGTAGCCTTCCTTCTGCACGATCGTTAAATTATACATACTTAACTCATTATTGTTAAATTATTTTTCATATTCTTTGTATCTGTGTGACAAGTTTTCATTTTTAGATTCAGATTCAGTCTAGTTAACGTGAGAATTAGACATCTAGTTTCATTTTTACTTAAGCAAAAATTGATTTAAAATGCAAAAGACAACAAATTTTTTTTATGCTTAAGCGAAAATACAGAAAATGACAAAAAAGAAAAAAATTATGCTTAAACAAATTCTTTTAGCTTAAGTGAATTTTACATATTTACTTAAGCAAATTTTTCATCTTTTCTCTCAATCTTCTCTTTTCATTCTCCTCATGTCTAACACTCTCTCTCCTTAATATCTATATTCAACTCTCTTTAACTTTCGTATCTAACATTTTTTCTTCTCTTATATTCAACTCATTTGTTTCTCTACCAACTCTCTCTTCCTGTATAACTCTTCTCTTCTTTTTTTCATTTTTACCCACCTCATACTAATATCTTCGTCTTTGCTCCATACCCAACTCTCCACCCTTCTCTCCCTCCACCACCACTCTTATACCACTGCTCTTCTTATCTCCATCTGTCTTGAGTCCTCTCTTCCTCTCATACCTAGCTTCTATCTCCTTAAATGCACAAAATTCACTTAAACTAATTTTAAATAAAAAAAATTTGGTCGTTTCTATATTTTTGCTGAAACAAATCTATTTTTGCTTAAGCAAAAATAAAACTGGATGTTCAGTTTCCGCATTAACTGGACTAGATCTAGACCCTCAATTTCGTGACATAAAAACTTAGGCATATTTTTTTACAGGGTGAAGTGAAGATTCTTATCTGTTTGTTGCATGATTATTAAAAAAAGTTTTAGTCCTAACAAAAATTCACATTTTATTTACTCTTTATTTTTTAAACAAATTCCTAAAAAATATTTTCTATTTTACATAATCCCTCAGTTCATAATTCAATAATTTTTTTAATTATTTAACTACTTAATATTCAACTTAATTCACAGACATAAAGTTAACATAAGCAATAATCTCATTTATACTTCTATTTATTTAAATTTTCATATATCAATTCAAATACCACAATCTACTAGCTTAAAATTTTATTAGAAATGATAAAGTAAGTTAAAAACTTTCTACTAATTATTGACCTAAATTGTTACTTTTTGTGATGTTTGAAACTAATAGAAAGGTTTTAAATCTCAAAGATTTAAATGTCTAATTTATTCAATTTAGAAAACTGTTTTGAAAGTTTAATTTTAAACAAAATAATAGTATTTGAAATATAATTTTCAATTAGTCATCGAGCTTATATGAATCAAACGTTTTAGCTCCTAAAATTTTAAAATCCCCTTTCATCAGTCCTTAACTTTGTGAAACATCGGTCAAATTTTACATGCAATAATGATGAAAATAAAATAAAAACACTTCGGTCAATAACTTTTAATGAGGTTGAACACTAGTTAAAGGTTCGTAAACTAAAAGAGACTAAATGTATATACTACACAATTTCGGGCATTTATTTAAGAGGTTACTCCAGAAACAAAATAATAGCAAGCTAAGTATAATTTCTATACAAAAAATGTGAGAAATTTTGAAAACAATCGTATAAGACCCCTTTTTTTCTACTATAATAATTTTACATCAAGTAAAATTATCAAGGGAAGTGGGGTAACACTTTCAAATCCAAGACAAGAAAACGTTCATTGGTTATTTGTTTTCGATGAGATTTTAAACATGACAGTTATTTTGCGCAATTAGTTCTTCATTGATTTGATAACTATCAAATCTCAAACTAATAACTCAGCTAGGAAAGGTCGTGTCTTTTTTTTCCGCAGATGAAGATGTACGAAAAAGTTTCAGCTTGCATAATGATTTGGACCACCTGAATTTTAATATGAAAATTCATCAATCCCCACAAATCAACTGAAATTAGCTCAGCACATCATGAAGTGGGAGAAGGGGCAGAGGTTCCCAGTCATTTTATATAAATAAAAATTGAAATATACTGCAATTTCGCTAACACCTCCAATTCATTCATAACTACAGAAACAAACTTATGAGATACCAAACCATTCTTGCTAACGGACTATTTGATGTACTGGGAAAGCCATTTGAAACCATCCCCATAACCCATTTTCTTCACAATACTGCACATGAATACCTCCATGGGGCGGACATTTGAGTCGGACAAATTTACCTTACCTTTGCCCGTGGTGAAGTTAGCCAGGCCCAAATGGAAACGCAACTCATCTTCTGAGGCAGCATATGGAATATCTATTTTGTTCCCAAGGATAAGGAAAGGGACATTGGCTAAAGATTCATCAGATAGTAGAGCATCCAGCTCTTTTTTTGACTCAGCAAATCTTTCCTTGTCATAAGCATCAACCAAGTAGACCACTGCATCTACCTGAATCAAAAAGGATGCAACTTATTCACGATCATAATAAATAAATAAATATCAGGCACAAGAAAATAATAGATCCCAACTGAGAAAAATAATCAGAAACTGCTTCAAAAGTAGACGTGTCTGTTGAGATACTATTAGCAGAACCTCTAAAGTGAAAAGGTGTAATAAGCTGTATATATCCACGATCTCTATCTCCAATGTATCACATAAATAATTTTTTTTGGATAAAATAGGACAATGTAAATACTTTAGTTTAGGTGTAGTCATATAATGAATGGTTTAAAGATTGATTTAGAACATTTTGCATAGGGAAAAAATTTAACTTTAAAAACTTAATCACTACTACTATAGTACTGACTCAATGAGCATAAGAAATTTTTTCCTAGATGATGGCTAAAGTAGTTCACATATTCCTTAAACCTCTCATGCAACTCTCTATACCTCCAAAACTGTAATCACTATAATATATCAGAGGGAAAAAACATTGCATCAGAAAGCAAGACTAAGATCTTAATATATCTAGGGAAGGCTTAGTGGTATCCAACCATAATTTTCAAACAATGCATGATTAAGATAATTTCTTTTTAAGGCTACAGTCGCCACAAATTATGATGCGGGAAGAGAAGAGAGACCTGGGCATAGTAATCTTTCCAAACTCTGCGAGCAATCTGATGACCCCCAAGATCAAATGCTTTAAACTTGATCTTCCCAATACTTAACTCCTCTGATGTAGGGTACTGTGTGGGCTGATGCTGGACCAGTCTCTGCAAAACCAACTCTTATAATAAAAAACATCACACCAGGGTAATTTCAGGAAGCTCTGGACTAATAAGTCACGTTTGCAGTAAATATTTCTTGATTGCCAAAACCACAAAAGCATGGATGGGAGGAAAACAGAGGAATCCAACAAAAATTTAAACAATCATTTGATGTAAACCGAAAAGCAAAAGACCGAAACATGTTAGTATAGAAGATCATAACCAATTATGCACAGCGCAGGTTGATGTAAGGAAGCTATGTAGTTGAATAGCATGTTTGCGTCAAGCCATGAGCTACACTAGGTGGAAACAAAGAGATCCAGCAGCACTGAAGAAAAGTGGTATTTTTGTAATCTCAGCTAATAGCAAACAAATTATGCTGATTTGAGTATCCAATTAACACCATGCTAACTTTCTCATTAATAGCATTCAGAAAGACATAAAATGCACAATTGTTTCGTATCATGTACCGTTACTCTTCTGAGCAAACAGGTGAGAGTAAAAATATAACTCTTTCCTAAAACATTTTTCAACTAACAAAGTAACATTCTCAATAAAGATTGTAAGGTCAGAGATCTACCACAACTGGGGAACAAACAAACCGCCCCTCCCCCCCCCCCCCCCCCCAAAAAAAAAAAAAAGACATACATCGTAAACGATTAGGAAAACGAAAAGGACACAAACCTCATCTTTGAGCATGTGAAGCAAGGTAGTTTTGCCAGCGTTATCGAGCCCCAAGAATAAGATCTTGGCCTCCTTCTGCCACAGCCCGAGCGATGCTAGAATCCCATAAAACCAATCCACCAAAAACATTGCCTTTCACGATCGAATTTCAATTGCTAAACCCTGATTAGAGAAATATCGATCTAATGTAAACTGAAACAAATTTGGTGTTCGAGTACGAAGACCTAACCCCAAACCAGAGGAGAGAGAAAGATGTTAGTTACGTTTGCATTAGGGTCCGTTTCTTTGCTGCAACACAAGTTTGCAAATATATTAATACGTGGGGACTAGGACCGGTCACTGGCTCACCCGGTGACTTGTTAGGCTAGGCCTACTCACTTGTCTACTACGCTGGCGTTATATGACCTGGTTACCGGGTCAACCAGTCAGAAGCTGACGATGGAAACTTTAATCGTCAGAATCCGAGCCATTCATTTGTATAAAGCATGCTGAGTAGGGCTCATTCAGGAGTGACTGGCTTAACGGAAACAGAGAACCTTTCTTTTTTTCCTTGTTACTGTATAAATAAACTTAAAAGACTGTCTTGTATCTTCTTAAATCATTATAATTGTTTACTATATTAAAAATTATAAAACATTTATATTTTTAAAAATAAATTATTAATCCTCATTATCTATTATATATATATATATATAATATTAACAATATTAAATATTTCAGGTAAGAAAAGAGGGTATAAAATACTTCTTAATTTTCTTGACATCCTAAAACTTATTCTCTCTCCCTCTCTCTCTTTTTCTCTTTTTAATCTTTATTAAGAGAATAATCAACTTACATGTTTTAAGCAAATTACACTAAAATAATATTTTTAAATTTAAGTTTTTTATATATAAATATATAAAAAATATTAACATTGCTTGATAATAATAATAATAATTTTTATTTTAAAATAAAATAATAGTAATAGTAATAATAATAATAATGAGGAATTTGAGTTATTTGCATGAAAAATCAAACTTCATTATTATAATTGTATTAAAAATATAATCAGTGATTTCAAGATAGAGGATTGTGCATAATTATATAAGAATATTTAAATATAATAATAAATCATTAAATTAACATAATCTTTCAAAAATTAAACCAATAATTTTCATTTAATATGTTAAAAAAATTTAGATGTTAACAAATAATTAGAATTCATTGAATTTAACCTTATAAAAAGATCATCTACCTGACCTAAGTCAATGAACAAATGAAATGAACGGATAAATTGATAAAAATAAAATTTTTTAAAGTATAGAGTGAAATTTAATATATAAATATATGTAGCAATTAAGTTAAGACATTAACTAAAAAAGTAAATAATAATTTAAATACAATAACACTGTAAACAAAATTATACTATCATCTAATTAGAATTTATCACATCAATAAATATTTGATATAATTATATATATATATATATATATATATTATGTATTTTAATTTATTGAGAGTATAATATATGCAATAAATTGAGGGATTAAACCTTTCCGTAATCTTATATTCTAATCGTCTCAAAGAAATAATGTTATCATCAGCTACATTAATCTGAGGCAGAGAAGTGGCGTTGAGATTATGCTTGATAGAGCCCAACTTCAAGAGAATGCTCACAGGTTTATTTCCCTCCTTTATTCTCATTAATCTCCCGTTTCTACACCTCCAAAGCCACCACACAAATACATCTATCACAAGTATGAGAGTGAATTGATAGGTACCAAGCTATGAAAAAGAACCATATACCATTAATAACTGGTTTTAATGTAATAAAAAATTACAAGTTTTTACTATAATAATTTATAATTATGATAAAAAATTGTAAATATTTATGTTTTCTATAATGTAAAAATAATTCAAGAAAAATCGTAGCTCCTCCCTTTGTTGGATACCCCGTATATTCATGTCAGCCAACGAGTGAAATAATTTTTGCAAGATCTATTGCATTTTTTTTTTCTTTTTATACCTTACAGAGAAAACGTGTAAACAAGATAAGATCATACATTTGAAAAAAAACAAAAGATGAACACAATATTATCTTTTAATTATATTTTTTTTTCGGTTCACATTATATAAACACGATAAAGAATTCTCAAGTGAACAATGTTTAATTAAATATTTATTTAATAATTTTGTATATATGATAATTGATAAATGGTTTTATAAACTTGATTTTTTTTCCCAAAATGATAATAAACGCTCATTTCAATAAATTACACTAAACAACTTACTAAAATAAATTAAAAATTACAAACTTCTAAATTTGTTGTTCCCTTTGCGTTGAAATGAGTAAAGCAAAACCAGAAGCCCAAATCTTGAAACCGCCAATAGATTCTACCGAATAACCGATCAATTTTATCTAGTGACGTTGGGCAGCCACAAATCAGAAGCTATTAACACAAAGTGATTCCAGTGAGTAGCATTATTATTACATTGCATTGGTCAAAGCTTAAGAGCCGTCACACACACAAACACACACTTTCTTTCATTGGTTGTTTCTTCTTATCAAACCATCTTTCAGAAATGAGCGAAGAAGCAAGAAACGAACGGCGAGTGCTGGTGGCAGTGGACGCAGGTGAAGAAAGCGCTTACGCCCTTTCTTGGAGCCTCAAGAACATAGTTTTCCAAAATTCCAGAGATACCCTTATCCTTCTATACGTCAAGCACCATCAATCCTTTTTTACCCCCTTCGATGCCACAGGCAGAATGGATGATCCTCAAACTCCACGTATCTTTAATCCTTCTTTTAATTCTACATATATTTTTAATTATTTGGTGCCCTTTCTATTACTAATTTCAGCAATTTTGTTTTCCTCAGAGATAAACGCAACTATCGAGAAGTATAGCCAAGACGTGGCCGATTGCGTTATAGAGAAAGCCAAGAAATTATGTAAACATCTCCAACACGTACGTTCCTTCTTTTGTTTTGTTTTCATCATACTATTATTGTATATATTCCCTTCATGATTCAATAATCACTTCTGTTGAACCGTGAATAGGTTAAAGTGGAGACGAGGGTAGAGAGTGGAGACCCGAGGGAAGTGATATGCGAGATGTCTGAGAAGTTGGGTGCCGATGTGCTAGTCATGGGTAGCCACGGCTATGGTTTTATCAAGAGGTACACACTTTACTTTCTTTTTTTTAAGGCTTTTAAGTTCTATGGGTAAATGCTAAATTGTGCTTTTGGGGAATTATTACAGATCTTTCCTTGGAAGTGTGAGCGATTATTGCTCACAGAATGTCAAGTGCCCAGTTTTGATTGTAAAGAATCCAAAGCGAAGTGCCGATGCTGAAGAATAATATGCTAATTTTGTTCTTCTATGGTTTTTCAATCTAGATTATAGTTTAGTTTTGTCGCTCTTCTAATCGTGTGATATGCTTTCAATTTTAGAGAATATCCTTGAGGATTGGGAATGCCTTGCTGTCAAGGCTCTCAAGTTGGGTCAACTGTGATCGATTGTATCACTGTTACAAGTTACAAGTCAAGATGGCTAATAATTTGAGTTAGATATTTTTTGCATTTGAATAAGCATACTAAATCTTACTTCTCGTATTTATTGATAAAATTATATTTTTAAAATATTATTCTAATTTTAAATAACTGAGCATTTATTTTGAATTCTTTCTATTAACTTGTTCGATCCAATTTAATTTGTCAATCAGGAAGTGTTTTGTTGAAAGTTATTCAGCGTTGTCATCCACTCACTAACACTGTTAACCAAAAAAATCCGACTTATAGAAGTTTTTGCAGCGAATCTTACGGGTTTTGTGCTAACACGACAATGATGTATCTTTTTCGTTTTATTTTTATTTTTTTAACTTTAGAACATCATTTTAAAAAATGTAACTCTTTTGGTGCATGGTTTGTGGTACATTAGCGTGAAATTGCAATTTTAAAATTTATTCCTTCTAGCGTTTGAGTGACTATTAAAGTGAAACATTAGGGGAGCGGTTGAAAGATGAATTTGAACAGGTCCTGTTAACGAAGTGTCTTACAGATAATTTTAACAAACTAATTAATAACATGTGCAATGAGAGAGTTTTTGATAATAATGGTAATTTTGAGAGAAAAAAATTGGATAGAAGTGTTACATTTTACAATTTTTAACATAACTTTTTTTTTCATAGAACTAAACATGAGTTATTGTTGATAATTTTGATAGAGCAAACCGTAAATAATGAAGTATTATGAATATTATAAATTTTATTAATATCAGAAAATTTTTATAAGTATAAATAAAAATATTTACAAAAATTTTGAAACTTTATATAAGGTAATAAAAATAAATAAATACGTGGTAAACACCTTTTTTTTTAATATTTGTTGTTGGTAACGAGAATAATGAAAAAAATATCCAGGTCTAAAGCAGGCCCAGCCCAACAAAGCCGAGGCAGAATGTTCTGGTGGTCTTGAATTAAAAAGAAAAAACCCTGAGGCTGAAGGGTGGAGCGCAAAGAAATGTCATGTTTCCTACGAAAATCGCTTAGGATGAGGGGATTGTCATCGTTTCTGCACAAACTTATCGGAAACTCGTCGGAGTTGCATCACATTCTCTCTTCGTCAACGTGTCGCCACTTGTCACATTCCTTTAACCACAAGACCAGCTACTTTCACGGGCCTCAGCGCCCTCGCTTTTGGGCTTCTGAAGCCGCCGCCACTGAACCCTCAACCTCGGACGGGCTCACGGTGCAAGGAATTCTAGCCCATAATTGGACCATTCTTGACGAAAACGACAGCGATTGGAAGAGTCATGCCACCGCCATAGCTCAATCCATTCATTTAATCAAACGGTGGTTACAGGTATATTAAGTTTCCCCTTCTCTTAATTAAGCATGATTTTGTGTAGTGGAATAACTGATGAGATTGTGGTGGTGACAGTGGAGGAAATTGAAAGTGAGGTTGGGTTTGTTATCGGCGGAGCTGAATAAAGCAGAGCTTTGGGATGATCCGGTGCATGCTGGAAAAATAAGCCGAGAGCATGGTTCGCTACTGGGAAAAATGAAAGAGGTAAATGCGTTGGAGGAAGATTTACTTGAGCATATTGACATGATCAAGCTTGCTCGTGAAGAAAATGATGCAGATTTGGAATCGGTGGGGACTCACTTCATCTCCTCCTAGGCATGTATTCATCTGTTTTGTGGCTTTAATCTTAGTCTGCTACTTAATCATTGTATGTTCTGTTGATTGAGTGTACAATTTTCAATGAAGAAGTGGATCCAAAATCAAGCTGGTCAGGACATGGTAAATTATTGTCACAAGAAAGAAAAATTAAGTAGACACTTTATTATTTAGCATCATATTGAAATGTTAGAGGAAACGTGCATCATTGTCGAAAAAGCCAAAGCATTGTTTTATTGTTGTGGTGTCTTCTCTTTCAAGCTTTGTAGAGTTAGATGGACTGTTCTTACTAGTAGATGCTGGTTTATATTCATGCAGAGAGTATCTCCTTTTTCAGGAATCATTGAAAGTGTTGCATAGCATGAGAAGAAGTGCAAAAGAGAAAGAACTAGAGGCATTGCTTTCTGGGGAGCAAGATTCTTGTTCTTGCTACATTGAGGTTGTTGCCAAAGCTATCTTAAAGCAGCTATTGTTGCGTTGGTATTTTTATCCTCATTTATGCGCAAGCCTTCAGTCTTGGTCTAAGCATGTGGTTTAGGGTTTAGACCACATGGTGTTGGCATGCTGCTGTAGATTATATTGCAACTTCTTTTTTCCTCATCCAGCATTAATAAAACAATGCACACGGACTGAGATTATGTGTGTGCATGCCCATTGAAGCTTTTTCTTTTGTAATTTATTATAGGTTCAAGCTGGGGCTGGGGGTACTGAGAGCATGGACTGGGCTGCAATGGTTATGCAGATGTATAAGTCATGGGCCCAGCAACGAGGATATAAAGTAACCGTAATGGACGAAATGCCTGGTGAGCTTGCAGGAATCAAGGTTCTTCTTCGTACCATCCTCCATTAGTTATTTTTAAATTATTTTGCGAATTTCCACATAACTCTTACATACTTGGATGCACAACCCACAGCGACCTCCCTCTTATGTGACTATTGTTTCTGATTTTCAAGTTCTAAGTTGCTTAACTTGCATTTAAATATCAAGATTACAATTAGGATTCGGTTTCCATGTGCCTCTAGTTCAAAATTGTTTGGGCCTGCAGCACTCATCCCTGTAGATTATATATATATAGGGTAGGATTTTCTTACACTCAATCTGAACCTTTTATTTAACTTACATCTAACAAGTTATAATTTATTACTTTACTGACTGTTAGATCTAAGTTAAATGAATTAAATGAAAGACTCAAATTGGGTCTAAGAGTTTTTAGACTTATACTGGTGTAAGAAGATCCTTCCATATATATATATATATATATATATATATATATAATTTTATTTTTTTATTATAGGGATGCTAGTTTCTGAATATACTGATCAATTGTGTTTTTCAGCGAGCTACCATCAAAGTAGATGGTGAGTTTGCATTTGGATATGCCAAAGCAGAAGTAGGAGTGCACAGGTTGGTGCGGATATCACCCTTTGACAGTAATAAGCGCCGGCATACTTCATTTGCTGCTGTGGCAGTTATTCCAATTCTTGATGATGGATCTACCCATGTACAAATTAATGAATCTGATCTTCGAATTGAACGATTTCGGGCTGGTGGCGCTGGTGGCCAACATGTTAACACAACTGAGAGTGCTGTAAGAATAATTCATATTCCTACAGGAGTTACTGCAACTTGTCAGAATGAAAGGTATGTAATATTTGCACGTATCCATGCATTGACTTTGTTGTGTTCTTAAGCTTCAATTTTGGGTTTGATTTGAAACAGATCACAACATCAGAATAAGGCTTCAGCAATGGCTGTGCTTCAGTCGAGATTAGACCAACTGGAGATGGCACGTCAGGCTAAGTTGAATGCACAGCATACACAATCTCTCACTGACATTACTTGGGGCAGTCAGATTCGTAGTTATGTGCTTCATGTAGGTTTGAGATTGTTCATATCCCCTCTTTTACTGGCAGGTTTTGATGATCTGAGGGTTACATTAATTATTTTTGTCTATGATGCAGCCTTACCGTATGGTGAAAGATCTTAGAACTAACTATGAGGTTTCAGATCCTGACTCTGTCCTTGAGGGAGATATAGACGGTTTCATCCTGAGCTATCTATCAGCTTCTTTGGATAAAGACGAAGATGCTGCTTAAATCAATCAAATTCCCAGACTATGGCAGCTTATTGCATACATTTTCAGCGTCTGAGGTAGTCAAAGTTACTGTCATTCCTCGCCAAGGTCTATTGGAATACAAGGAAGCATAATTTTTTGGTGAACACATGATCATTATTCCTTCCGTACGGGGAGCCATATTAGGTTGTCAATTATTTGCAGTAACAAATAAATGTATACATACCGCTTAGTATTGACTATGGAAGTATGAAGCTTAAAAGCATGATTTTAGTGGCATGCATCCAACTCTTCTCAAGGAATTATGATCATGTAATTTTTTGTAATTTATTTTTAAAATCATGACTCATGGACGAAAAAGTTAGCATCTAAATCCAATGAAGCTTCCATTTTTCTACACTAATAAATCTAATTCTATATTCACGTTAATGGAAGGTGGCTTTTGTTTTTGTTTTTCTTTAAAGATATCCAGAGAGTGACAAACCAAGTGGTAAGTAAACTGAAGTTAGTGGTTAAGGGGTTATGTTATATGAGAATTTTTTTTTTTATTATTTTTTTTTTCAGATGAGCTGCAAGGAATTTGATTGAGCCGTCGGTAAAATTCTGTTGGGCATTTATGCTTAATATAATAAGCTAAGATTAATCTTAAACATTATATAAGAAAAGAGATGGACAACTCCGGCGATTCTAATGTATGGGAGGGAGTTTGAAATGGTGGAGAAGTCAATACTGTATAATTCTTAGAAAATTTTCAGGTAAGTTATTTCCAACAAATATCGACAAATGACATTTAGGAAAATATTTTTGTTCTTTTCAATATTTTGAAATTTAATATTGAAAAATAAAAATAATTAATTAATTTTAATTACCTTTGATCAAATTCATCAACTACCCAAATTTAATTATTCTAGCACCATGTTTTTATTTTAATTCTCACTTCAAAAATAAAATTCTAGAGATCTATACGTTGCGTTAGAGCCCTTCATCAGCCCATTCTGATGTCCAAACAAACCCTTTTTACAGTCAGAACCTTAAAACCTAGGCCCTTAGCTATTCAGTTAGGCCCATTGTCAATACGATGCGTTTTCCCAGCTGTTCTCTCTCTCTCTCTCCCTCTCTCTTGGTGACAGGTAATTTGCCTGAACCTCAAACAAAGAATCTTATTGTTTGTTAAGATTCTTCCCTCTCTTCGAAGCCTTGAAGGCTTCTTTAATTTATTATTATTTATAATTAATAATTGGGTTAGGTTCCGTTTTACCGTTATTGCCATGCCATGGATTTCCAGAAGAAGAGGGTTCAGTTTCTACTCTTTCTCGCTGCAATCATTACTCTCAGCATCACAGGTACCTACCTTACCTTATTTTCATTCCCTATTCTCTCTGTTCTTTTGTTGCGGTTACAACTGAATTCATTTTTCTTTTTTTTTTTAAACAATTGACATTAATGTTATCTAATTATAAACATTAATTGCATACATCACATGATCTTTTGTTTCACTACCTTAGCCACATAATGGGGCTTTGATTCAACTCCTGCTTTTCTACCCTCTTTGGTTGCGTGGAAAATAAGGGAAGAACCAGCAGAGAGAAAGTTTTGATCTTTTTTTTATAATTCACCATGTCTATTACTCGCATCAGAGTTGATTGAACAGTGAATATTTTTGCTAACTAATTTTGTCATTATTTGTCAATTTTAATGAACGTTTTGGGGGTCAATTAATGACATTAATTTGGGGGGTTAGCCCAATCAGGTTCTCTTTTGCTTTTACCAATCTAGATATTATTTCCAAAAATTTGTTGAGTCAAGTAAGGAATCAATTCACTTCCTAAATTGCATATGATAATTCTTCCTCTATGAAGTTTTGTTACCCTTCCGGGGATATAAATGTTCCCACCTTAGCTATCTGTTTTGACTACATTAGTTAGAGGCTTTCTCGGTGCTGAATTTGAATTGGAGATCCTAAGTTCAAATCCATTGTATAACCCAAAACTGGCCTCCTTATTGAGGACATTTATCTATCTCTTCCAGCAACTTGCAAGGATTCCTTGGATTGCTTTGACTTTGCTACGTGTAAATGTTTCAATATATTGTGATCATTAATATACAAGCCATTTCTGCTACTTCCTGTAAATTTAAGTACAGCTGTCTATCTTTTATTTATTTATTTGTCTTTGATTATACAGTTTTTTTCTCATCATAGACTGTGGAATCCCTTCGAATTCAGTGTCTGTTTATTATTACTCATATACTGTTGCTCCTTTCAGCTGAAAAATGCAGGCAGCTTGTTGGCGAGAAGGCGTCGTCCAAGAGTGGAAAATTTACTTTCTTAAATTGCTTTGACATGGGCTCCGGAACTTTAGCATGTAGTGTCAAGGAAGGTGTAAAGCTCTATTTTTACAATATAAGAGCTGCTCATGTTGAAGGAGCAAGGCATGATGCAATCCAGTCTGCTCTTGTTGATGCTGTGAAGCAGGGAATGTCACCAACTGATTCATCAAAATATGCTCAGAAAGAAGGTGAAAAGGCAGCAAAATTGGCTTCCCGCAAAGCTAAGCGCATTATAGGTCCCATCATATCTTCTGGATGGGATTTTTTTGAAGCTGTATACTATGGTGGCACTCTCACAGAAGGGTTCCTCAGGGGAAGTGGTACTCTGTTTGGCACTTATGCTGGAGGCTTCCTTGGGGAGCAAAGGCTTGGGAGATTTGGTTATCTTGTTGGAAGTCACATGGGAAGTTGGGTTGGAGGTAGAATAGGACTAATGCTCTATGATGTGGCTAATGGAGTGCATTTCTTGTTGCATTCTGTTCAAACATATGGAGGTGAAGTTCAAGAAACTTAAGCTAACCATCAAGAAAATTAATTCTGAATCAACTAGAAGTTCCTTTTTCCATGAAAGTGATGAAACTTCTGTTTAGGACAGCTCTAGAGGTTCTGTTTATAAATTATGAATCTACTGTCTAGCAGAGGTAGGACACTTATAAAGGTTCTGAACTGTGATGAAAGTGTGAAGTTCACAACATTGTTATTTTCTCATATTTTAATTGGATGTATATGCGACTTTCTTCAATGTATCTGCTCTAGTATTGTGTACAAATCAAGCATTTTAATTTCTAACATATAATGGACGTTTCACTTTAAAGAATTTATATTCTATATGTTGCTTGTGATTTCTTGTCCTCTGCTCTTTCCAATTAAAATGTAAAAATGATATTATTTAATCTCATATGCCATATAACTTCTTCAATATAAATCGTTGATAGGATTCATAATGGATGCTAATTCTGAAACGCAGAGAATCTCTCAACATCTTGAAGTTTTGTGTGCAAAATAAAATATAAAGCAAAGCGAACAATATAGATATTATTCCACAAATTATCGAAGTGTTGCTACAATCAAATTAACAGAGATATCATAAATATTTAAATTAGTTTATTTTATGTCTCACAAGAGTTTTCATCAAAAGTTCTCTTTAATAAATTTTTAATGAAAGTAGAATCTATCCTTTAAAATTATCTCTGATTCTGTTCGAGATGGTTTTAGAGGTCTTATTCACGATTCCGAGGAAGAATGGATCTCAGGCTTTTGTGAATTCCTTCTAGCAAATTACATCACACTTATTTAAATTAGTTTATTTGGTGTCAGAAATCATTTATGGTGATGGAAGTGCCATATCTTATATAGGGAAGCTTTTGGCAAGACAGTGCCAAGTCACCGGTATTCATACATCGACAAAGAAGCTAATTTTGAGCTGATTATTTGGCTTAACTTGGAGTTGCCATGGATGCAAATACGACTATTCTATATATAAGGACACAATCACAAGATCTTACTCCATTGCTGCTGGGAACACATCAGGAGTTATGATCTCTCGTCAGTTTCATAGCTTAGTTTTCCCTCATTTTCTGTATTTTCTAGTTTGTTTCTTTCCAATTTTACCAAAAAAATTGTAAGTAAACGTGAAGAACGAATTGTTTAGGCAATAATATTGATAAAAAATGGATGATGGCAGGGGTGTGATTATGTTAGTGACAAAAACAAGATGAGAACATATAAATTAATAGGATAATGTGATGAAACAAAAAACAGAGATAGATAACAACAAAATAAGATGTAGATTCTTTGGTTGAATTAAAAAATGACGTAAGATAAAGATGTAGAAAGTACGTAGTATGACTCGGTAAAATAATTTATATGTGGACATAGCTGTTTTATGATACAGGAGTTAAAAAATTATTACTAATGTTTATGATTATTGATTAAGTTGATGCCAGAGTGAACATCAGTGAGCAACCTCTTAGTTTGGCAAAACTGGTGTTTTTTATACATCCAAAAAGAATTTGTAAAAACTATTTTAATTTCCTGTACCACAGTTTGGCAATTTTTTCACCTCTTCAAGAATTTTTAATTGAGAGTATATATAATTTATTTAAGAAGTTACAATAACATTAACTAAATACACGTATAACCCGAATCCAACGACTTATATTTTATATACTTACATAATTATTACTAAAATATAAGTTTTACGTAAATAATCATGCGACGATAATGACCAAAAATGAAAACAAAGGAAGAATATTTAAATGAGTTGAGAAAAGTCATACAAATTAGAAGAAATAATAGTAACAATATTTTAACAACAGTGACAAAAATAATAATATATATATGTGTGTGTATTGCCATTATAATATTATATAATTTAATGTAACAATTTTGGTAAGAGAAATTATCATTTACGTACCTTGATCATTCATTAGATATATAAAATACAAATTACATAAAATTCAATTATTTTATTTAAATTTAAAAGGAATCTTCCGTATTATTTAAGCATGCATGGGCAATGGCCTTTCGTGGGGAATCAGCATTCTTCGGAGAAGAGCGTTTTGGAAGAACATAAAAAGAAAAGAACATTTTTGAAGTTTTAAATTAAATGGAAACACATATTGCAACAATAAGGAAATGAAACAAAATATAAATTGGATGTTGACTCAGTAATAAGTTGTATCATTGAGTGTGTACCATTTAATACATTATACTAAATTATTTAAATTACTTACAAGATTTTTTAAAAAAGAATGTTTCAAAAATACTTATTAAGAATAAAAAAATTTATATTATTTTAATTTTATTAAATTATATTAATATTATGTTTAAAAACATTATTTTATCAAAGATATCATTCTGTAAATTTTACTTATTAATCAATAAAATTATGATTAACAATAAACAAAAATTATAAAATGTTAAGATAACATTAGTTTATATATTTTTATCGATAAATTAAACCATTAATATAGTTAACAATCTATACTAATAGATAATGTATTATACTAATATATAATTATTGATAATACATATTAATATCTTACACTAATAAAATAATTTATTAATATAATATATTATACGATTAGTGTAAAGTTATATTGTCTATATAATATAATAATTTACTTTTTTTAAAAATGAATTAATAAAACTAATTTAATACTAACTTGATAGAAGTTGATTCGAGTAGTAAATGATTTAATATCCTTTAAATAATGTTTTAAGTTTAAGTCTTTATCTTTAAATAATGTTTTAAATTTAAATCTTTATATAAAAATAATAATAATAAACTCATTTACTACATTCAAATGTGAGATGGTTTTAAATTTAACCTCATAAAAAATAAAATAGTAAATAAGTATTTTTTTAATAGATTAATATTTATTAGCACCACTCTTACTGTCAAGATTTTAAAAAAATACTATATATAATTAACGGACAACAAGTATTTACAAATGTGTTTTAATACCCTTTAAAGGCGGATACCACAACTCAGAAACGAAATTAAAAATTATATTAAATTCAATTTTTAGATACCTCAATATTGTTATTATTTATTTCATTCTCACGTCTTTTTGTTTTTTTCTTATCATATTATATTATTGATCATACTTTTTTTTTTTTTCTATTTCTGCTTACTATCTACATTTCGAGAAAAGTTTACTGAAGTGAATAAAAGTTCAAAAGATTAAGACAAAACAATATAAAAGTTCTGAGAACGACCAGACTTACATTTGCCCCTCCTTCATCCAACGTGCAACCCTCTTCGCTACGACAATAATATGGCACCATGAAATATGGTCAATTATTGGCCGATACAGCGTCTCCACGTTGTAGCGTACAAGTTCATATCATAACTACAAAAACTCCAGACCTTACAATTTCAGAAGAATTCCCATCTCTCTTAACGTGTTTGTTTAGTTTGAGTATATAATTGTTTATATTTATTAACTTTTAAGAGAATTTTTTAAAAAATATTGATTTTTAAGGGTGTTTGACTTTAGAGTATTGTAATTACTGGATTACTTCTAATTGTCGTTGTTACGTGTCATTTGAGGTTGCGTGGTTGGTAAGTACGTTCTTGAATATGAGTAGCATGACAATGGGGCATCATTCGGAGAATACGTGGCTCCTTTTGCCACACGCCATCGTGTGGTTGCCACACATCCATCTATATAAAACAAATTATCAAGAATATTTGACTTCATTCATGGCCAGCCAACATGCTCATTCTTAATTATTTTAAGCAATCTTTGTCTTACGTAGAGCAATAAAGTTGGACTGTCACAACCCAGAGCTAGTTGAAGCTAAGAAGCACAATCAAACGGGAAAGGAACAATATTTAGGTTTTAGGATGGGTTTGGATTACTTGAAAAAAAAGGGTACTTTTATGATACAATCTTTGATTTATTTTAAAAATTTATTAGTTTTAATAAAAGAAGTTTAGTTCTTATAGCATTTTAAACATTAGTTACTGAAAAAAAAAATACAGAACTTACGAGTCTTTAATTTATTATTATTATTTTTTAGCAACACCATCTGTTGTATCTTTCATTTTCTTTGATGTTCTACTTGCTAAAGTGCCTTTGCACTATTCCCCTTTGGTTTCAGCGTCGAGTAATCGCATTTGGTGCTGTTAGTGTTACTGGTATCTCTAGTAGTGGAAGTGGCCAAATTGGCAACCCAAAAAAAAAAAAAAAAAAAGAATATGGGGGGCAAAAAAGTAGCTTTTGGTTCATATCTATAACGGATGCACATTCCCAAACTCTATTTCCACCCCAAACATCCAATCTAATGTCTACATCTAGGGAACCACTTCCATCACTGAATCCTGCTTTCAATTTAAGAGCCATAAAGAGGTCCCAATTCTCCATGGACGGTTAGGGAATAATATAAGGATGATGCATTTTTAATTACACATTTTGTATCAAGCTAGCTATGACTAGTGTTGTAGGCGAACACAAGGAAGATGGAACCTATAAAAGAAAATTATCATGATCGCCTATTATATCATTATTAATTATATATCAGTATATATGAGAGAAATCTACAGCCGTACAAGGCAAGGCGTCTAATGAGTGAAAACTGCTTGCACGAAATAAAGGGAATGAAAACATCTCATTCGCACCATTCAAGTTGAAAAGGAAAAAGAAGGAATCAAAGTTGTCATAATTGATTAATTAATGTATTAAATTCTGCATGACCCTCCAGATGTTGAATGTCAACAATATCAGATTCACATTTTTTTTGTTAGTGCCCATACTGTGCCCTTACAACTTTTGTAAAGACATATTCTGTGGCAGTGGGAGAAAAAATGATCGAAAAAGGGCAAGAAAATAAAGAAAATCGAATATCAGCGTTACCCATTACAAGGCTGAAGCCATGAGCCATGCCAATGATGTGTTAAGCCTAAAAATCTTAAGAGGTATCACAAACAAATAAACTCAACATAAGTTTCCTAGAAGGGGAATAAATTTTGATAGCTACTGGGAACAGTTGATTGATTCAATGTACCTATGTTTACAAAGATAAATAAAGAAGGGCAAGTTGAACCAAAATTTCAAAAACCTCTATGGAAAGAGAAACAAACTATAACCAGTTAATTAAAATCAAGAGTTTTCGAAAGAACTTATTTAATTTATGAGAATGATTTATAACTTTTTTAATTGTATTTTGTTTTAGTTTTAAAGTCTAGTTTGAGTGAACTTATAAATATATCTTTGTAAGAAAAGAAAAATAACATAAAAATAAATAAAAATTATCTCATAAGATAAAGATAATTTATTTTTTCAATTTTGAGAAAAGTTAAATATGTGAATAGTTTATTCGTTTTACTACTTAATTTTTATTTATTAAGAAGTTTATCTAAATTAGGTCTAAGTAATTTATGGTGAAACTTGTTTATAAATATACCCTTATTTATTGTGTGTATTATTTGAAAACTAAAGCACTTGATAAATTATTATATGATACAAGTTTATTAAATACTTAAATATGTAATTAAATTATTTATCTAAAAATATTTTATATGAAGTAAAAGAAGCTAGAAACAAACATCACAGTATCAAACATAAGATGTGCGTATAATAAACTTGACAAACCAGAAACTTAAAAGCATGAAGTTATAAAACTAAAATGCAAGCATCCTAGGTATGACAAAAGGCAGGTAAAAAAGAGAGGAGGAAAAGAGCACACATTGCATGTAATATTTTCTATATCAAGTCTTTGCTCACTTATTGTGATTTTCACTAATGAACGTACGGAAGCTCATTAATCCGTCTTAATACCTCAACTAAATTTACTCCCAGAATTTTCTGAAAAAATATCAAGTTTGCTCGAGTTTGCTCATCGTGTACTTCATATTTGGAGTATATACATGGACCTTCATAAGTTTGATTACACTGGCGAGCATTATCGCCCACATGACTAACACAATAATGCTCATCTTCGAATCTACCAAAGTTTATTGAATTTTTCTGAACTTTTATAGTGTATGTATAGCTTCTTGAGATCATCCTATGTTGTGGTAAGAACTCCATTATACTGACTGTGATTGAAGATATATTTGAAAAAGTTTCCAAGTTTAGGTTCAAGGACTTTGTGTCTCATTTCCGTATATAGCTATCTGCAAGGATTAACCTTCCCTTTAGTTCTTGCCAGTGCTATATTGAAATTTATAATCCTAGCTCTGGATCATTCTTGATGATAGAGGGGTGGGAGAAAACACAGTGGAGCTTTAAATCCAAGTCAAATAATAACAAGGACCTTCTCCAAAAAATTTGAGTATCCGATGAAATTAAGAAAATATTTCCTCAGTAAGCTGATATTGGGGGTAATTGTGCGTGATGCACGTACGTGTTTGACAAAGTTGATCAATAAAAAATGAAAGTAAAATCTAGCATCTACATCACCATGCATTAAATTTTTGCTTGTTTCGTGAAGAAGATGATGAGGACCAGCGGTGTTTCATATTAAATTGCTAATCTAGTGTGAACCAAAATTATGCTTGACAGTAGTTTAAAAGAACAGAAAAAACAAATGATAACTTGTTATGATATTTTTATGCAAAATTATTATAAATTGTCTACGGCAAATTTGGTCTTTGTCATACCCAGTTTATATAAGATGAGAATATTAATAGAAATTATTTTGACTATATATAACGAATAGTAAAGATTAAATTTAAACAAAACTTTAATTATCGACATATAATTATAAAAATACGATTATCTCCTCTCAATTTTTATACTCTCACCGAATTAATACACAGTCATATATAGCAAAAAAAATAAAAAATAAATACACACACATATATATATATAGTCAAATATCCCTTTTTCAATATATATTTTTAAATATTGATTATTGTATAAATTTTAAATATTTTTCTTAATAATAAAAAAAATACTCACTTTATATAGAGAGAGAAAATTATTTTACATATAAATTTGTATAATGATTTAAAAATATTTAATATTTCATCAATATGTATTATAAATAATGTTATATATTTTTTAAATATATAGAAAAAATATGATTGCATATACTTATATTGTTTGATTTTTAAAATATTTAAGGTAACAAATTGTTAAAATTAAATAGATAGAAATTCGAAAGATTAAAAAATATGATATATTTTTTTAAGTATTTTATAGAAATGCTGAATTATATATACCAATATAAATCAATTTCTTTTCATATACATTAGAAGTATTTAATACACTTCATTTAATATCTATAATTACTTTAAAAATATTAATTTTTATAATAAATATTTTTTTCTTATTTTCTCAATCCGTGAATTAGTATTAACATTTGCCTTAACAAAAGTAAGTACATCATTTATTGTTAAAGAATTGCTATTAACATATTTGACATTTCCGTCTTCACATTTGTTAGATAAAATATATAAAGGTCATGTTGAATGAGATGCCAATCCTATATTTTTTTAAATAATTTTTATTTTTTAGTTAATAAACTTCACTATTTATTTAAAATACTAGACATTAAAAGAAATGGTAAAATACTTCATTAATTTTCTTTTGTTTGATAGTTTTGTGATTAATTTTTTATTTTATTTTAATTATCATTTCATAGTACTAATGAATGGATAATTAATTTTTGTAAATTTCAACTAATAATTAATGTGTTTTTTAGAAAAATAATTAACATAAGAAATCTGAGATATAATAAAAATTAGTTTGTATTTTTATATAAAAATTAAAGTATTAATTGTATAGTTTGTATTGTTATACTATATCTTCAAACGATAAATAAAAAGAAATGGTGAGAGTAATATGTTATGTGAGAACTTGTCTTTACAGGTATTCATCGCCTTATTTAGTACTTACTATTAAGACAACTAATGGATCGTGGCATTTTGATTGCGACAACCATAATCAAACTTGATTTGGACTCGAGCACGGCTTCTTATAATCAATGAAAAAGCAACGGTCACTGTGAACCCTAAAGCATATAGGATAATCGGAATCAGGTTGAGGCAAATGTATGAAAAGAATACATATATTATGTTTATAAATCTCTCTTGAATTATTAAATTAAAAAAATTAAATAATTTTTATGATTTTAATATAATATTTATATATTTTCTTGTAATAAAAGAGATTTGCTTAGCTTAATAATAATTTATAATCATCAAATTTCACTAATTCATCATGACGAGCGTCTTCTTTTTATGATACAAGCATTGGATAGTCAACTTTTGTATCTCCACAGTTTATTGACCGCTTCTTTTTAAACGAAGGGTCTATATTAACATATTCTTCGAAAGAATAAAATATACAAATTTAACCTAATAACATTTTAGAGTTTAAATACAATAGTATGTTGTTTTCTATTTGTCTTTGTTTTAAATTGTTACTGTTAATAAATTACCGTCCCATTAACATATTGTGTGTTAACCTTCAAATTTATGTTATCGAGAGTTTTCTTTCTAATTTTATTTAGTTTAGAACGTACATCGTATTTTTCATATTTTATACCCCCACACCCCCATTGGTATTGAAAAAGTTCACAACACAGAGCATCATTGTACTTGATTAATTAAATAATTTCTTTTACATATCCTCTTACTGTATAGGAAACATCAAGCGGAATATAATTTGTCGTTGCGGCACAGCCTTGTAACTTTGTATGCTGAAATATATTTATAATTATCTAGGTGTGTTTATGAGTAATAAGAGCTCGAATTTCATCGTATGATCTTGAATGTGTGCGTATATATCATTAGAATTAGTTTCAACTTTCGGTGCACGATCATATTCTAAAAAGATAAAGATATTGAAAAAAGAAAAACACAATTTGCCGTGGAGATAACTTACAACTTACAATGTTGATAACTTTTAACATTTTTTAGCAAAAGCATGTTTTACATAAAGTAAATTATGAATTAATGTTTATAAAACCTATAAAATCTCATATGAAAATGTTTAAAAAAAGATCATAGAGGAGAGGAGGAGAAGCAATGTAATTCGTAGCATAACAATATCCGAAAAATACAATAAAATAAAGAAGGCAATAGCAAAGTCTGAACTCAAGGTGATGACGTGGACCCCACAGTTGGGCATAAATATTGATCCTTCCTTACAGCATTGTGAAGTGTGTGCTATCTTGAGACTCAGTCTGCCCATACAATAACCACATAGTGTCGACATGGTTAGCCAAGAAGAGTTGTTGATTGAAAAAGTGTGCGAGCTCTATGAACAAATTTCAAGGCTTGAGAGTCTCAAACCCTGCAAAAATGTCGACATGCTTTTTACCCAACTAGTGCTCACATGCATACCCCCTAGCCCAATCGATGTCACTAATCTCAACACAACCGTGCAAGATATTAGATCCAACCTTATAAGAATCTGTGGTGAAGCTGAAGGACATTTGGAGACCCACTATTCAACCATCCTAGGCTCATACGACAACCCTCTTGATCACCTTAATATTTTTCCTTATTATACTAACTACCTTAAACTTGGTCTCCTCGAGTACACTATCCTTAGCCAACACTGCACCCATGTCCCTAGCAAAATTGCCTTTGTGGGTTCAGGACCCCTTCCTCTTACTTCAATTGTCTTGGCATCAAATCACTTACCCGCCACAATTTTTCACAACTATGACTTGGACCCTTTAGCCAATTCAAATGCTATGCGCTTGGTTTCCTGTGACCCTGACTTGTCAAAGCGCATGCTTTTTCACACCAATGATATATTGGATGTGTCCAATGCTTTGAAGGACTATGAAGTTGTTTACTTGGCAGCCCTTGTGGGCATGGACAAGGAGGGAAAGAACCGAATCATTGATCACTTGGCTAAGCACATGGCTCCAGGGGCACTTCTTATGCTAAGGAGTGCTCATGGGGCAAGGGCTTTTCTCTACCCTGTGGTTGACCCTTGTGATCTTCGAGGCTTTGAGGTCCTCTCTGTGTTCCACCCCACGGATGAGGTTATCAATTCAGTTGTCATAGCACGTAAATATCCTATGCCTATGCCTATGCCTATGCACTCACTTGAGCAAGGCCTTGGTTCTATGATCCTACCCAACAAGTGTTCTGAGATCCAAGCCTTCAACCCCCTTAACCATGGGAATATGATTGAGGAATTGACCATTGAGGAGCAACTCTTGTAAACTCTCACTCTCTGATTTCCTCTTATCTACTCCGTGTCATGCTTTAGATGGGAATTGGGTCATGTGGTAGCAACTTAATTACTTCATATTTCCTCTTACATATATGTCCGACTGTTTTGTTCACATCGAGCAAAACATTAGTGTTTTTCATAATGTTGTTCTTAAATTTTCAATAAATATAAAAGAGATTATGTTTTAGATCATGTCTCCCTCAATCAAAGCCATAACGCCATGCATGCTATCATAGCATGTTTTCGGTTTCCTTTGCCTTTTCTCATCTTTGTTGTTCTTATTAGTAGCTAATATACATGTAACGCATTGACATCGAGACATGGTCATGGAATCGCAACAGGAACAGGAACACCTTAATTATTTAGAATTCTCAACTAATTGCCAAATCTTAATGCTAGAGTTGGCCTTGCCTATACTTTGACTTGTTAGCTTTTACTTCATTATCCACGTAATTTCAATCCCTTAAAAAGACAAAGTCCTCCATTTCCTGTCTTTGATATTTGCCGATATTGCCTATCAAATCAAATATTTTTGTTTGTTTTTAATTAAAGGATGCATACTTATCTGCCTTTTTACGGTACTTGATCAATCAATGTTTCACTTTGGTTTAAATTTTATGCTGATGATGACATTTTGATATACCACTTTGACCTGAGAAAAGCTGAAGAAAGGACATGATAAGCATATGTATCTTCACATCAGTGTACCTGATATAATTAGCAAAGCATATTTTCCATAATTAAGATACCAATTTTATTTACTTAAATATATTTTTAGCCTTGTAAATATGATTAAATTTTAATCCTACAAATTTTATTATTAATTTTGTCTTTCATAAATTTTAATTTTTTTAAAAGAAGTCCATATTACTACTTTATAAAGATACGCAATATATTAATTACTTACTTCAATGATCATTTTAAGGTGGTAAATAACGAAATATATACTATGTCATTGATAAAACTTAAAAAAATATTTTTAAAAATATATGATGGTCAAAATTAATTAAAAATATATTTAACCATATTTATTAAAAAAAACATTTTATTTTTGTGGGGACAGTCGCAACAAAGTTTAAATTTACAATTTCATACAAATCACTTTAGTCATTCATTAATCTAATCCTAATGTCTTATTACGATGTCAATGCTTTTAAAGGCCTTTAATTTAAAGCTTAAAGGCTCCTTCCCCGTTGTACTGTCTTAATGGTTGGGATACTCTCTTTTTTTTTTTTTGCTATAGGGATACTATTTTTATTTCATAATTTTCGTTGGCTTATATATATATAGAAAATGATGTCAATATTCATATAAGGAAAATTGACAAAGAATCCAAAAATATCCAAATAATGGGAAAGACCGAATTTTTGTTGGGTTCTAATCATGTATGCCTTTTGCGTTTATCAGAAGACACTTATGAAAGATATTCTTTTGTAATTGGCTCCTATTATCTGTTTGGTCTATTGATTAGGAGAACTAGAATATGCGACCCCTGAATGTTATAATCCTTTTGTTGTCAATACATATCTGCATTCTTCAAAGATGAATCTTGATGATATTTTCTCTATTGGCCCCCCCTTTTAACAAAAAACCAAGCCAGAGGATGGCATTTTTTATGTCACTGCTTAAAAAAACAAAAGCATATATTGTACCTCCCGGGCTCCCAAATTAAATATGTAAAAATAAACTCTAAAGTAAATCTTTAAAATTGTTTGTTAATTTTTTATTAAAAAATAATTTATTTATATTTTTTATTTTATTTTTCAATGTTATTTATAAAGTTAAAGATTAGAAAAATATTTTTAAATCTAAAAACTGAAATGTCCAATACATATAATTTTGAAGGCTGATATACAGATTTGAATATATGTTTAAAGTTGTTGAGTGAATGTTTCATCACTTACATAGTCAAACCGGTGACATGTGAAAAATTGTGTAAATCGAGGTAAAACATACATGCATGTCACTGCCACAACTTTACCCTATGCAGGTCACTGCTGCAAAAATAACTCTCTATAAAGTAATACTTATCTGTTGTGATAAAAATAAAAAAGAGAAACTCATTTTCCCTCGTCTTTTTTCATAAAGAATTAATGCAAGAGAAGTTCTAAAATTAAAGTAAGCAAATAATATTATTCCTCCTTTAAACAGTATACTTATTGTGCACTGCCTGATAAAATCAAATTAAAAATATAAAATATTTTAAAGTATGATATTTTAAAATTTATTCAAAAAAATGTTATTACAAAAAAAAAAGTTGATGACGTATATAATATGCAAACATATATACTTTGTATAAAATTATTTATCAATAAATATACATAAATTATTTTCAAAGTAAAACAAAATATTATTAATTAGTTGCAACACAGTTAATAAAAAAAATATTACAGTAGGATTAATATTTCGTAACATGTTTTCACATAAAAGCTTATGCTATGATATATATTATCACACCCATAAATACCAATTTAAATTTTATAGACCAACATCAACCTCTCTTCTTACAGGAATATAACAAACTTAAAATTGAATTTGATCCTACTCAATAGATGATATCCAACCCTGTTTAAATTGTTCCTTAATACACATTCCAAATCAATTCAAGTAATTCTTCTAAATATATACTCTATTCTATTGAGTACCCTTTGATTCCTTGAAATCCAAAAAGACCAAACCACAAACATCAAAATAACAGTTCAAAATTATGATATTTCCTTCATTCTAACCAGCCCAAGAAGCATTCTCAATGTATAGGCCTCGTCGTTGTTAATTTTATTATTAATATATTCACAAGAAACGGAGGTCAAGTTTTATTGATCGACAGTCCAACTTGGATTGTGAATAGGAATTTTATTCGGTTCTAGTGAAGAGGATGTTTTAAAAAGCTCAATTGATTGAAAACATGATCATATGGTCGGGCTTGGCCCTCAATAATTTATGAAATTTTGTCCACAAAAAGTGCTCAACAAAATTCTGTGAAAATTTTTGCCCAACGACCTCTGCAGAAAATGAGGACTTATTGGTGCTGATTGTTGACACATATGCAGAGCCCACAAAATAAATGGGTGAAAACATTTTGCCTTCCAGCATTTATTTTTTAGAGCCCAATCTCATTCATATGCAGATGTAATCGTTAATGAACTGACTTAACTGGCTCAACCAATAAAAGACAAAATATGCAAAATAAATAACTCATTTAGAAATTTTTTGTACTTCACTTTAAAGTTTTTGAAAGACAATTGTTAACCTAAAATCTAAAATTACAGTTCTTTGTATGATAAATTAGTACAATTTGTGATTAAAGGGAGACTGATATCAATAAACATTTGTGATTTTATATCTAAGGAAGCTGTAGCCATGTGTCTTATGAATAGACCCTTAAATATAATTTATACTCTCAAAACTTAAACTACACCAATGATTGGATTTGTAAAATAATGTTTTTACTTTTATCTTTTATGCACCAAAACGAAAGGAATACGAGAGTAAGAAATTGAATGAAATAAGAAGTTTTCTTCTCTTTTTTTGTCTTTATAAGAACAAGATACTCCGTCCGATTTAGCTCGGGCCGATTGCATAAATGTCGTTTTGATTAAATGATAAATTTACTTTTATTTCGTTATTAGTGGTAAAAATCTTTTTGGTCAAAGATGAGATTGCATGTCATATCGTCTTATGTTTTAGGTGCTGTCCTTAATGTTATAAATAAAATTTTGGCAAGAACCACCCAAAAATTACTGTGTTGAACATCATTCATGGTTTACCAAAAATTAATGTCGAACAACAATGACGCACTACCCTACCATAACTATAACTTTGACAAGGATACAAGCCAAACGTACTTGGGCATATACAATAATGCAGACTCCAAAAATATGTATATTTTGGAATATATAGGAATGCTTACATTACTCCAGCATAGGGGTACATGTTGAGGTGCCACTTGCAGAACTACAAAAACATAGGTCCTCCTCTGCCACCGTCCACAATGGCAAATCGCATATCCTCAGTTGGTTTCCAATGCCGTTTTCGCTGGTTGATGAACCAATTATTTATCTGCTTTTGATCCAGTCCAGTAATTTCTGATAATTTCACTTTCTCTTCCTCCTGTATCAATATAGTTTCAAGCCATTTATATAATGAGGTTAATTCACTGTTCATATATTAAAAGAAGGATAATATAAATTAACTAAAATGCATGATAGACTTCACTTTTTAATTAAGTATTACAAAAATCAATAATTCTAGCTGATATTATACTTTATGATTGATTAATTAAAAAATATTATTCTAATTAATTTTTTACCAAATTAAACTCATCTTTGAAATAATAATAAGTCAGTGTTTGGTAGTGAATGAAATTTGTCACTAAACAAAACGGGTATTCTGTACTTAGAGTAACGTAAAATTCATTTAGTAAAAATTGAAAAAATAAACTATTTCAGAAGATACAGTCTCGGTCAAGAGGGAATGCTATAAAACACAATCCTCGTGTAAGATTTTGAAAATTGAGAAAAGTATGTTTGTAGCAAAGATACTAAAACAGCGGTGGGGTGAAAGATAGAACTTTTGATCGAATATACCAATCCCTAGGTACCACAGATGGAGAGATAGATGTCTACAGGCTAGCTAGAATATAGAGAGAGAAATTCACGAGATTTGAATCAAGCAAAATGCATTTAAGAATAAGAGCATAGTTTAGAAAGAACTTGTGAACTCATGAACAGTTAGTGAAAATACAACTTCTATTAGCTATTTTAATCATTTTTTTACTATAAATGTATTAAAATAAACTATTTTTAACTTATTTTGATAAATTATTTTTAAATTAATGAGATAAATCATTGTTTTAAAAAGCATTAAACATTTAAATACGCTGTGTATCTAAATGCACTGTAAAAATAATATAATCTTTATCAAAACAAAAATATTATTGACAGAAAAAGTTTCACAAGCCATTAGAAGGACAAATATATCTCTTATCGGAGAATTCGGAAACCTACGGGTTAAAGAAGCTTTTGCGGAGAATGGCAAATGACAATGCAAATTGGACCAGAACCAGATAATATACCCATTAATCGAAGTATCGAAAGGTTTATGTGTAAGAAAATGCCGAAGGAGTATGACACAAATAAAAATAAAAATAAAATATATGCAATTTTTATAATTTTTAAAAAATATTAGCTAACAGTCAAGAATATATTAAAGATAAAAAAAAGTATGTTACTAGCATTCTGATTTAACAAACTCGTACGAAATTCCTCTACACCATACCATATCCCCTAACTCATGACCATCTCATCCTCATTTTCTACAGCTACTAACTGAAACAAACCTAGCGATGCATGAATATATTAAATTAAGGGAGACAAAAGTTTGCTGTTGAAATTATCCTACCACCACCACCTAAAAGTGCTAATGCATGTACACAATAATTTGTTCACGAAAATAAATCTGGACTAATTGAAGGTAAAGGAGCAAGTTTTCGTTTTGACATGAATAGGTATGCTTTAAGATATTAGAAGCAATTACCGTAGGATATGGCCACCTATGATTGGTGTTCCACCAGTCCATCAGTGCCATCCTTGCATCCCGTGGCAGCTTCCCCTTTTTCCTTCGTTTTAGAAATTCCTTTTTCAAACTGCTAAAATGGCCACTGTACTTGCGAAGAAGCATTTCTTTAAGCTTTTGATCACCTGGGCAAGTACCAGAAGAAGAAGATACATGGCTTTCAACAGCTTCCATCTCCCCACAACTTAACTCCTCCTCTGATGCTCCACCAGCTACCGAGTCTCATGAAAATACAAAACACAAGGGCCCTCAATATATGTGCCGAAAAAGACAAACACAAAATTAGATTCTTAGTTATGAGAAATAACGAATGACTGACAATGTATACATGCACACACACAAAGTACTTCAGTATCTGTCGAGAAACGTGTACTAAGATTATTATTTATTAAGACGCTTAATTAATTGGACGGAAATTTCCCACAAATACAAACAAATTGGTTATTGCCCTCATGGAGAAGAGAACATATTGTTAAGCCAAGGCTTGAGGTAAAAAAAATGACCATGTGTAAAAGTTTAGCTAAAATAATTGATTATAAACTGGGGATTAATTACACCCTCTATTATTATTACATGCTTAAGTAAGGCTTTAACATCTATTTTGTTTTTCACTTTTTGGCCATTTCTTTATGACATTGGATCTATTAAAATGGTTCTCAATCTATATGTTATCAGTTATAGCTCTGACTATGCATGTTTACTTCTTAGGAATGACTATCCTTTATCGCTAGTATACAACTCGACTCAGTTACCCAAGACAGAAAGCTCATAGAAAGCAAAATGCTGTTCTTGATTATATGAATATCCTACTTCAAACTTATTTTTAGTATATATATTTAATATATTACCCTTACACCCTCTCTTTTATCAGGATAAAAAAGAAGAGAAAGTAATTTTACTTTTCCCCTCCTCTTTTTTTAACCCTAAAAGCAAAGTCATTAAAGTCAACAAGTTCAGCCACGAACCGGATCATTTGGAAGTCGAACGAAGACAATCATACGGTTGTGTCCACAAACCAATATTGTACCGCGAAATCGATGCTGAACCGAATGAACCACAACCCATGTGGTTGAACAGGTTTGAAAGCAAAGCTAAAAGTTGAACAAATCGACCCAGTATCTCAATACTTCAACCGAATTAATGACCAAATTAAGTTTAATAATACTGGTTAATTAAGAATGAGTACGTATAGGGGTAGTGTAATAAAATTTGAATTGGAAAATGACATTTTTGTATCTAATGAATGGAAAACTCCGAAATTATATTGTTAAGAAAATTCAAATATGTTAAAATATAACTTGGTTCCAAAACGTCGCCATCATTGTTGTTCAGTTAGGAAACCAATAAACTATTAGTCTATTATATTGAAAGATCAAATTTATATGGACGACAAAATCATATATTAAAAATAAGAGTAATATTCCTATAAAAGAAATTAACATATGAACCTGAAGGTATGATTAAATGCCTGAGTAAAATTTGCAATAAAAAGAACGATCACCATCTCAATCTCAATTTAATTCTTGCATTAATGCCCTAAAATTATTCAAATTTAGGGCGTAGCTGAGATTAATGGTAAAAAATAACAAATGAAATGTATCGAAAGATATACTAGTAAAATAGAATTTTCTTATAAATGTCAAAAATTACTTCTGATCAAACACCAGAAATAAAATTAGACTTTAACGATATAAGATATCCGCATATGAGAGTTTAAATCTATAAAACTGCATTATCATTGCATATATCAAGTAAACAAATAATATAGAACTATGACAGGCAATTTATATTTGTTTTCACCATACTGAATTAGAACAACAAGAGTAAAATTTCATCTATTCACTAAAGGCGAAGATATTGACCTCACCACCACTCATGTAAAAGGAGAAAATAGTTAACAAACCAACAATTATAAAAAATCGTCTGTCTTTCAAACAGTGTAGGCGATAAAATTAAATTTAAATTAAAGGACAGGAGCGGGGGTGGATGTTCAAATTAAATATTTCTAAATCAACTACATCTTTAACGTACACAAAAGGGCCATCTATGTTCAGACATCGGAAGAAAATAAAAAACAATAATATATACAAGAATAAACCTGAACTTGCTCTCAAAAAATGTTAGTTTTCGAGGATTTGAGTTCCTAAAACTCACTTGACACTATGAAAATACCAGGCATTTTATACAACGCAAAGGAATAAGTTTGAAATCACGTGTTTACCCGAGCGGTTGTTGTCCGATGACTTTGCTAGTGTTCCCTGACAAAGATTGCTGAGTTGTGATTCCATATTACCCAAAAACAAAGTCGCTTCATTGAAGGGCTTTGACAACTCCTCTTTGTATCTATGAAGAACTTCGCAGTACGTTTCCTTCAGGTTACAACAACAACAATTCAAATCCTCATTCAGAAACAACACAACAATTCCATGGCCACCCATATGATGTTTCTATATTTAGCAAAAAGAAAACCAAGTGGCCAACTAATAAATTTCCCGAAATTTAACCGTAAAAACAGTCACCAAAATTACATCATTTTCTTCCAATCTCTTGACTTTCCCTCCAACTTATTTGGAAACAAAGCAACATACATCAACATATGTACCCTAAAGAGGGTAAAAAAAGAAATTTCAAAGTATACCATGAATTCATCAAGTTCAGGACCATTCCCTATCTCACGGTGAGCATTCATGGAGTGGCTTTCTCGGGCTATTCCTTCAAGAAGCGATATCAGTTCCGGTGGTGCTCCAACCTTTCCAAACAACAGCTTACAACTACTTAGTATTCAACTATTCATATTCACAAGAGAAACTTACTCGCTTGCTTGCTTAAGATTTAATATTGGACATTAAAAAAAAAACACTAACTCTAAAGCATATCTATAATCTTTGTATGAACCTTTTGGCATCCTATGTATGCAGCCAGTAAATCAGGATAAAGAGGGTGATTTGCGATCTGGATCTTGATAAGCCGATCCGACATATCTGACCCGGTAACATTTCGTTCAGCAGGAGCTTCCAGCTGGAGGTAACAATTAGCCTCAGCTGACCCTAGACGCAATTCAGAAGTAGTGGTAGCAGTAGTAGTTGCTGAAACGCTCGCGTTCCCAACTCTAACAACATCCTCTGGACAAGACAAAGGAGGTTTCCACCTGTATACTGCTTCCATCACGGCTCTGGATAGATTCAAATATCTCACTGAGTCGGTGAATTCTACACTAGTGCACTCCAGCAAGCAGAGCTAAACTTAAATAACGATATGGTATATCTAATTAAAATTACTATAAGTTTTTTTAATTCTAGTTCAAATATATAGTACGACCTATATATACGTAGGTTCTTAATATTTAGTTATTGGCCCTGAGCCCATAAGCAGCAGTATTTGTTGATTAATAAAAGTGGTACAGAAGGGAAGAGAAAAGAAATGGATAGAAGAAAGAGGAGGGGGTGTAAGTGAATGTGTACGTTTATACGAAATTACGCATGATAATGACACAGAGGAAGAGATGGAGAATTACTTACGGTAGCTGCAGTGCACAAAGACTTTTCTTTTCCAAGAAGACCTGGGAAAAGGAAAGAAGACAGAGAAAGTGATGGTGGATGGAGTGAGAGAGGAAAGAGAAAGGAAGGTGAGTGTGTCTGGTTTGTGAAGTGAATTGATTTCAGCATGTGGATGTATGGGTATGATGTAGATGGCGTCAGTGATAAGTATAGGATAGGTTGTACGTATTGTGTAGAAATCACTTAGTCAGTGTGTGATCTCACTCTGGACAATGTTTCATTGCCCTGCTTTAATACGTGGGTCCATCTATCTCCTCACATTAGAACTATAAATGAGGCCAATCAACTAAAAACCACCATATATTTATACGATAAATATAACACTCTTTATTCTTTATAAATATTTTATTCAGTTTTTATTTTTATATTTAACAAATACTTAAGCCCGTAATTTTTATTTTTATTAAAAACTACAACGATATAATTTTTTTTATTTTTAAGAATTAAAATTAAATAAACTTTTTGTAGAGAGTAAAAATTGAAATGAACAATTTTTTTATGAAATAATAATTTATTTAAACTAATATAATAATTTTTGTAATCACAGTTTTAAAATTTCAATATAATAATAATAAATTATTATTATTACTATTATCTATTTAAATACAACTATTGAAAATGAGTTTAAGGTTAATAATAATAATAATATATCCTCAATGAATATTTATAATTTAATGTAACTTAAAATAAATTATAAGAAAAAGAAAACTATTTTTTTGTTTTTACATCGTATTTTTTTATAATTTTTAAAATTAATTACGTCTATCTATACAAAAGTTACGAGCATACATTGAAATTTTGATTTGTAGAAAAATGTTCACTTATTTTAATAAAATTATTTAGTTTTTCATTTTTTTTTATGGATTTCATATTTTAATCTTAAAGTTTCATGTTGTTGTTTTTTATGGTTGTGTATGATTATTTTAGTATATAAATCTATTAATTTAAAACTTTTATCGTGTTTCATTTTTAATACAAATTTTGTTATATATAAAAACAAGTTGTATAGTAATCATTTGTTACATTTAATTTTTAGAGATAGTTTTAAATATTTAAAAATAATAAATTTGTATTGAAAAGATATAACGTTTTCATACTTTATATTCTGAATATAATATATAGTTTTGTAATAAAAGATTATCATTTTTAATTATTTAAAATAAACTCGAAATATTGAATTGAATATTTTTTAAAATAATAAAATAACTTATTTACTATTTTTAACTAGTTTTAAAATAAGAACATAAAATCTAATCATTCAATCCCAGATAAACAGCCATTAATAAGACTAAATTAAATTATTTTAAATTTTGATTCGAATTTATCCAAATTGAAAATGTATTGTCTTTTTTTAATCAAATTAGATAACTTTATGTTTAAAAATGTATGTAATTCATAGTGTCAACACCTCTAATAACATCTCATATAGGGTGGGGGGGGGGGGCGAAAGGTTAATTTGCTTTATTTTAACTTTCATTTGGAATAACTATGTTCAAATTGATTTAGTTTAATAATTTTATTTTTGCCATGCTTGAATTAAATTCATCTAGTAAGATGTTTATACTATGAATACTATTAAAATAAAAACTATAAAGTAAATAAGGACTGATTAATCTGATATTATATACAAAATTATTAAACGATGTAAGTATTTAAAATTAATATTTAATGTAACAGATACCAGCTCTAATAAAAGTGTGAAAATATTGTTTACATAATGTGAACTAAAAAATATTTCATTAATTTATCGGTAGCATAGAAATTTGTCTTTTAACGTTGATAATATATTTACAAAAAAAAATAAAAATACAGCACTAAGTAATCGTTAATGCCAAAGTTTGATTAAGTGATTTATAAAATGATGTTTTCTTTCAGCAGTTTTTTGCATATAATTGGCGATACCTTGAAATATGCCCCAAAAATAATAAAGGCAAATCTGCCTGAGAAGGATAGTCATCCTTTTTAAAAGCACACTAATCTCTTTGACCTTAAGTTGAGAGCTGAAGCTGATGCTTTCCAAGTTAATTATCTGCTTTTCAAGATATATTCAATGAACCAATGCATCAATTATATGTTAACTCTGAATATGAAAAAGACAATGGGGTCCGCAGACTCTAAAGAGACACCTATTAAATTTAAGAATCTTGTTACCTTCTTCTACGTATCTTTCTAATAATTTTATCATCGTTTTACAAAGTAGATATTAAATGCAAATGTGTATTTTTTTTGGCCAAAAAATATTTATAATTTATTTATATAATATTGAAAATAATCTATAAACGTACAAAACCAAAAAATAAATAATTATTCTAAATTTTAGCAACAAACGAACGATAAAAAGTTGCCATTTTTTGGAGAACAATTGTAATTTTTGACAGTCTTACATGTTGTATTTCCCCACTAAACAAGATTATTTTCTATAAATTTTAAATAAGTTAGCCATCAAATTTACCCTTTTTTTTAAATATATTTGAGATTTACTATCTTCAAATACTATGAAATTAATATAAATGGTAGTTGTAATATGAATTACATGAGTTATATAGTATATACGAAATCGTAAAGATTTAACTATATTTACTTTTTTTTTTAATGATAAAGAGTTTTCTGCGTACTTAATTAAAAAAAAATATTTTAGAGTCTCTACTTAGCTAAATTAAAAAATTATGAAACAAAAAATTTGAAATTTAATTGCTTATAAAAAGTGAACTTTATTATAAAGATATTAAGATTAGTATATCATAAAATGTATTCAATTATATAAAATATTTATCATTTTATGTAAAGTTTTTCTCTAAACTGTCATATGTTGTATTATTCGAGAGGTTAACTCAATAAATGTCAAACTGATTTATTCAATCCTATTATCTAAATATTTTTTCACACTTTCAATGATCTTTTAGACTCAATTTTTAGGCTTCTAATCTTAAAAAGTTTATATATTTTATAATTTTTTTTCTTTATCACAAACTAAATCAAAACTTTGACATTAAAATTTAAAAAATTAATATTTAAATCAACTGAAAATATAACTCTAATAGAGTCTACTGAAATTTTTGACCAACATTGCAAACTCGAGAAGATATGGATCTCAAGTGAAGTGAAAGTTTGGAAATCAGACAACTCTTGCAGGATGAACAGAAGTTATTAGCCCCCTATTTATGGACCTCGGGAACTTTTCTTCGATAATTTGTTTTGGGTAGACATCCTTTGTTTATGATGTCTAATAGGTAGGTCCCATCCTTTCTTTTTTTTTTCCATATAGCTTGGAATTTGTTGCTTTTGTTCCTTTTTCAGAAGTATTTTTTCACAAGTTTGATTGAAATCTGCATATTTAAACCATTGTATTACCGATCCTGACTTTGATTCAAGTCGAGTAATCAATTGTTGGTAAATAATTTATAACTAGGCTTGTATAATGCACAAATGTATATATTATGATGTTGATCTTTCTAATAATAACAGGTCAATGTTAATCAAGTTATTGTATATGTAAATGAACAGAGTAATACAAATTACTAAACAAAGACTACTTCAGTCTCTTAAATTTGTTGCTTACATCAATTTTATCTTTTAAAGAATTATGATATTAAGTAAGTCATTCGAAGACTAGAAATTCTATGTGACTATTCATTTTCATAATCCACAAGCAATCTCCACTCCAATTGTTTCTGCCTTAAAATAACTCAGACTAGAGGTTTCCGCTGCTCAAGTAATATATACACATATAATTCGTATTTACAGAGAGAGTATTATGGATTCACTTTTTCATATTACTAGTGATATGATATGATAGTATTGAAAAAATTGTTTTTTTACTTAAAAATAATTAATAAGTTTTTCAATTAATCATGATAAATTTCATTTTATATATTTTTTCTCGTTCAATCGTGATTATGGATTATTTAATGAAACAAACGACATTCAAATTTATTTATTAGCTATTACTGTTTATATTTAATAAAAAGATTTCGTTAACTTTAGTCTTTAGAGTAAATTTAAGCATTTATAAATAAAATAAATTTATAAAAAAAAATATAAAGTTATTATATTAAAGTTATAAAAATATAATAAATATTTTTTTAATAAATTTTTACAATTATTAACTGAAATTAACATAACTTTTAATAAAATGAAACTATTATTTCTCTCCTGGATAAACACTTTCAACCTTGAAACTATCAAAGGTTAGAAGACATTTGAACCCCTTTTCTTTCAAGCCACTTGGATAACTTGCCGATGTTTATCTGTTAATATCCTAGTTAGTAATGAAAAGGACAAAATTTACACGTTTTTCTTTCTTTCATGAACTGCTTATACTGATTATTAATTAAAACTTTAATTTTATTTTGAAAAATAACGTAAAAGAGTATTTATAATACTACAGTTAATTATTAATTTTTCCCTAATGAAAAGTGCTCGCTGAAACCGTGCTTCAATTTGTCTCCGACCTTTACCCCACATTTCCAAGAAAAAAGATGGCTATGATTTGAGTGTATTTGTGATTTCAGTTGCTCTACAATTAGAAGAACTAATAATGGCTATGGCAAAATCAGATATTACCAGCTCTTGCTGTAATCCTCAACTAATTTGTCTTGTTGTGACTAAATTTGGGGTTTGGCTGTAGACAATGAGTTTATCACTTGTGAGCAAATTGAATGGAGATGGTTCTCTTGCAAGCTGCAACTTGCAACTCGGTCAAGCGATTATTTATCATTTGGTTTCGT